CGCAGCAACAAAATCGGCGTCATCGGCACCAGCAAAGACCCGTTGTTACTCATGTACGCCCCGCACCAACTGCAGACGGATTTTCTCGGCCAGGAATTTTTGTTCTTTTTCCGCGAGCCCATGGACACCGTCAGATATGACGGGCAGGTCTTTCCGATTGACAGTACTTCTATCTCGGAACAGTGGAAATCCAACCTGTACCTCATCATTCACGAGGTGAAAGACGTCGACAGTGAGCTCGCGGACATCAAGACCATGCTGGATGACTACCGCTACCGTTCCCCCGACTGGGGCACGGACGTTCTGGTGAATAGTAGCGCGAGAGTCAAGGCATTGTCCACCGATCCGGAACAGGTCCGATTGAACACCGGCGCGACCCTTCGTTCCTACCGCGAGCCGCTCTTCACGAACTACTCCCGGACGTCCGAGCGGGGGCCGGCGTTGTTCGTGCGGGATAAGGAAAATGCGGAAGTGAGTGCGAGTTTGAATTTGATCAAGTTCAAATTGTTTCAGCCCCTTGTCCCCGGAAAGAACTACATCGTGGAATTCCCCGGCGGTTTATTGCAAACAAAAGCGACGAGAACGCTGATTTTCAAGGGGATCAAGATCAACTGCCGGGTGAAATTACCGGTGCCGGAGATCGACAATTCCCTCCAGATCGCGAAGTTTTACGAGTCTTTCGTGTACTTGAAAGAGGAGGAGAAAGCCAGTCGATCCGGCGCTTTCTCCGATTTCACGGTGTTTGAAAAAAAGCAAACGGCGTTTTTGAAGCAGCTGTACGACGGGAAGCGGGTTCTACAGGAGTTCCAAATTCGAGGTCCGGCCATGGCGTTGGCGGAGTTTTTGGACGATCTTGAGTACTACACCGGGGAGCGGTCGCAAACGGTCAATACCTATGCGCGCGCGGAAGTGTACTTCGCGACCAATCTGACGCTAGTCGCGGACCAGGAAGTGAACATGCGGATCGACAGACTACAGAACCGGGTGCCGCTCATCTACTACGATCGGTCGAAAATCAGCATGGATTTGAAGCTATGCATGGCAAAAGTACCGTGCGTAGTAGTAATTGCATTACAGATTTTGGCAAGCCGAAAAGTGCAACTTGTCGTGCAGAGTCAGGTCACGAGAAGGCTTTGTCATGCAAGAGTGCAATTAGTACAACCGGAGTACGATACTACTTTTGCAGAGTATAGAATCGCAACGATTTCTACAGCTACCACGCGAAGAAAAAGCTACAGACGCAGCTACGGGCGAATTTACTGGCAGCCTCGACCTCTTCCTCCTCCGCCTCTGCGGTAAGCGTGTCCGCAAGGCTCGCGGGCGATTCGAATGTCTTGAAGATGAGGGAAGACTACCAGGGCTATGACCCGGCCTTGGACCCGACGAGGAAACTTTCCCTAAGGACCATCGCCGGCGCACCCTACCCGCTGAAAAAAATCGTCATGAAGGACGACATTTACCAGGGCTTTCAGTGGATGACGTTGACCGTCGTCGCGACGGAGGGGTTGATCTACGTGGACGAACACTATTTGTTGCAGCCCCGGCCGTTCAGATTGATGTCGGGGACGTTGAACGGCACCACCGCGCTGACGATTTCCGGCACGCTGTACGACTTGAACCACATCGCGCGAAACTTGCAGTACGCGTACCCGATGCGGTCCAAAGCGGTGCTGAATCTGGAAAACCAGCTCGAGCAGCCGATGCAGAACGTGAAGGTAAACTTCGTGTTGTCCGACGGCATGGCGGTAGCGGGGTACACGAACAACAGCAAGTCGATGCACGAATTTAGTTACAACAACGTCGACGAACCGCTGGACGCGTCGAACTTGACCAAACCGGATTTATTTCAGTTCGCCGGCCGGGTGTTGGGCCTGAAGGACAACGTCCCGGTCAGCAACGCGGAAATGTACATCACCAACTACTTCACACTGGTGAAGCAAAACCGGTACGTGAAGAGGGAATCGAGATGGAACATGACGTCGAATTCTCCCGAGTTGAACTCGAATCTAGAGCAGGTTCTCGGCGATCTGGGCAGAATGCAGAATTTTTCGACTTTAGGGACCCCGCCCGGGACGCATTTCCTCCCCGAGATCGTCCAGAAGGAAGAAAAACACCACATCGTCACGGACGAAAAGGGGAATTTCTTGACGTTTTTGAAGAGGGGTTCCGCGAAAGTCGAGATTTTTCGGCAGGCGAGCTACGCGTATTTAGACTTCGTCGAGTACGATATCCCGATCCAGCAGCACTACAGTGCGAACAATCTGGAATTCTTCCTCCAGCCGGACAACACGCCACTGTTGTGGGAGGTGGAATTGGAATACGACCAGTTTGACGTTGACAAATTGGATTTAGACCTGCATTCCTTCATCAACACGACGAATTTCTATTGCCACACGAGCTACCGAACCCCCAAATGCCAGCACGACCGGCTGATCGGCGCAAGCTCGGAGCTCGTGCAGGATCGATACGGCCGCGGGTTGATCAGAGAGACTCTCACTCTCTTCACTTGGCCGGACATCTGCAACTACCCGTACTTCCCCTTCACCAACGAGGGGGGTATCAACGTGATCGACTCGCCGTACATATTAGAGGGCAAGCGGTTCCACGAACTGTGCAACGGGAATTTCTACCTCTGGGTGCAGATCCACACGAGTTCCGTCGCGAAGTTCTCCGACATCAACGGCGAAGTGAAGGTGCGGGTGAAGAAGTCGCAGTACAAACAAGACCAGTACTACGAGCCGGCTAACAAGCAGGACGCGATCGTGATCGGGGAGTTTGACTTGAGGAAAGCGAAGCACGTTGCCACCACGGAACACAGCAAGTACACGACGTACGGCGGTGAGAACGCAAAGGAGCGACAAACGGAGAATGTCTGGCTGGGCTTCCGGATTCCTTTGGACACGGTGGATAAGGTGGAATTCATTCACGAAGTCGGAAACCGGGACAATTTGGTAAATTGGATCAACTACGACCTGCTGTCTGAACCGCTTCGGATGAGAAGCAGGAGGCAACTGGAGGAGGAGGAGAGCAGACGGAAGCTGACGGAGGCTGTTCTAGGAGGTGCTGGGGAGGAATACAATAGTTTTGCTGCAACCCTTGCCAGGCAAGCTGCGCCTGTCCGCCGCTCCTTGTTCGAGGTGAACAACACAGCAAATGTAGCTTCTAGTACTTCCGCGAAACAGGTTCTCTCCAAAGAAGACTACCTGCACTTCGGCGGCGACAGCGGGACGGCGTTCTCCTCCAGACAGCTTTCCCTCCTGTCCGACAGTACCGGAAAACAGGTCGCGACGGTGGCGAGTAATAAGAAATTGAACCAAGCAAATCTAGTGCCGTTGAAATCAGCAAGGAAAAATTTCGTTGGGAAAGACAAGAGGCGGATCCACGATTTTGAATCGTCAAAACGGATGCTTTTGGACGACGCCGCGGTTGAGTTTGCGAAGAAAGTTGACGAGGAGCTGGATGGAAGGGTGGAGGAGGAATTGACTGCGTTTGAAACGAGACTTACTGCTGTGAAGAAGAAAATGATGCAAGAGCAAAGCAGTTCCACACCAGGTGCGGGAAGTGCGTCTCGGCGATTTTTGGAGCATCACATTGATCCGAGGAAAGACTTGGGGCGCGGCGTGCATGAGGTGTTTCAGGGACCATTTCCGCTGGTGGAAGCCAGTACCGGTGCAGGAACTGCGCAGGGAGCATCATCTTCCGCACAGGAGGACAATTCCAATTCAACCGACGCAGATACTTCCGGTGATGACAACACAACCGACGGTAATAGCTCAAATGTGTCTAGTACTTCTTCCGCAGCGGTGGTAACTACAGCTTCGACTTCCCAAAACACGACGCAAAACTCCACCGGAGTTCCTTTTCCCTACATTGGCAAATCGATCTTCTTCACCCCGATTGTCACGAAAGAGGACCTCTACGACGATTCCGGCTTCAATTTGCAGCGTTCCATCGAGCGCATCAGTGCCGCGACGAACACGACCACGTCTCCGCCGATGCTGGTCGTTTCCAATGTCGTTACGAACTACAAAATCGCTTGCATCTCCGACCACCCGTTCGACATGCCCGATCGGGGGCTGCACTACAGCACTCCGGGCGTCCACTGGCAGAAGGAATTGGTTTTCGGGAACAGAGTGTCCGACTCGCAGTTCATCCAAGTGCACTTCAACAGCTTCGAAAAGTTCAAGTTCTACGGCACGGACTACCGCTCGCTTTTCGTGTCCCCTAACGGGTATATCACATTTGAATCCGGGGACAAACTCAATTACAACTACGCGCACCCACAAAACCACTACCGGCGGGTCCGTGTCGCGCCCTTATTCGGCCACTTTTCCCCGTTCACCGGCAAGGTGTTTTACCAGGAAACGTCGGACGACAGAACCGGGAAAAATCCGCGGATTGTCATCACGTGGGAAGATGTGGAAACCTTCGCGCAGTACTTTTACCGCACTTACGATGGAGAGGTCACTCCCTCTTCGAGAGAACAGTTGGAAAAGCTGTACAACCAGTCCACAACACCGGAAATCCTCGCCGAATACGCGACGAAGGCACCGCAACAGTACTTGCTGCCGGACTTGCTGCTCGGGAAGGAGTTGTCGACGAAAGCTTATGAGAATCACATCCGGAACTGGAAGGAGAAAAAGTTCAACTACTACACGTTTTCCGCCGCTTTGTACATCGAAACCGGGGAGATCAGGTTTTCCTATTCGAAAAAATTCCCAGAATTACTCTCCGAAGTCGACAATTTCCTCTCCGGCTTGTCCCCCGGGCCGCAAACCGCGACGCACTTCCAGCGCTACGGGTCCACAACCATCACCGCTCTGGTCGAGGAACGGGATCTGATCGCGAACAGCAGCAACGTGACAGTTTCACAGACTGTCCTGAACGACACGGGGACTGGGTACGAGGAAATCCAAACCTACGTCCGCAACGACTGCCAATCGGTGTGTGGGAATAAAGTCAAAGAAATCTTCGAGACCTGCGAGGTGAACGGCCCGAGCTACGGGTGCTATTTGAACAACTGCACGACGCGCCGGGGGTACTACTGCGACGACTTTGGGCAGTGCTTCGCCGCGAAATGCGGGGATGGGTACCGGGATGAGGACATTGGCGAGACTTGTGATGACTTCAATACGAACAACGGGGACGGCTGTTCGTCTACTTGTCAAATCGAGCCGGGGTTCACGTGTAAAAGAAAATCCCAGTTCGATGCCGACAGCTGTCGTCTCTTCCACCTTATCAACTGTAAAAATGTCTGGGTCTGGAAGATTTCTAGATTTGTCATGCACATTTTGCATGACTCCTGATACCTGTGATGCATGCCCTAGAGTCACAGATTTTGTGAGGGCTTCCTGATGCCTATACCGCATGACAAATGCTCTTTCCGTGTAGCAAAACTTGGACTCTCTTTGCTGCTCATGCAATACAGATTTTTTTAGAATCCAAAGTTAGCATGACAAGTTGGATTCTTCCAGACCCAGACATTTTTACAGTTGATACACCTCGCACCCTCGGAATTTTTCAAGTACCCCAGTTACGGCTCCGATGGGCGGTTCATGGGGAACAGCTTCGACCTGCAGATATCATAAGAACAAAGTTCGTCACGATCACGCATGGGTATTTTTGCACTACAAAAAATGCCTGTCATGCGTAAAAATGCATGATAGCCTTCTTCAAAAGGGATTTCCCTTAGTGTTGCTGCAATGCAAGGAAAAGTTGTGATGCTAAAAAAAATTGCATTACAAATTTCGCATTAAATGCAAAATCTCCAAGATAGTGACTGTGACAAACTTTTTTCTCTCCATAGCAGAGGCAGGCTTTGTACTACAGTCCGCGCAAGGATAAGAAGGTGGAAATTGGGGCTTTCACGAAAAATTTTGTCAACGACACAACCAACGCGGACAACGAATTTTTCCAACAGGGCTACTCCGTCTGCCGGCAGGAGTTTTTTGCGAACGAGAAAACGAGAAGTAGTTCAGGCTCTGCAGTATCTACTACTACCCAAAATTTAAATTACAAAGACGACACGAAGCCTATGCCCGACTACCCGTCGAGCCGCGCGACGGTCATTCCCAGGGGCTATCTGTCCGAAGACGACAGTTTTGAGGTGGCGTTTCCAGACGACAAAGAGTTTGAATTCTTTAGCCAAAAGTACAAAACTTTTTTCATTGGTTCCAACGGGTATCTCACCTTCCAAGCGCCGGACACCAGTACAACCGCGAGTCTCGCCGCGCACTTCGACCAGCCCCGGATTTCCGGCTTCTTCGATGATTTGAGCCCAAATCTGACCCCGGATTCCTCGGTCACTTACGAGACGAAAGACTGCGTTAGCGACAGTCCGGCAGCGGCGAACAATGAGAACTACGACAATCTGTGCAGAATGGTGATCACCTACATGAATGTCCACCGGCACGGGCTGCAGACCTCCCAGGAGGTTTTGACGAGAAATCTGACTCTCGACAACACGTTCCAAATCACGCTTTACCTGAATACGAACGTGATCCGCATTCTGTGGTGGAATTTGATGGAATTCCCTCTATCCTACCCGGGCTTCGTTATCGGAATATCAGGGGGAAGAACCGCACTCGGTGCCCCCTACCAAAACGCCTTCGGGTCCAGCTTGTATCTGAAGCAGGGGTACCTGACTTTGCCGACAAATTCCGCGACTTTTCCGCGGAACACAGTTTTCGCGGACGTTTTCAAGGACTCCTTCACGATAGAGTTTTACTACAAGGTCGATCTGCAGGACAGACTCAAAGTGCAAACGAACCAAATTGTGCCGATTTTCACGACTACAATCACCGACGCGAGCTCCGCGAACCAGCTGAATCTGTATTTGAACGCGGACAATTCTCTGTCCCTCCGCCTCGCCGGGACGAACATGCCGTCGCCGTTCACGAAGATGGACAAGTTTCGCTTACCACTGGACACGTGGGTACACTTGGCCTTCGTCGTCGAGCGCAAATCCACGCAGTGCTCGCTGGTCACGAATTCCTGCACGTATGTGATTCTCTACGTCGATTCGATCCGCGAGGGGGATGCGGAGTTGGACGAGTCGTGGCATTTTTCCAGTGTGGAGGAAATTTCGACAAATGTTGCCACCAACATCACGACGAACACGACGAAAGTCACGTATTTGGCCCACGACTTCAACAACGGACAGGGTTTCCGCATCGGCGGCGGCGACATTAGCCTTCCCGACCCGACGAGCCAGAGTTCCGGGCAGTTGAGCACGCAGGCGGCGTATTTTTACCAGTTTCGGATTTACAAGCGAGTGCTGCAGCCGAAGGAGCTCGGGAAGTGCGAGTTCCACGAGGATTTCGAGGCGCGAAACGCTTTGGTGGTGCAATTCACGTTTGACCAGACTTTATCCGAGTTGAAAAATGGGTTGAAAGTGGACCGGTTTGGCGAGATGGAGTTCCTGCACGAGACCCCGTCGGAAACCACCTGTGCGGCGAAAACCACGGTGGCGACTGGACTGCAGGAAACGGGCGACTTGACGGACGACTTATCCTCCGCGCCCCTGTGCACCTTTGAGCAAACTTGCGGGAATTTCATTTTGGAAAATCTCGAGGAGTGCGACGACGGAAACTTAGATGACAGCGACGGCTGCGACAGCAACTGCCGGATCACGACCAATTACGCGTGCGAGTCGCAACTGATTGCCAGTACGAATGACTACGGGAACAGCACTTGTCATTTAGTCCAGTGCGGCGACGGGATAAAGGAGGGGACGGAGGCTTGCGACGACGGAAATTTGCTCGACTTGGACGGGTGTTCGAAGGATTGTATCATTGAACCAGGGTACGCCTGCACCGCGACCAGCACGTCACTCGTCTCCGGGACCTACAACCCGTCAATTTGCAGCGGTATCTGCGGCGACGGGCGGGTGGTTGCGAACGAAACGTGCGACGACGCGAACGAATTGAACTTCGACGGGTGCGACGAGAACTGTGGCGTGGAAGTTGGGTACAAATGCCTTTTAACCGAAAGACCGACAAAATGCCTCCCGATCTGCGGCGACGGGGTGCGAATCGGCGGGAAAGAGGAGTGCGACGACGGGAACACGGCGAATTCCGACGGGTGTAGCGAACACTGTAAAGTGGAGCTCAACTGGCACTGCGCGACGCCCGCCGAGCAGTCGACGCGGACGCTGATCAACGAGTTGGGGGCGATCAACGTGTTTGAAACCGTGAATCCGCAGACGCAGCAGATCGAGATCATGCGGAAATACCACACTTTTGAGACGATCATCAACAACGACATCAGCGAGCGGATCGTGCCAGAATCGTTTACGTTTGGCTTAGGTGACAACTGCAAACGGACGGTTTGTGGGGATGGATTAATCGAAGGGCAGGAGGAGTGCGATGACTACAACGGCTTCAACTACGACGGCTGCTCTTCCACTTGCAAAATCGAGCCGCAGATGGAACTCAATACCGCCGTCGGGACGATCGAGGTCAACGTCTTTCCCCGACCGCAGAAGTGCCGCCTGGAAAACGGGTACCAGATCGAGCTATTCGAAGAGTCGGAAGCGGGGTATGTGTCTGAAGTGGAGAAAATTGCCGGGGTGCTGAAATCTTTGGAAGGTGGTATCATGAGTAAAAGCGTCACCGCCCCAAGGTTAAGTTGGGACGAGGTCTGCGACAGAAATCCAGAAGTTTTGGGAGTCACGCATGACAAGTTTGGGCTCGCAGTGTAAGCTAGTTTAGCTAGAAAAGCCACAACATCAAAACTCGGCGAGTCCTTATCCTGATTCTAGCATGACAAGCTTCTAGATAGCATGGGAAAACGCAGCTTTCCATGTTTGGGCTCCGCATGAGAAAATTTTTTGCAGCCTGGCGTATTTGCATGACAGCGTTGGATTGGGGACGTCGTTTTTACTCAGGATAGATGGAGCATCGAGTAAGGAGGCAAACATTTCTTACTGGCAGCCGTTGAACTCGACGATTTACAACTCTAGTGACGCCGCGGCGACGAAACGGCGGGAGGAAAACATGCGGTCCGCCGCGCTGCAGATTGAGAACGAGTTGAACAAAAACATGCCTTTGATGAACAAAAACGCGATCGAGCGCAGGAAGCACGAGACGCTCGAGGATTCGATCTATAACTTGCGGCATACGGTTCTCACCGGCGACATTTTGACGTCGCAACGACCGTTTCCACTATCCTCTTTAACCACCGAGCCAGAATACACGCAGGCGATCACGATTGTGAAGGTGAACATCCAGGTCCGGTCCGGCGTGATCACTTTCCTTCCTTTAGAGCAGCGCTGGATGAACATGGGGAAGCTGGACGCGACCAGGGAGAGGTCGTTGTGGGCGAACGAGGGTTTGTACTTTGAGGAAATCGTGCACGACGTAGATGTATCGACTGCAACACTCGTATCATACTAGTGCGACTGCATTTCAATATGCAAAATTTTCCAACAAAGTGTTCAAGATCACCAAGTAAAGTGCAGTTTATCATGAAGAGAAGTCGGGAAGAAAAGTAATGCGGATCTGCAAACTGCACGAGTACGATATGACTTTTGCAGTCCATAAAGCGCCGGCACCACCCAAACGTTCCTCTACAAACAGGAGTCAAAGAACTTTAACATCAGCGGAACCGCGGATAAGGTCGACCGCTTCTTGCGGGATAGCGTGTTTTTCAAACCGTTGAAAAACTTCGTCGGCGTGGACAAAGTCACCTTCTCCGCCCTGTCGGGAATCGGCTTCCCGGACGGACAGAGTCTATGCAAACTAGACGTTTTATGAAATGTAAAAATATCTGGGTCTGGAAGAATGCAACTTGTCATGCTGTCTTTGGAAGGTAAAAAAAATTTGTATTGCACGACCAGCAAGAGGAGTTCAGTTTGTGCTACGCGGAGCGCGCGTTTCTCATGCGGAATACGCATAAGAAGGCCCCTTAAAAATCTGTGATGGTCGGCCAGGCATTACAGACATCATGGGTTATGCAAAACATGCATGACAAACCTGGCAATCTTCCAGACCCAGACATTTTTACACTTGATACGTTTTTGTCCAGGTGTACGCGGTCTACGACGACGACGGCCCGCAGATTTACTTAAACACAGCGAAGATGATAAACTCCACGGAAACCATCCCGGCTTCACATTTATTGAACGCCGTGGCGATCACCGGGAGGCCGTACGAGCCGGAGAACAAGAATTTCTACTCTATCGTGATCGACGCGTTTGGGAAGTTGCGGAACATCCCGTACTTGTCCGTCGACGAGGACTGCCTGATGTGCAGAATGCCGGCGATCGAAGTGAACGACGGGGACTGCATGCTGATCCGGGACGGGTCGTGTTATTTGAAACTGACCGTGTTTGGCAACGGAATCTTGGATATCCGCCTTGCCGGGCAGGTCGGCAGAACCGTGCAGATCGCCGGGCAGCACGACAATCTGAACAAGGCGCTGGACCAGATGAGAGTGACCCCGTTGTCCGATTTCTCCGGGTTTTGCAACCTGACGATCACGTTGGAGCGGGTTTTGACGAACGAGCGGGTCCAGAACTTGGTGGGTCAGATGTCCATCGTGGAACACATCCCGGTGTTCGTGCGACCGGTGGACGACGCGCCGGTGTTGTTGTTCGGTATGCAATGCAAAAGCATCGTACTAGTATAAATTGCATCACAAATTTATTACCCCAGCATTACAAATTGAATTTGTAATGCTGATTTTCCCTTGAGAAAAAGATTTGTAATGCATAAATGCGATTACTACGTGTAGGTGTACGATGCTTTTGCAGAGGATATTCGGTTTTCCGGAGCAAAAATCGCTGTTCCACGGGTCGATTCTGGACTTGTCCGAACCCTGGGAATTCACCACGAAAAACGGCGGGAAGTTGGAAATCGAGCGCCAGATCGCCGAGGACGGGACCAGGCGGGATAGAGAACCGAATTCCGACTTGCTCTTGGACGCCTTCAGCGGGGTGGACGCAGCGGACTTCACGACAGGTGCGAGCTTGCTGTACGAAAACACGAAAGAATTACTACTGCGGGAAAATTCCACGGCGGAGTCGCGGGGCGAGAAATTCCCGCGGTACTACCGCGACTTGATCGAGGTGCGGCCCGGGTACTACGTGTACAGCCGGGGGCTGAAGCCGCCCATCATTTGGGACAATTTAGTGGAGATTTGGGACGACGAGGCGAGCCAGACCATCTGGTCTCCCTGGGAAGACCGGCACTTCACCGAGCCCGGCTTCGACGTGACGAAGTTGCAGCAAGAGTACGCCGCGTTGTTAGCGTCGAAATCCACGTCTCTCACTTCCGTGAACGACTTTATCCTGAGTAAAAACGTACTCACACCAGAGTCAAGATGGGAAATCTGCTAGACAAATCAGCCAGCTTTGCTCGTTTGGCATGACAAGTTTGTCCTCGTAGCCAAATCCTGTTTAGGTAGTTCAACAGCATCACAGATCTAGTATATCATGCTGATTGTAGCAACACAAATTCCAAAACACCACTAGAAATGCCTCTCATGGCGCTCCGCATGACAAACTTCTTTGGCATGCAGATTTACATGACAAACTCTGGGGTGGGGACGGTTTTACTCAGAATAGACTTTCTGGTCACGCTATCCGTCACGCTCGGCCGCATCGCGTTGTTTGACCCGCCGGACTATGCATTGCAAATATGTCTGGGTCTGGAAGGTTGGAACTTGTGATGCATGTTGCGGATCATACAAAAATCTGTGCTGCGTGACTTGCAAAAGGTGCGTACTTCTGGCCATGCTGCGAGGGCATTTCTCATGCAGAACAGGCATCACAAAGGGGCTGCGGATCCTGTGATGCTAGGCCCTGCATTCCAGACTTGGCGGAGCTTGGAAAAACTGCATGACAAATCTCAGCATGGCGGAGCTTGGAAAAACTGCATGGCGGAGCTTGGAAAAACTGCATTGCGTTGCTGGTCCTGTGCCAGTCGCGGGGCATGTTCGGGTGTTCCGGGCTGTGCTTTGTGCACCCCTCGGACCCCGCACCCCCCCGGGCTTAGTAGCGCAGTCTGTTAAGCATGACAAATCTCAGAATCTTCCAGACCCAGACATTTTTGCATTTGATACGGACGAGATTTGGCTGCAAACCCCGACGGTGCAGTGGAATCAGGAGTTGAAATTCGCGCACAACTACACCCTGGTGTCGGAGTTGTTCAAGAAGGGACTGCGGTACACGTGGAACGAGGAGACGGAATGCGGCAGAATTGGCCAACTGAAAATCGAGGTCGACGACTACCGGTCGCCAAAAACCGTCGGCATCGCGACCATCTGGCTGCCGCACTGCGTGGATTACGAGTTCAGGGAGAAGCAGGCGGTGGAAGGTAGTGCTGGCACTAGCAGCATGTACTCCTCTGCTAGTACAACGTCGAGTAGTTCCTCGTCCTACACTTCTGCGACAAACAAGAACGAAACGACGAAAACCCGCACGATGCGCGTGTTTGAGGACAATTTGGATATCAAAGAGCCGGCGGCGCGGTTGGCGAATTACGTGGAGGTGAAGGACCTGCAGGAGGAGTCGGTGTTTCTGAAGATGGAAGTCAAAGTGAAATACGGGAAGTGCCAGCTGTGGCCGGAGAAAATGCTGATCCAGGCGGACCGGGAGATTGCGCAGGTGGACACGCCGTGGGAGGATGAGCGGGGCTGCTTCACGGACGGCAGACCGGAGTCGATCAACAGTGTCCTGCAGCACATGCGGTACATTTCGCCGAAAAATTTCTTCGGCCAGGACGAGATCGAGCTGAAGATCTACCGCGACCCGGACTTCTATTTACCGGGGCGGGATTTTTCCATTCTCGAAGAGCCGTTGAACACCGAAATCTTGAACCCCACCGGGAATCAAGTGGAGCAGGTCCGGCAACAGTACATCGAGCAGAACGCGAAGAGATTGAAAATCCCCGTCGAAGTCGTTCCGGTGAATGACGCGCCGCGGCTCTCCTCCGACCGCACCTTTTACTCCGTTTTGGAGGACGGGCTACCGTTTCCGGTGGAGCAGATTTATTTGGAAGATGTCGACAGCAGGGAGGAGATCACGCTGTTTGTCTATTTAGACGACGGGGGCGTGTTTGAGCAGAGGATTTTGGTGTGCGGACCCGAGCTAGATCTGAACGCCACGAGTGGCACTGGTTTTGAGGGAGGTAATGACACGAACGACACGGCTGGGTCATCTTCGAGTAGGAGGCTGTCTTATCACAGTTCTTCATCTTCGGGTTCATCTAGTGCCATGTCTTCTTCTGGTTCCTCGTCTAGTGCTGGATCCTCTTCCACCTCCAGTTCTGGCGGAGGCGGCGGCTCTTCCTCCTCATCCTCGGGCTACGTCTCAGCCTCGAGCGGCTACAGCTACGAGTACATGGCGGAAAACAAAGTCAAAGGATTTTTGCAGATGTATCGAAAGGAAAAATCCCCCCTCCCCATATCAAAACGGAATTTCTAATGCTGGATTTGTGTACACAAATCAGGTTTGTATTGCAGAGAGGCACTGCGGCCGGATCCCCAGGCTAGGTAGGGGCGTATGGGTCTAGTTGTTCAGCACGGCAAGCGGGTCGCTTTTAGGCCCAACAGCATGACAAATCGCTTCCATAATGGGGCGAAAGCTTCTGCCCTTGTCTTCTTGCAAGACAAACATGATTTGTGACCTTAAATCAGCAACGCAAATTTTCGGCAACATACCTTTTCATCGATATGGGGTCGGGGGATTTTTCCTCTCAATAAGATGAACGCCGAGGAGAGAAACGTCGACGCCGTGTTGAAGCACCTCGCCCCTGTGAAAAACGGCGTGGAGCACTTGTATCCGAACGTTTCCGTGCAGTTGTTCGACCCCTTTGGATACCACTACGACAGCGACAGCAGTGCCGGACAGAACATTCTGAACGGGAACGACACGGGTTTACTGTTGAACGTCTCCTACCGGGTAAACTCCGTGCTCTACCCGAACAAGTACAGTGCGTGCTTTGAATCCTTCTACGGGCTAGCTCTGACGGGGTCTGTACAAGATATCCACAAGATTGTCAACCAGGACAAGAACTTGCGGATAAGAACCCAAATCGACTACGCGGACGCGTTATCAAATGCAAAAGTGTCTGGGTCTGGAAGGTTGCAACTTGTGATGCTGTTTTTGGATTCCAAAAAAATCTGTATTGCATGACCAGCAAGAGGCGTCCAGTTTGTGCTACGCGAGGACGGTATCTCTCATGCGGAATAGGCATCAGGAAGCCCTCTAAAAATCTGTGATGCTAGGGCATGCATTACAGACATCATGGGTCACGCAAAATGTGCATGACAAACATGGCGATCTTCCAGACCCAGACATTTTTACATTTGATACGCGTTCTTAGTGAAGTATTTCGCGGTAGACAACCTGAAAGACGCCAAGCCGGTCGAGACCCTAACTCCCGGCACCAACAGCTACGGCCAGGCGGTGATGAGCTACAGCCAGGCGGACAGCTCCAAAGATCCGAAAATGTCGAATGAGATCACCGCGCACGTGATTGTGCAAGAAGTGCCGGACGCGCCGAAGTTGTCAAACGTCTGCGAGTTCGACGCCTTGGAGGAATACGCGTTCCGGGAAGTGCAGAAACCGGAGTACAATGATTTGTTCCCCGCAAATTCGGCGCCGCACAACAGAACCCTGACACAAATCAACGTCGTTCGGGATTTGTTCGTCCGGAACGTCACCTTTGCCTACCGCGAGCAGGTGGATAATGGTGTTGTGGCCGCCCCTTCGCCCGAAGAAGTTTCAAATAACTCGTCAGCAGTATCTGCGTCTAGTACTTCCTTTACCAACGCCCTACTGATTCGCAACACGATGCAGCGGGTGAGTGTTGCAAACGCTCACCCGCACCCGTTTTTAGCTGATTCCGCATCTGCTTCTCTCGAAAGCACCCAGGGCGTTTTGTACGTGGAGAAGATCCGAAACCGCTACTACGTGCACAACGCGACCTTGTCCTCGGAACCCTTCCTCGGCTTGGTTCGACGCGGCGGCTGCACGCAGATCCGGCACTGCGTGATCCTGGAGCCGTCCAACGAGTGGGAAAGCTACGACTCCACCGTGGTCGCGTACCTGAAGGTCAAAGACGATTACTGGTCGAAATTTTTGGAGCAGACATTGAACTGCACCTTGTTCACGTCCGCCTTGCAAAACGACACGACGAGCCTGAAACTGCTGCAAGCGCAGACGGCGGCGGACGTGGTGTTGCCCGAAGAATGTAAGAATTCGAACGCGACCGGTTCTGGGACTTCATCGACGAACAGCACTGGCAGCGCGACTGCTGGAATAATTGATGACGACGACTCCTCAAATTCTACTGCGGTGGTTGACCCGGGCATTTCGACCATCCCTAATCCAGAGCGACTTTTTCAGTTCATGCACGGCTGGTCTTTATCCGTGGAGGACGCGAATGTCGAGCTTCGCGGGGAGAAGACCGACCGGCTGTACGTCATCGGAGAGCTGGCTTCCGTCAGTAAGGCGCTCAAGGGCGGGATTTATCTGGAGTCGGCGAGAACGATTTGGGACGACAAGGGGGCGTTGAAGACGCTGGATTTTTTTGTCGACATCGAGGTCAAATCCCTCGGCAGGCTTTTCGACCCAGATTCCGACCCGGTCAAGCTGTTCCACGAGGAGACGGACATCGAGTCGATGTCGGAGGATAGGGAACGGTGGTACTACCCGTCCGAAATGACGGAAATTTTCGGCGACATTTATTCCGGGGACGCGTTCTACCAGGAGTACCACGGGCCGGTGTTGCTGGGGATGACCCCGACGTGGACGATTCACGACCCGGCGTTCGTCACGCCCTACCAGAAATTGAGCACAGGTGCTGGTGCTACTGAGGACGAAGATGACTTGGCGATTCTCGTGCCGCAGAGTAGTGGTGGAGGAACTACCTCAAATTTGACTAACGGCACCAACGGAACGAATTCGTCGAGTACCTCAACATCGACAGGAGTCAACAACTCCTCTGCAACGACCGAAAATAACGACACAAACAGCACAAATGCTTCTTTCTCCTTCCCGGTCCCACCACCTCGTTTTTACGACCAGACGCTGAATCGCTTCCCTTCCGTCCAGCGGTCGTTGAAAGTCCAGTTTCGCCGCATCAACACGCCGCCGATCATCGAGACGAGCGGCGAGTCGGTCTTCTTCGAGACCACAAATCTCGACGAGTTCACCATCCCCAAGTCCGCCCAGATTCAGATCAAGGACCCGGATGTCGGCGCGCCGAAGGATTTGCAGCAGTTGCTTGCCGAGGACAGCATCAATTTCGTGCCCTCGGTGATCTCGCAAGCGACCGTGTTTCAGCCGGCGAAGGCGGCTTTGGTGCCCAAGCACGTGTTATGCATTGCAAAAATGTCTGGGTCTGGAAGGATGGAACTTGTCATCGTAAATCTGAAGCATGCAGAAATCTGTGTTGCATGAGTGCCGAATGCTGTCCACTTTTGACCAAATTGGAACGGAGTTTCTCATGCAGAATAGGCATGGCAGAGACCTCGCAGAGTCTGTCATCCTAAGTCCCACATTCCAGACCACATGGGTCATGGAAAATCTGCATGACAAGCCTACACTCTTCCAGACCCAGACATTTTTACAGTTGATACGTGTACGACGTGCACGTCCGGATTGAGTCGCCGATTTTGCAAAACGTTTCCTTCGCGAACGAGTTTTTTCCCGTCGAATCCGAGGGCACGAAGGAATTTGTCGTTTCCGCGGCGGAAGCGAACAAGAACTTGCAAGACACGCTGAAGGTGTACTTCCCGTCGCAGTACTGGTACGGAACCGCACCGATCACATTGAAGGTGAGCGACTTGGGCAACGCGGGGTACGACGCGTTTCCGCCCCTACCGCCGGAGCACACGGCCTTCGAGTTCTATTCCGTGCAGGGATGTGTGCACGTGGACGCGGTAGACAACAGCGGCGGGGAGCTGGCGGTTTTGCGGGAGGGCGTTGAAGATTCCGACGCTTCTGCGACGAACAGCACAACATCAGCAGATTCCTCATCACTGAACAACCAAACCGCGTACGAAAAAGTTTCCATCGCGAAAATCCCGCCCTCGGCCGAGCACAGCAGCCGCTGGTGGGACAGCTTGTTTTCCAAGTCCTACACGATCGAGTTCTACGTGAAGTACGACGGGACAGAGAAGGTTTTGTTCTCGACGAACAGGGATCTACCGCTGTTGGAAGCGCAAAAAGACTACGATCCGTTCGCGAACTACAGCAGTGACGCGGTGAGTAACGAGACAACCGCGTTGACGCCCGGGAGCAAGCAGGAAGTGGACATCGAAAACCCGAAGGATTTTTCCACGTTTGCGTACGACCTGGATTTCGCGGACACGCCCGGCGGCATCAATCTGTACGCGGAGAATCCGGATGTGCCGAGCTGCCCGGTCGTGGAGGATTTCCCGCTGATCGACTTGCAGAACTTGACAGTCTATCAAATGCGAATTTGTCTGGGCGTCGAAGAATGCGAGACTTGTCATGCATGCTCTGCGTGACCCATGATTTCTGTGATGTATGCTCTAGCATCACAGATTTTGTGATGGCTTCCTGATGCCCATGCCTATACTGCATGAGAAGTGCCCCCTCCGCGTAGCAAAAACTGCGCCCCTCTTGGTGCTGACCCAATACAAGTTTCTGTAGAATCCACAGCCAGCATCACAAGTTTCACTCTTCCAGATCCAGACATATTTGCAATGGATACAGTCACCACCAGCCAGTACTCGGAGAAAAACGCCAGCAGCTTCGCGATTGACTCGGATTACTCCACCTGCTCCGCGACCGACGACTCGGGGTTCGCGGCGGGTAGCCACTGGTGGCGGATCCGGTTCACGAATCAGCAGATCAGGTTGCGGAGGTACCGGGTGTACCTGCCGTCTGGGAGTCGCTTTATGACGACGGAAGAGAAGGAAAACATTCTCCTCACCGTCGACGTCGCGGGCACGGGCCAGACGCACCACGCGCTGCCGAAGGGGAAATTACTGACTGACGAAGCAACCGGGTCGGAGTTCGTCGAGGGTGAGGTCGATATCGCGGTGAAGGAGCTGCGGGTCTGGAACTCGGCGGCCAACGGGAACAAAATGATCGGAATTTGCGAGCTCCAGCTGTTCGGGGATTCGTCGAAGTACACGCCCCAGGTTTTCGCCCGGGTGGATGCGCAGAGCGACGCCTTTGCCTTCAACGGCGACGCTTTTGCGGTGGTGAACGACAGCAACAGCAGTTCGATCGCGAACACGCAAACGGGCACGTACGGGACCGGGATGCTGATGCGGTCCAGGTACCGGAATAAGGGGCACCTGGCTGGAATTAGGGTTGCGATGGACGCGACAAACTACTATGATTTTTTTCTCCCAAAGGACAAACAGCATCTGTCTTTGGAGGAATTGATAGGAACTAGCGAAGAGGAAGTGGAAAGAATGGTGTTGAACGACCAGAATGTAGTATCAACTGACACTCTACATTCAGCGACCTACGCGGATAGCATTACCACGTGTCAAAACGTCGCGAACTTGGCGAAGGTGGAAGCCGCTCTCGCGTCGGAAAACGGTATTTACGACGTACCATCAAGCAGCGCGGGTGACAGCCGGGTAGCGAACTTGGTCGGTCCGGACAGTGGTCTGGTGCGGAATAGCACCATGACCGGCTTCGGTTTCCCCTTCGCGGGAGAAGGGACAGACGATTCCGACACGCGGGAGAGGAGTAGATGTAGCAACGTCGGGAAGCTGCTTTTCAACTTGAAGGTCTCCAGCGAGCACGGCGGGTTTTTGCTGGGGAACAGTTCTTTGCCGCTCTCGGTGGAAAGATACAATCGGGAGAACGCGATGATCTTAGCGCGGCTCGGCGTTCTCCACGACTTCTCCTCTTCCTGCTGCACGCAACCCATGAACGTGATTGGTGTGGGTGTGGAAAGTTCTCCCAGCGCAAACATGCCGGACGACTCGACGGGACCCTCAGGGGCTGGGAACTCCGGGGTTTTGGAGTCCTTCCAAATTGAACCGTTGTCTGGTGGGGTGAATAGCTCGTTTTCTTCCTCGGGCTCCGCAGGAGCCGCTAGTACAACTACACCTTTCAAGTTCCGGCAGTTGCAGGGGTTTATGCTCTACAGGCTGACGTATCAGACCACAACCACGTCGACCACGACACGTAGGCCACTCCCGTCGTATTGCCTAAAAGGGGCCACGACGTCTACCACGGCAGGCGCATCGAGTACAACACCCAAAACCCCCGACGAAATTCGGCACTCGCGCGGCTCGTCCGACTCCACGGTGGGAAAGTTTCGCGAGTACCAATTTGACTCGGACGCGACACTGCAGGTGGATAAGTCCGGGCGTTTGTTTATCCTAAGCAAAAACGTCCCCACCCCATAGTCAAGTTGGGAATCTAGCAACACAAATCTCCAAGTTTTGGGACCTGTGCATCACAGGTTTCCCTCTGCAGCGTAGTGCTGATTGGCAAGATAAGCCGCATGAGTAAGCCATTTTCACATCCTGTTTACAGCATTACAAATTCCAAAACACGACTGGAAATTCCTCTCATGGAGCTGCGCATTACAAATGTTCCTGTCATTGCACATTTGCATAACAACTCTGGTGTGGGGACGTTTTTACTCAGGATACTGTTCTACCAAATCGCGCGGTCGAATCTGCCGATTCAGTACTGGGCCAGATCTATCCCACAGAAAAAAGCTGGCAGGGCATATTTGTAATGCAAAAATAAACACACAGAAAAATCTGTCATGGGCGGCCTCATAGCATGCAATGCAAAAAAAATTTTTTGTCTATTTATATTTGCATTACAAATAAATATGACCTGCCAGTTTTTTTCTGTGTGATAAGATCCGGGCTAACGGCAACGAACACACTGGAGGTCGGCCGGTGGTCGCACATCGCGCTGGTGCACACGAGAAACGAGGGCCAGCCGTGGCAGAAGAACACCGCGGCGATCTTCGTGGACGGCAACGAAATTGTCCGGTTCCCGCTCTGGAACATCTACTCGCCGTTGGACAAGAAAGCTACTGGATTACACTTCTGCGGCTATCGGTTTACGCAGATGAAGGTGTGGACGCAGGCGACGCCGAAGGGGGATTTAGGAGTTTGCACCAACCGACACAAAACTCTTTCCGTCACGCAGAACGCGGACTACCGCTACCGGAATTTGAAGCTCGATTTGTCTTTAGAGGATCGGTTTTACTACAATCAGGATCTGATGAACGACGACAAATTTTCCCTCGCCATTGCCGGCCGCTGGCGCGCGGACGGGCCGTCCAGGTGCCGGTACGATCGGTCGATGTTGACGTACTGCTTGTGCTACCACGGGACGCTGTCCAATTCGATCCTGAAGCAGCACAGCAACGCGAACGTCGACCGCGAAAAATTCCCGGACGTGGATGTGGTCAGCGACATCACCCGGAAGTACTACTACCGCAGCCGACAAGCCTTGAAATCACCAGGCGAGGACGCGAACTCCGCCGACCACGTTCTGCCCGAGATGTCGGTCCGGATTTCCCACGCGGCGGTGCAAAAAGCGGAGCAGGAGCTCTCCGTGTTCCGGCCGTACTCCGCGGTGGACACGAAACCGACACTGATCATGCGGGGCGCGGGCAGAAACGAACTGGACTGGAAGTTCCACAAAACGAACATCACGACGGTCGCAACAACGTCGAGCCAAAACACAACACTTTCCCCCTCGGAGAACACTGACCTGGAGATCGCGACGGGCTACCAGGTTGGCGAGGACGGCGCGATGACGGTGGACCTGCACATCGAAGATTTCGAGCGGTGGGACATGAGCTACTTTTCGCACCGCGTGGAAGTTGCGGTCACTTGCGATCACTGCTTCTTGCGTTCCCTGTCGCAAACGTCCGGGCTGCGGATGGAGGTCAGGGACGACACCGCCGCCAACAGCACGACCAAGCCGTTCGACGAACTTTCCGCGAAACTGGCCCTGGACCCGACTACGCCGCCGCTGTTGGAGAACCAGATGCGGAAGAAGTTTTTCTACGTCGCGGCGCCGCTGAAGTATTTGAACGAATTCTTGTCCCGCCTGGAGTACAAGCCGGACCGCAACTTCTTCGGCGTGGACCCGGTTTTGGTGCAGGCGAAAGACCCGACCGGGAAACTGTCGAATCGGATAGACATTCTGATCGACGTACAGCCGGTGCCCGACATCCCCGCGCTGATCTGTCCGCCGAGTCTGGAGCTAGACGAGAACGACTTCGACGACAACCCAGGCTTTGACAAATTGTTCCTCCGGGACAACGACGTGCCGGAGGGCGAATCGGATGACAACTATCAAAAGGAAAAACCCCCCCTCCCCATATCGAAAAGGTATGCTTCCGAAAATTTGTGTTGCTGATTTCAGACCACAAATCAAGTCTGTCTTGCAAGAAGACAAGCGCAGAAGCTTCCGCGCCATTATGGAAGCGATTTGGCATGCGGTTGGGCCTAGGGGAGAGCCGTTTTCAATGCTAAACAGCTAGACCCAAACGCCTCTACCTAGGCTGAGGATCTAGCTGCGATGCCGTATTGCAAGACAGCGCGCATTTGTGTACAGAAAACCAGCATCAGAAACTTTCTCTCGATATGGGGAGGGGGGATTTTTCCTCACAATAGCAACGTGGTCTATTCCTTCACTGCGCAAGTCAGTGAGGGGTTCATTCGGTACAATTCGAGTCTCGCGTTTATGGCGTTCTCAAATGTTACATTCTCAACTGCTACATAAATTTGTGATGCAAGAACGGCAAAAATGAAAGGGGGAAGATTGCGCCTTTCGCATTACAGATTTGGCACAGATTCAGATGCTGTTTAGTCCTTCGTAGATTTGCCATGCGAAGCAGCTTAATCGCGGCGATCTTGCTGGTAAATTTGCATGACAAATCATGTAACAGTTGAGAATGTAACGTTTGAGAGTTCCATAGCGTTCCCGGAAATTCTGTCAACCGGTGGTGCTTCCAGTGCGGTAGAAACGATGCGGGTAGCCAACGACTCGGTGGTGGTGGAGCAGAACAAGCTGACCACAATCAACCGGCTCGCCGACATACGACAGGTAGAGGAATAGTGATTTTTATTCTACTTTCTTGATTAATATACCATACGCATGACCATGATGAGTTTTGATCCCCATGTAATTTCAATCATCATGCGCTCCCAGCCACTCTCGCTCGCAGTCGTTGAGTCTCTGCTCTCCCACTTTTTGTTTTGGGGTTCGGAGAATTTAGATCTGCTATAGGAAAAGATGGCATTTGTCTGTCGAGTGTGCCCTTGTCATGTACTATGGGTTGGCATTCGCCCTGGAAATGCCAGATACTTACTGCTCGAATTACGAGAATCAGCGCGAATGCATTTCCTGCACGCGTGCGAAAAGCGATCATTCCGACGGCCATTAACTTCAGGGTCCTGTCGATGGTTGATCACTGAGGATCGTTCCTGCGCAGATGTTGAGTCTCCGTGCTGCTTTTTCAGTGTAGCACGGAGAATTTAATTCTGCTAGAGAAAAAATGGTCTTTGTCTGTCGGTCCAGTGCGTTCCAAAAATCGCTGTGGCCGCCCTGGATGATCCAAACAATTTTATTTCCCACTCGTTCTTGTGTTTGTCTTGTTGTCAGTTTTCTTGCATGTGCATCTACAATAAAATCTTTGGCGATGAACCAAAATCGATTGACCACACCAAGACCAAACCACTTCTACAGATTCTGAAGGGTATGACCTACGAGGCATCCTCCAGCACCTTCCACGGTGTCGTGCTAGCAACCTTCAATGCCCAGAACGTGGCGCCGAACAGTTTGGCAATGGAGTGCAGTGCGGGCCTCCTCGTTCACCCGGTGAACACCGCGCCGACGGTTAGCTACACAGGACCGCTGACGGTCTCGAGGAAGACGAAATTGGGCTTGGGAATCAGCATTGCAGGTTTGATGTTCATCTTTTCGTATTCATGATGATCTTGCACGCAGTCGCAGTTGATTCGTGACCTTGTCAACAGCGAGTTCTATTTTCTAGATTGGTTTTCGCACCAAAACTGCATGCGAAATGACATCGACAACACATCAGGTCTGCGATTCGACGACGTCGACTTTACTTCGGACCGGTTCAGCGACCGTCTCGGCGCCGTGCGGGTGGACCTGTCGGTCGGCGGTTTCCCGGCCGCCTGCAGCCCCACGCTCTCCCTGGCGGACGACAATTTCGACCGCATTCTGGGCATCCCCACGGAGAACATCGGGAGCACGGAAGGTCTGTCGTTCCTGGTCGGCAACGGGTGGAACGATGCGGTGCTGTCCATGGAGGGTTCGCTGCCGTACATGAACCGGCAGGTCGGGCGGCGGCTGCTGCTCGACGCGGGAGCCGCGAACGGCAACGGGAATTCTAACGACTTGTACAACCAGCAAAGCACAATTCCCTGCACCACGGCCTTTTTGAACGTGACCGTCAACGACAAAGGCAACTTCGGCAAGGGCGCGCCGTTGGAGGCAAGTCTGTCGCTGCTGTTCACTATCGTGGCGTAAGGGATGGGGGGATAGGATTTTGGAAGAAAGTGGAGGAGAACATCATGCATTCAATTTTCGGGCGGATGCAGGAAGACGTCCGATAACCCGTCCACAAGGCTTCATGCCGAGGCGGAACAAGCTAGGAATTTGATCAGAACCACACGCACAAGCAAGCCAAAGGAAATATTCAATATGACAATTACCAGATCCAGGAGCAGTATGGGAAATACTTATCACGTTAGCAGTAGCACCAAAATCGAACTATGTATTGTTTCTAACTACGTAGCAGCTGCTAGCATAGCTAGCAGACCGATCCCAGCAATTGGTGAGGACTTTTATGTTTGTTTCGAGAAATCTTTACGTCGTGCCACAGCGGTATGTTTTGCTTTACTTTTTTTGTCGTTCAGGTTGTGAATTAGTACTTTGTTCAAAACTAAATACCATCTTGGTCCTTGTCCCTTCAGTTTCGATTTTGCTGGACAAGAAAATTCCTGTAAATCACTTTGGATATAAACTTACAAAGAACATGCATTACTTCGAAAAGAAGCGTACGCTTAGAAGACCTAGGCCGTTGTGGCGAGATACATCTTGTCGATAAGTAGAAGACTGAATTCGTGACATTCGATTTTTACTCAATACGAAATTCCGCCTATAGCCCAAAATTTAAAGATTTAATTAGTTCAACAGGGGATCGGAAATTTTCTGGTCCCATCCACAAGGTATCGATGGTTTTTTTCATTTGGTTTCAGGTACCCAGCCACAATGTTACTGCTCATGTAGCTCTGTTCATCTTTTGTCGTAACTGGGCGCCGTGCAGGGCGTGGAGCACTGCCGGGCGTCGACTTCGCGTTCGCTCCAGGAAGGTTAAATTGGTCATCCTTGCGTAGAGCCGCAGCCGCACGATGCGTTTCTCGTCTCTGTGTTACACAGATTAGACGCACTGCAAGTAAAAAATGTACAAGAATAGAAAGCGGCTAAAAATGCAGCCTCACGGGGCACGACGGGACGGCATAGTGGAGCCGATTTCATGGGTGATGTGTTGAGAAGCCTCGTTCCAGTTGGCGATGCTACGCGACTGAGCCTGCTCTGCCGCAGACTATTGACAAATAAGTAGAACTGCGAACGTTCTCTCTCTCGCGCCCACTCCGGCCACGGCATGCACGAGTGATTGTGACTTGGTGGGGGATTTTGCTTATTTCAGAGTGAAAAGGGATAGGGATACGGAAGACGGTTGAGCGATAATTGAAGCTTCAATTAACCTAAAGTGAGGACGAGAACGTCGGTGAAGAACGCGGACACCGGAGTGCAGGCTTCAGTCGATGAGCGCGTGCACGACACGAGCGAGTAGGTGCACGACCTAAGTAAAAGCTGTTCGTCCTGCTCCTGGTAGTCGATGCAAAAATACTAGTACAACCCGGTACTACATGAAAGATTTTTTACGTTGAACACCAGCAGAGACATGAAAGCACGCGGCCGTTGCGCGCTTCTTTGCACCGGAACAAAGGATTTGTAAAAGCCCGTGGCTAGTGCAACGCGAGTACGACGGACTGTGACCTCCGCTCGGTGCGTTAGTTGTCACGCGTGCTGCCGAACGCCGGAACGTGAGGGAGGCGAAGCAGCGCCGCGCTTCGTCCGGCGCAGAGTTTTCACTTCGTTGCTCACGCTGCTGTGAAGATCGTTAGAAGGACTGCTAGGAGCACAGGAAAGTAGTTTCGAGGAGACCTGAAGATCCTGCCGGAGCTCCTCTGGGTTTATTTCAGAAGCTACAACTACCTCGACCTCCCACGACCTTGCCTAGTGCGTACGAATCACCATCTCCACCGCCATCATGACGCACCAGGGTATGGAGTACTGCCCACTGAAGGGCTCGGTCCCCCCGATCCGTCCGGGCGCAAAACTGTTGGGCAACGATCCGTACTACCTGGTTAGCCCTACTTCGTTCGCCGTGGGCACCGTGAAGCAGGACGCGGTCAAGTGGCGCAACGTCGCGTTTGACGGGGGCGAGCCGCCCGCGCGAGTGTCTTTTGTTCCGTTTCTCGTGCACATCGACAACCGGCCCTTCGTGTTCGTTTTCGGAGGGCAGCTGGTGGAGGAGGTGGTGCCGACCCTGAAAGACGACAACGACGGCGGCGAGTTTGGCGGCTTGCAGCGCGGAAAGAAGAAAAAGGAGGAGCCACCGAAGCTGCGGTTCACGCCCAGCACGAAAATGTACTGCTGTGACGTGGAACAGCGCGCGTGGAGGTCCGTGCGCATGAAGGACCCCACGCCCGCACCCAGGGCCTTCGCGACGGCCGCAGTCATGGAAAGGAGTAAGCAGTGTACGGGTTGTAGTTCAAAAGTTCTTTTCGATGTGGTTCTAGTTCATCTACATCGAATAAGTTTTTGATTGCTTGGTACTATCATAAACGTGTGAAGACGAGGGGAAGAAATAATCATCTCTCATCTTCTGCTTTATTGACACCCCAAGGGTTCTTCTGCTTTTCTGTTCCACAGGTCAGTGCGCCGTGATCGCGTTTGGGCAGGGGTTGCCGGAGAACCTGAAGCTGGCGGACAGCTGGGTGTTCGACTACTCGAAGGCTACCATCTCCTTTCCAGACATCGAGAACTGCTTTTGGCGCAAGATCTACACCGAGCAGCACGCGTATGACGAGCCGCAGCCCGGGCCGCGGCTGCAGCCCGCGAGCATGTTTCTCCCCACGCCGAAGGGGGACGCCGAGGAGATGCTGATCTTCGGCGGGCAGGTGGGCGATGTCGGGGCGAACAGCGACGCCGTCTGCGACGACATGTGGAAACTTGATATCAAGCAGGAAAAGTGGGTACCGGTGAAATACGCCGGCTATTACCCGGGTGCGAGGAGGGACGCCTACTTTGTGCAGGCCAGCCCGACGGAGGTGCTTTTCGTCGGCGGTAGCGCGGAGTTGCTCGCGCCAAACGCCAGTTCCGACGTCGTGGGCAACATCAGCTCACCACCTCCGAGTCCAAAAAGCGGCACGGTTGCGGGGAACCAGGTTGGTCTTGTTTTCGGCTTTTCTTGGACAGCGTCGTGCAAAAGTTTTTTGTCCTTTTTACGGATGGAAACAAGAATAAGTACCCATCGTTGTGCAAGTTTCACGTAAGGCGCAAAATAACAAGCGTATTCATCAATTTTTCATACCACAGTCGACCCAGTTTTCCAGCAATCTAGGGGCAGCAGTCGCGATAGACCAGTGTCTGGAGACGTTAGTGTTCGACACGGAGCTCGCAATTTTCACCCGGCCGGCCATCGGCTTCCTCCCGAAGAACGTGCCCGGGAAGGCTTTGTTTCTGGGTAACAAGCTGCCGTGTCTCTTTATGAGCAAGAAGACGAAACACGGGTACATCCAGTATCCCGCCCCGAAAAAACCGCCACCAAAACGGGAGGAGCCGACCGAGGAACTGACGCGCAACGACGCGGAGAGGATGCTTTTCAGAACGCGAAAGGAAATGGACGAATTAGAAAATGAGCTTCAGGTGGGTTACTTAAGTAGTACAGTTCCTTAGTATAATTTCCACGCGACGTCGCGTCCGTGTGAACAGCCAAGCGGGCCTTCTTGCTGCGGTTCCAATTTGGTTTTTGATGTATGCGAAGAAGCAATCAGACTCTCGCTCGCTGCTGCGATAGCAAAACTATGCGTTTTTTGATTTCTTGATATGATCCCTATGGATATCGATATATCAGGCCGTCTGCAAGGAGCGTCTGGACTTGCGGGCGCAGATTGAAGAGCTGCAGGCCGACGAGCAGCAGGAGGGAAAAATGGAGGCCAACGATATGCATTGCAAACAGGTACCGCAGTCGTACAAGGTGCAGCTGTGGTGCATGACAGAAAGGCTTGTTAACCCAACTCAGGCTCAGCATCACGAAAGCAACGCTTTCTTCTGAAAAGATTTGTGATGCGATTTTACAACTGCGATACGATACCTTTTACGATTTGCATAACCGAGGCCTACAAGCAAATCGAGGAGTTGCGGCAAAAATTGCAGAAGGAGGAAGACCTGGAAACCGAGATCTTGCACTGGATCAAGGAGGAAACTACGTGGCGAAGGAATTTCAGCTACCTGAACCGGCAACTGAAAAACCTGATTGCCACTGCGGAAGCAAAGTACTTCAGCGAGCAACTGCTCGAAACCGCCGTGGAGAACGGTCTGGATTCCCTTCCCAGTCCGCAGGAGCCGCAAAGTAAGCTGGCCAAGAAAAAGTCCATGAGCGCGGAGCATTTGGCCGAAAACAAAATGAACGACTTCGAGAAGGACACGGAGGTCGCCTACAAAACGCACGCGGAGCAGATACAAATGCTGCGGGAACTGCTGAAAACCTGTCCCGAGTACCGCGAACTGCTGCAGCTGTCGAAAATCCGGGCGCAGCAGAAAAAAACCCGAAAGTCGGTGATTGACAAGCAGATGCCGCCCGAGTTTCTGGCGCAGATCAGCGGCGCGGGCGGGGGCAACGCGAGCAGTGCCGCGAGTCGGAAGAACAGCAGCGCGAGCGGCGGAGGTGCGGGCAGCGTGTCGTCCAGGAAAAACTCGACCGGATCCGCGGGGTAAGGGTCCTCGTCGTTAGTATTCGGATTTCCATGGAGAAGAAGAAATGCACACATATATGATCCGCTGAAGTGTTAAAGTAGAGTGTTTCTGCAGCTGAAACAACTGCTAGCGGACGTTGACGATCCACAAGCTGCTGGAAACACGCATCAATGGAACATCCTGACGGTGAGTGTTGAGCCTTGCACTGCCAGTCAGTGAGTGAGTCCCTGGACAAGAAGTCGAACGCAAAGTGTTCTCAAAGAAAAAAGATAAAAGAAATTTATTAAAATATTTTGACATGGATGGCCGGCGTGGACGTTCTCTGTGAAGTTAGTTTTGAAATTGTGCCAAATCGAAAACTTTCAAGTTCCAAAGCAGCAGATCAAGTACCTGATAGGCGTGATATTTATATTCGACGCTTCATCTACATCGCCGCTCTCAGTACAGTTCCCTCCAACACCAGATCCGCTTTTCTTTTGATCTGCACGGACGCTCGTCCATGCCCCATTTGATTGGTCCAAAAGTAGATCTGCTTTTTAGATCGCTCCTGATCATCTTCTAGCGATCTTCTAGCAAAAATAGCACAAGCACTTACCATGTAATTATGCAACAATACGAGTAGCTTACGCTTACCCGGGACCTCCTACACAGCGACAATTTTTACCAGTGAAGCTCAGAATAACGTTGATGTAAAAGGAAAAGCTAGATTTATCATTTTCATTAAGCGTTCACATCGATCGCAATTTTCATTTCTTGATCCAGCAACTTACTACCGAAGACATTAGAAAACAAAATGACGGCAGTTCTCTCCGGCTCGACGATTGACTCGGAACAGGAGGCTATCAAAGTTTCCCTGGACCAGTTTTTCAAGGATACGCTGTCATTCACCACCGAGTTCTACACCGGGACGGGTGAGGAGTCCGAGCCGCTGCTGAAGCTCGTTTTCGATTTCTGTAACGAGAAAGAGGCAAAGGTCGTTCCTCTGGGCGGCGGAATCTGCAGGATCACGAAAAAAGGCGCGCCAGAGCAGCAGGAGGCAGGCGGCGCTCCTGGGGAAGACGATTCCGATGAGGAGTAAAGATAGGGTACGAAGATCATGTTCTTGTTTCACTAGAACGAGGGGTCTCGGTGAGGACGACCCTGTGCGACTACACGAGCAAGAACTACTATTGGAATTCTCTGTTGATGACAATTATTGACGAGAAAGTAAATGGCTTGCGCTTGCGCCGTTTATCTGACCACGCGACTAAACGGACGACACTGCTCGTAGCTTGGAATCCATCGTGTAGCTGTTGCTACTTCAATCGCAGTATTTTTTGACGCGATTTCGTCTCGTCCGCAGAAGAATACCAACTGCGGATGATCATGCAGGTGTTCAACTTCAAGCTCAGGGTGTTTGTATCAGAGACTGGCTGTGGTCTATGGTTTCGGTCGTGAGCACCACTACTCTTGCGCCGGGTCTATGATATCGTGCGTTCCCTCCTGGCGACTGGCTCGCTGTGCACTTGTTTTAGTTTTTTGCGCTGTATCCAGTTCTCTGTTCCCAGTCTATTAATCGATTTTGGTAGGTGATTGGTTCGTTCCTTTGCATAGATTCTATAAATATCCCTCAGAACCGTTTTCAAAATCCCACCTGTTGGCAGCGAGGCCGCACTCGGACAGCCACGCGTATTTGTTGTTTCTACCTGAACGCGTGTATCTCTCACTCCGATATTACTGCTTGCTATCTGCTTCAAAACCACTACCCAAACGAACCATGGCGACCGGTCCTTCCGCTAAGGCTCCTCTGGAGACCCCTCTGCTTCAATCCTCGGCCCAATCCAAAGCGGAGAAGGGGCCGACACTTATCTTCGATGGGGTCTGCAATTTGTGCAACGGCGCCATGCATTGGTACTTTGACCGATTACCCCCGGACAACGTGGAAAAGGTAAACTTCATGTGGCTGCAGCACCCGGTTACGCAGGAGGTTCTGGACAAATTTGAAATCACCAACATCCAGGATTCGTGGGCCTACTTTGAGGACGGAGAGGTGAGCAGGGGGAGCACAGCATGGCTAAAGGTACCTACTACGTCGTTCTGACGAACCTTTTCCTTTTGCGGTTGCGCAGAATTTTTGCGCGGTCGTATTTTGTTTACCAAAGCACATAAGACAATCCTGTCCTGCTTTTCGCACATCGCAATCAACCGCAACATCTCATTCCAATGCCTCTGCAGGCGCTCCGCTTTCTGAAAGCGCCGTGGTGGATACTTTCCTACCTTCTCATCTTTCCGGAGTGCCTGCGCGAACCTTTCTACAATCTGGTGGCGCGGAACCGTTATCGACTATTCGGGAAGGGTGACGTGTGCAAGCGACCAGCCGTGGCGCTGAAAAAGAGGTTTCTGCATGACACGGTGCCGCCCGCTGCGGTAAAAAACGAATAGGATGCTGAATTCTTAGCAGTGGCACGACAACGCATGGAATGGTACTGTAGCAATCCTCGTCCTCGTCGCGCGGCGAGCTGTAGTTACAACGAATAGAATGCGTCCAGGAGTATATCGCAGACCGGATGCAATATGACTCGTTGTTGATTCTGGCGCTGTATAATTTGCTCTCTACGCAAGTTTAGCTCGACACGCAGCAGCGCAGCTGAGAAATTTTATGTCCGTGTTAAGCAATGACAGAGTCATAGAGTTGGAAATCATTCATTGCCTCAACGAACTGTACTAGCAATCTTGACGATGATGTTTGAACAATGGCCGTGCAGTTTTCCAGTATTTCTTTCTTTTACTTTTCCCCGGTGTCTCGGATCAAGTTCGGTCTCTGTGGTTGTAGTACGTGTGCTCTCCGATTCCGGTGTTATTGATTTCTGACCCCGTCGTGATTTCATAGGAAGGCATTTTTTTTCGACATGTCGTGACGTCGTCTACGTTCTTCTTGTTCTCCCGATAGTGGTCCCTTTGTCGAAAACGAAAAGTAGTATCACTCTTGTCAAATTGTGTCGTTGTCGGTCTCAGCCAAATTATCTCGCCTTTGCATAGGAAGAAAGAGGAAATGAGAAGTAGTGCGAAATTGAAATTCCACGACATCGCGCCTCGTCCTTGTGCAAAAATTGGTATTATGTAAGGTCTACCGATTCTACTCCCACTGTTCAATTGCTTCGATAAGCGCTTTAGCCGCATAGAAAAAGTAACGACTCAAATATATTTTGCAAGAAAATGCGCAGTCCTCTAACGGTGCTCAATGCAAGAGCCACAACTACGTCGTCCTCGTCGTCTTTCAGTGGCTGTATAGCAGGGTGGTGTCGCGCAACTGGCCGCGGAGCATCATCAACTCCGTCGAGCTCGAGCAGCCGTCGTCTGTGCACCGCGGCGCGAGAGCTCCTATCCGCGTCAGCTTCCTCCTCTTCAGGTGCGGGCAGGAGTAGACCTGATTCCGATTCAGCAGAGCAGCAAAAAGCGCAACTCCCACGGAATATCCTGCGCGCGGCGAGGCTGCAATTGGAACACAGTGGACGCTGTAGGTCGACGGGGTCGGCCGGCAAAGTGAATCAGGATTGGCAAGAGTTTGGGGATGCGCTATTGGATCTAGGAACGTCAGAGGCAGCTTCAAACGCGAACTCATCTTTCAATTCTCCCTTCAATTCGGCGTTCCTCACCACAAAGTCCGGCATCACGAACCTGCAGAAACTCTGCCGTCTCCTCGCCTTCGACGCCAATTTTCGGAGTTTCGCTTTTTGGCCCTTGTTCTCGGCCAGAATAGCGGGCATCTACGATCCCGAGGACGAGGCGGCGCGGGAAACCGCGAGGGAAGCGGCTGGCGGTAGTAGTGGACCTCTCAGTGGGGAGGATCACCACGACACAGATCAAGCCAGGCGAAGCGCCGACAATGATTTCGACGAGAACTACGATGATGAAGATGATGACATTTATGGCGACGAAGGTGATGATATTGATGCCATCCAAGAGTCTTTCACGGGCCAAGCGTTGCCGCTGGAGGACGTGTTGATCATTTGTGAGTGCTATGCCCAAGTGAACCACCAGTGCAAGCACGCTTTCACGGCCTTGGTGAAACAGAGCTTGCGACGGCTCCGCGAGGATCTGCCGCTGACTTCGAGTCCGTATGATGATAGTACTAGTGCTGAAACTGAAACATCAGGACGACAAGAAGAAGTACCAGATCTTCACCCCACGACACGAAAAACGGTTCTCTCCGCCGAAGAAATTGCAAACTTACCGACGAGACTGCAGCGCCGGCAGGCGGAGCTCGAGAACAAGAGGATCCGGGAGGAGGAGGCGCGCCTGGAGAGGACGAAAGTGCTCTTCCACCGCGTGATGAAAGTGTTCGCGAAGGTATCAAATGTAAAAATGTCTGGGTCTAGATCTAGAACAATTCATGTTTGTCATGCTTGTCTGGCATGACTCTGAAATCTGTCATGCAAGTTACCCAAGAGCTTCGTTTTTCTGTGATGCAGAAGCGCAGTTTGTCATGCAGAATAGGCAACACCTAGGAGCTCAGAAGCTTGTCATGCTGAGCCAGCATTTGTAGCCTCATCATGAGACGCCACCCAGCATCACAAGTTTCCAGACCCAGACACTTTTGCATTTGATAGAAGGCGTCGATCCGCAACAACCGGCTGATGGAGGAAATTTCGCAGTTTCTGCTCACCTGGCGCCAGCCGCGGCCGTTCGAAAACCGGGAGTTCGCGTTGCTCTTTCTGCATGTGATGAGCCAAACTGGGTATCGCAGCGATGTGCTGTTGCAGCACTTCGGGAAGCGGTTCTGGAACACGAACGGGGCGGTTGATCAGTTTGGTGCTGGTGCAAGCGAAGTGAGGAGTAGAACGACTTCTTGCGCAGCTGCTCTCTTGGGGGACAGTGAGAGTAATGTCCCGAGTACACGTCTTCAAGAGGAAGAGCCCTCCGCCAGTAGTGGTCCTACAAATGAAGCAGAAGCAGGCCCAGATTTTAATTCTGTCGACTCTACTACGAAAAATTCCACCGCGTGGAAGCGGCAAGTCCTGTTTGCCGACTGTTTTTTGGCGTGCAAACAAATGAAAGATTACAACAACACGCAGGAGCCACAGGCCGCCAACCCCTTTGTTGAAGAGCTTCACTACCGTTCCCAGTCTTGGAAAACCCTCCCCGGGAAAGAAATTGCTTCGGTGGTCGTAAAATCCCTGGGCAAGCTGCAGTACCGGCACGACTCGTTACTCAAGCTCGTGGTTTCCGACATCCTATTAGACGACGACCAGCGGGCGATAGCCCGGGCCATTGCAACGAAAGACGGCGATGTGGAGGATCGTCATGCAGGAGGAGGGAGCGATAACGACGGTCCGACAACTGCCGCTGCTCTTGTTGACGCTGGACGAACTGCGGCGGGACAAGCTCAAGCATCGTCTTCGTCTACATCTTCAAGCGGATTGATTTGGCAAGACAAAGACCACCGCGGGCCGAGAGCAGCCACTAGAAATAAGAGCACCACTGCGATGAATGACAACAAAACCAAGTACGACGCGGCCGACGTCGCGAACGTGTGCGAAGCGATGCTGCTGACCAAGCGGGATAAGGGGAAAACGGACTGGTGGAACAGTCAGCAGCAGTTCCAGCAGTTGCTCCAGTCCCTGCAGGTGCGACTCGTGGACGAAATGTCTTGCCGTGACACGATGAAGGCCAAAGATCTGGCCTGCAGTGCCTGGGTACTGGGGAAAGCGAAGGTGGACCGGGAGGATTTGTGCCTGCTTTTGTGGGAGGAGTTCGTGGAAAGGAGAATCTTGCGGCTGGGAGAGGACCTTCCGGAGATGTCGAGCCAGACACCTGGTCTGGCGCATGGGGACTGGGGCGATGTGGCGGATAGGGATGATACTAGCTTTGTTGAGGCGGGATCGGGAAAAATGGAAGCAGTTGAAGAATCATCGACCTCCGGCTGTAGTAGTTTGACAAGTGGCGGCGCATCTTTATCTGACGAAGAAGAAGAGGTCGACCTAAACGGGCTTTCCGAGATGAGAGGCGCCTCGTCTTCTTCGTCCAACGGAAAAATGGAGATATTATCGGCTGAGGACGAGGAAGTTGCTATATTCGGGAGTAAAAATAGCCGCGGGAAAAAAGAACCACACGACATTAGCGACGAAGGTCCTCTCGGTCTCGACGAAAAAGAAGATCCGGAGGAGCATGTTGACAGCCTCGAACTCTTCCCAGAAATCGATCCAGCTGCTGCGAATATAGAACTACAAAGAACCCGAGTAGGACAAATAAACGACGAAATAACGTCGGTCGCCATCGCAGGAGCATCATTTCCCGCGGGCCAAGTCGATCAAACAAGCGCGTCATTGTGTGAAGGAACACCATTTATTTCACGACCCGCAGCACAGCAATACAACAACTCTCGAGCTGCAGGCACTGTTCCACCTGAAGAGGATTTTTCGCCGGAGCTTTTGGTGCAGTTTCTCGAGGGGCTGGTTTACATGTGCCCAACTCACAAGCGAAAGCGAGCCCTGGTTCCCAAAATCGAGAAGCTCTCCCCCTGGATCTGCGCGAACGTGTGGCTGTTTGACTTGCACGAGCTAATTCAGTATGAACTGCAAAAGTATCGCACCCGTATAAATGCGTTACAAATTTCCTCAGCATGAGAAATAAGATTTGTAATGCAGATTCGCCTTGGGAACAAGATTTGTAATGCAAGACTTGCATTTATACAAGTGCGATACTTTTCCATTTGATATTCAGTGCAACCGGTACTTGGCGGACTTGGGGTACAGCGAGTTCGGGTACTACCAAGCCTTCGTGCCGTTCCTGAACCAAAGGACGAATTTGATGACGGCGACGGACGTGCAGAACGTGCAGGACACGTACAACAAACTGAAGTTCACCGACGACGATTTTCTGACAGACAACATGATGATCGGCCGCCAATTTTTCTACCGGCTGGGGAAGCGGTGGCAGGTGCTCTACGCGAAACAGATGCGGGAGCGAACAAGCAAACGGAATAGCTTACTGGGAAAGACTGGTAGGGGGGAATTTTCGCAGCGGATTGGGTGAAAAGTGATGCTTCAAGTTTAAGCATAAGTAGAGTCAGATACTGGATGCTGCTCATCTTCTTGATGCTGATGCGTTTTGGAGGACACAGCTAGGAATACTCAGGTCGAGGGCGTGCTGATACGTCCTGAAACAAATGTACAAATAAAAGCACGGCAAGACACTTCTGCAAAAGACAACAGAGTCTGAGAGGGTAGATTTTAGGAAGATAAAAAAATACAAATACGAACAGCATTTTGTTTGTTCTTTTCGAGCATGCGAGCTTCAATCTTGATGTTGACACCTCACGTATTTTCAGATGCTAACGGTCGACGAGAAGTTACAACTCGTTGAGAGAAACAAAGAAACATATTTGGAGAGAGTCTTTGCTATCGTCGAATTACGTTTGAAAGATTTTACTTTCGCACAACATCAAAACGTTTGTTGATCACACCATCATTGGGGAGGTCGTATCGTTACAGCTTTCGAAAAGAAACATCCACAGACGTCTGTTATATGTGACTATGAAACGCGCTGTGTCTCTGGTTTTTCTAGGTGGAGGGACGAGAAAAGAGCAGAGAGCAGCAAAATACTAAGACGGAATAATTGAAGATACCATCCATCGTGCGTCTCCTTGTTCTTCCTGGGTTGACCACCGTCAACTCGACGTCCATACTGTGGAGTCGTTTTCGTTTCTGTTTTGGTCGCAAGAAAGAACAAATCGCGAAGACATTGTCACGCGCAGGGGAATAATGTTTTTTTGAGCAGTGTTGTTGAAGGGTCGTGGGCGAGAAATGATAATGAAAAACAAATGTCTGACGTGCTGAAGCCGCGGCAGTAATCGCTAAGCCACCAGCGCGATTAGCACCCGTACGACAGAAATAAGCGCAAGGCAAGGGAACAGGAAAATGCAGGTCCAGCAAGGTGGGCAGACGACGCTGGCCGGCGGGCAAGCGAAGTACAGGGAGGATGACAAGCACGCAACAAATATAATGTACGACCGAAGGGTCGTGAGAGGTACAATTTTGCTGGGTTCTTTTTCGGGCTGCATACCATCTTCACACTTGCGTACTTACCACGTTAACGTATTAACTCACATTCATCTCTTTTCACAACCGACAAAGCTGTCCAAATATGACCAACACAGGTAATACCTACGCCGCATTAGTCGTGCCAGAAGATGATCCACAGCAGCTGGCGAGCCAAAGGGCAGCCCAGAGAAGAAAGCTTAAGGCCGCAAACCAACGATTTCAGAGGGTACATGAACGTTTTGGAAAGTTGGGATATCGTGCCTCGCTTTATTTGAAGATGTCGTGTCTCACGGCTTACCCTGCACATCGATCCACGAGCAATCTTTTGCTGCCTTCTAGGGTGCAGCTTCAGCATGGAAAACTTCTAAAAAAATCTTCTTTTCAGCCCGGCACGCCAGAAGCAGTTCCGGGTAGGCATCACATGGACGTGCAGACAGACCCGTATCTGGAAGAGCTCACACAGCGCGCAACGGAATTTGAAGCGGAGACACAAACGGATTTCCTCCTAGACCGACCCGCAACACCACTTTATATACCTGAGAAGGTACTACAAGTAGTTGTAGTACTCCAACTTTCACTTTCTTGGAATTTGAACATGTGTGGCGTCGAAGTAGGTACTTATCGAGCTCCTCGCCGCCTCTTGTTCGTGTTGATGATAAACTAATGTGCAAGGAAGTGAGCTCGCCCGTTGTTCAACATGTAAGGAGGTGGAAAAAGTAATGCATTCTATGCCGAATCGAAAAATCCTGAACCTGATAATTCCCAACGCACACCTACAGAGCGGGCAAGACGCAGCAACGCAAATCGAGGACAATGATTTGTTTGACTTTGATCTGGAGGTCGAGCCATTGCTCGAGGTACTAGTGGGAAAGGCGCTGGAGAGGTCAATGATGGAAGTTTTGGAAGAGGAAGAGCTGAGCGCCATGCGCCGGCACCAGGAGCACTTCCAGCAAATCCGGGAGCAGGAGCTGGTCGAGGTGCAGAGAATGGAGGTAAGTACTTACAACCTGGTTTATCTACAGTTTTGGCAGCACTTCTGTCATGCACAAAAGACAATCACGAGTGATAAAATATCACCGAACGCGAGGCGATAGCGATGCAAATGCAATGCGTGTTCTCGTGGTTGTGTGCCATGATTCATCACGCGCCTTCATCCGAAATTTTCTCTTTTAACAAAATTGTTTATAAATTTCACTGTAGAACAATCAAGCGTAAATAAAAATAAACCCATCAGGCCGTCGAGAACCGAAGACAAGAAGAAATTTCCCGCAGAAAAGAGCAGTCCTCCGCAAGAAAACAATTCGACGAGGCTGTCATGCGAAAAGTATAATTGATTTTTTTCCCCATACTAGAAGTTAGGTTTTTTGTGATTTGTGTTTTTAGAAAAATTTCAGAGGAGGATATCAAATTCCGTGGGCCTAATACTGAGTCTGAGCCCCCCCCTCCATGATCCTCATCACATCCGTCTGAGATGAAAATTCCGACAACCCTCAGATCCTTTCCCGAAATGTGGCGCGAAGTTACCTGTCCGGGCTGCAAAACCGGTGCTTCGACGAGCTTTTCGTGTCAAAAGGAAAAATCCCCCCTCCCCATATCGAAATGGAAATCTGTGATGCAGGATTTGGGTACACAAATCGGATCTGTCTTGCAGTAAGGCATCGCAGCCAGCTCCTCGGCCTAGGTAGGGGCGTATAGGTCTAGTTGCTTAGCATTGCAAACGGGTGCCCCCTAGGCGCAACAGCATGCCAAAGCGCTTCCATAATGGTGCGGAAGCCTCTGCGCCTGTCTTCTTGCAAGACAGACGTGATTTGTGACCTCAAATCAGCAACGCAAATTTTCGGAAACATACCTTTTCGATATGGGGAGGGGGGATTTTTCCTCTCAATATTTCGACGCGGGTGTTTTTCACGACAGCAATCTCATCGCAGTGGAGGGAATGTTTCTGCCATGGCTTCTGGACTCCGTCAAGGACCGGGTCACCAAACTCGCAAGTCATCAGAAGGTAAGTCGAATCCGAAGTGGAGAAGTTCGTTGTGAAGAAGTTATTGTGCGTCTTCATGAATTTTAATTTTTTGCACGCGGGTCGTTCGTTTCGGATATGAATCTCATTGGTAGCAAGATGAGGTGATTTTTTGTTCTACTTTGTCGTGAAAATGAAACAGGCACTCGAGAGCGCGGTCGCGGACGTTGCCGAGGGCAAGACACTAGCACACGACCGGGTCTTGGCCGTCTACGAGGCGGAAAGGGACGAGTTGGAGGCAGCGGAGAGACGAATCCGAGCAGAAAGGGACGAGGAAAACAAGATCGCCGCAATGGAGGCTGTATCAATTGCAAAAGTATCGCACTCGTATAAATGCATTACAAATTTCAATTTCCTCTGCGGGAAAAATAAAATTTGCATATGCAAGACTTGCACTTATACAACGAGTGCGATACTTTTGCACTGGATAGGCTGCGCGAATCGCGGCGGAGGAGAAGCGAATCGCAGAAGCAGAGCCAGAGGATTGGGTCAAGGAGGTAAGTAATACTATCATATCCGATTGAATTTGATGAGAAAGACAACGAGGTTGATTGGTGCACGAGTATGAGCAAGACCCTTGACTAGGTTTGTTTTCCGCGACGCATCATGATCGATACTATTGATAGGGTGAGGATGGAGGCCAAAAAACATTAAAACAGTTTACCTGCGTCGAGTACAATGAAGAGGAGAATTTAGTGACCCTCGACGACGAATCGAGTGACACCACCGTCCCAGAGGAGTTAGTGGAGGAGTTGAAAGCCCGCGTTGCCGCGGAAAGCGAAAAGGAGGAGAAGGTGCCGATCTTTGTCAAGGTAAACAAGACCCAGAAGGTGGTGCTCGAGATCATTCCCGCCCCCGTGGTTGAGGAGGAACCACCCGCGGACGAGGAGGCCCCACCAGCGGATGAGTAAGTGAACACTCCAGCTTTTGTTTGTCGTAGCACACAGTCTCGCTCAACAGCTGAGCAGGCCAGCAGAGAATCTTCAATCACAAAAAAACTCAGAATCAAACAGTTAACCATTAGAATAAAACAAGTCAAAAGAACTTCGAGTTCAGAGAAACAGAGAATCTATTTTACAATCAGCAGAAGTAGCAGAGGCACACTATTTATTCATCAGACTGAAAATATCGCTAGTACACAGCTTCAATATTCTAGCCATAGAGCGTTTTCTTTATCATTCAACCTACTCTACAGTTACCGTTACGAAAACAGTTTACAGCTTTGAACAGAATTTCATCCGACCGAAGAAAGTTAAAGTTTCAGCAGAATACAGTTTTACCAGCATCGGAGTATACCGCTCCTATCAGATCGAGGTGCGAAGAACCTCGAGCTCGACATCAGAGACCATGGGTTTCAACGATATTACCAGGAGAGTTATTTCTACTATTACAGCCGACGTCTTCGTGTTACCCGAAGATGATCCGATTGCTTAATTCTTCAGACCTGTTTAATAGACTAGCTGATCAGCTGCAGCTGCACCAGAAGAAGAAAATACTACTTACTACATCAGAACTTTTCGCTGAATAATAATGTACCACTCCGTGACGACTAGTATCTTCAGTATGCTTCTAATCCTCAGAGGACACAACTCAGGAGAAGTAGACCATGAAAACACGATGCGGAGGACTTGCATGCTCCTGCGGAAATCGCGTCCATGGTTTTCGATTTTTGTGGAGCTTTTGCACAGTACTAGGCGCAACACCACTCAAACTTACCTGTATAGTACTAGATGAGAGCAGATCATGGAAGAGGTGGGACAACACAAAAGCCGAGGATGGAAATGAAGCGACAAGCGAACTAAAACAGTGGATAATGCAGGAGACACTTGATAATGTGAAAGCGAAAAGTACATGATAGGCAGAGATTTTTTTTCGGGCCGTGAGGAGCGAGTAAACCTCGTCTCCGCGCACCGTTGCTGCACGGAAGAGTTCTTTCCATCACGGTAGGGTCATGAATTTAAGCTCCGTATTGATTCGATTGAACATATCAGCTGGTGCTTCAGGTGGTAGAGCCTTGTTGTGCTCGTGGTGTCATTTGCGTCGTAAACATTCGTACTTTCGTACAACCCCATCATCGCGCGCGAAAACAACTATTAGTTTGCCTGCATTCTTCGTGACGTTTCGATGTGGCGAGCGGGCTAGAGACATTTGTTTTCGACGCTTCGAGACGCGACGAGAGATGAAGTCATCTTATTGGGAAGGCGAGCGACGGTGAGCCGTAGGCGAGGGGAAGCGATAGAAGCGATAAAGGCCGTTTGTTGGGTTGGTCGCGATGTCGGTAAAGACCTGGCACTCTACTCACTCGCGAAAATGAACGTGTGAAAAGCAATACATAGCGAAAAGCCGCACCAAAGGATATTATTGCCATTTTTGACTACAGCGAAACAAGAAGACAGAAGTGGCCAGTTAAGGATAGCGCAGTTTCAAATCTCGACCCGTTCGTAAAAAACGCAGTACCTTTTGGAACGAAAGGGACCTCGGGCTAGTTTTATCCCGCACACTGGCAGTAGTGCAGGACTACACGAGGAGTCCCCCGGTAGCTGCCGACCGTCTTGCTCACAGTAGTGGTCGTGTGCCTTGCTGTAGTAAAAGTAGATCGCGGCCGAATTTTCGCAGTGAAAAAGCACAGGCTGCCAGAGCTGCTACGAGTCACGACAACCTGCCAGAGCAGCAACGGGTGTCGTGTGTAGTTCAAGCAACGGTAATCAATCTTCCTAAGACGACGACCTCGAACAGCAGGGTGCGGCTCGTAGTTGCCTTTGTTGGCAATAATTGCAAGCCACAGCAGGATAGACCGAGACGCCGTCCTGTCCAGCAACAGTATAGAAACTTGAAAATTTCAAACTAGTACGTCCGTGACGTAGTCGCTTTCCGTCCCCTTCCAGCGCGGCGATTCCATCAAGCGAACAGACCCTCAGTCGTGCTGTTCTTCTCACGTCTCACAACGAACTACAAACGGAGGAATAAGTAATCAAGAGCCCGGTGGCAGGATCTGTCGGGCCGCACGTCGTGGCACAACTGCAGACAGATCGCCAGCGACCAGTGCGTCTTCTATCTTCTTCGGCTGCGAAGACTTCTGTGATTTCCTACACTACAAAGAAAACTTCTCTACCCTCGATCTCGAATCAACGTCGTGCACAAGTCTTCGCCTCCTTGCGCAGAAGCGCCCTCTGGAACAACTACACGGACTAGTAAGAAAAAGAAAAACATCCCGGACGAACAGCACTGCAGCTGCTGGTTGCTACGATTATAGTTTGTAATCGACCGTTGCGAAAAAAACATCGAAAATGATCGACCACGCACGCGTTGCGGAGCTCAAATCCATGGTGGAATATGCTGAGGAAAATCGGTTCTTTTCGCCCTGAATTTGATCTCTTGCGCATTCGTTCTAGAAAGATGAAGAAAGAAGTGCAAGCTGTCTGTGTCTTTCTCTTTGCCCAATATCGTGATGCATTTTTACTAGCATCGGAGATGGAGATGGGCGGCAAATCCGATTTTGCATGGCATAACATGGAGGCGGAAAGGAAGGCGGAGGAGCTGATCATGGAAAATGAGATGCTCGCGGATTACTTGCTTAGAAACGAGGCCTCGGTCTCCGGTACCACACCAACATCAGGGAAAAAAACAGGGAAAGCACCGAAAGTGTACATAGTTTTTATACTGTTGTTGCATTTAGGTCACTGATGTGTTTTCTCGACGTGATGCCCTTTGCTCCTCATGCGTGGTAGTTCTGATAGATTGGCAAACGCCCCGAGCAGATTCGTGATTAGAAGCAGGCAAAATATTTATATTACCCGAAAAAATTATCAAAATAATCCAGATCGACACTCACCCTCGACGAGAAATACCGAATTGCCAATGGCGAGGTAGAGACGCTAAACAAGGATATCGACCAGACGAAGAAGGCATCGGATCAGAATTTAGGTATACTATAGTCTGTTTCCGTGCAGTCATTCGTATGCTGCTTTAGTTCTTCGATGCACGACGAAGATGTGCTTGCGTTTCCTGCTGGCTTCCTTTGCATAGCATGGTAAGTCTGCAGTGGATGACGACGAGGTATATTGATCATGAAAGCAAAAAAAAAATCAGATGTCTTGAAAGCCCTGATGGAGGAAACCGACATAAGAATAGCAGAAGTCAAGCGCGACGCCTACGAATTTAGAAGGGACATAGTGCTGGGGGCAGAAAATCCAAGGACAGGGAAGACCATGGCCGAGAAGGTATTAGTTCCGATTCGAAAGGTTTCGTGTGCAATAAAACAAATGCATCTATGTTCAGATGCAATACCGAGTAGTCCTACAGACATGCACTAACTAGCACATCAGACACGTCATGAATACAACAATGTTTTTACCCGCCATTAGTGCAATGCATAAACACGACGATGATATTGAAACACTTGGTAGAGCGTCGAAATAAAAAACCGGTCCACTTTTTTAGCAAAAAAAACAACTTGAAATGAGGTTCTGAAGTACCTCGAAGACAAGCTGACCGGAAAGGACATGCTGATTAACAAACTTTTGATGAAGAATCAAGCCCTGAAACAAGGCATAAAAAAAGCCGAGCAAGCCTTGAAATCCAAGGAAGAAGGGGGTGACGATCTGCAGTACATCGACTTCCACCAACTGCAAATCGAAAATCAGCAGTTCGTGCTGCGAATAGAGGAGACCAACCACGAACTGATTCAGTTGAAGCGAACCTACGGGAGGACGGTATGGATTGGTTCTTGGATCATGTTGATTCAGTAAATTCTTCTCGAACTTCCACTACTACAAAGAAACATGCCTTGTTCTCGCTCCCTCTATGGAACATGAAAGAAGTCTTAGTACCATCAACGTCGCGACAGTACACGAATTTGCTCAGGTAAAAATGCTGAACAATATGAAGAAGCGCTTGACGCAACTGCAGTCAGAAGCAAGCTTTTTCCAGGACGAAACAAAGGAGCAGCGGGCGATGCTGGCAAAGTCCGAGCTAGATATTTCCCGAGCGTCGGAAGAGGACGAAAGGCATAAGAGAGACAACAGGAGATTGCGGGTAACAATTAGTGGTAGATTCGTTGACATTCTATCTTCAAGCGTGCTTGTCACGCTTGCTTGTCAAGCGTGCTTGTCACGCTTGATCAAACCAAAGGATCCATGAACCAACACCTGACGCGGCCGTTTTACTGTGTGCAAATTCATCCTGGGTCCACCGATGAAGTATTTCTAGGCTACAAGAAAAACACAAACGATGGTCAGGCCCCCTCAAGGATGAAAAATTTCTTGTCTCCACCCTATGTATCAGTATCTATGATAAAACAGGCCGGCCTTAAGAAGAGTCAGGGGCTCGGTGATATGCCGCAAATTCTCGACTACGTAAACCAGAAGGCCGATGAGGTCGAGGTGATTAGCCAGCACAAGAATTTGCAGAAGAAGCTCGAGCTTGCAACAGTCGCCTGGAAGAAAGCGAAAACGGTGGCGAGACAGCACAATCTGCAAATCTAGGCGTAGGCGATGTTTTTGATAAACTACACGACTCGCCAAGGTCGCAAAGTAGAGGAGAGGAGAGCCTTACAACTCTTCGACCTGTTAAACATTTCCTGCAAAAAGGGAAATAAAGCAGTCTTACGACGCCTGTACACAGATACAGCTTCGAAAAGCAGAGAAAAGATGAACACTCAACTCTCGACAAAATTTACTCGACCAAAGAAATTCCAAAAACTCAAATTACACTCAAACTTTACAAAAAAGCTGACGCTGTTAGCTAGTCTCCGCGTCTGTTGCTTAGTTCATCCAGATCCAAAATTGAACTTGTACAAAAATTATGTGTGTCTGCTGGTGTACGTGTAGTTGCCACAAGAACTGGAAGCTCCGTGGGACGCAGGAACCACTGGCAGATACAAAGATGCCGCAAGGCTTCTCAAGCGGGTCGAAAATTAGAGAAACGAAGGGAACTGCGACAAGAAAAAAGCGCTACTAGCGTGGTAATCATGTCGCAATTGTACAAAGAAAACTAATATTCCCGAAAAATAGAAAAGCTGCCCATCGTCCTGGCTGGTGCTCGAGTAGTAGAATGCATCAGCGCCTGCTGCTGCACCTGTCGCGCGTTCTGTTCTTCAGTTCTTGTTTTCTGTGCTGAGCTGAGTTTGAGATGAGGTGCGAGACGAGACCAGACCAAACGAGACGAACCGTAGACAAAATTTTTCGAGAAACCAACTTGCATACGACCACCTAGAGGAGCCAGCAGCAGCCGTTCTTGCCTGGTCTAATAGATCAGAAAAAAAACAAATAAAATGAGGTAGGGTCGGGCGGCCGCGTGCTTTCCTCGTCGAACCAACACCATGCGGCGCCGCGGGCGGCGGAAGGCCTCCTCTGGAGAAATCATGTCCTCGTCGCACAGTAAATTCGTGCCAATTTTTCGTTCGGAAAAGTCGGGATCTTCATTCTCCGCGGTGTCGCGGGCGGTTATGCTTGCGACGCCACTTCTCTGCTGGCTCTTTTCCGCTTCGAACCTGACTACGTCAACCACCGCCCTGCGCATCCCGACCTCCGGTGACGCGCAGGACGATGAGGGCGAGGAGCCCTGTGCTTGCGACCTCTGCTACGGGGAGCACCTGACGAGCGGGTTGGAGGCCACGCGCCCGGGCATCGCGTTTCAGTGCGCGACAAAGGTCCCCGGGAAGTGCGCGCAAGCAGGCTTGTCGGAAACCTGGGTGATCAATATCAACCGCGTAGTGGAGAAAAACCGGTGGTGCGAGTCCACTTGCAAACCGATCCGGCCCGTGTCCATGAAAGATTTGAACGTAGACGGCAGCCAGGGCGCGGCTATCCCGTCGTGAAAATAAAACGTTTCTACTTATTAAGTACGATAACGCGGTTGCACGTCGACGGGATGCGCAAGTGAAAATCGTGTGACATGGAAGATGCGCAGTCTCATGCGACGAGGCGTTGTGCAGTGCTTGCGTAGGCGTTTTCGAATAATTCAGATTTTCCAGCATGCTTTGGTACTCAGGACGAACTACATTGTCGGTTTGTCATGCACCCGCAGAGTCTGACACAGACACTGATCTGCTTTTCTCCTGTGCCGTGACAGCATCAAGCACCCGGAGCCTTCAGAACGGCTGGAGCTGTCTAGCAGAATCGATTCGCATGCTCTTAGAGAATGATCGACTGAACTGTCGGGACGTTTTATTTCCTCAGCATAGGGATAGAAGCGGGAGGACCAAATGGGGCTGGGTTGAAATGTGAGCCTTTGACTGAGAAGGAAAAGCAGAAAGCGCGGGACGCGAATCTAGGAAACGGTGCGGCGTGGACCATGTACATCACTCCAATGACGGACTCGCTCACGTCCGACATTTTCATGGCTGCGGCCCCGCCAAAAGGAGTACTAGATGACCTGCGACAGGTGTTTCAACAGAGCAGTGCGCTGGACCCGCTCGCGCCACCGGTAATACTTCAGTTTCCTACAGGAACAGTACGTGTCTCGCGTAGAACCACTGCGGAAGTAGTCGCTGTAGCTTTTTCTATCTTCATCATGTTGATTGTTTTTGTCGCTTTCTTGGAACGCAAACGATGCGACGTGGGTACCATTTGTTTTACCAAAATTGCTACAACAGCCCCCGCCGCCGGTGGTCAACCTTTGCAAATGCGATTGCTCGGACCCCATTGTTATCCTGTGCAAATATAATGTCTGCGTCTGGAAGAGTGCACTTTGTGATGCGATGAAGGCTCGATCACATTCACATCAAAGAAATATGTGTTGCATGAACGCCAAAAGTTGCCGCCTTCTGGATAGGCAAAAAAATGCGAATTTCTCATGCGAGATAGGCAACAAGATTCAAGAAATTGAAGGTCTCGAAAAATCTGTGATGCTTCTGTGTGCAGTCAAAGCCGCCATGCGTTCGGTCCGCGAGATGCATGAGAAATTTTGCAGCCTTCCAGACCCAGACGAGGTTGCAATGCATGAGCTTTGCCGAACCACCCCCGCCGCCGCCACCGGAGGAAGTACCCGGCGACCCCGTCCCGCCGTCTTACCTGATGCCATCCGGCGCCCCGCCCCCGGCACCCCCGATTTTACCGCCGCCGCCCCCGCCCGCGCCGCCAGCTGCGCCGCAGCCACTCAGTTTGGCCGCACCGCTACCCGGGATTCCTCCGATGCCGGTAAACGTGGAAGCGGATTCCCTCTACGGGTACGGCAGCGGTCCGGGAGGGTTCGGTATCCAAGAAAAGCTGATTGTTCTTGCGATTCTGTCATGCGCAATTAATGCTGGTCATGCGCTGCAGGGCCCATTGATTCAACCGCGTTCACTGCGCGTGGCAGATTATTTATTATTGCTCTCATGCGGCCACACAGATTTGTAATGCTGTTCCTCCACCATGATCAAAAGAATTACACTGACACGACACTTTTTTCCTTGGATATTCGGCAGCACTGCGGGATCCGGTCTTGGCCTCGGCTCCCCCGCGCCTGGGGTCGTCGCGCCTTTTTTTTTCCAAACGACGAACCGCGAAGCAAACGGTAATGGGCTACAACTGCACGTGCAGCGCCAAGGAAACCAGGAAGAGCAGTGCCCTCCCTGCTTGTGCGAGAAGCAGAAACTAGATGCCCGGATTCAGAGAGACCTGATTACAGCGACGTCTCAAGCAATGTCGCAACACCAGCAGAGCAACGGACGGTAGAAATTTGCAGCAGGAGCGTCGTGTAGAATTCTTCTCTTGTTTTTTCCGATTTGACATGTCGAGCTTCTTCAACTTCTATCTTTGGTTTCATGTATCTCGACGGTGCTGTGACCATCAGGATCGGAAGAAGCCCAAGGGTTCTTGAGTTGTCCTGAAGTGGTTTGCCAGGGATTTTGGGTTAAAATTGCAATGGTGTTCCTCCTCCTTCAGTCGGTTACAAGAACACGTTGCGCGGTGTTGCAACACCCAGGTTTTTTCGTGTAAAAAGAAGTAGTGGTCCCAGACGCGGAAGGGTCGATATGTCATTGTATGCTCAAGCCGCACGGAGATTGAAAGAAGCTTCTTCTTGTCGTGGAGGAAAAAGCCACGGGTTGACGTGATTTCTAGTACTTGTGAAAGATGACCTCCTGGTTGCAAACTCCATGTATCATTGCACTACAACGTCGTGCGAGAGCATGCTGTGCCGCGAGTAACATTCGAGTTGCAAGTTATTTCACCTGGAAGTCTAAGTCTACAAACACAAAGTCAAAGTCTTTTAGAGGAAATTAGCTTCTTACTTGAAGACTCTAGTACGAGTACGCTTTTGTGCCGAGCGAAGTTTTCTAAAAACAGACGCAGCACCTCACCTGCCAACCCCTTTTACCGGAGGAGAAAAAACCATGCCCGACACAGCATCCTCAGGAATGAACAAGTCTGCGGTAGCGCTGCAAGGCGCAACTGCGACGAGCTCTAGCTCGTCGAGTTCTGCGCTGAAAAAATTTGAGCGGCCGGGGCTGATGGTTGACGAGATAGAGGAGATGAAGGAAGCTTTTGACCTGTTCGACCTAGACGGTTCGGGGCGGGTGGCGCCGAAGGATCTGTGTCAGGCAATCCAGAATCTTGGGTAACTACGGATATGGAACCCAAAACTACAAAACGCTGCATCGATTAGAGCGCAGTGTAATAAGATGCGTAACGAGTATTTTGTTCATCGATATCGTTCGCCTCTTGCTCATCTAGTTTTTGCAAAAGAAATTCGCTGCATTTATGATATTCTCCAACTCCACTAGGCTCGAGCACAAGAATACGGTGGTGCAACAGATATTGAAAGACTTGGAGAAGTGCTCGCATACCATCGAGTTTCAAGACTTTCTCGACCTCTTTTCCGCAAAAATGGGCGAACGGGACACCCGAGAGGACATTGCAAAGGTTTCTCAACTTGTCTTATTGTCACGTTCTAACTAACAAGTAACAGGACCACAGAATAAATCAAAGCCTTGGAGGACGGTTATGGATTGTCTGTGTCGCGTAGAGGTTGTGACTTGGCAGATCGAAGCACAAATGGTTGAAGCATACTCTTCGATCGAGCCGAGAGAACACCAAAGAACTTCCCGACTCTACCTGCCTTTTTCATCAGGTTTTCCGTCTCTTTGACGACGATCATACGGGATATCTGACGGTCAAGAACCTGGCCCGCGTCGCGAAGGAGCTCGGGGAAGCGCTCACGGAGAACGAACTGAATGAAATGGTTTTGCGGGCGGACAGTAGTCACTCAGGAAAAGTTATCGTGTGAGATCAAAGCTGTATCAGTAGCCAAAACCGGTTGCATAAGTATCGATATCTATTCAGAACGACGAGGAATTTTCTCAGCAAAAATGCAAGCCAAGAGATCTTCATGCCTGCGACGAGTCAGCAGCAATGGAAAACAAGTACACGTGTATATAAGAAAAGCTGGCTCTGGTGGCAAAAGTTGCGACTGATACACCCTTCTCCCACGATAATGCTGAGCCTGGACGATTTCTACTCGCTGATGGTGCATCGAAGTTTTCCATGAAAATTTGACTTTTTGATGCTGTTCGCATTCTTTCTGAATCTCCTCGCGCAGCACGTCACTCACATGATTGCAAAATAGAACAAACTTCTACAGAACTCAGATGGACGAGGACTCCTTCATGAACTACAAGCCGCGGAAGTCTCTTCATCGTGGGGACTTGTCTAGCGAAATGAAGAACTTCTCTACGCTGCTTGTAGATGATGTTCATGTTGTAGTGCACGGACGTCTTGCGCTTGCGCACACTTAGACAGTACGCGTGCATCGTTCGACTTTTTTTTATCATATATGCCGCGTGATCGTGATGTATGCGACGTTTATTTTCTGCTACTTGCAAGTCGGAGCCGATTTTGTATCGTTCGTAAGTGCTCCTGCTCGCCAGACAGACACAGAAAGGGAAGCTGGAAAAAACGCTTGAGCAGCATGTGCTACCTTGGTTGTAGTCCAGTCGGTTACTTTATCGTGGTTTGAATCGAGGAGCTGAGCATTTATGATTGCAAGAGCAGGCGATCGTGATCCCGATGCCGAGTTTATTGATCCAGATAATCTATGTTCCGCATTCGCAGCTGCCTTTCGCTTTCCACGCACGATACTTTTTTACAAATTAATTGGTATTCTTTCACCAGGTCCAAAGTCCAAGTCCTTCATAAGTTGACCTCCGTGTAGCTACCCATTTTTATAGTCCCCTATACGAAGGGGAAGGAGACAAAAGCCTCAACCTTTTGTGTTTTTATAATTTTTGGGTTTATCCTACCCTCTCCCTGCTCCCCCAAATTCTTACACAATAGTCCGTCTGTGTACTTAAAAGAATCATTTTCATTTTGGTTTTGGGCAGGAGCATGGGCGCGCCCGTTTTTCGTCTGTCAGCTTTCCCTCGCGCAAGAAGAGAAGCAAAAATAAAAGACTTCTACCTATGAGTCTAGTTTGTTTTGGTTTATCACTGCCATTTTTGCCCGAGCCCGTAAGACTCAATGTGTAAGTATCCATGTGCGATATCGGACGGTACTATGTGCACTACGATTAGTTAGTAGATTTTGTTTCTCTAATGCCTGCGAACTGGAGGCCAAGGCCAACCAGACCCACCTCCATGTCTTGTATAAATACATCACGAGGACCTCGGTTTTCTGGTCTACTTCCTCTCGTCTTTTTGCGTCCCTCATTTTTTGTTTGCCACACAACAAAAAGCGCCAGAGGGAGAGAAAAAATCGGAGCGCTCCGACTGGTGTGCAGCACGCCTTCTTGTTCATCCGCGATTGTTCAAAGCACACGCCCCTGACGTCGACGCAGGACCACGACGACCATGGAACCGGATCTCAATGGGGGAGACCACGTGAGCAGCCCTAACCAGGACTATTCTCAAGAACATTCTGCCTACGACGATGAGGAGGTGTTTTCCCTTGACGAGAGCATCTCGGTTCTGGAAAACTACTTTCTCGGGGGCCAGCGGGTACGCAGTACCTCGACCTTCTCTGGCTCAAATCCGGATGAATTCGAATTTGACGGCGGAGATGAGGGGCTGCACCAGGACGTCGAGCAGCGTGAAGACGTAGCTGCAGTCCGCGTGCGCCAGCGGTCCGCGAGCAGCGACCAAGAATTCTTCGACGCGACGCGTACGGTCGAACACGTCATCGAGGTAGGTTCGTCGTCCGCTGCCTCGTTATACGAGCTTGATGGAGATGGTGGAGCAGCGGGACAACGACAACCAACAGGGAGCAGCAGCTCTCCGTCCTATAATTTCGACTGGCTCGCGGACGAGAGCGAGACGTCGCAGGAGCGGGCCCGCCGGATCCAGCTAGCTAGCCGAGTAGATCAAGACGACCCACAAGCGCGACAAGGGCAAGAGCCGCAGTTTCCAGGCCAGAGGAGAGGACCGCTCCCGAGGACACGGTCCCCGAATTTTTCCATTGCTACGTGGTGGACCAATTTTCTACTGCGCGCCAGCCGCTTCCCCGTTGGAACAGGACCGAACACTAGCCGTAGTTTCAATCGTATCCAAGAAAGAAGGATTGTTTTTACGTCGTGGAGGACCCTCGTTTGTGATGAGGAGTTGTACAACGCAATGAGGCTAAACGTGCGTCATGCTGGTCATGCTTTTGACGGGCCATCCACGTACTATCTGCGCATCATAACACCCTGCCAGACAGATTTGTGATGATCGTGCTCCAAAAAAATATTAATGTACTCGTACCAGACTTTTTTTTTACAACACGATGAGCTTTTTTCTTGGATAAATCGAAACGAGTCTTCGGAATTTGAATACGACGGCACAAGTTCCGTGGGGGCCCTCAGCCCGGCGCAGCAAACGGGTTTGGGTACGAACGCCTCTTCCCCGCAAGACGTCTGGCGGCTCTGGTTCGGGACCGTGAGAAGGACAGAAAACATTCCTCGAGATGAGCAGGAGGGCGGCGCCCAGATTTTTCTAGCAGGAGATGCTGGACGAGGTACAACTACCCCGTCACCACTGTCTCTGCTGTCTCGTCCAGGGTTCTTTTTCCTCGGTAGCAGTAACGACAAGACAAAGAGCAGCGACACATCAATGTCCTTCGCGAACAAGCGACACGCGCTGAACTTTTCCCGGACCCGGCAGCCGGAAAAGTTGCAGGCAGAGATTGCAAGGGAGCGGGAATTCGACCAGAATCCCTTCGAAAGTGCACCTTCTTTTTCTGCTGCTGGAAGTGCGGAAACTACTGAAGCTGCTGCTAACAAGGATCGCTCAGCAGGAGCGCAGCTATCAGGCAGTAACAAGATCCAGAAGCTTCTCTTGTCCGGCGCCTGGCAGGACGACCAAAAGTATGGCTACTCGCTTACGGCGCGGCTCTGGGTGAATTTTGTCAGAAGCGCAAAAAATGCGACACATATTAACGGAGGGCTTGAAGATAGTAGCAGTAGGAGTGCAGAAGTAGAAGAAGTTTGTGCTAGTACCGCTAATGGAGCTGGTACAGATGCCGGTAGACGAGCTACTGCGACTTCTTTTTCGAGTACGACTGGCGTGCCGGAAAATGAAAATCAAAATGAAGATGACAAATCGTCCTCTCCTGCCCGCGCAAAGACAACTTCGTGCCACAGATACCAGGTCGCCGGGTCGTTTGAGTGGCAGCTGCTCCGGGTGCCGCAAAATGTTGCGCATGTTTCGCCGACCGCCGCTAGCGGCTCTGCGGCAAGTGGTGCCAATTTTTATCCGTCTTCCCCTGCTGCGGTGCCTCGTGGATCCACCTCGTCACCTTCTTCCCCCGAGTCTACGCGCGCCCGCCACCTCCGGCTCCATATCGGGGCCACTGCGGTAGAAAGGGTTCAAGGCGAGTTGCTGTTTCTCCGGCGGAGCACAGCTGAAAGTGAAACTGACAGAGACCACAACGACGAGGTCGTTCTGACGCTGCAGGGTTTCGAGATCCTGGACCCCTTGATTGCCACGGAAAGTCGTGAAAAGATACCACTTGAAGAAAACGAAATTGGTGCTGCAGAATTTCTACCTCAGTCCGAGTCCAATTCAAGGTTGAAGCTGCATGATAAACCGGCTGTAATCGAGCCGTGCCACTACCACTTTCGCTTGCTTCCGAAACACTTTCCCGGGACGTTCTACGGCGTCAGTAGTGCGATAGCCGACGAGGAAAGTTTGTTCACAGAGGGATCGGTTGAGCTGCGGAATAAATCTCGTCAAACAGAAGTCGCACCAGCACCTCGCCTTTCCCGCTGGCCCGGCCGATTGGAGGCCAGAATCTTAGATTTCTCTCCAGTGGATGCGGAAGGTAGTGATTTTCCAGTTTCACCAAGTACAACTGGGGAGAACAAGAGAAGCGGCCCGCCCCACAGAACAAAGATGAACAACGACGAGGATGGACTCCTGCGAAACGACACCAATCACCCGTCGACATCACTTTACGGGCATGGTACTTTTCAACCGGCTGGAAAGGAAGTAGATCTCCGGCCAGCAGAGGTGGAACATAATATCGTGGCAGAACAAGAAGCTGAACCTGAAGCCCTTCCCTTCGATGAAAATGATGACGTTGTTGCACAACTGAACATGAGTACCGTGAAATCCACGGGTTCCTCCGCCTCGAATCTGCTCATGCCAATGCTGCAACCGACTTTGTTCAAAACTTACTCGGGCGATGTTGTGGCCACCGGCGCGACGGCCTCGAAAATGGAGGAGAACAAGAACGGTGAAAATTCTTATCCAACATCAGCAGCGGTACAAACAATTCTTGTACCTCCAACCACGCCCAGCAGCTGTAACAGCAGTCCGCAGCATTCGCCGGGGGTGAGACATCTGGAAGCAAGTCCAGCGGCAGCAGCGTTGCGAGTCCCAGAGAACTTCTTGACCACAACAGAGACCGCATCTCAGACGGAAGAAACAACTCTAACTGCAAGAAGCCCAACAACCAACAAGACGAGGCCTGCTTCGTCGCGGAGCCACCAGAAAGTTCTCCGGATTACCAGGAGCACCAGTGTAGTTGGTGCGTCGTCTTCGCAAAACCAGAAGCGCGTCGGGAAAAAACAGTCCGGAGCGACTGGTGCAATGATCTCGCCGTCTGCCTCTCCTCATTTGGCACATGGAACTTGTCCCATTTGCCTGCACGCCTACGACCACAAAGTATACACACAAAGTTGCGGGCACGCATTCTGCGCTGGATGCATCTGTAAATACTTGGAGCAGGAAATAATAAATCCGAATTACAGGAGTACGGCTGCGTCGTCATTGTCGACATCAACAAGGCAGGGGGGACGAGCAGGGAGATCTTCTATGGCTTCGCCAAGAGGTAGTGCGACTTCTTTGGCCAATCGGAATTCGTGCTGCCCGGTCTGCCGCACGCCGGCGCTCTTGGTCACCCTGCGTACGCCGGATGGATTGCTGCTGATGCAACATTTGGAGTTGTTTCAGCAGGTCGCATCGCAGTCGCAGATATACTAGCGTTTGAAGACAGAAAAGCAGATAGAAGAAAATGAAAAGCTGCTTCGCAATTATGGTCGCTGCGTTCTTTTCTAGAGGACTGTATGATCTTAGACGTCGATGAAGAGTTTCTGTTTCCTTGGTAGTTCTGGTTGTTAGTATTTCGCTGAAGCGGAGCAGGATAATAAATGAGAAGATTGTCACGACTGGTGTAAGATAAATGCTTCTGGACTTCTGAGTTTCGCCATATGATCGAACTAACAATATGAATAAGAGTAAACACAGATTTCCATGACCGGCCTTATCGAGAAAGAAAGGCTTATTTCGCCGGGTTGCTGTTGCTGGCCCGCCGCCGCCAGCCGCTGTTTCCATGGTCCCGACGACCATTTGCGGGCGTCACCAGTAATACCGAGGGAAGTGCACAACTACCATGAGACTCATTGCATTTGCAGTTCAAGGAAGTTATGAGTCAAAAGTGAATGAGAGCAGGATTTTGGAGTGATGCTATTCGTGCAGGTACTACGACTGGGCCCTGGTATTCTGCGGCCTATTTCAGATCCAGTACAACATTTACGAACTGGAAATGAAACTCAAGATCAGCTGCTGAAGCGACGCTCACCTACCATCTGGATGAGAAAGACGACAGTTCTGGTCAATGCGAATTCCACAACATCAAAAAAAAAATGATCTTCCGTCATGACAATACAACTTCTCTACCAAGCAGACGATCCTGCTCAACAGAATCGAAAACTCGATAAGATGCCGTCGTCTAGTATTTCCGGCGCAAAAAATGCAGCCGCACCGCAGGGTGATTCACCCGCAACACCCCTCCCCCCGCTCGCCGCGTTCGCGACCACCCACTGCGACTACCGAGCGGCCTACATTCCGCTGTTTCTCCAAAACCTCGGAAACGAATGGCACCCGGAGACGAACCCGGACGGCAAGGTTGCGCTGTGCGTCGCGGAGAACAAACTGATGGAGGCCAATTTGCAAGACCGGATTGCGGAAGTGTCGCTCGGGAAGATCATGACGAAGCTGCAGAAAGATGCGGAGAAAAGGCAACGCAAGAACTTTTATCTCTGCGGTTTTGGCGGATGCTCTTCGTCCTCCAAAGAAACTTCTGCTTCTGACACCGTTTTGAAAACGAAAACTGGCGACTCAACCACGGACGATGCCGTTTTGTACCACATGCCGAGCTCCATGCTGCATTACCACAATTTTTCCGGATCGGAGGCCATTCGGGCGGCGTTTGCGACTGTGCTTGAAAAGTACGTTTTCAACACCGCCTTGGAATTGATCTCAACGCTACCGACAAGTATGAAAGTCGATCCCGACTGCCTTTCCATCACGAACGGCTGTACTAGTTTGATCACCAGCTTGGCCCGAGTAATTTGTGAGCCCATCGAGGGACGAGACCAGGAGCCAGAAACGAAACCACCGAGGACCCAGGAATCCTCCACCGAAATTGACGATGTGCATCTTCTTGTTTCGAAGAAACGACGTCGAGATGCGGTGATGTACTTCACCCCCCGCTACCCAGGTTTCGCCACGGACATTACCGGTTTCGGGCAGGTCGCAAGGGTTGGGGTTCCGCTGGCGTTCAAGAAGAAAAAAGCAATGGACAAGGAAGATATTAGTACAACAAACAACATGGATAGTAGAACAAGCGACGATTGTTCTACTTCTCTACAAATAGAGTGCAGTCTTCCGTCCAACGAAACGCTGGACCAGTACTTTGAGGACGATTTCCCAATCGACAAGCAGCACAACGTATCCTGTGCAACAGTATCGTCCTCGTAGTATATTGCCATTGCAGTCATGATGCGACACAAATCTATCTCTCTACCTCATCTAGCATGACAAAGGGCGTTTTTTTTTTGAGAAAATTTGTAATGCTATCTGTGCTAGTGCTAGTTGTAGTCCTAGTGTAGTGCGATACAATTCTGCTGCAATGCATACAGCTGCAACTTGAAGGCCTTGCTTCTGTGCAGCCCGGACAACCCCACGGGGACGGTGTGGAAGCGCGAGGAGCTGGCAAGGATTGTGGCATGGTGTCGGGCAAAACAAATCTATATCCAGCAAGAAACGCCCATCCCCATCCAGTTTCTGCATGGGAAGCGCTGGACTTGTTTGATGCATGCTTTGCATGATAAGTTGGATGGGGATGCTGAGACTTTTTCTGTGGATAGTCTATCTGCTGTCCGACGAAATTTACGGCGCCTCGGTTTTCGAGGAAGTCGGCGAGCAGAGCGGCGGGGATGAGCGCAACAAGAACCGCGAAACCAAGCACCTCAGCTTGTGTAACGTGGCAGACTGCACGTTCTGGGGGCTCTCGAAGGACTTTGCGAGCAGCGGCTCCAGACTCGCCTGCGCGTACTTTCCGAAGCTGCACCAGGGTCGTTCGAAGCTGGGAGAGATGTTCCGAGAAGTGAACATGGTGAATTCTGTAGCGAAGTGAAAAAAATCACTCTGCTCCTCATATTCAAACATGGCGGATCTGCATACACAATCATACAGAATTTCTGTCTTGCAGGAAGGACAAGGACGAACTGCAGCCAGATTGCTCTCAGTCCGTGCAGAGGCGGCGCCGTTAGGGGCTAGCGGTTTAGGATGGCAAGTTTGTTCCGTTTTCGATTTGGGGGGTCCCGCCGGGTGATTTTTCCTCACAATATTCCGTCGGGTGCATCACCGAGCACGTTTTCGCCGAGATCTTGGGGGATACGAGTTTTATGACGTCGCACCTGGGGAACGTCCGGCAGTGGCTGAAAAAGCACTCGGATCTGGTGGTGCAAAAGTTGGAAAGTTTGAAGATCCCGTACTGCAAGCCCTCGGCGTGCGTCTTTCTCTGGTGCGACTTCTCCGAATTCGGCATCCCAGCATTGGCGTTGTTTCAGCTGCTGATGGACAATACCAAATGCAAACGAATATCATGTTGGGACTGGAATGAAAGTATTGCAGATGATCATGTTGTTCTTCCTCATGCTCATTTTGCATGATTCGCGACGTCTGTCGTGTTGCACTAGCAAGAGCATCACATCGAACTCGAAGTTAGTTCTTTCACGAATAAGTACCTCCTGCTGCTCCCAGACATGTCGATTTGCAATGCATAGACGAGTACGGTATTATGTTCACGCCTGGAAACGAATTTTACGACAAGAATGTTCCGCAGCAGGAAGAGGCGCGGGTCTCCGGTTGCTGGATGCGAATTTGTTATGTTGCCGCTGAAACAAGGGCACTGCAGCACGCGCTTGGAAAATTGGAGAAGTTTGTGTTGGATCAGCGCAGTAGACAGTCCTGAATAAGTAGTGCCCGCACCACCAGATTCTGGAAAATCGAACAGAATCCTACACACTGTCCCTCGGACGAAGAATGGGAATGGTACCCCTTCCCACTGAAACCTTTGCGCGGCGAAGCGATTTGTTCAGGGTAAAACTGAAATCCGCTGTGCAACACTAGATTCTTCTTTTGGAAGGTGAAAGTGTTGCGCGTCATTTTCCCGCCGCGTCGCAGATTGATTCGCGTGACTCATGGAGTGAGAGTTTCTACTGAGAGATAGTACTTACATGTAATCAATTGTAAGAAGCTACTAAAGCTGGCTCTCGGTGTGCAGCGGAGAGTAAATATGTTGCATATTGTACTAAGCATAGAAATCGTATCTGCATCAACGTCGACGAGCCGTTAGCGTCCTCGAAACGGAGATGCGGTCTTCTGCTTGCTTCACAATTCGTCCTAGTCTCTTCCGTTCGGTGCTCGCCGTCCGTTTCATGCGCCGGCCAGTATGATCACCTAACTTCGAATCGAAAGTCGATACGAGATATGAATACTTCTCGATTTTTATAGAAATGAAGCGTGTCAATTCAATAGATGAGAGAGTTGCGCATGTGCAGCAACGAGCGTTTTTCGGTAGAGAACCACTTTTCTACTAGAAAACCATTTGTCCACCACTAATCCAAATTTTTATTGAAGCAGAGGCGGAGATGGAAGGTGGTTCAATGACAATGTAAAGCCTCTACGTAGTAAGTACTAGAAAAGAGCTGCAATCACGTCGAGGCTCCATTGACAAATCCGGGAGCACATCGCAAGTTCCGAAAAGTCCTCCACCTACCAAACATGAACAAGCACTATTCCACCGATACCGCCTCATCCCAGCGACACCACCGCGAAAGTGCGCGCGCGGCCGCAATCCGGAAGGCGGTCCAGCAGCACCTGTCTCCCGAGGCGGCGAAGAAGCGCGCCAAGGGGCACATTGAGCCGGAAATCGATGTGTCCTCCTTGAGGCAAGCGGCTGCCATGTACAAGGATGAGGTCTTCAAGGCGGCGCCAGACCGGAGTGCGAAGGTGCCGAGCAAGGGTGCAGCAGCCTCGCTGTTGAAACCGGGCGGAGGTGTCTCTCCTTCCTCCTCTCCAACAAAAAGAAGCGCCAGGAGCTCGTCGTCCAGTAGACCAAAAGCGAAGCTTGCGCCGATTAGCGCCACAGGACTTGGAGGGTCTTCTTCCTCGCTGCAGATGGGGAATAAGCGCGGCGGGGGAATCACGAATAAATCCACTGCTGCAATAAACACGTCGTCCTCCCGGAGTGAAGGCGTGCTTTCATCGTCTTCCGCCGTTGGAACTAAAACATATGTTGATAAAAGACAAGCTCCTACAACATCAACCAACGTCAGCGTGAGCAGTACCAGTGCCCCCGCTGTCTCGCCGATAAAACAGCAGGGTGCGCTTATCGCCAACGCCTCCTCGGGGTCGCCGAGGCAGAAGAGCGCGGAGAGCCTGTTCGCGGAGTACAAAAAGAATTTGGAGGTCGGCAATTCTTCGTCGAGCACAAGCAGGTTTTTCCGTGGCGGAAGTAGTGCTTCGCCAGGAGCTCCTCTCGTTACCGGTCAGGCCCCAGCAACTATGTCAAGCCAGATAGCGTCTGCGATAGAGGAAGAACTGCAGGCGGTGGATCAGCAAGAGGCAGAGCAGAGCAACGCTCGATCACAGGAGCTGGCGGAAGAAGCGAAAACAGTCAAGACCACTATCGCGCAGGTAGAACAAGTTGTACTTGTGAAAATAAGGGACGAACTCTTATATCTTGCTCGAGTAGGATCTTCTTCTTCACGCGTTTGTATGCACGTTATTTTGATTTCTTCGGAAAATGGAACCTCAACCTTCATGATCTTCCTCTATCACGACCACTATCAGGTCGAGGCCTCGCTGCAGCGTTCCCTCCGCGAGTTCCAGGAGTCACGGTCCAAGCACGCGCTTTTGCAGGAGGAAAACGAAAAGACCAGGAAATTTTTGAAATCCAGCCAGACCCGGGTGATCACGGCCCAGGCCAAGATCTCGGCTTTGACCGACCGGAAGAAGCATACGCGGGCGAAGCTGGAAGCCGAGTTGCAGGGCAGCGAACGGGAGTTCAAGAAGAAAGCGTTTAAGCTAAAGCAGAAACTGAGGGACTTGACGATGCAGCTGAAGCAGGGCGAAAAGAAACTCGCAGAGCAAACGGGCGTGCTCGTTGGTTCGGGCGCGGCGAGCGGCAGTACTTCATCTTCGCGGGTGTTGAACAATAAGACTGCGGCCTCTGCTGGTACCGTTTTTGCGGAGCAACAGCATTTAGCGGACACCGGCGTGCAGTCAGCGGCTGGCGCGATCGCACCAACGAACTCGGCAAGCAAGGACGCCGGCATCCAGCAGGTGGGCGAATTGCGGAGTGAGCTGGAAGAGATCGAGCACCAGAAGCAGGAGCTGCTTGGGCACCTGGAAAACCTGCAGGAGAAGCAGTCCGAACTGGAAGTGCAGAAGAAAAAACTGTGCGCCAAGTACCAGGTAAATGTGAGCGACGCAGACGCGAGATTTTCGGCGGGGGGGAAGAATTTGAGTAATTTTACACCAGGAGATAGAACAACGGGCGGAGCACTCAATCAACTTCTCTCAACTTCTGCTGGCGGACCTACAACTTCTTCAACCAACGGTGCGTTGACCGCGCCGGTGGAAAAGAACAGTGGGGCAGCACTGATGTCCACAAACCTCAACGCCCTGCCCAGTAACTACAACCACCGGGAATTGGGTAGACAAGAGCTCCTCCAGACCGAAAAGCAGTTTCGGTTGATCACGAGCAGGATTCGCAGGGAGCAATCGAAATTGCTGCGGCTCGACCGCGAGTTTTCCCAACTGCACGACAAGGAGGTGCAGCAACAGAAGGACATCCGGAGCGAGCTGGAGATGCTGCTGAAGGAATTGAACGGAACTGGCTCCTCCGCATCATCTTCGTCCCCAGGAGCGGCCAACGCACAACAGGTTTCGGCGAACGTTGCCACTTGGAAGAAAACCATCAAGCAGATCGAGAAGGAGTTACAAGCGATGGTGACCGAGTTCGAAGTGAAGAAGAAAGTCCTACTCGCTTCTGTGAAAGACATCGAACACGACCTGGAGGTAGGCATCGCAAATTGTATTCTGTCTGGGCGGTCACTTGACCTGTCATGACCAAAGACGCAGATCGACGACTCTTTCAAGAGCGAAAATGCGCATGTCTCCATTTAGCATGAAAGCCAGCTCTTCTCGCTCTTCTCTTTGCTCGACACGCATTCCTCTGCATGAGAAGCATTTTTTTTCCACCTCTACTGCTCGCCCAGAGGATCCAGATAGGTGCATTTGCGGTGGATACGTGGAAAGAAGGCACAACGTGAACGTCGTGAATCACAACGAAGCGGTGAAGAACCAGTCCATGATCCAGCTGCGGCTAGACCAGCTGTCTTCATTCGAAGCGCGATTGGTCGGGCACGAAGAAACGCACAAGGCGAAGAAGGCGAAGCTCGAGAAGTGGTTAGTGGAAAATAAGATGGAGCTGCAGAAATACCTGGAAGAAAACCACGACACGATAGTACAACTAGAGAGCACGAGAACCGCTGGTGCAGATGAACCTGGTGCGGCGGGTGCAGGCGGAGAACAAATCGATGATGACGTAGTTGTTCCCGAAGTGCAGGAGCAGCTCATGACCGATCTGGAAAACCTGCCGGTTGTTGGCTCTATGCGAACGCAGCTGATCAAGGAGAAGTACCAGTCCCTCGTGAACCACCTCGCAGAACTCGAAGCGGACGCGGCGGAGCAGACCTCGAAACGCGAGGAGGTCGTCCTGGAGATCGAGCTCAAGCTGGCCATATCAACTGCAAAGAAATATGTCTGGGTCTCGAAACCTGTGATGCTGAATGGTCATGATTGAGTACTACGCCTTGAAATGCAGTGACGCATGACAAATTTTCCAAACGCTTTCTCATGCCCAGCACGCATTACAAACTTCGACTGGCGAAAATTATGTGGCACTTTTGCTGCTTATGCCTATACAGATTTTTCAGGAATACGAGACCCGCAATACAGGTTCAACCTTTCCAGACCCAGACATACATGCAGTGCATACGCCAGTCTGTTCAAGGAGCGGGAGGAGGCGAAAAAGCAGAAGGAAAAGCTGCAGGGCTTTCTCGCGAGCGTGACGAACGACACAACTGGAAGCAACATGATCGGGTCCTCGGCAGAAGTGGACGGCGACGCGGTCAAGCAGACGATCCACGAGTACAAGTGGGTGAAGTCCTCGAATGTTTCCACGCAAAACAAGCTTTTCCAGCTGATCGAGCGAAACAGGAAGGAATTCATCCGGCTAGAAGAAATCTACCAATCCCTGGACTCGGTCGAGTATCCAGCGCAAAAAAATCTAGCACAGTGAGTGTTGGTCGTTTCAACCTCAGGCAGAGCGTAACAAGCTGCATGCCATGACAGGAGTGGTGGTTGACTATTTCTATGACTTTAACTCACTTAAAGGAGCAACACGGGTGCTGGGTGGGCCACCAGCACGGGTAGATGCCAGATCTGGCGGTGGTTCCATCAATCCTTCGGACTGATTGGAGGAAATTCTTGGGGTACTAACTTACACGACAGCACTTTGCTGTCGGAGCACTCCAGTTGTTCCACGATGATGCACGTGCTGGCCTGCGTAGCGATGCAGTCCGATTTTTTGTCATGATGCGAAATTCCGCCTGCGCGGGCGCGGCTCGAGAGCGGACATGTCTGTGCACGACTTTTGCGCTGCATACGGAGGATTCGATGAAGGTGCTGATCGAGTACTTAGACAAGCTGCAGAAATGCAAAATGCTGGTCGTCGAGAAGTTGGATTTCAAGGAAAAGCAGCTCCTGAAGCTGATGAACCCCGGGGAGCAGATCACGCCCGCTTCGGCCACGGCGGGGAGTAGGGGGTACAGGGTTTTGGAATTCATTTTCATTCACCACTCGAGTAGTATCATGCGTGCAGTGGCCGCCCACTGTGGGGGCTACGACTCTTTTGCATGCCTTCGCGAGGTCTCTTCGCTCCACGAGGATCGATCTGAAGCTGCACTCTCGTCACAAGCGACCAAAACGGAACACAGGACTTGATTTTACGAGAAGAAATTTCAATTTGATCAATTTTACAGCCGTGCCCGGTTCTCTTACCCCTCCGAAGCTGGCACCGCGGCGATTCTGCAGACGCAGGAAAGGGTCGAGAGCCTGCTCCGCAACTACGATCCAAAGGTGATTTGCTTTTTTTGGAACAGAAATACGAATGATCGCGTGAAGAATCCTTTCGTATTAGTTCTAGGTTCTTTATCAAGGAATCCGTGCTATAATCGGTACGCTTTCTTCTGTTTTCCCAAACCACTCAGGTGTTCCAGGATTCCGCTGAGTTGAAGAAGAATCTAGCCGCGAAGGAGAAAGACGCCTACACAGTGGAAAAGGAGTTGCAAAGGCTAGAGTCCTCGCACGCTCGGGACGTCGACTTGTACCGGCAGGGGTTGAGCGAGGTACAGACTTCGACTTTTTTGCAGTGCCCACCTTATGTAATGGCGCATCATGCTGTTGATTATTCAAAAACCGAATCAGAATCAGAATCAAAGCTGTCGTGAACAACACAACAACAAATGAACCAAAACAGGAAGAGACCACCCTGAACAAGGAGATCACCTCTTCCGAAGAACGGGTCGAGATCGAGCAGCAGCGAGCGGTCCAACTGAAGAAACAGGTGGAGAAGCTGGGCAAGCAGGTGGTGGAGCAAGAGGATCAGACCCTGGAGAAGGACCGGAAGTGCAAGTTTCTCCAGACGAAATTGAGCGAGTTGCGCAACCTCCTCTACGTGATCGAAGAAAAGGAAAGTACGGCAGCAACGGCGTCCAAGAAGAACTCGAAAAACACCACCAGTGGCGCGAGTGCGTCCAATGGTGGTGGAATCATTTTCCAGCAAAAAATCCAGCTTGGAGCAGGAGGCACTTCATCCGCCACATCGCCGTACGGTGGAGCCGGCGCTTCTACTTTCGTCGACCACCAGGAACTAAAAACCCTGAAGACTCTCCCGGAAGACATCCACTCCAGAATAGAAGAAATCACAAACGAGGTTCGCCGAAACAGTGCCAGCGCACTCGGCTCGCCCACGGAGGACGAGGAACAGCAGGACGAGGACATGGGCAAAACGCATGGGAAAAATGTCGCCAACAATACACAGACCAGCAGTAAAAAAGCCGCCACTTCTTCCAAGGAGAGAGAGAAGCAAGACAACAGCGGTGATTCATCGTCGTCGCTAGTGTACCAGTACCAAGCCAACCAGCAGCCTTCGTCCGCGCGATCCTCAAACACCAGAGGCAGTGGTTTGATAAACAGCGCAAGAACAGAGAATAACAACCCATTCAGTGCTCGAGTAGTTGGTGGCGGAGGTGGTGCGCCAGTCAGTACGCTGAACAGTCCGCGCGGCGTGCCTCCTTCCCTCGACAAAAATACAGCTCTTCAGAACAAGCTACCGTCGCTGGAAACCATCCAAACCCACTTCGGCAGGGAGCACCCGGCGTACCTGTTCTACATGCACTTGCTCCCCCTGTTGAAGGGCATCGCGGTGATGCAGCTGCAGAAGAAGCAGAACCTGTGGCAGCCGCGCATCGTGTCCGTGTCGAACGTATCAAGAAGAAAAATCCCCCCTCCCCATATTGAAAAGATATGTCTCCGAAAATTTGTGTTGCTGATTTGAGGCCACAGATCACATTTGTCTTGCAAGGAAACAACGGCAGAAGCTTCCGCCATATTATGGAAGCGATTTGTCACGCTGTTGGGCCTAAAGGGGAGCCGTTTTTCATGCTGAACAACTAGACCCATACGCCCCTACCTAGCCTGGGGATCTGGCTGCAGTGGCTCTCTGCAATACAGCGCTGATTTGTGTACACAAGTCGAGCATTAGAAGTTCCGTTTTGCTATGGGGAGGGGGGATTTTTCCTTTCGATAGAACGACTACGGGCGGGTCCAGTTTCACAGCGAGGAAAAAATCGTCGCGGAGACCTTCCTATCAAACGCGAATATGTCATCTGGGTCCCGAAGAGTGCGAGGTTTGTCATGCTAGTCTGGCATAACTCTGCACTCTGTATTGCGTGGCCGCGAAGGGCTCCTCTTGACTGTCATGCAAAAAGGGAGTCTCTCATGCGGAATACGCAACTGAGAACCTCCACGGAAAAACTTTTCATGCTTGGCAGCGCATAGTTGCAGTGTACTCATTATTCCCTCCCTTGGATCACAAGTTTCCAGGCCCAGACTCATATTTGCAATGCATACTTCCTCCGGACAAGGTCCTTAAAATCCGTGAACGTGCCGGATCCGATATCAAAAGGAAAAATCCCCCCGCCCCATACCGAAAACGAAATTTGTGATGCTGGATTTGAGTACACAAATCAGATTTGTCTTGCTGAAGAGGATTGCAGGCCCACATCAAGCCTGAGTAGAGAGGTTTTGGCCTAGCCGCTTAGCATGTATGAGAAACGTCTGCGCTGTAGGCCAAACAGCATCACAAACCGCCTGCATAATGCGGCGGAGCCTGTGGAGTTGCCTTCTTGCAGGACAGAGATCATTTGTGGTCGCAAATCAGCATTGCAAATTTTCTGCGGCGTACCTTTTCGATATGGGAAGGGGGAATTTTTCCTCACAATATCCGACACTGAAACTCCTCCAGGACGTGGCCCGCGGGGTCGAGATCAAGTCGTCGCGGTCCAAGGCGTACCACCTGCACATCCTGCGGTTCGACGGGGACCCGGTCCGGCTGTCTGTGCCGACGATCACCACCTTTCACCTCTTGACCCAGGCATTCAAAATTCTGTGCGAGACGCCGAAGGAACAACTAAGCTACTTTGCGGTCGTGCTGGGGCTCAAAAGTACGTGAGGCGTGTGGCCAAAAAGAATGCGCAACTCCAGCGGACTTCATATACGATTTTGTTCATTGGTTGTGAGGACGCACTTGATGTGACGCCGTTACAGATTCATCTTTTTCAACCCCTGTTGCTAGAGCATGGCTTATTTCATCTTACTTTGGCTTTCGTTTATGCTCGTCTTTTTTCGCATCCAATTTCATCGATGCATGAACGCAAACCCACTAACTATAGCGAGGGACGCCCGACATCCTAGAAACCCAGGCTCCTCCTGCTGAGCACGTCGGTCCTCGAGCGACGCCGACGCGTCATATTAACTTCATGCTTTTACAACCACGCGGCCCAACATGTCCGAGGTAGGTTCATTCATGTAGATTTGCGGGGGTGTGTTCACCCGAAAGGTAAAGCAAAAAAAAGAAAGCGGAAGGGAGATCCCAGATGAATACACTTTTCTGCAGAGTTCCGGGTCCTTTCAATCCACGCACGAAAAAAGATTGAGAGCGGAGGAGTGTGAGATGTTCATGTAGACATGAAACCAAAAAAGCATTCCAAAATTTCAGCTAATTACTTGCTTACGACTTTTGATGCGTGCGCCAGTTGTGCAGCCGCACATCGCGATTGGTAGTGGTTTCTCGGGATTGTTATTGTCCAGAGGTCAGACCACCCATCATGACTTGGGTATCGCTATCGACTTCTTTTGCGGCTACATTTCTGGCCCCATGATTCTTGGCCACTACACTTCATGAATTTCAGTCTTGGCGCCTTCAACTTCATCTTTCTTTGTCAGCACTGCTCGCCGGCGGTGATCAACCCGTTGGTTGTTGGAGCAATGCCCGTCGCAAGTTGGCTCTGCGGCTTGGCGCCCCCGCTACCGTTCGCCCAGCATCATGTGATACCCCGCTCGCCTCGAGAACATCGCCTGTCGTTTCTATCTACCTGTCAGTCGCCGACCTTTGCCCGAGGCATGGCACTGACCACTTGCGCTTGCTCCTTCTTCCCATTGTGACTAGTAGGGGTGGACTGCTTTTCACAACCCCGCTTTAATTATTACGTCGTGGACGTACACGACTTTTTGTTTTTCTAGAGTTTTACGAGAGTATTGGACGAGGTCACAGCGTCTTGGTGTCCTCCGCTGATTGATGATCAGAGGAAGCGGTGCTGGGAGAGAGCAGCGAGAGAAGAGGCACAAAGAAGTAGAATGAGGAGCAATTAGATGGTAGGAGGAAGTGAGAAGCTTGACGACGAAGAAGTACTTGACATCTTCAATGAGGTCGAGGAGCTCGTGATTTTTTCCTTAGATTGCCTATTCAATAATTAAGTATATTGATACGACAACTTCTCCATCCAAGTCCAAATGAGTCTTTCGTCGAGGTACCGGTTTGGGTGGTTCGCCGCAGTTCATCTCGCGCTGATTGCGGATCCTTATCATGGAGAAGAAGTGAGTGATATTCCTGAGTGCTGGTAGTCCTATGAAAAAACTCAATTTGTCATGCGGAGTTGCCAATAGAGCTCTTGCACCAAAAAACACTCTCGGAGGCATGGAATTCAGTCGATTTTGGTTTGCCTTTTGCATGAACAGGAAGAACACAGCAAATGCGCATGACAGAGGACTGCGCTTTTTCTTAGGTCTAAGTTGTACCAGCACTTTTCAAAAACACTCATTTGCCCTCTTTTATAATCCGGTCATCTTATCCAAAAAAACAATACCTACGTCCGCGCTGATGCACTTTGATGTCAGTCAACGCCAATAGTTTTTGGCTGTGAGAAAACTTTACTTACACCATTTTCAGCCTGGGTGATGTACTTACATGACCAAGCGGCAGGTTCTTGCATGTAATACAAGAGGCTGCCGCTTGGTGCACGGCCCTCAACACTTGCAGCGCACGTCACAGCATTTTTACAGGACAACTTTTCGTCAGTGCGTGAGACGACGAGACAGCAAGTCGTGTCGACATCAAGGTACAGCAGCGCACTTGGCACGGGTGAGCACTTTTTTTGCATCCTTCCTTTTCACTGCTGGCAAGGAAGTTTTGCGGCACGGAGACGCGCAGCCGGCTGGTGTATCCTCTGCAAAAGTATCGCACTCGTGGTAATTGCAGCACAAATCTCCACCTACTCCTGCTTAAACTGAATCAGCATATACAAATTCCGTTTGTCATCATGCTGAGCTGAAATTTGTATTGCAATTACATACTACTAGTACGATGCTTTTGCAATGCATATGGTGCATCGAACAACAATGAAAACAAGCTGCAGAAAAGAACCGGCGTGAGTCAGGAGCCATCAACATCCCCCTCCACCAGAAAGAAGCGGACGGTCTCCGTCGATCATGCTGCCGTAACGGATCATGGAGGCCAAGGCGCGGGTGAAAATGCAGCGCAGCGTTACGCGACTGGTGCACACGTTCATCTGGGGAAAATATGCATTGCAAATATATCTGGGTTCGGAAACTTGTGATGCTGGGTGGTGTGGTATCATGAGGAGGCCACAAGTGCTGGCTCAGCATGACAAGTTTCTGAACTTCTAGGCGTTGCATACTTATTCTGCGCGACAAAGTGCGTTTCTGCATGACAGAAAAATGGAGCTCTTGGGTGACGGGCATGACAGATTTAAGAGCCATGCCAGACAAGCATGACAAACATGCACTCTTCCAGACCCAGACATATTTGCACTTGATAGAAAACCACGGCGGACGATTTGCAGGAAGAAGACGGAGAACCTAACGGCGACGACGCGACCGACGAACCGTCGTCGCAGCACGACCAAGATCTTCTCCTCGACACGAATTTCCTGCAACCGAACGCGTATTCGCCAGCTCCAGCTGCAATCCCCGGCGTTACTGTACCGCCACCAGTTGCCGATATGAATCACCGGCCGGCGCCGCCCAGACCCAGCATGAGATTAAAGCTTGCCAGCCTGTTAAGATATCGGGCGTTTAAGTTCGAAATACGTGGCGCGGATTAACCTGCTCGTGGAGAGTCTGAAAGCCTCGGAATTTTGTAGCCGAGGCAAGTGCCTCAACTCCCACGAAGGCTGTGTTCCGTCGCCCTGTTGGCCAACGCTCTTGCAATACGAACAAGAAACGCACTCGGTTTGTCATGCGCAGGGCCTTTCCGTAACTTTTTGCCGTTTGCCGGCAACGTTGCAAGCTGGGGACGAATCGGATCTATGTAGCGCAAGTCGCTGCTGTTCTTCCGAACGCAGCCCCTGTGACGAGCACGATGCTACTCGTGCGTGACAAATGAATCTGCGAATTTTCCAGCTGAGGCAAGTGCCTCAACTTCCGTTCAAGGGTTTTGTCATGGAGGAACGCGAGATGATTCGTGCATGACAAATCTCCGAATTTGGAAGTTAAGGCAAGTGCCTCAACTTCCGCCTACGAGCCTTGTCATGCACGAACACGAGGAGGCTCGTGCATGACAAATCTCCGGACTTGGAAGTTGAGGCACGAGCCACCTCGTCGTGTTCGTACGCGTCAAAGGCCGTGAACGGCAGTTGAGGCACTTGCCTCAACTTCCAACTTGCTTCCGAGGTTTGTCATGCGCAAGAAGCTTCTTTCAAGTCCCGTTCGCGGCCTTAGGCATGTACGAGGGATCGGGAGCGTGACGTGGTTCGTGCATGACAAACCTGGTACTTTTGGAGTTGAAGAAAGTGCCTCAACTCTCGTGCCGGGCCTGTGTCATGCCCTTTCTGGACATTGTTCCTGCATGACAAACCTCCGAATTCGGAAGCTGAGGCGCCAACGCCTCAATTCTCGGCCCGACCCTTTATTGTCATGCACGAGCGCGACGTTGTTCGTGCATGATAAGTCTGGGAATTTAGAAGCTGAGGCAGGTCGTGCCAAGTGCACGGGAGTTGGGGTTTGACAATGACTTCCTAGAGGGCGCCTTTTGAGCCGACTGGCTCACCTGGGTTTCGCGGGCTATGGAGGGGCGCTCCAGGTGCTATTCCAGGCATGCGCTGCTGGTGTAGCGCTCCATCTGTCACTTCACTGCCGTGCGCTTTTGTTCAAGCAGTTGCCCTGTGCCCAGCTGCAGCGAGCGCGCGCCGCCCGAAGGTGCCGCCAGACACCGGCGGCGCTACTTACTTACACGCCTCTTATTTCATACTTACGCAGCCCCACTCTTAACAGATAGGCAAGCTCTAAGCATGGAAGTGCCTTTTATTTTGTTTTCTTTTTTTGGTAGCTAAAGATATCACAGTACCAAAGAAGTCACTTGCGTCATGTTGTTTTCTTTTTTTTGTTTTCTGCTTTTTTTTCTAAATGAGACAAAGAGCCCTTCCCTAATTTCTCTACGCGAGAAGTGCATTGAAAGAGTTTTCTCATTGCGCGTTCTATTCTGTGTTTTCGTGGTCTGGGTGTTGAGAAACCTGAACCTTTTGGAACCCAGCGCTTGTTCGGGGCCAATCCAAGTCCGGACCGGGCCGACGGGCCCACGGTGCTATACGAACAGTATGGCGACACCCTTTATCCTGAGGAAGAGGAAGAGCACCTCGACGGAAGAAGCGTGGTCCCTGATGGGCTGCGCCAAGATACAGGCAGAACGCGACGACGCAGGGCGAGACCACTTGACGACGGGGAGCCCACCGACGGCGAGTGTATGGCTGTGAGGTGAGCGTGCAAGCGTGTGTGCAGAGTTGCTTTTCTTGCGCGCGCGCGCGAACGCACGCACGGACTTTTGCCCGAGCGCGCGCGTGCGAAACTGCATTCTTGCGCACGCGCGCAAGATCGCGGGCACCGGAACCACGAGTGTGCGTGCGTTCGCGCGCGCAAGAACGCAGCTCCGCGCGCACGCGCTCGCGCAAATATCCGCGCGTGCGCAAGACACGCAACTTCGCTCGCACGCCCGCACACCCACCTCACACCCGTACATTTTGGCCCTACACCCGAATCGAAGACCAAGAAAGCGCTGTTTCCTGCTCCGATTGCTGGTGCCCTTCTTGTTTGACTCGCTGGTTTGGGAGCGGAGCAAGCAGAAGCACGTCGTTCCTGGACACGGGTGCCGACGAAACGGCGGGCAGCCACGACACGCATGCAACCCGCAAAAAGCACGACGGGTCGGAAATGGGCAAGAAAATAGACAAGCTGCAGCACCAGAGCAACAAAACAGAATTTGCCAACAGCAACAACGCGACCACCAAGCCAGCCACACATGCATCGATCCATCCATCCATCCATCCATCCATCCATTCATCCACACGTTGCAAACCGATACGATCTTTACGTCGCTGTTTGTCGAGGGTGACTCGTTGAAAGCCGACCTGGGGGCGGCCTTGGAAATTGAGGCGGAGAAGAAGTTCCTGGAGGAGAAGTTGGCGCGTCTGGGGGCCGCGAAGCGAATGCTGGAAAAGAAGTTCGCGCAAAAAGGGCTCTCCTTGTACTCGGCGCTTGCGGGGACTAGGCATTGGAAATATGTCTGTGTCGGGAAGAGTGCAACTTGTGAGGCTGGCTTAGAGTTCTACTAAAGCAATCTGTATTGCATGAGCAGCAAGAGGAGTACAGGCGTTGCTATGCGAAGAGGGCACTTGTCATGCAGGATAGGCATCAAGAATCTCAATCTCGCAAAAAATGTGTGATGCTAGGGCACACCTCACGGAGGCAGAGCACATCATGGGTCATGCAAAATATGCATGAAAAACGTTGCACCTATGTAGACCCAGACATCTTTGCATTTGATGGAATTGGAGGCAGTGCAAAAGTCTCGTATAACTGTGCTCCGGCGGAATTATATTTTTGTGCAGGTTTCACAGGCGTCGACGCACGCTCACACGAACACGCTTTTAGAAGTTTCTGCGTCACAGTTTTGGTAGTTGAAATATGGAAGGGTCCTGTTTGGTGGATGGTATGTAGTGAGGTCACGAACGTTCTAATCTAGCGATCTTTTTGACATGTCTCATCCAAAACGACCGGCAGTTTTCAAGTGGCCGGAGGTGTTTTTGAGCATAAAAGATTTCCATTTATCAAGCGGCCGAGGCTTTGTTGTCAAAAAAGCCCGAGCCAATTCTATCGATTCACGCTTGATAAAACGACGCAGCGGAGCCGGCAAAAGGGGTGCCCTTCTGGGGCGCCCGCCGCATCTGTTTCCGTCGATTTGGGGCGCCCAAAAAGGGGCGCCCAAAAAGCAGCACTCCGGAAAAAACAGCGAATCCGGATAGTATGGGCCTCATTTTGGCCCACATTCGGGCCTCGCAAAAGACACCACCAAAATCCGCCACTTCAGAGGCGGACTGAAGGCCAGAAGATGCGGCATTTTGCCAAAAAAAAACAAAAAAACAAAGTCCGCCAAAAGCAAAAAGCCAATCCGCATGCTATGGGCCCGATTTGGGGATCCCAAGGGTCTGTCCTTGGCGCGGGCCCTTGCGGGGCCATAGCATGCGGGGAAGGTTTTTCGATTCGAAACCAAATGGAGGCCAGCCCTGGAGTGAGATTTTTAGCGATCGCCGTGCCGTCGTGCATAACATTACTCACGATGGCACGGTGGGCAGAGAAGTTGCGTCTTTTTTGGCGTAAAGGCAAAAAGACCGCCATGACCTCACTACCTCCGCGGACGCGGCTATTATTGGTAGTGGTGCATCTGCATGTTTATATTTGTCACCGGCTGCCTTCTTTTACCTTTTAGCTTTGGTCTGGTGAAGAACAGCGCGGAAACATAGTCGTGACCCATCGCGACAACATCGAAAACTCTTGCAGTGAAAAACGCAACTGGTTAAAAAATGCATCTTAAGTAAGTAGTGATCTTAATGTTTGAGAATTTTTTTCCCTCAGGTACTTGGAACGTTTTAAGGCGGGCCACGAACGATGCCACGAACCCGTTTGCTGGCTCGGTCGGAACAACTGCTGCTGGCTCCATCGAAGAGAAGCACCTCGACCATGGCTCGCCCCAGGAAAAACCGACGAAAGCCGTATCAAGGGAAAAAAATTCCTCCTACCCCGCAGGGGGGCGATGTGAGCAATATGTTGTACCTGCAACACAAGTAGATCATCTCTTTGTTCATCGGTACAGCACGATCACAAAGACAAATGTACATTGTTGCGTCCTACTCCTACGTATTTTTGGCTGTTCTCATGAAGTCCTCAGCGCACAACCGCAGAGAATGCGTAGTACATGACGAGGAGGTCGTTTCGACACAAGCCAGGACCATCTGTCACTTTCTTCTTGCATCCTCCGCCATTATGTGCGCAAATCTCTGGTCGCAAAAAAAATCGAGTAGTTTCCTAAAAATGCATGATCGGGAGAAATTTTTCTGCTTTGATAGCAAGAGCAGAAACAAGGGGCGACGGGTGATGCGAAATATCGAGGGAACATATTAGTTGATCTTCCAGACGAGACCGATCCTAACCCTAGAGGAAACATGTTTGCAGACGTTTGTTGCGCTGCTTCGAATTCCTCTTTGACCTACAATGCGACCATGACCGGGCAAGGTCGAGCGACTTTTTTTTAATGCTGGCTCCGTCCATGACAGACAGGCTACTAACTTTGACTTTCGTCAATCCTGTTCAATAGAGAAACTCGTGTGAAAGTCAAGCCCACACCATCAGCGATCGCACATGGTCCAAAGCCGGTCTTATCTGCAAATGCAATTTTTTGTTTAGTGTTTCCATAAAAACAAGGCGTCGATGAAGGTGCAGGTGAAGGATGATCACGCGAAGGACCAAAGCGCGATCTACTCCTGAGGAGGAAACTGCAGGTAGGAGCAGTACGCGAAGACGTCTTTTTTGATTCAAGCTACTGAAAGCAAAGTCGGACTGAGTTTGTTGAAGAGAAATTGTGTTGGTTTTCCACCCTCATAAATGTAATCTTCAGGTCGAAGAGGAAGAGGGTTTCACACTTCCGAGAGTGATAAGAACCCGACCCGACTGGAAGCGCCTCACACTCCTGACTTTGATCGATCATTGCAAAACTCAACACGTGGTATGATGCAGTTCGAAGCAGTAGCTGCAGGAAGATGCGCGCACTAGTTTTACTGTTCTTGTAATATGAGCTAGTGTGTGTGCTGACTTTGGTCGATCATTGAATGAGGCGTGTCGTGACTGACTCAGTTGTCCTGTTATTCAGAGCAGTAACTGTATGAAGACGCGCGCACTTTGCTTGCAGCTAGTGCAGCAGGGCTTCAGGGTTTACTGTCGTCAATCGGGTTCTAGGGTTTAGAACTTTCTTTAGTTTCATCTTTTTCACTCATTTGTTGTAATTGTAAGGCTACTACGGAACCCTGAACGAGACGGATTACGAACAAAGCTGCGCAGAGTTCATGCCGCATAAGTAAAACGATAACGAAGCAACTTATAAATCAAGCTTTATGATTAAGAACCATCAAGTGGTCGGAAGATAATATTTTTTTGAAGTGCTGGTTGGAAGTAGAATTCATCACATTCACAAGCCAAGAGTGGCTTTGCACATCAGAGAAGATATCAACACAGGCCAAGAAGTGGACATAAAATGTTTCGCAAAGAGTGCCTCTGCGCAGGCGAAAGCCAGACACGGACAAAATTGTTATCTTGCTGAACGGGGCAAAGCTACCGCCTCTCAACTTTGCTACTCATTGCTGCTGTTTACTGTTCTAGCCCGTTGCCTAGGTGTCGGTGTGTCTGTGTGTGCGAAAAAATATCTGGCACAAGTTGGATTTTGAGAGCAGCGCGAAAAAGGAAATATCTGGCACAAGTGCGAAAAAAAACCTTTTCTTACCCAAGAAGTTCTATTTTGAGAGCAGGCGAGGGCGAGAGTCCGGCGCCGAGGTGGGCGGAGAGATTGCCCACGCCGGGCCGCGTGGGCGGATGCGCATCGGAGGGCCCGCCCTGTCGCGGCCACGCGAGAGACGCCGGGCGGAATGAGTGGCCTCGCACGTTGAAACCTGGCGAGGCGGTAAAAACGGGGCCCGGGTCTACAGGCTCGGCCAAATCCGGACGCCCCGAGTCTGCGACGGCGCCCCTGCAGCGTGTTCCCGGATTGGCCCGGTCGCCTTGTCTCTGGCCCAGTGTGTGAGTGTCTTGCCTCCTCCCCCCAATCAATGGGCGGGGCGCCCCGGTTTGGGGGGGCGCGCGCACGGTTGGCAGGAGGCAGCCAGGCGCGGCGAAAGGTGTGCGCCTTCCTTCGAGGGCGTCGGTCGATCCATCCTCGCGCCGTTTGCCCCTTGTGTGTCTGTGGCGGGCGCCTTCGCCCAGCGCCCGGCCGGCCTCGGGCAGCGTGTCTGATGGCCAAGCTTTCGCGCGCCTTCCTAGGCAGTTCCTGGCGCGCGCGTGCCCCGCCCCGGCGCCGGCCCAGAGCGAGCAAGCATGTCGGAATGCAGTGGCGCCCTACAATTTTGATAGTTTGGGCCGCTCTCCGCCCATTTTTGTCATGTGCTGGCCCAGCGGTGTTTTGTCATTTGAACTTTGCCGCCCAATCTAGAACAAGTGAAGAAAGCGCGTGGGCATGTGGAGGGCGGTTTTCGCCACTTTCTACTGACTCGTATGCTCAAGCACATCTTCATCTTCTCTTCTTCGACTCGGCGTGTTTTTGTACACTTATTCTCGACACCAGACGAGAGCCATTGTTTAAAGTGATTTTCGTTCGGAGGATGGAGCAGCGAGAGTGAAATAGTCCAGAGTGCAAGATTACAACCATAACGGGGGGTCTACTCATCGGCTTCAGAACTTTTTGAAAACTTTTTGAAAACTTTTGAAAACAGAGAAAAGCGATGACGCGAAACCACCAAGGTCCGACGCCCTTTTTTGGCGGCGTGCCGTCGTGTTTCGTGGTCATATATGCTGACCGCTAAAAGGCGCGCGCGCTGCCGTCGGTCACACGTGAACCACGGGCGGAATACTCTCCGCAGACTTGTAATCTCTTGCGCGTTTGAACAGCGTGCCGCCCAAACAGGGCCGCGTCATTGATATATGTAGTCACGCATGACAAGGCTTCGATCCACCCCTTCGCGTTTCGCCTAGGGGCAAACGCACTCGGGTGGCCGTGCTGTTTATTTGACCGAGGGACAAGCGCACTCGGGTGGCCATGGGGCCTGCCCTCCTCCTTTTCGCCTGGCAGGGTCTAGGGTAGTTTAGGGCTTGGCCCTCCTCCTTTTCGCAGGGCTTGGGTTTAGGGTTTGGGGTTTAGGGCCTAGGGCCTCGGTTCTCAGGCGCAGCGCGCCGGCCTTGAGAAGCGTGTCTGGAGAGATCCAGGGGGTGCGCCCCTGCGCCGCGTTGCGTACGTTTGTAATTTGCACAAGAAAAAGTGGCGCAGCCGAAGAAGCAAGCTCTGACTTCTGTTGCCTTTTTGGCGCCTGTTCTGACCCCAGGCACGGCGGCACGCTGCCAGAAAGGAGCGAGACTGTTGAGTCTTCAAAAAGTACAAAAGAAGCGCGACAGACACGAAGCAGGGTGGCACTGCCTGCGAAATAGGCAAAGCTCACGGCTCAGGTTTGTTAGTCTTTGCGGCGCCGTGCCGTCGTGTTTCGTGGTCATATACGTTGACCGATAAAAGGCGCGCGCGCTGCCTTCGGTCACACGTGAATCGCGGGCGGAATCCTCTCGGCAGATTTTCAATTTATTACGCGCTTGAATGGCGTTCCTTCCTGTTTCGTGATAGATTTTGACCCCGGAGCCGGGGCGAAAAGTTGGGTATTTTGCATGCGGCGAATAACGTGGGTGGTAACTTTATCCACGGCGGCACCGCGTAGGCAAAAAAACGCGTTTTTCCAACTTCTGCTCGAATTCTGAGGCAAAGCGCGGGCTGTGCGTCCATTTTGAAAAGTTTTTTTTTTGCACTTTTGCACTATATGCGAAAAACCAAAACCGATGGCAGTATGCCGCTTTTCTGGCCCTCAAGAAAACGAATCCCGAGCTAATTTCCGAAAAAAAAAACTTTTAAAAAACTTTTTAAAAACTTTCATTTGGGGCACCAAAACCGTGCCGGTTTCAAGCAGAATCCGCCGCGGGGAGCTTCGAGAAGGGAGGCCAGAAAAAAAGTTTTTTCGGGTTTTTTTCGGGCTCATTTCGGGCTCACCGAAATAGCACAGGAAAAAAGTCGCACTTTTTGGCCTCCGCCGTACCACCGTGCCAAAGTCAGCACTGCTCCAGCGCCGATGGTATGCTGGTGGTGTTTTTTTGTTATTTTTTGTCAATGCCGGCACTTTTGCGTCTGGGTCAAGCTTTTGGATTTTTTGGTACTAAAAGTAGCTTGGGCGATGAAGGAAAAGCTAGAAGCTGAGTTTAGTACTGGACTCTGGATGAGTTGGAGTCGGAGCTCGATGTTGGACGATGGGGCATCACTGCGCTTTTTTCTCGGCCTGATTTCGTGATAGGTTTGGACCCGGGGCCGGGGTGGGCTGCTGTGTGTTTTACATGCGAAGAATACCGCTGGCGGTAGCATTATCTATGCACGGCGGCGCGGCGTAGGGTAAAAAGCGCGAGCTCTCGACTTTTGCTCAAATTCTGAGGCAACGCGCGACCTGTGCGCCCACTTCAAAAAGTTTGCTTTGCGCTTTTTCGCTGTATCTGTAAAACCAGAAGAAACCGACAGCATGGCGCCACTTTCCTGACCTTCAAAAAAAAACTCCCGAGCTGATTCTGGGAAACAAAACTGTTGGAAAACTTTTCAAAAGCTTTCACTTGGGGCACCAAAACGGTGCCGGATTCAAGCAGAATCAGCAGCGGGAAGCTTCGGGAAGGGCGGCCAGATAAAAAGTTTTTTCGGGTTCGTTTCGGGCTCACCGAGGTAGCACAGTGGGAGCTTGCATTTTTTGGCCTCCGCCATACCACCGTGCCAAAATCAGCACTGTTCCAGCGCCGCTGTTAATTATGTTGGTGGTGTTTTTTGTTATGTTTCGCCAATGCCGGCACTTTTGCGATGGAGGGGGTTCGTTGAGTCAAGCTTTTGGGTTTTTTGATGTTTGGTCTCCCTCTTTGATACTACGAACAGACAGCAAAGCTTTTCGGTCTTTTGCCTTGACCACGAAGCCCGCCGGTGTTGCAGGCTGAGCCACCAAGCTCGGCGCTGCCTCAACCTTCTCAGGTGCGGGCGTTTTTCACTGTGGCGGAGTGCGCAAACTGGGCACCCACGAAAAGCGCGGGACCCCATCGGTCACACTGGAACCGCGATGGCATGTTGGGGCTCGATCTCGTGTTGCTGTTGGCCGTGCAGTCATTGGCCACGAAGTTGCGCGGCAGCTTCTTTGACGAGCAGGCCGGCGGGAAATTCAAAGTTTTCGAAAAGTTTTTGAAAGGTTCTGAAAGTTTAGCACAGACCCCCCGTTATGGTTGTAACAAGAGTGCGATACACATGAACAAAAGGAGAAGTGAGGTAACGCCTGTATATGGCTTCACTTTGACTGGTGACAGGTGAGGGCATGGAGGCGTTGTCCGATGTCAACTCGTTCTTCTGCATCGTTTTCGCTAAATTTTTATGTATTAGGTGCACCATGTCAAGAACACTTCGTGTTCGTTCTTCGTTACATACTAGTTCATACTATCTTTTCGTCCTCGTAAATGCACTTCACTCCACGTACAGATGCCAAGAAGCGTGCTCGTGCAACAAAAAAACAGTCCTGCTCGTTCGTTGGTTGCCGTAATTCGAAGCTTGACGCGGCACGAGAACACATCGACCACGCTCGGACAATTATTCAGGTTCATAAATACACCATACTCCATGTCAGACAGGAAAAAGGAATGGCACGCGCAGCTGAGGAATGTAGAATTTTTGAACAAAGGCAGAAACAACAAAACATGTCTTCCACCAGCGCCCTGTCGCTAAGACACGAAAGTGGTGTTGCTTTCGTGTTTTAGTGAGCCATCGCCTGCTGTGGTCGGGAAAATTCTTTTAGAAAGGTTAAGCAGGATCAGGAATCCTTCGTCTGTGACGAGGAAACCGAAAAAATGCTCGCTTCCAGGAGTTTCGGGCACCTGCCCCTGCAGCACAACGAAAGGACGCAATATGTCGGCCAGCACACACTGTACTCATACATTAAATTGCATTTTTCCCTGAACATGCGTTATGAAGTCGTTTAGGAGCAACAGGAGATCCATCTGTCCTACTGAGTACTTCATGACTCATTTCGATATCCATACATCACGTTCAACATGTAGCAGTTCTAGAGGAACATACCACGAGGATAAATATGACAAGACATTGAACTGCATTTGTTACCCACAGATACCGCTCCCAGCTGAAGGCCATATCCGGACCAAGACACCACGGGAAGCCAGTGCATAAGAGATGGAACAGCTGCCACTCAATAAGATGCACCGAGAAAAACTGGTGCAACAGAAATCGAGACGCGAATACAGGTACACATTCTGTGAGTGAAGACCACCATGACATGATAAAGATCGTAAGTTGCGGATGATTCTGTTGAGCATGATCTTCAACATGAAAATCTGGCTCAGCATCACGATGCTGAATGAACTAATTTTGCTTTTGAATAGTATATGTCGGACAGTTACTCGCAGGCCATAAGAGGCGAGCAAACTGTTGATTTTGAATAGTACCAATCAACGCAAAACTTCAGCCGCCTTCGATGTGCATCGGCCCCTGAAGACGGCTATCGAGGACCCAGTTTGGCATCCGGAGTGGAAGGTAACGCAGCTGGGTAACAAACTGGTGACCAGTGGAACGGACGACTTCCGCCAATACGCCCAGCAGTCCGCCTGGGATCTGCATCGGCCGCTCAACCTCGGCGAACCGAACTGGGGCGGACGAAGAAGGAACATCTACCCTCGGGCGGCCTACGTCTGCGCCACAGGGATGAGCGCGAGCTTTGAGCAATAAAGTTTTGAAGTTACAGATGATGAAAATTATGTTACGTGATTCGTTCGTCCCCTTCTAGACAGAGCTACGCCACTCCTCCTGGGTCTCCGAACTACAATTACCACTTACACTTACTTCTACGCCTCTTGTCAATACATTGAACAGCAGCTGCTTCTGCCTCTGTCCAAATGACCTAAACTAAACTTGTCACAATAAGAATACAGTATTCTTCTACTCACTGCTCAGTCTTATAATTTCTGCTGAGCCTGAGTGCCGCTTCGGGTTCGGGACCACAGTCAAAAAGAAACAAATGCTGGAGGGCTTTCAGAAGCAAACGCAACTATGTGAGTTTATCAAATTGTAGGAAAAATTCTTATGGGAAAAATGAACCACCTTGTCCGCTCTCTGCTGGGAGTGGGAATCAATTTGTAAAAGTTGCCAAGAATTTACAATTTCATTTTCCTCGATGGAAAAGAAAATATATGCGAAGCGAGATGTTGAGGAGACATCTTCGGAACCTAACCTGCACAGAGCTTTGGTCGATCAGAGGGAGCCCCGAAAAATCTACAAGGCGAAATGCCACAAGCTGGACGTGGCCACGTCTGGTAGCTTCTTCCAGTTTTCCATTTGATGGAAAAATGTTCGCGAGCAATTTGTTTTTGTCGTAGTCGTCCTTTGGTTTGTGCGGCAGTCGTCCGGGGAAGAAAATTGAAAAGTTGTTTTGAACTTCGTGGCAAAGTCGGCGATCGCGTTCCATGTTGGTTCTTTTCGTCCTTTTCAGCGGTGTTTCTATCGTCCCGTTTCGTTTCGTGAAACCCATAGCGAGTAGTTTCTGATGTTAAGCATCCTTGTTGTTTGTGGCACTTTTTTGGACGTGGTTATAATGAATCGCGATTCTGTATCTGTTGCTGATTGCTTCCTCGTTTGAACATACACTGCGTAACCACATTGTTTAAACACCAGGCCCAAGAACACGGTCGACCGGCACGCCTAGGCTTTGCTCCTAAAGTAAGGAAATAAAAACAAGGCTCTGGAAGCATCTCCAAGAGCAAGCAACTCCAGAGTTTGAAAAAAAGCCAAGTAGAACAAAAAATCGCAAACCTACGGCCGCTAGAACAAGCACTTTTGTTCGGCGAAGTAGAATAGAAAATCATACGTTTTACATCATGACGGCCGACGAGCGCGAGCCCTCCGAGATCGAGGCCCTGCTGAACAATCGAAAAACCGCACTTGCCTATGTGTTCTTTAACTTTTCCTTTGTGGCCTTTATTTTCCTGCTGGACTGGCTCCATCGGGGATACGAGGACAGCCCGCGGACCTACGCCTACCCGCCGATGGAGCATGTGTACGAGGGTAAACCGTGGCTGCCGCCAGCAGACGAATTTGCCAAGCTCTATCCTGGGAGCTTCAGCAGGTGACAGCTTTGATACACAGAAATCATACTAGAGCCAGCTGGTGTTATTTTGACCCGTAGAAGGTATCCCCTTATCGGGTCGTCGCTGGACGATAAATTTGTTTTCCCAAAGTAAGTACAAAGATGTAGCACCATTTTCATTGTGAAGATGCTGCATTGATGGCGCGCCTCATATTTTTTTCCAGTAGTCGGGCTTTCTCATAATGCCTCTTGAGAAGGTATCCCCTTGAGGTCGAAAAGCCAGGCACTTTTGTGCGCTCAGAATTTTTTCGTACGCATGTCGTGTAGCTGACGTAAGTAATCGCAACAGGAGATGATCAAATTGAAATTACTACTTCACAAGAATTTCATTGTTCTTGATGATCTGTCGTGCGTGTTCACGGAGGGATATGTTTCGTCGACGCATTTCTGCTTTGGATTATCCGTGACTCTTTCCTTCTTCGTATTTACTAGACAGACACGACCAGATTTTGGCGTCTTTTCGGCAACTATGTTCTTTATTTGCTGGCTTTCTCGTTCTTTCGCAGTTTGCTGTCGTGTACGTCTCGCATGACGTTTACTTACGTCGATTCCATCGTTCGTAGTTGTCGTCCCTGGTTCGTCCAAAAATCCGTTCAAACCAGCCCCGCTCAAAAAATCGTGCAAGTTTTCTGTCCAGGTCCACGACGGATGAAGATGGCCTGCGATCCAGCCGCGCACAAGAAGAATTTCAGTGCTTGTTGTGCTTCATGGAGGCCCGGATCTCGAGTATCCGGTAGAAATCAATTTCGTTTTGATTTTCCAGACTATACACTTTGTTGCAGGTGGTACGAACAGCCCCCACCTGAAGAACCCTTCTTCATCCTGAAAATCGTAATTCTCCACATTAATATCAACATGACATTCATTCGTCTAAATCTCTATGCGGCCCTTGTAGCAACTGTAGTTCATGGATGAGCTTTAGTATTCCCCGGGAACGAAAATGAGATCATACAAAAGTCTGCCCGGGGCATGGCACACAGCGCGCAGGACTACAGCTGTGGTGACGAGAACGGTGTTGTTTGGTGGTGCTGGGAAGATGATTCTATTCGGCGATGGGCAGGGGTGGTCGAGTACGGTGAACATCTTCGGGGCCGCCATGAAGATCGGAACAACGGTCGGCAAAAGGGAAAAAACCCGCAGCAAGAAGAGCCTGCTGTGGAACGAAAAAGAACACAAACAGCAGAACAAGCAGGAGACCGAGCACGAACACGGTGCGGGCAGCTCGCCGGCGGAGGGGTCGGTGGGACACTGCAATACCATGGAGTACTGCTATCGCGAGCGTCAGGATATTTCTCCGGACGAGCCGCGGACGTCGGCGGACTGGGAGTACGACGAATGCGTTCCAATTGACTCTGCGAAGCGGGAGACGGAGTCGCACCCGTTCATCATGACACTGCAGACGGATCCTAATTTCACGCCGGATGTCTATTGCGAGGGGAAGGAGCTTGACCCTTTCTACACTGTGTGCGCGCCCTCGTGCAATTTCGTCGACCTGATGGCCGTGCGCAACGGGACTAATCAAACCGCGGAGAAGCAGCTGGAGTACAACGCGTCAAAGCAAAACGACGGTGCCGGCGACGATGGAAGTTGCTAAGTGTTTCTACTGTGAGCACGACATGAAAAAGAGCACCGGTCTGTTTTGAAGTGCTACCAATGGAGCTACTAACTAGAGTAACTTACTACTAGGGGTCGCTCCTCTAGGCGCAGGCAGGTCACTTATACTGCTCGTTATAGGTTTTCCATCTTTATTATTTTCCGGAAAATCAAAATCTGGAATACAACGTACATGTAGTCCTTGTTTTTGTTGCAAGTACACAGTATTAATTTCCGCCCTGCTGCATGTCTTTTCTTTCTACTGACAGCGAAAATCCGTACTTAAGCAGTCTGAATCTTCTGTGCAGTCGCAATTCTTCGCGCTCCTAGCACGTCCTCGTTCTCCTGTTGCGGTGTTTCTTTCCCTGCACCCCACAGCATGGTATCTTTCTTGTCGTTTTTTACGAAACTTTATACTTCGTATTCGTCGGTCATTGATTCACATATTATATCTTCTTTCATCGTCCACAGTTCGTCCACCATTCTCAAAGAAAGTCGTGCCTTCATGTCGTTGTCGTTCGTGCCTTCATGTCGTTGAAAAACAGTCTCTCCTTCTCTCATTTGCAGGCCACAGCTCTACAACTTCAGCGAACCAACTAACCACTCCTTCGGTACAAATCAATGCATCAGCCCCTCGCTTACGCTTCCAGTGCCCGATCATGATTATCCCGACTCTCTAGAAGAATTCAGTAGCAGGTCCGTACCCCCAACCTGTTTATTGAAATTCGAGAAGTAGATTAAGTATTTCGACAAGCAAGGTATGTACTGAGTTTTGTCCCCTCTCCTGCTGTCTCGCAAGAAACGTTTGCTAGCAAAGCAAGTCGAGTTGTACCAGTTGTACCTGAAGACGTTAGTCTCATGGAAAAAGTAACGGATTTATGATTCCCCCAAAGATCATGCAAACACAGACATCACATCAGCAAGGCTGTCTCGTCGTCTCCCGAAAAGATAATGTACAAATCCTTCGATGACTTTCTGAACGATCGCCGCACCGCAATCTCGTATTTGCTATTCAACTTCACCTTCGTTTTTGTCGTTTTCGTGCTGGATTTTCTGCACAAGCCCGTAGTGGAGGAAAAAGTGTCTTCGCAGGGAGGATCGTCTCCAGATACTTCTAGTACGCCGCAGTCGACGAATACCCGCGACCATCCTGCCGAAGCTTCAACTTCTCCAGAAGACAATTCCGCGGCGAATAGCGGTGAGCTGTAGGATACATAAGCTCATAAATATTTTCAAGACCCGCTGCGAGAGCGAACTTCTTTTTCATCTCGAAGATAGAGAAGACCACAGACGGAGTGAAAGAAGGACAAACGGCGCAACTCTTTCCCACCAGTTCAGCCGGCAGCTCAAGACCTTTTGAAGAGGCAGGGGAAGTTTTCTTGCCGGAACCGTTGACACAGCTGCAGCTGCAACACCGGAGGTCGGCGTTGGTTTATAACCGCCTTTGTCCGCAAGGACTCTGTCAATTGTGCCCAGCACAGTGCCTCCTCGGAAAAGCTGCAAAAGAACCGAAGCACCTAGTAGAACCCGATGGCTCCGCAGCCTTTCCTCGACCTGCCCACCGTTCTGCTCGGCGACGGGCAGTTGCGGGATGTGGGTAATTTTCACGAAAAGTCGTTCTACCGAATCTGGACGAAGGACCACAAACTGCAGCACCTGTTGCAGCAAACCAAGATGGCTTACTCGCAGCTGATGGAGCTGCTGCCCACCGACGGGGTTTCGCTCGGCAAGCAGCACCTGGTGGCCTCGCCCTCGGAGACCGCGGGTCAGAAGGTACGCATGTTCGAGACTGGGATGCTGCTGAATCTTTTGTCCACGGCCGAAGAAATTTGGAAACAGGACACCAACACCTGCAACATGCTGCAGGAGCGCGCGCAGGTGCAGCTGAACTTGATTCTGGAGGAGCAGAACCTGTACACCTTGAAGCAGGAAGAACGAAAATTGTTTCAACTGGTCGCGAACCTGATGGGGCGGCACGTGTGGCACCCGGAGGAGTACTGGGACATGGCCTGCTACCCGGACGTGAAGTCGGTGGAGCGGTACTGGATGGGCGCGCGAATGCTGTTTGACACGACCGTGAACCCCTACGCGGACCTTTCCTACGCCCGCGGCGCGGAGAAAAATCTGGACGTGACGGACAGCAACTTCCACGCGGCCTGGGAGCGCATCAACCAGGGCAGCGCGAACCAGCGGGACAACGTGTTGGGGAACGTGAGCGAGCACCGCACGGAGGCGGAGGACGCCCAGCAACTCATGTCCGAGGCGCTGTCGCCCTTCCAGGCCCGCCCCAGCACGCACTACTCGCACAGCGGGAACAAGTTCGGGCGGAAGCTGAACCCGATGCTGGACTTGTATGACCGGCACTACGCCATGCACCTGCGCCAGCACAAGATCGAGGGCCGGAGAACGGACGGCACCTCCGACGACCACCAGCAGCACCCGCAGGGCGCCGCGGGCCTCGGGGACGACCGGGCCATGGGTGACGAGAAGTTGCGGTCAAAATTCGGCCACAAGCAGTGTCCCCCGGACGCACAGGACTTAGAATTCTTCCGCATTTGCCGCCGGGAAACAGAGCGGACGACCGCGCAGCTGCTGTCCGAAGCGGATTTGCTGAAAAAAGAGATCTAGGGATTGGAAAAGTCTATGTATCGTCTATTTACGATTTACTGGTTGTAGTATTTTTGCATCACAAACTTTCAATTTCATAAACAAAAAACAAATTATGAAATTATTTCGGTAATCGTGCTGTGAAGATGCAGGAGCAGGTAAGACTCAGATGGTAGATTTGTGTTTGTCATGCAACAATATTGCGATTACGATTAGTACGAGTAACCGATACATAACTTTTCCAATGCATAAGCTCACGACGCGGGAGGTGAAGTTCACGACGAGACGAGCGCAATTGGTGCACAAAATCTACGACACAAACGCGAAGTTTCAGCTGTTATCCGCCGCGGAGGCGGACCAACTGAAGTACGAACTGTCCCTGTTGCGGAAGAGACGGAAACTTTTGAATCTGATGAACGCGTGTCTGGACGAGATTCGGGAGGGGCGGATCGACTTCTTTGCCCGCATCGAGCTCGTCGACAAAGAGGCCGAGCTGCACATCGCGGTGGACGAGCAACTGCTCGCGAAGCACGGAAAGCACAAACCCGCGGAGCTCGCGGCCCGGGTGGCGTGTCACCAGGCGCTGTCCAACGCCTTCAAATTTGACCCGGAGGACGATCCGAACTACGCCGACAACGCGGTGAAAAAAGCCATGCAGTGGGACTACAACGCCGCGGACTTCTATGAAAGTGTCAGAATCGAAATTGACAAAATCGAAAAATTTGTGATGCATAAAATCGATACCAGTTGGAGCCTCAGTTTGTAAGTGGCGCATGACAAATTTCGGGAGCAACCAAATCCAGTCTGTCATGCTGTTTGGGCAAAGAAGACTGCTCCTGTCGTGCTACTCTGGCAGCACATTGCATATACCCAAACACGCTTACAATCAGTCGCATTTGCCTGCTCCCCAATACAGGCCTCCAGTGCCCTACATTTTATGCATGAGAAATTCTTTCAACTTTGTCGATTTCGATCCTCACACATCCATAACTTCCTGTTCGACGAGACGGCGCGGAAATTGAAGGACCTGCAGGGGTATCAAATGCAAAACTGTCTGGGTCTGGAAGAATGCAACTTGTGATGCTGCGCTTGGATTCCAAAAACATCTGTATTGCATGAGTACCAAAGGGAATGCAATTTTTGCTACGCTGAGGAGGCATTTGTCATGCGGAATAGGCATCAAGAAGCCCTCAAAAAATCTGTATTGCTAGGGTATGCATCACCGACATCGTGGCTCGTCATGCAAAACGTGCATGACAAGTTTCAGAATCTTCCAGACCCAGACATTTTTACAGTTGATAAGGGGGTCAACGTGCTGGAGTTGGCCGGGACGCCGGTGCCGGAAAAGCAGGACATGATACACGCGGAGCTGGAGCTGCTCAACCTCGCGATGATAGAACTAGAAAGGGACACGCCGGACGGGTTGCTGGATGACCGACTGAAGTTTTTGGTGGACATTATCCGAACCAAGATAAAACGCTTGAGGATCGTCGCCATCCAGTCGGCCTATAATCTCTTCGAGGTGGAAAACGCAAAAAAGAGCTTGCGAGCCGCCTTCCGACAGAATAACATTGTCGCGTGAGAAGTAAGTTGTCGACGAGCAGGACGAGGACAATGGGGAATGGTTATATATTTTGCTTCAGGTAGGCGAAATTCAAATTCAAATTTTACAGAACTTGACTGATGTCCACGCGGACAGATCGATGCTGTGGACGAGGAGCAAAAGTTGTAGAACCTAGTTATCTGTAATATCTCACCTGCCCTTTATGAATTCTTGTTGTGTCTTGGTATCCCCATGGCACCGTGCTTCTTTTGATTCTGGGGTTATTAAAAAGCCACCCAAAGTTGTGATTCTCATCTCTCGTCTTACTCTTAGTTACCCTGAAGCGACACATGACATCAAACGCTGTACCCCAGTGCTGGAACAAAATACTCTTTGTGGTCGATCGCATTTTCGTTTTCATGGAGGAACTACTTCATCACATGATAACACACGTGAATAAAAGCACGAAACAAGAGCCGCACAGCTCCTTCGTTTGGAGTGTTACGCTACGTTGACGCGTTGCGTTTGCCCCGGTCGAAGAGCTTCCAGCTCTACTTGGTACGACTGTTTTCTTCCTTTGTCGTCTGACCATCGAGAAAGCGAGGAAAAAAGATAGATTTTCCGAGTGAAAATCTGGGGTGAGTGACGGAAGGCAGGGGAATCGGTAGTACTTTCATCTATACGCAGTTTTCTTCACGTTTGTTGGGCAGGCTCCTGCTGAGTATTTCTAGAGATGACTGTGCTCACTGTCACTTCTGATTTATTTGCACTTGTTCGGCTTCGGAAGACCCGATCTGCGAGCGTGGGAGTAAAATAACGAGCAATAAGAGCACTACTTACCGGCAAAAGCATTGTTTATCGTTCCTAGAAGCCTGATGTGAGTCCTTGAGGTTGGTAGGACATTCTCATTATGGCAACTCCTGCCTCCTCTTCTTCGCTGGCGGGAACATCAATCATGTTTTTCCCCAGCGGCCACGCAATGGCGCCACCGCAGCCAACAAGCGGCCAGCACGGATCATTTTCCTGTGGCAGTTCTGGTTCTTCGGGGAGCTGCCCGGCGGAGATGTTGACGTATGAGTCGGTACATGCTCAAATTTCCGTGTTCGAGGAAATGGTGGAAAACCGAAGGCTCGCGAAGCTCATCGAAATGGACGACCACGTGGGCGTCTCCTTCCACCTGGCCACCGGGATCTGCCTCGCGTCGACCATCTTTTTCTTTGCGCAGGTAGCCTTCGTACCCGATCGATGGAGGAATTCCATGGTGATCGCAGGGCTGGTTACAGGTATAATTGAGATTGAAGAGCAACTCGCTTCATTTTTTTTTCCTGGAAGATCAAGATTGTCTTTTGCGGTAGTCTACTAACCAGCCAGCAGGACAGAGAAAGCTTGATTAGACACCACAATGAACAAATAGCGGTGCTTTATATAAATGACAAAATGATGTTGAAAATGATAATGAAGGTGTGGCCTGGCATCACTACCAACACATGCAAGAGATCTGGGAAGACACGTCAAAAGCCCCGACCATTTATCGCTACATGGATTGGTTTGTGACCGTGCCCCTCCAAGTGATCGAGTTTTACCTGATCCTTGTCGCCGCGAACCCAGACGACAACATTTCCGTCCCCGCTTCCCTGTTCTACCGCCTCCTGATCGGCTCCATTTTTATGCTGGGCTTCGGGTACGCGGGCGAGGCCGAGTGGATGGACCGGTGGGGGGCCTTTGCCGCGGGCTGCTGCTGCTGGGCGTACATTATGTACGAGGTAAGTACGAGGAAACAAAGATCACTAAATTTCTTTTCATGAATCACTTCTGTGGGTGTGCTCTCGTCGTGCTGCGGCACCCTGTTGCATTAATGACTTGTTTTATATGCTTTGTACAAGCATTTCGAATTACTCTAAAACGAAATCGCAAACGAACAATATTAAAAGAATAACTTCACACAGCACATGAAACACAGATTTCCTTTGGCGAGGCCGCTCGCATTTCCGGGAAGATGGGGTTGACCGACCGCGATCTGTTCCTGCGCTTTGTTTCGGGCCGCACCAAGGAGGACCTCGAGGAAGAAAAGGAAAACGAAAAAATCATCCAGCAAGCCAAGAACGTGAAAGCCGCTGAGATGATGAAGATGAGCAGCGACATTCACACACCCTCGCTGTTGACCACTTCGGACAACATGCTGCAAGACAGCACTGCAGTGTCGATGGACGACAACTTCATGCAGGAGCACAAAAAAATCATGGAGCAGATGGATTTTTCCATCTCCTCCCCGTCCACAAACAACAAAACCGCATCAAAGAAAGGAGCCCAGCAGGGTGGTTCTGGTTCTCTCTCCTCGCCCAAAATAAACAACGGTCCGCCGTCGGGGCAGAACCAGACCCTCGCGGGAGCACTGGTGACCAGCATGTCCTCCGCCTTGCGGGTGGACCAGGTGAATGCCGATTCCGTGGCGATGCAGGACTACAAGAAACCGGAGGCACAGCTGGCCTTTGAAATTCTGCGGGCGATCTTCATTTTCGGCTGGGCACTCTACCCCATTGGATATGCGGTGAAGGGGGACGGAACCAATATTACGCAGGGGGTGGAGAACACGTTGAATGGTATCTATGATAGGAACTTACTACAATAGTTCATCTGGGGTCTACATCTACTACCTTTTGTGCAAGTAGTGCAATGAAAAACAATAAGTTTCCTTTGCATAGTTGTATCAAATGAAAATAGAAACAACTTTACAGCCGTCTACAACGTGGCCGACTTGATCAACAAAGTGGCCTTCGGTGGGGCAATCTATTACGCTGCCTGTTCGAACGTCGAGGCCGAGAAGGCCGAACTGTACGCGTTGCGCGAGTCGTTAGACCTGGAGATATCGCGAGAAAAAAGTGTTACAGTTACACATTTGTTGGAGCTCTTTCTGCATCACAAATTTTCTCTGTGTGGCAGAGAAAACTTGTAATGCGAAGATCATAAGGGAAAACAGGAAGGAAATGAGGCTGCCAAGCATTTCCTGCATGAGAAAGGTTGTCTGTGTTGCCGGTCTTGCAACACAATCTGTAACTGTAACACTTTTTTCTTACGATAGGAGATGACGCAAAAGCAGTGGCTAAAAAAGCAGGCGAACGGCGGCGAAATAGAAATGGCGGATTGGTACAAGGTATCAAGTGTAAAAATGTCTGGGTCCTCTGGAAGATTGCCAGACTTGTCATGCATATTTTGCATGGCCCCTGATGGCTGTAATGCATGGCCTAGCATCACATATTTCTAGAAGGCTTCCTGATAAGTACCTATTCTGCATGAGAAATGCCCTCTCCGTGTAGACCAAACTGGGCTCCTCTTGCTGGTCATGCAATACAGATTTTTTTCGAATCCGAAGACAGCGTTGGGGCGACTTGCCGTGGTAGCGCTCGGCTTTTGTATGTTGAGGTCGCCGAAAGTGCTTCCTCGCCCACCCCCCGGGGAGGGGATCCTTGACCTGTGGCGCTGGGTGCGGGTGTCCACTACATGATGATGATGACAGCGTGACAAGTTGCAATCTTCCAGACCCAGACATTTTTTCAATCCATACACGGCGAAGTTGATCAAGCAAGCACGGAAGGAACAAATGATCGAGCAGAAGAGAATGTGGTACAGTGCTGTAGTAGTGTTGATTTCATTTCTACGTCCTTCGTCCTCGTCGAGTTTTCTTTTTTCGTACTTTCCGATTATTGAGAAACACTAGTACAAGTACAACAAGCAAGTACAGCCCACCATCTTAATGTGACACCACACTACCACCAGGAAAGCCATGTTCGCAAGTGGTGACGAAGGTGCCGCAGCGAATTAGGCGGCAGGAAGAACGGGATGCTGTGGGGTTTGTGGGGGAACGTGAGATGTACGGACTCCGGTCTTCGAAAAGCGAAACTAGTCTACAAGAAAGAGCGGCTCAAAACTAAAGAAAGAGAAAGCCGAATGACGACAGAACGATCTGTTTAGCTGTTATACATTACAATCATCAAAGTGCTGAAAAGTTTTACATGGAACACTGAGATTTAGCGCACTATGTATTAGTACAAATAGAAAGGAAGAGGAAGAGCAACAAGCCTGGCGAATAGCAACGCCAGCCTGCTTACAAAGGCTCTGTATCGGTATCGCAGGTATTCATTCAGAGGCTGCAAAAGTCTCTTTGCGTATCGATCGATTTTATGGCGAAAGTAAGGTTGTACCACTAAAACAGTAGTGCTGTACATAGCAAGTCTAGACCTCTCCCTGCATGAGTAGAAGTGTATAGGAATAAGTCCTTGTGCAGGCTACATCCCTGTACAAAAACAAGAGCCAAGGCCTACTGCGAACTCGATCGAGCAAATACATGTTTTTAGCCGCGGCGCATAAGGTACCACAAAAAGGAAAAGCAAACAAATGCTCACGCTGACCAATTCAATGTGCAAGACCAAGACTGTGAACACAACGACATTGCACGGCGCCGCTGGCAATGCCGTAGTCTGACAATGTTCCCACTGAAAGAGTTCGCATATGAAAAAGAGTTGAAATCATGGACAAACTTGCACTTCGACCGCCAAGAAACAGACTAAGTAAGTAGATTTTTTCAAAATCACTATACTAGAAGATGAAGAACTAGAAGTAGAACCCCAGTTATGTTCACCTGTGGATCTGGATGAACAATGGTGAGCAGAAAGTAGATCATCTCTACTCGGACCACCCTGATCCAGCGCTCGCGTAGTTCGGAGAATGTTGACATTGTGGTGGCGCTATCCAACCTTTTGGTTCATCCTGTAGTTTAGCCTTGGTGATGGTGGATCATGGCCAAGGAGGTGATCTTTAATACTGAGGGCGCAGAAATGACCGGACTTGGAAATGGGGCAATTTCACACCTGACCATGTAGGATGGAAGTTGAAATGATTTGTGGTAGCATTGGGATTTGGATTTTCTTTTGTAGTGCTGGTTCCGAAGTTGAAGTTTCTTAACTGCAGACACAGACACATACTTGAATGTGCTAGCGGGTAGTACAAAGTCGTACCGACGGCAGAAAAACCCGACTACACGGTCATCTCCCACTACCAGTCAACGTGCTGTAAGTAAAGCCAACCTGTTTAGAAGCCTATCAGGATTAGATTTCAATTGTTGTTTTGTACTCAGCGTAGATGTAATTTGTAAATAGAGTCAAAAATTTGTAAATTACTATAAGTGTCGCGACGACTTGGTCTTTGAGTGTTTATTTGTTCGTCAAGAACGATTTTACGAGAGCCAAAGGTATAGCGGACTCTTCGTCTGGTTTTTTTTATACGGTGTCCTACTACTCAAACTCAACATATATGAAAGAAGCTCCTCTGTAGAAGCTGTTTTTGGTACAGGTACTACTTTTCTAGTCACGATCGACCGGGGGAAAAGCAGTCAACCTCAACGCGGCTCAAAAGATATACTCAATTTCGTTTCTGTCGTTCGCGGGTATATCTGCGAAGAGTATAGAAACGTTTTTGTGGTAGGCACAGAAAAAAGTTTAATCAGACACGACCTGGTAGGGTAGCAGTGACATACTTCCTTGTTATTATTTGCTCGTAATCGTATAGTTTTTCTTCAAAGAAATTTCTAGCACAGCAGGACGAGGGGCCTTGCTGCGAAACATCCTCGCAGCGTTGTTTTATTGGCATTTTTCGCCGAAACACGAGCTGGCAAAGTGAACAAAACAAAGTATTTAAGTACATCATCAGAGATATTCCCTGTATTGTTATTGATGTAGAAATCGTTACTATCCGGTACAATAAAGGTATACGGTCGAAATGTGTTAACCAAAAAAAAAAACCTAACTCAAAAACAAACCTCTTACTCGGACAGAAATTCTCCACTAGCAGGTGGAGCAAAAAAAAAAGGACTTCTCTGGGCCTATCATCCGGATTCGTTGTGGTGTCTGTACCGAGCCCTCAACTGCACACAAGAGGATTTTAGCAATAAACTCACGAGGCAGGAGGTTCACTTCTCTAGAGCAAAAGAAACATCATGCCCGTGAAAAATCTTGTGCCCGCACCGGCCCACTCGTCCGGGGGAAATTATAAACACAGTTCTTCCACTTCGTACCCCTGCTTTGAAGCGCACCAGCAGGACGAACACCCGTATAGCACGTTGCTCACCCCACAGCACGTGGACAAGACGCATCTTTCCAAGAAGGAAAAGGAGAAGCAGTTGTTTGCCGCCTCGTTGAAACACGACCACGCAGTCTTCAAAAAGCAACGGAAGGAACACATGTCGACGCAACAGCTGGTTGCGGAAGTGCGCGAAAAGAGGAGGGCGCACGAGCAGAATGGGCCCGCGTCGATCCGGCAGCCTGCGGGTACTACAACAGGAGCAGCAGCTCCTATGCTTTTGGACGACGATGTTGAGATGATCATGGGACGAGAAGATCCAGAATTTGATACCCACGACGAGAATCTTTTTGCCAGTGCCACCTACCGTGCCACGACTGAGAGGACGACGTCGACCCGTCTAGAAGAGGAACACTTCCCGGCGCCCGGCACTAATGCTTTTGTCGATTCCCCCCTCGCCGACAGTACGGCGGTGATGCTGGCGGAGATCCCGTCGCCCAACCACGGGGAGACTCTCTTGAACAACAAAGCTGCTTGCTCAACTTCTTGTTACCCTCTGGGCAGTAAGCCGCAGCGGAAAGAGTGCAGCGTCTGGCCTGAGTATGAGAAATTCAAGGTGGACGTCACCAACGTGCTCGTGGACTATTTGAATGAACGTATAATTATGGCGCGAGTTTTGATTTTTTTCCGTTCAACATTCCGTCATCGAGATTGTGCAATCCAAATTCACGAGTAAGTACGATATGTCGCATTGCGACGGTCCTTGTTTCCCGCGGTCTATTCACCCAGCATGAAGAAATCCAAAAATCGCGCATAATTATACTTCTACGCTTCCACCCAAACAAAAGCCAGGGTGATATAGATATACAAGTAAAGTATTTGCAATATGTTTAAATCACTTGCTATTCCCAAAAATCTCAACCCAAAAACAGACGAGACCCTCGAGACGTCGATGGATTGCCTGCTCCGCAGCACGTGCGAGAGGGAGAAGTCGCTCCTTGTCTACGAGTGGAGCGACCTGGTGCTGCTCACCGCCTTCAATCTGCAGGTGAACGGTGAGGCGCAGGAAGAGAGACTGTTGGATTTTCTCACGGTTTTTCTCGGCCAAATGAGCAGCGGTGATGGTGTCGGGTCTAAGAACTTTTGCAGCGTGACCACGGAACAAGACTTTGACGGGAGTGATGGAAATACACAGAAAAAAATGTTATCTCCGTTCGACTTGGCGCTCGAAAAGCTGCTTTCCAGGTGGGAGGAGCTGAAAATGGATTTTCCGAGGTTTCCGGAACTTTTGGGAAAAATCCTGGTGCGGCTTGTCCAGGTGAGAATTGGCTAATTGCGGTGCTGCAGAGACGAGAGATAGGCTTGCTGCGGCTCTTGGTGCTGCCACTGCCTGTGCAGAAACAACAGAATGTTTGTGCTCTTTCTTGATCCGTTATAAAATGCGACTGAGTTCGTTCCTCTTTAGTGAAATACTTATGAAAGAAACTGAAACTTCACAGGATGCCCAAGTCTTGCCGGTTTCTATCTTGAACCGGGTGCCCGAGAAGTTTCTTTTGGAGAAGTACCTGTCGGCTGGGACTACAAGTACAAAAAATGCTACTGCAACTGCTCGTTTGGAATTGGAAAATAACTCGGGCGACGAGATTGAGTCCCTCGAGACGACACTGATCGACAACCTAGCGTCCGCGAAGAAGAAAATTAAGGCCATCCTCTCCGAGTATTCCCACCCGGTGGACCGGTCGAGCGGGGCGAAAAAGACCAACGAATCCCACGTGGTAGAGCTGCTGGTCGGGTCGGACCGAAATTTGTTGCAGTTTTACTCGGACGAAGTGGTATGTGGATTTTCTCACTTTCACTTTTGCTGGCTGCTCCTACTGCCGGATTTGCATTTTTAAAAAGTCCACAGGAGGATTCCAGCAAACCTGAGCCATGCAGGTTTAATAGCCTTATCGGCTTCGGGTTCGGCGTGCCTCGTCGAACTTGAGGGGGAGTGCTCATCACAACTGCGTATATGAACTTCAATCATAGATCTTGTGCCTCAGCAAGATGTCTGATGAAAAACATGCAAATAAAACTACAGGTGAAGCTGACTATCTCCGAGTTTCTGCAAAAATCGGGTCTCCACCGCACGAAGGAAGACGCGAAAGAGTGCGCGAACTTGCTGCTGCACCTGAAAACCGCAACTTTATTCCCGAACATCAAAAACCACTTCACTGACGAGAAGCTGGGTCTCGGCCTGCTGCGGGCGATCGGGCTGATCGATGAATTCATCATTGACAGCGGAAAGGAGAAAGTGGAAAAGTTTTTCTTCAACGTGATCGCGGAGTTGGTGGTCAAGATCGACACAGGAGCTGCCGCAGCGAAGAACCAGCGCAGGAACTCTGACAGTGAACAAGGGGCTACAGAAGCGAAACGACCTGGAAGCCGAAGCGCCACCGTCTCCAAGAGCAAGTCACGATCAAACGACGCAGGTCCAGGTTCTTTCTCCCTGGCCAAGCTGTTGAAGAAGTGTCGCATTCTGCACATTCCGGGTGGCGGCGCGGCACAGTGCCTGCTCGAGCGGGTGGAGCTGGCGTTACCGCAGTTTTTCGTGAAGCACTACCTGGACCTGGAAAAAGAGTGCACGAAATTGCTGGACTTGTTCTTCTACAGCCGAGAGACGATGAATAGTACTGTCCTGGCGGCGCAGGAGGCGCAGCAGCAGCAACAAATGATCCACCAAGTGGAACAGTTTCAACAAGAAACCAACATCATCAACAACAACAACGTGGGCAGTGGTCACCAGCACAGTATTTTGAACGGTAGAAGTTCCACTGCTGCGGCGGCACAAAACAAAGTAGCAAAAAACATTCATTTCGAAAACGACAAGGAAACTTTTTTCGCGGAGTTCCAGACACTTCTGGCGAACTGCGAACCTTCTTCAGCCCCGCCGGAGGAAATTATCGCGATTATTGTCAAGTACGCGATTGCGGCCGAGAAAAACCACGAAAGGAAGGCTTCGGCCCTCGGTGAAGTAGTTCTTGGAAATGTAGTTCCACCGGAGCTGCAGCACGAGGGTAGCGCGGTCGGAGCTGCCGGCGCACCGAGCTGTGACCGCTCCGTGTGGAGTGACAAGTCGCCGATGGTATAAAGCATTACGGATGATCACGTGGATAGAAGTCGGGAGTTTTCTAGAAGCAGTTCGGTTTTGCTGTTCATTATTTGCGGGGTAGTGTATTGCATGACGTGAATATTAAGACCTACCTACGTACTCCAATGGCAAATCACCCTTTCAATTTATCGTTCCATCACATCATCTTCAGCCGCCGGCCGCACGCTACAACTCCTATCACGAGAAAAAAGTGTTACAGTTACACATTGTGTTGCAAGCCCAGCATGACAGACAACCACTGTCGTGCAAGAAATGCTTCCGAGCTTCATTTCATACGTGTTTTCCCTTTATGGTCTGTGCATTGCAAGTTTATCTCCCTCTCATACAGAGAAAATTTGTGTTGCTGAAGTGACAACAAATGTGTAACTGTAACACTTTTTTCTTGTGACAACTCCCTGTACAATACTACTAGTTCTTCGTATCCAAACAAGCACGGGAACAACAATCCCCTTTCCGAGTCGCAACAGAGCCAGAGCACGAACTGGCCTTCGTTTCGTGCGTCGGACGATTCGATCGGGTGTGGGGGCGGATGCACCAGCACTAGCGTCGAACACACGGATATCAAACAAAAAAAGTTCGTCACGATCACTTATGCGCATTTTTGCAATACAAAACTGTTTGTCATGCGTAAAAATGCATCACAGCCTAACTTCGTGAGGGATTTCCCTAGTGTTTCTGCAATCCATTGAAAATTTGTGATGCTAAGAAAATTTGTAATGCAAAGCCTGCAAGTTAGTGACTGTGACAAACTTTTTTCTCTTCATAACGGACAACGAAGGAATAATGTTGTCGTCTTCCACTTGTTCGCATCTGGATCACCTAGATGGCAGCGACAGGAAAAACGCGTCGGGAAAAATGGTCCAGCAGGAGCAGCAGGAGAATCTTGTCTCGACGACATCAGTGGTTCACGGTGAAACAAGTACCACCACCACCACCACCACCACCAGCACGACCTCCCGACTTCGCCTGGACGCGCACGCTCTGCACGGCCACGATGTCACCATGGACCAGATTACGGAGGAAAACCAAATCGACTTGGACAACGTCAGCACTACGCACAACAACTCCGAGCCCTGCTTCCGCACGACCAGCTTTTCCACGAACCTGAGCAAAGACACAACACTCCTTTCCCGGACGGGCAGCAGCACGGTGGTTTGCGATGCCGCGGCGTTTGGCGCGATGGTGCTAGCAACCTGTACCGATTTGCTCATTTTCCTCACGACCGGTGGAACGTCAAATTATAACGGCTCTACTTCTACTTCCACTGCTTGTGCTGCTTCTGTCTCTCGTCGCGGCCTTGTGGTGATTCCGAAGCACTGCCTCTGTCCGACTTTCACGGAATTGCTTTTGGAGCAAAGTGATTGCAGCTCTTTCTCAAGTCTGAATGTTGGGTCAACGGCGAGCAAAAAGAAAGACAACCCGGCGCATCTTCATGATCAAGCAGGCCTGCTCGGCAGTTCTTTTGTCGGAATCAGAAAGACCAGCAGCGATCGGCCAGCTGACGAGATCTTCGACCGGAAAGACAAGATCCTGCAGATCGCCGGGAATTGCGAACACCTCTACGCTGAGGGACAGATTCTGTGCTGGGACTAGAAGGGGGTCGCTCGGGGAGGACTGCCAATTCATTCAGCCCGAAAGAAGTTGTCAAAGAAACGTTTCTTTTTCAACCTCTTTAGTTTTTTTACCCTTTATTTCGTAGAAAGCGAACGAACTTGTAAGATTATTTCTGTCCGTCGGTGCGGCAGAGGACACAAGGACAGCAACGTAATAACCGAAGGCTGCTATTCACCCGTTAAGTATCTTGTTATGCGGCAGCTTGATAAGCAGAAAAGAAAAAGGTGATAGAAAATAAGAGAAATAAGAATCGGCAGTAGATTCATTTATCGAGAACAAAGTCCTAGTTGGAGCCTGAAGCTTTTTGCGCGACCACTAAAGCCACGACTCACACGACCTAGGTTATGTGCGGCGTCCTGTGTACAGCACGCGATCTTGTTTTATTCCCGTTGTAGGCCTAAAAAAAATTGCAAATCCTTCAGCAATGTAGTGGCTTCCCGCGAAGATCCCACCGGCTGTGTGCCTCTACGAACAAAGTGCGGTCGCGTGGAAAAGTAAAGAGCCCCATTAGACAGCAGAATTGCTGGATTCCTGCAACAGCAGCAGTACTGTTGAGACGCTCCAGCACTACTTTCGTTATTTCGACTTGTGCTTTTGTGCAGCTAAAAGATAAACTTCGGGCTATCAAAGTTACGAGCGCTGAGGTAGTTCTGCTGTACCTTGTTATCTTGCGAAGCAGGGGGTCTTGCTCTTCGAAGGTTTCCAGCTGTGACGCGAAAGGCAAGATCGTATCGATATTGTGCCTGTCACCTCAATCATTTCCAATGTTTCAATAGCATAGATTTAGATATATTTTTGGTGCCGCTACTGCCAAGCCCCGGCAGTGGACCATATAGAAACATTCTCGCACTAATATTTTTGGAAAATCGTACACTATGATACCAGCAAAAGTAAAAAAAGCTTCATCAAACCAAATCCAACAGCGTAATATGGAAAGTCAGAAGAGAATCTTGTCTTCTACGTGGCTACTACCAGCACATGAGCCTAAAAATTACTAAGCGAACGAGTAGCGTTTGTGTACCTATATTCGTCTTTTTCTTGAAAAAAAGTACTACATTTTCCCAGAGGACGAAAACGCGATTGAGTATATGTTTTAGAAAGTTTTCCTCTTTTCAAGTTGTCATTTTCCCTGCCTGCTAGATTCTGTTTCCGGAAGGAATGCCGGTAGGTATATTCATGTCCGGCGTTCTTTTCACAGTGACAGAGCCTTCGGGTGAGGGGAATGAATCATTTTGACCTACTTATTGAGTAAATGATGTTTAGCAATCCACATCTCCACATCGAGCTTTACTTTACGTATGAAGAAATGCCCCGATTGTAGTATGTTGGCTTCCCGTTCCACAGAGATCCACCTCACTACAGCCAAGAGTCGCAAACTAAATTTTCGCGTATTTCCGAAAGAAAAGTTAAGAAGTACCTAGTACAAGAAAGAAAGAGTTATACCCCATTGAAAGAGACAGATTTTGGACCACTAGCAGTAAGTCTAAGTTATTTCTAACGAGCACAGACACAGGAAGACAGAACTGTTGTAGAGCAGACCTCTTCAGCCCGACCTAGTAAAATAAACCGGAGTTCGGCGACCGACCTGCTGGATTGACAAGAACTTGATTTATTCCCTGAGATCGTTTGCGATCACGATCCGCTGGCTCCCTGCCGTTTCGCCTGCCACGACCCGTAGTACCAGTCGTGCGACTGTATCAAATATTTAAGTAGATGAATCGAGCTTCAGCGCAGATGTCACTCGCGTGCCATCAACGAATCTACTTCATCCCCTGGTGCACCTACCGGCGCTTATAAATAAGATAAGTACTCTATTCATCGTGGATTATTACTATCAGTTATGGCTATTTCGATTTCCGGCTTGGGCTTGGCCTATACTACTGCCTCACGAAACCACACCGGTTGCCGGCTGGACTGGTGCACATGATGCAGCGCTGGCCTGTCAGCAACTAAGAAGTAGAGGTGGACGACCGGACTCTTTACACAAATCATCTACACTCCCACCTAGACAAAACGGTTTAGCTCAGGTTTGGTCGGAGCATACGACGACAAATCACGAGTCCCGCAAAGATGCCTCGCGATTAATTTGTTCCGAGCCGGCGATACTATCCGTACCTCCCCTCAGTTGTGGTCGTGGATGATTGATCTTTAAAACCTTTAGAATTACACTTCCCAGCAGAACAAGTCGAGCAAAGTTTCTTCCGCGGAGCGTTTTCTTCTGCTCAGAAAATAACATTGCCTTTTCCGTCCTAAAGAAACAGGTCTTTTCAACATCTGCAGCCCTGTCCATCTTCCCATGACAGCTGTTGCAGAAGTACAAAGAAATAAAAACCGCATACGACACTTTCATACGACCGTCTAATATCTTTCACATGGTTGTATCCGCATAGTTTCCACAACATCGACTTCCAAAGATATGGACAAACGTCTCCTCGTCCGCCGAAAAGTACAATATAAATCGAGTTTTTTTCCGACCCCAAACAGAACAGGAGCTTTTTCCATTGATTTCCCTATGGTGGATTATACTGCGGCGCTGCATGATTAGGCAGCTCCTTGTGCATGAAATAAAAAGGAACTCATGCGATCAACGCGAGTAAACTCATCGCCGGAGCATGATCTTTTCGGACGGTCGGCGGGCATGGAGAGGAAAGTTCAAGTCGCTCTGTACTTTGCCTACCATCCGTAAGTATAATAAGGTGAGTTTATTTCTGTGAGCCTTTTATTTCGGTGGATGATTTTATTTGTAGGGAAAAATCAATCGCTGGCTCCTTCTGTAGAAAATTTCATTTTACCAAGTACTCGATTCCTGAGGGCCCCCTCACTCGCTGTTGGGGCTTTCAGGCGTCGGAAAAACAAAAACCTTGTGGTCGGAACCGGAAGAAAAGTCAATTCTATAGAGGAATCAATTTCACAGCCTTGCCACTGGTATTTCAATCTCGGGGCAGTGAAGAATTTTGAAACCAGGCATTCCACTTGACTTCTGCTGGACGTGTTTTCTGCAGCAAGAAGAAGCTTTGTTCTTGACTTTCACCCGACCTCAGGAATGCGAAGCGATGGCGCCGCAGATAGCATTGACGGCGTTGCAAGTGGACGAAAGAATTACTGATATCAAAATGGACCACCTACAACATGTTTTGTTGCATCAATGAATAGAAGCTGAAAGATGTACAGAACCATCCTCGAACTCGAAATTTGTTTAGAGGGTGCACGAACACCAGTAGACGAGGCTCCGGAATGAATCATACGAGCTCGTCTCGTGCACCATCACGATCACGATGCACGACGGAATGATTGTCGTCTACTCCTACTGAGTGACGGATTTTGTATCTGAGTAGTACATAGATCCCCTGGTGATCTCGATCCATCTGGCCAACACTTGTGTTTGATGCAGACAATATTCAGAGGAGTTGTTTGTTTTTTTAGCGATCCATTGCTTTCTATTTCTTTCTTTTTGCATTGTATTCCTTTTTTACATTTCATTCATTTCATAATTACCTGCCTTATTACTTCGAGTAAACGTAAAGGAACCTTCTGTTTTTCCTATATTCAAAACGAGCGAGAAAAACCATGCTGGGATTTTTATTGTCGCCCCGAGGACCGCGCCTCTCCACGAGGGACAAAATGTCCGCGCCAACCGCTCCTCGCGCCGCGGCCACATTGCGGCCGATCCCCACTACGAAGCGCACAGCGACCAGCACAGCAGCAGCAGTCTTTGCGTCTTTCCTTGCAATTCTTTGTTCATCCGTGGGAACAATATCAACTATGCGAGCAACTACACAAACACAAAAAATTTTTACAATTTTTGTAGCCGCGACAGCAGCCGCTGCCACAGCAGCAGCGGAACAAGAACAAAAAGTCGCAACATCCGAGGATAAAGCCACCAGCACAGGTGGAGCAGAAGAGGACGTTGAAATTTCTGGTTCCGAAGAAAAAACAGGAGAACTACCGGTGGAAGTAGATGAGAGCAATAAAGACATCGACGCGGACCAGCATCTGCTCCCCTTTTCCTCGGGCACGAAGACTCTCGCGGAAATCAAAAAAATGCTGAACGAAGACCCGAAGCTCGCGACCAAGCCCTCCCCCCACGGGGAGACGCCACTGCACGTGTCGGCGATTCTATTGAAAGAAAAAAGTTCGTCACAGTCACTATTTTTTTTTTTTTGAAAAAAAATTGCATCATTTTCAAAATCGAATTCGAGCGTCGGCGAACTGGCGAGTCTCCGAAACCTGGTTTGTATCTTGTTGATTTTGATCTAGAAATATTGAATGATTGCTGGTTCCCTTAAGCTAGCTAGTTAAGAAGAGAGAGGCGGAGCAGATAATCGCGGATCGCCGGCGGACAGGAACAGCACGATGGGGCAGCACGTTTCTGGCCCCACCTCATAACACAAAACGTCTAAGTACCCCATCCTCCTTTGCTATGCTGATGAAAGCCTCTTGATGCCGAGATCGAAGATCTGTGATGCTCCTAAAACCTTATCTCCTGGAAAGCTCCTTGCCTAAAGGGCCTAGATCTAGAGCCTCCTCGTAGCCAGCGGCAAGCTTGGCCTCTATGCATGGCGGCCCCTTTGGCCAGGATCCAGAATTCATGCCAGTTCTGAGATGGATCAAAAAGAAGCGATGCGCTCCGACGATCTTCTGATGCGAAAAGCTTCTCGAATCCGAATTGCGTGGCTCTTACAAATCTGTAATGCGTGCAGTCTGATTTTGAAAAAATCAAAAACCATATAACAACGTCCAGGGGTTAATTTTGATTGGCTTTGTCGCAGACGAGTCGATACTATCTTTCTATGACTACTCTTTTAGAACATCGCTGTCTTTGTTTCGGCATCAAGATAGTTTTCAAATTCCATCTTCGCATAGTTATCCTTCATCGCGTCCGCGCATCGAATCCCGTCCAACTTCGCCGGATCGAATTGTTATCAAGATGTCTGGTCGCCAGGAGATTGTCTTGCAGGCCAAGACCTCGGGGAATTACGGTCCCCTGACCGCCCCCGAGAAGAAGCGCGAGGCGGCCCGCCTGGTCGCGTGCATCAAGGCGATCATCAACTACCTGAAACCGTTCGACGTGCAGGACTTGATCCGCGCCCTGCAGGATGCCTATGAGGATTCGCAGAAGAAGCCCGAGGAGAAGATTACCGGGACCAATTTCTCGGGACAGAACTACAAAAGTATACCATAGAGTGCTCTCCTTCAATTTTGAATTCTTTGCTTTTCCGCATTACAAGATACCTTTTTGGACTTCGGATGAGCATCTAGCTTTGCAAATCATGAGTTTCTCATGCGTGAATCGAAAAAATCCATACAGCAGATGGATGGCGAAGCATTCCGGTGAAGTTTCTGACCAAATGGATCGCTTTGATCTTTGGTCTTGATCAACAGGACGTGCAGAGAGTTATCAAAGACCCCGAACAGGCTTGGTTGCTGTTCAAATTAATGGGTCTCGAAGATGAACATGTGTAATAATTTGCTTGTTTTATTTTTTCAAATCTGTCATGCGTGTTTTGTACTTTTGTAGTCGATGCGTACTGTCGAAATATTCTGGCTCACAGGAGAAATGAGTGCTTCTATATTTTCGCAAAAACAAACGCATCACAGCCGCCGACCGGCAGTGGGTCTTGCGCTACGGAGTTGTCCTGCATCAACGAGTTGAAGTGGTGGAAAAGCCACCGCCCGAAATTGTTCCGCGGTGCCGAAAAAGAACTTAAGCGCTTGATGCGCGGCCCGGACGTCCCTTCCTCCAGCAGTGAAGACTCCGACGATGATTCGGTTTTTGGTGGGAAAAAGAACGACGAGACAACGGATTCTTCTTCGGGCCGGAACGACGGCCGGAAGGGAAAGCGGAAGTCGAAATTGAACAAAAAGTCCAAGGCGAAAAAGAAGAAGAAGGCACTATTTGAATTTGTGACCATGCGAGAAGTCGTCGTTCTTTTATCCCCTGATGCCGAAATCCCGCATGACAAATTCAATTAAAGTTGATAAGTCTTAACTTTAAAATAAATACAGATTTCCAAGTTGGCCCTGGTCGACCGCAAGCCGCGGTTCATGCTGGATGATGGCGATGGATCTTCCTCCAGCGAAGCGCCCCGCGGTCGTTCCCGCGCCAAGGGTCCGAAAAAGGACAAGAAGCGCCCCCGCAAGGGGGCGACTTCCTCCGAGGAAACGCCGGCGAAGAAGAAGACCAAGAAAGTCCGCGAGCTGACCCCGCACCCGGTCCGCTACATCGGCCCCGGGGGCGTGGGGTCCTCGCGGGATGTTGCCCGCCCGCCCGCCCGCCCCCCACGGTCCAACAAGTCGAACACGTCCACCGACGTGAAGAAATTGAAAAACAAGACGTCGATTTTGTCTTTGCCGGCTGGGAAGAACAAGAAAAAGAAGCACTCCGAGGAGTATTCCCGCGGCGACTCCTCCGAAGGAGATACGATCGAGACCGAGTCGGATTCCCGAGACCTCTCCGACGAACTGGACGACATGTTCGGCGATGACGAAGAGATGTTGGGATTTGTGAGTGATTCCGGGGTGGAGAAGAAGAAGAAGAAGGCCATGAAGCAGGCCAATCCCACCCAGTCTTCCGCCGGCGGATCTCAGGCTACCCCGAAGAAGAAGAAAAACACTTCGAAGATGCAGCTGTTGTCCCCGGCTGCCACTCCGGTGGGCAAAGGAAAAAAGGCCGCCGCCGCTTCCGCCGAGAAGAGTACCCCGATGAAGGCCCGGATCAAGGTCGCGACCACTGATGATCGCCCTGCCCTCGGGTCTCGCTTGTCGGGGAGAAGCCGCCTGGACCGTGACAGCAAGGAGTCCGCCAAGCGCCGCGGCAATGTCACGCCGTCTTCGGGGCGGAAGTCCCGCGCTTCCCAGAGCTGTATGTTTGGAAAAATGTTTTCCACGTCGCCATCAAAGTCAGCTTCTTGCATGACAGATTTGCACTTTTCAGCATGACACACCTGTAGATTCTCTTGTAGCGGTGGAAACAAGTAGTCCTGCAATAGAATTTGTTCTCTAGCAGCATGACAAATCAGGGCGTGGAGCAGTTTTCCTTCCCATAAGCCCGCAGGTGGGTACCCCGGTGATGAAGAAGGCTGATCCGAAGCGCGGCTCGTCTCAGGCCGGCACCCCGGCGGGAAACAAAGGTACTCCGCGTACCCCGCCGATGAAGAGCGCCACCCCGGTGATGAAAAAGGAAACTCCGATGAAGTCCCAGCAGGGCGCGGAGGGTTCGAAATCGAAGTTGCCGCTGCAGGAGAGCAAAAAAGTCGGCCCTCCGCCCGGAAAGGAGAATGCGAAGACGCCGGCCCCGGGCGACAAGGACTACCAGCCCACCAAGGAGCAGATGGCCCAGGTGGAGAAGTTCGAGAACATGGTCAAGGACAAGATGAAGGAAGTGGGGAAGTGGAATTTGGAAGAAGAAAATGGAGAGAAGAAAGATAAGAAAACCCCGGAGAAGAAGGCGGAGAAAAAAAAGGAAGGTGAGTAACTCCTCGACGACCTCATCTCCGCACATTACCTGGCGAACTTTGAAATAGTTCTACCAGTCCTTCTTCTCCTGATGCAGTGGTACAGCACCACTCAAAACGGACGATTTTGAAAGTAATTTTTCCGGAAATAATTTCCGGAACTTCATCTACCAATACAACCAGAAAGATATAGGAATATCCAGCACAGCAATGCAGCGGAGCCGGGGATACGGAGACCAGCCTTCGAGTAGGCTCCACAATAATTTACAAATAATTATCACGAAGAATAGCTACGGGCTATACCGGATATAAACAAGCAGTGCCACCGACTACACTTTTCGCTGGGTGTCCAGCATGACAACTTCCACTTCTCCTCCAGCAGCAGTTTCCGGAGCTCACCACAATACTTTCTAGGAGGCGGAGAAATGATTTTGGTGCAGTTTTCGCTGTCACGCGGTGTCACGCGGTGGCGCGGAAGCTGCTGGCGGAAAAAATATTTATGTAAACACACATTTAATTTTGTTTCTTCACTTGATCATAGAAAAGCACATTTGTCAAGCAAGTCTGCTATTCAGATTTTCATCTCGAAGAGAGCAAAATCATCAGACCACGGCTCGACCTTGATATGAGTATGAACATTTGTTTTTGGTAGAGCCGGAAAATACAGCTCCTCGCACCAGAGCAGTCGCCTCATCCTCCGGCCGGTTGCCCGCCTTGCTACAATGTTCACGTTGTTCCCGCACCGGTTCCACCTGTTTTCTCCTTCGCATCCGATCCTGCAAGAGTCTCAGGCTCACCAAAATCAAGACGACGCTCTCCACTGGAACAAAAATGGCCTGGTCTAGCACGAGAAACCACAGCTCTGATCTTCCACCACAATCCACAGCGCCGCGAGACAAAAACGATGATCTGGAGCGGTTCCATTAGAAGCTTCAGCGCGAAGATGAAATTGGTTCTGGAAAAGGGTCGAGCAACTTTGGTCCTTGGGTCTTTCGCACGAACGGTTCCGAAATGAAGAAAAAGCCGGCCTCTCATGCAAATCCGCGACGATCTTTTGCTACGTAATTTTTACATTTTGCCTTTCCGTCGTTGCGTCCTCATGCGTTTCGATATGCAAGCACTTCCAGGGATTGCGTTCTGCACTTTTGCGCAGACGAACAGCGGGCGAGCTTCGCCTTTTCTAGACGTTTAGATAGAAACAACTAAACTATCATCATTTCGCATCTTCGACCTTCGTATTGCGCATCACAAATATTTCGAACTGCTGCTTGCAGCTGAAAAACAAGTTCAAAATGGCTCAGGTTTATCCAGTGTCAAACTCTCCTCAGCCAAAAACTGTCATGCTGGCGACGTCTTCTTTTGCAGATCCACGACATGCATGAATAGCATGACAGATTTTGGCTGTGGAGAAAGTTTGCCATTGGATACGGACACCAAGAAACTGGTTGAGAACGGCGTTCTCTACCTGCAGCGCATGCTCGCCCCGAGCGTCGCCTGCAACTGGCAGCGGCAGAAATTTCCCTTGCGGAAAAAGTGGGCCGAGTGGCGCTGCAAACTGGAGCAGGATGAGGTCTGGATCATGGCTCAGGGGCTCAACTTGGAAGCTGGGTGCTGTAAGCGTGAGATGGGACAGGAGATGGCACAGCTGTCTTGTTCGTGTAGAGTTTTTTTGTTCTCCATGGGCGTTAGCTTCAAGATCCACTGCTCACGTGATGTGCTGCTCTCCCTACATCGTATGAAAGGTTGAAAGTGCTTTGCAGAGGCGGCTCCGCTGTTTCCGCGTAGCCTTTCGCCAACTCCACCAGCCTGGCAGGCAGCATTACAAATTCCCTCTCGATGAGAATTCCGCATGACAGATTTCATATTATGTGCTTTTCCGCATTACAAATTTTATCAGGCCCTGTTTCTCAAGTGGATGAAGTCGCGCGGGTACAGCGAACAGGTGAAGATGTGGCTGAACAGTGTCCGCTTCAAGCCCGTGGACCTCGATGACGACGACCGTTTGCTGCTGGTGTCGCAGGCACTTGAAAAGGCGTACACCGAGGACGAGATGTCGTACCACATGCAGCTGGTACATGTTTATTCTGTTAAGGATTCCAATCGGTTCGTATTTCGTATTTGATGATAGCAGCCTTCGTTGATGCTCCTCTGCCGCTGAGCTGGTCGCATTTTCCCGCTTTTCCCCGTGGATAGAAAAACAAACTGCTATCAGGTTTCCCTCGTTCGCGGTACGCTCGACATTGTGATCTTCATGTGCAACCTGCTCGGCAGTGCCCGCTTCGAGTACCCGGCCGAGTACAGCAAGATGAGTGACCAGGTGTGGCAAAAAACTTTGAACATTCAGACCGATGACAGCACCAAGGGACAGGAGAAAAAAACCTCCTTTGCGGTACAGTTCTTGCTTATTTTCTAGCTTGAAAACGTTTGAAGTTTAGATTTTGTGATGCAAAAGCGCATAGATGAAGATCGCGACATCATGCAAATTGAAAAATCTGTCATGCACAACTCAGGTGTGCTTGACATTCCTGCTGCAGCCCGTCCGCAAGTACGTCACCTACTTCTACCCGTTGACTCTCCAGCGTCCGAGCCAGCGGATCCAGGGCGGGCGGAACCCCACCCACTCCACCGCGCAGGGCAAGGCCGTCGACCTGTTCCGGCTGATCCATTGGTTGGGGGGCGGGGCCTTGGTGAAGAAGTTGCTCGGGCCGTTTTCTTCCGGGTGGAGGCACACCGTCGTTATCGACGGCGACCAAGACGAGAGTCAAGTACGCAGCGGCTTGGGGCTTGGGTTGGTGTTATGCTCAGTCACGAGACTGGGCATACACCACCGCCTTAGCAACATCGTCAACCGCATCTACATCGGCCTCGCCCGGGTCCGCGAGTGTCTCCGCGACTTCCTGCGGGGGCAGTACGCCCGCAATTCGCTCCGGGGTGCATACGAAGATGCGCGGCAACGTTTGATCTCGAAGTGCCTGGACGAAGGGTTTCGCCTGCAGCGGGTGGAGCGGCAGACCGGGCTTTCGACCCTCGAAGCCTTGAAAAAATGTACTCTATTTATTGTGATTTCTAGCATAACAAACTCTATTTCTAGCATAACAAATTCTATTTCCATCTCGCATGAACATGTACGAAAAGAAAAGCGCGCACTTCGGTTCATCGGAGTTTGCTTTTGGAAAAGCTAAAAGCGCAAGCTTTGTCATGCAAAGTTGCAAGCTTTTCCGTTTTCAAAGTTGCGCGCTTTCGACTTGGAGATAATCTCCAAAAAGTTGCTTTTTGGAAATGACTTGTCTTCGTCACTCGGAGAAAAAAGGGTCAAAAAATTGTTTTGAAACGGGGCAAAAAGTGCAAAAAAACCAAGGTCTTTTGCTTTGGAAAATTGCGACTGACGAACTTTTTTATCCCGAGCTATTGCCAAAAAAAGCAACTGCGACAAACTTTCTAATCCCCACCTAAAACTGCTTTTTTTCCTATTTCAAAAAGTTGCTGTTTTTTTTTTCCCCCACCTATATGCAAACGAAAAGTGCTAAAAAAAACTGTCCGTCACTGCGAGAAAAATCGCGTGTACCGGGCGGATTCCAATTTCTTTATTTTTTTCATTTTCAAAAAGTTGCACTGTTTCAAGTAGCGACGAACTTTTTCCCCCACCTGAAACTGATTTTTTCTTTGCTCAGTCACTGCAAAAAATGTGATGATTCGTGTTTCGGTGGGGGGTCCAAAAAAATTCCGAGCGCGCGAAAAAAAAACAGTCGAGTGACTTTGAAAATGAATGCTCAAGCACCAACTTTTGAAAAATCTTTTTCGATGTTTCGAATGCAAATAAAATCTCGAAATCACAGGTGCGTCGCTCACGAACATGGTCGAAGCGAGGTGGTTCGCCGAGTGGGCCGTTGCTAAATGGATGCTGCGGAACCGCGAGGCTGTCATCGCCATCCTGAAGGAAATGTTGTCGCAGGAAAAAGGAACCCGCGGGCGGATTGCGCCGGACGAGAAGGGCTACCCGTCTCGATATGACGACGGTGAGCCCGTGGAGTTCCTGGATTTATTTCCGCAGCCGCTCGTGCTCACGGAGGAGGGCGAGGTGCTCGGGATGAGCACCGACGTTTTCAACGCCGACACAGGTCAGATGGTTGCCGCCGAAGCGGATCGCGACGCCACGATGACGGATTTCGAGAACCAGCTCGTCGTGAGTGCCAATGGCCAAGAACCGCTGCCGGGTTTTCTTTTGCCCCCGGAAGTCGGCGATGCGATGGAAGTCGATCAAGAGGCGGCTCCTGCTGCGCCCGAAGTTGCTGTTCCGCTGGAGGATGAACTGCTGAGCGAGAACGTTCCGGATCCCAACGATCCGGATCCGATTGCGGCGGAGGAGAATGTGGACCAAGAAATACGAAGTGCAAAACTTTACCGCAACACTCCAAATTTGAAAACAGAGAACTAAAATCTCGCATGACAGATTCTTTCACTCCGAACTTCTGTTTTCAAATATCCGGGTGGCGGTAAAGTGTGCACTTTCATAACTTGAAAACGGCGACAACAACCGTCGCGGGAACGGCCGCCGCACCGACCGCCAGAGAACGCAGGACTTGCTCGATGCGCTGGAAAATGTCGAGGAGGACACCGCCCAGCACTACTCGAACTGCGTAAAAACCTACCACGACTTCCACAGCATGCACATGTCCGTGACCGGTGGTGCGCTGCAGGATCCGATCAAGAAGCAGGAACTGAAGGCCACGCACGGCGCAACATTCCCGTGGGCCAATTTGGAGGAAAACCACCACGAATTCTTGGTCTCCGTGGAAACCCACATGCCGGACTTCCTGCTGCAGGCCATGCGGGACACGGTGGAACACGTCCACGACATCCGGGAATTGTACGCGGTGATCACGATGCTGGTGTTCACCATGAGGTATTACCTCTATGTGGCCTTTGATCCGTGCTACAATTTGTGGTATTCGATTGCGTACCGCACCGGATTGTCCGACCAGCACATCACCCACGAAGCGGTCCGCGCCGATGTGCTCCGGGAAGAGAAGAACCCGCTGCACCGCCGCAAGCTCAGCGTTTTTGCCAAATACATGCGCAGCTTGCTCAATAACGATTATGAGCTTGCAGAGGAGGTGCTGAAATTGGTGTGCATCTCCGGCGCAACCGGGGACTTTGAAGGCGAGCGGCACTGGAGGTACGCCAGTGTCGCACAGAAGATTTTCCGCAACCTCGCCGGCCGGTTCCGTTTGAGCTTCGGCCGCCTCCGCTGGGCCGAAAAGTGTATGAATTTGTACGAGAAGATTCCGAGCTTGTGGGGCTCGGAGACCCGCCACTCCCCCGCCCCGGTGTCCCAGATGCGCTCGATGTTGAGTCTCGTGACCAACCCGGTGTCCACGGAGTTGTTCAAGGATGAAGTTGCCCGGGTTGCGAAAACTTCTCCTCCGCTGCAGGCGCAGTTCAAAGCCCTCGAGGACCTGCGGAACAGCCACCCGCTGCCGGCGCCGATGCAGGAGATTTGCGACCGGGTCCGCTCTGAGAATATTCGATGAAAAAGCCTCCTTTTCCAAAAATCTGTCATGCAAAATAGTTACATCTTGGATTGGTACAAAAACCCAGTTCTGCATAGCTAATTCTTGGAAAAGGAGTTTTTAAATCGGCATAATTTCTCTGAGCACCGACATCTCGTGCAGCGCCATCACGTATTTCAAGCCGGGCCTGGAGATCGCTGGCCATTTGAAAGCCAGCAGGGTGGAAGACGAAAAGGACATCCCGATCCTCGAAGAATGTGGAAAGCGGGTATGGGAGTGAATTTCTGGATCACCAAGCACACATTTGTCATGCGTAAATAAAACAGTCTTTTGCAATGCAAAGAAGCAAGAAGTGGTTATTTGTGTGTCTTGGTTTTCCAGAAATTCACCTGCGTATCTGGTTGATGATTTCCTCCGCCTCCGCCACCGCACCAACAAGCACAAGCCGTTGTGTGCTATCGACGAGGAGGACGGCACGCAGGGCATGGCCATGTGGTTGGTTTTGGGAATCACGGGGGGATGGTGGTTCGGAGTGTCCATGGCGCGCATGTTGGGCAACCAGTTGGTCTTCATTTTGGATCCGGATTCGATGCAGCCTGGCTGGGGTTTGACGGCCCACCTCTCCTTCATGGAGATACGAATTGAAAATTTGTGTTGCAGATTGTCAAGCTCCGTTTCTAGAATGTCCTGCATGAAAACCGAGTTTGTCATGCAAAAATGATATTTCTAGTTGCCTCCGCTGCTGCAACGCAAATTTGTAATGCATACCTCGACTACAAGATCTCCTTCTTCCACGGACAGGCGCGGTTCCATTTCGATACTGCGAACTTCGTCGAGTTCAAGGTGGCTTTGATGGAAGCAGTGGGGCACCTGCCGTCCACCATCTTGAAGGATGTGGTGCGGATCTACACCGGGTTGGAGATCAAAAGCGAGCCCCCGGCGGCTACTCTGCGCGAGATTCTGATGCAGCTGGTCGACGAGTCTCGTCCGATCGAGGCCTGCAAGGAGCGGGTCCGTCAGCTGCTGGAGGACCGTGCCGTGGAGTTGAGCGGAATCAACGACGAACCGCTGCTGAAGCGCCGCCGCAAGGAGCGGATGAACAAAAAGGGATCGATTTTGGACTCGATCCCGGAAGCTGCCGGTGACCGCAAGGACCGCACCGAGCTTGGCCGGGTTATGAATACCTTGCAATGGGCGGTCGTCTGCACCTGTTGCAACGAAGATGTCTTCCTGGTCCGCCGCAGTATCCGCCGCACCGGCAGTGGCGGCGCGATGTTGCGGTCCATCTGGCCGGCCAACGCCGACTTTTCTGTGCTGGATAAGAAGCCGCAGATGACGACCACCATCGCCGGACGCACGGACATGATCAAGATTATCGAGAACACCTTCTGCTACGCCGCCCGCCGGTTCCACTCCTTGACCTGCAAGGACTGCGACGAGCTGATTGTCCAGGAGCGCAGCATGAAGAACCGCGTGGACGAGGTCCTGGACATGGCTGCGGATTTTCTCCCGGACAGTGATGACGATGATAATGAGGACCTGTTTGGCTAGGCTCAGAGCTGCCTGCAGTGGTGGTTTCACAAGTAGATCGCGATCTACAGATGCGATCTACATCAAATAACGTATACAAAACTTCGATTTTATTTTACAACCAAAGATGGTTGCAGTTTTCCATTCTGGTCTAGATCTCATGGTCGAGTAAAAACATATTTATTTTTTCTACCGACAACACAAAGACCAGATGGCCACTCAGCATGACAAATTCTTAGATTTTTTTGTACTTGTTATTTCTAGGTCCACCAGGCTTGCAGTCTTTTGCCTAGAAAGTCGCCACTGCTGCTGCTCTATCCGCAGCTGTTTGTGGTGGGGTAGTTGTGTCCTCCGGGGTGGCTTCTTTTCCGGTATTTGTATTGCGTAGAAGCAAACAAACTTATGAGAAAACGGCACCAGAATCGCACGACACCTTCACAAAGAGAAGTACGAAGAGTAAGAACCTAGACAGACTGCATCAAAACACTGCTCTTTTGCTGTTGCTGTAGGCCTAGGCTTCTCAGCACCGCCTCTGTATCAGTGGATTTTCATTCAAGAAGAAACTACGCGTGAGATTTATTCGATTTGAAAATTTTCAGGACGACTTCGCTTCTGGTCCGTGAAGAGGTAGCTGGGGTGCAGCTGCTCTGTGGTCTCAAGGACCACGATGAAACTTTGGGAACTCAACATGAAGAACTTTTACGGGATTAGCTCGGGCATTTTTCAAATGAAAACACTGCTTGAGTTACTTGCTCGGAACCGCCTATGAGTATTTCCCTCCCGCCAGCACCTGGCGAGCAGAATCTGTCATGCTGCCACCAGCTTGTTTGTCGTCTTCTGCTTTCCGTTTCGTCTCTTGCTGGTGCGCTGTCTTCTGCTCCTTGATCCAGAAATTCCAACTCTTTCACCGAAGAAGCAGCAGCTCGACAGATAATGTGCTCGATAGCATCGTAGGTTGTAGGCGATCCGGAAATATGGTTGTAAATTTTCCGGCTCCCATGTGGTACAGAGAGGGCTTCAAGTCATCAGATCTAGGGGCGCCAGCGGGTTGTTGGCATTGTCGATTTTATTCAGCATCTGCTCCAGGTTGTCCGCTTGACCGATTTCCTCTTTTCCCAAAAAATATTCTTCACACCAGGACTGCTTGGGTTTTAGGATGTAGCTGAGATGGTGTGGGTAGAGTGTGAGAGTTCCGGACCACCGTAGCCTGTGATTATGTTTGATAATTAATATTTTGCACGACCGTAATCCATAGAGTGGCTGAAACCCCACATACATGAGCCTTGCGATTTTTCCCATGGAAAAAGCCTGCATTTCCGGCGGTTACTGTAGCGGGGCGGTGCTGCTGCTCAAGCTACCTACGGTGACCAGCGCAGGACATAGTCATCACCTCCTGCAAACACACAAATCACGAAAAGAGTCCGTACATTGGGTCTGCCGGTGGTATGGAAATGAAAAACTCACTACCTACCACTGCTCCCTTCACTTCCGCCCCTTGAAAGGCGTCCGCTGGGCGCCTTTTTACTGCATTGTGCATGAGAAACGGCCTCTTTGATGCGCTGCGCATGACAAACTGCCTTTTTATCAGCTATTTCTGCATGACAAGCTGCGAACACATGCAGGCTCGCCGTGTTTTACTACTGGAGAAGTGAAAACGCAGTAGGAGGTAGTGGAATTTTTCAAGAGGTATGACTGGGGGCCAGGTTGTTGTTCACGAGCTCTTGAATCGGTAGAAAATAGGTCCCGGCATAGTCGTGGTCGGGGCCAGTGTTGCTCCGCACGTGGAGGAGAAGCACGTCCAGGCTCTGCACGGTGAAGCCTTGCCCACTCTTCCTGGTATTTTTGTTTTAATACATTGATACTTCGATGCTTAGAAACTGGTCGCATGCGTTCACTTTCCAGTCCAAAAACTATAAAAATATCAACTGCCTGCGCATCACAAATCGTCTCGATTCTTTTTGCCCTAGAGCATGCAGCAAAGCCACGGGGTAAAGGGGCAATACCTGGCGGCACTGGCTCGGATGCCACTTACCTCGCCGTGGCCGTTGAGCTTGAGCTTTGCGGTTCGCTCCTGGCAGCGGAATCTTTGGCCTCCGTGGACGAGAAACCCGTCCTGCACGACAAACCCGATGGGGTTGGCAGTGTAGTGGTAGCCTGCGGCCGCGGCTTCTCTAGAGAACTGCAGCCGCATGCGCTGCTCCGCGGCCTGGTTGCGGGTGGTTACGTTGTTGTGCCCCAGCGCAGCCACGGCATGAATTCCGAACCCCTGCCAATGGCCGCGGAGCCGGTCCGCGACCTCGGTGATAGGGCACCACCACTGCGGGTCGCGCAGGTCCACCATCTCCCAGTCGTAGAACCGGCTAACCGGCACCACAATCGCGCGGCTCCGGCGCTTTGTCGTGAAGCCGAGGACGATCGAATTGGCGTAGTGGAAGCGGTTGCGGATAATCATACTTTTAAGGCTCCGGAGCCACTGTTTCAGCTCGCTCCAGGAGCCTTTAATCTGCAGCATCATGCCCAGATTCCCGCCTAGCTGCGGGTTGTTTTGGTCCTCCATATTCGGGTCAGCGGGCGGGGCATTCAGGAAAGGGTTCGTGATGGCCAGATCAGCACGAAACTCCGGCGTTTCAAGGATGGTAAAATCCGCCTGCAGCAGGGTTCTGGCCTTCTCGATAGACCAGAGCTCGACACTCTTCGGGAAAGAGCCCATTTTGCGGCCGATTCAGGTGGGTCGGGCTGCTTCTGGGGTGGTGAGGTAGATACTAGGTGGGTTTGGCTTCTAAAAGGGTCGTATTTTGGTGAGCCTCTAGGGAGGGAGGCTTGGCTTTGGTGGTGCTTTTTCAAGGGATTTGCGGGCAAACGGAGCGCCAGCCTTACGGCTTTTGGGTCCTGTTGGCGTCTAGATATGATGTCCCCGTGGGGCTTAGGGTATTGCTGGCTCTAGGGCCAATATATAGTCGTATATAAGGCACCGATCCTCCCTCACCATAAATACACAGGTACCCGGCTGCTGTGCTCGGGCCCAGACCGACACTTCCTGCAATAGCTCAAGCCGACCAGTATCTACTTCGCATGCGGACTCCGCCCGTGTTACGAGGTGGGGCCAGAAATCTGCAAGAGCAACAACTGGACTCGAAGCTTCCGGACGGGCCCAGGATGATCCGCCTCTCTCTTCTTAACTAGTTAAGGGAACCAGCTTCATCAAACTAGCCATGCAAGACGTGATGAAATAGATAGCTCAACATTCAGAAATCAAAAACCAAAAGCTTACCTGAGCATCAAAATAAATTTTCAATTTACCTAATTTTTTTTTCGAAAAAAAAAAAATAGTGACTGTGACGAACTTTTTTCTTTCAATAGATTCACGACGAGACGAAGTTGGAACTCGTGCAGCTGTTGGTCAAGGAGTACCATGCCGATCCGAACCAACCCACTATCGGGGAGTACAAGCGCACGCCGCTGCACTGGTGGCTTTTTTCCGCGAGCGCCGACCGGGACAAGATTTTACAGTTCCTCATCGAGGAGGGCGGCGCGGACCCGTTTTTGTTCACGGAGAACAGTGCGAAAAACGAGGACGCGTTTCTGCTCGTGTTGCAGAACAACTTCGGTTTGATCGGATCGGAAGGGGGGCCGAACAGTGGCAGGGAGCTGGCTTTGACCATGCTGGACTGGTGGGCCAAGTGGAAGAAGAACGAAATTTCATCTGCGAGTAACAAGAACAACGGTGCTGGAAGTGGAACTACTTCTACGGGAGCTGGTGGCGCAGCTGCTAGTACAACTCGCGAAGGGGGAGTAGAGATGATGAACAAGAAGAATCAGTCGGAGCAGCAAGTAGCGGGCGATGCGGCTTCTGCTCTGCTTGCCCTGGAGCAAAGCACCGAGGAGCTGATCGAAAAGTTGCTGGAGAAGGTCGAAAGTAAGAAGAAACAAATCCTGTCGCACACCACCAAGCGATCTGCGGATGATTTGTAGGAGACGAAGCGCATTCAAACAAGAAAGAAAAAGATTCGAGGATGATATTAAACTTCGTCGAGAACATACAACTTCTGGCTCGGGGGAAGCAAGGGCCTGGAAAGCGATATACTTTTACGACCACTACACTGCGTCTAAGATGAGGGAGCTAACCACGTGTAATATCAAGAACTTAATTACCATTACTTACCAGAAACGGCCACCAGACGTAGCAACCGGACTTTCTTCTTCGTGTGTACCACGATAGCAGAAAACGAACTGCGGCACAGGCACCTCTGTCCACAGAACTTTTTTGATGCGATTTTTACGGCGTAAAGAAGTGGCAAAAAGATACTACCTATGGCGCAGCAGAGCATCAACCACAGCAACTCGCGTAGACAACCAGTTTTTCTTCGATCACAAATAACTCCTTTTCTACACGTCCTGCTGCTGCTCATCGAATCAAGCTTTTCTTGACTTTTCCTGCGAGGGCAGGGAGAAAATAGCACCATTTCTGCAGCTCAGATCGAGCTCATGTATTGCGACATAATAATATAGTCTGCTGCCGCGACGAGGCGCTGCGCGGCGCTAATTATATCATTTGCATTTCAGCGACACTACTAATCTTCAACAACGGATGCTTCTGTATTGAGGCACAGGCATACTTACAGCGACTTTTTCCACTGGCGACAACTCAACGAACTTTCAACAATCTGGAAGATTATCATGCGAATGTATTTTCGTTCCAAGAAGTAGACGAGCACCGTAGAAGCCACAAGCCACCAAGCGAAAAAAGAAGGCAGCATGATAGTTTGTTATTTCCCACGGTATAACACACTGTAGCTGTACACTATTTTGCAATCGGACCACTTTCATACTAGAGACTGAATCGCGCTATTTCATTTCCAAGAGGAAGAACTCCGTTCTCTCTCATCTTCTGCAGCTTTGTGTATTCCGCAGAACGTAGCAAAAGTCGCAGAACCACTGGATCAAGCTACTCCACCTCCGGCTTTCAAAGTAAAGCTTTGTGTATTCATGGAACTACAGTGCTGCTGGGGATCTTCGGGAACAAGAAGACGCCACGTTTTATTCTGTAGCAGCTACTTTTTGGCACCAGCGGATTCACCGTGATGTTCTTCATCCTACATGGTGCGCATACTATTTTTTACTTGTCGGTGGTGCGAGGACGTAAAAAAATGGGATTTTTTCGATATTTTGATCTTTTGCCAAGGTACGGCAGCGGCGCGTAGTTTTTTTTGCTTGGGTAATTTTCGCTTTCTGCCGCGATGGATTTTGACACAGATGTTGATCATTGCGTGGTCGTCTCGTTCTCGTCTCCACGACTCAGAATAAAACGCAACCGACGGTCGCATAATGATTTTTTGTCCACACACGACCAAAAGCATCTGGACCGATCAATTTTCATTCACGACGCTACTGAAAGAAATAAAGATCAACTCTCGGTCAGAAGGTCCTATTTGTCCTCTTTGTTCCCACCGCGAAGATGATCCTCGAAAGTGATATAGCAAAGAAAATGTGCACGAAGGTATCTTTGTTCGGTTTGTACAATCGAGTTGCCGTTGCGGTATGGCGCGTTTTTGAATAAAATTCATTCACGTTTACCTCTTTAGCACAGACATGACATACAGTCAGCGACATTCTACTTGTACGTATGTAATATAAACATTTTTTTCAAAGTCAAGCCTTATTTAACAACCCCGTGTACTGTAGTGAGTGTTGAATTAAAACCCTATGAGTAGTAGAGCACGACGTGCAATAGATCGTGCTATTTGGACCACATTTAGTACTGCAGTAGGAATCGCGACTCATTCTCTTCTATCCGAGTGATAATTTTTTCCATTCCATCATGATCGAGCACGCGGAGAGGCTCCGCGCTTACCTGATGGAAATCTCAGTCGAGGACGCTCGTTACTGCCTTATTGCCATCGTTCTGACGCAATGGCTCCTGTCGTCCACGGTGTCGATGTTGAACGTCGGGAATTTGAAGCGCCCGCTGGACCCGCTGATCCCGAAATTGTACGGGCCGTCGGTCTTGGAAAAGTACGAAAAATCGAAGGCCTACATCATGGTATGAAAGTGAAACTTTTAAATTGTACAACGTGTGCCTGCGAGTTGAAGTGTTATGCACAGTTTCCGACTGGTTCTCCCCTGGCCGTGGGGTCGGTGTACAACTAGGTGTAAAAATTTGCCCACTGCGCAACCTATCTTTTTTGCTCAACAACAAACCTCCTGGTGGAAAAAAAAACACTAAATAATAATTCACATCAGGAAAAGAACACCTTCGGTGAGATTCACGGTGCTTGGGGCCAGTTTATCGCGTTTGCACTCTGGTTCGGCAAGGGATACCCCATGTTGGACCAGGCCCTGAAGGCGTATTTTAAGGACAGCGACCTCAGCCCCGCGACCTTGGGGACAATATACCTTTTGGTGTTGATGTACGCGACCAGTATCCTAGACCTGCCCTGGGGCTGGTACAGCAACTTTGTTCTGGAAGAAAAATACGGCTTCAACCGGATGACGCTCATGACCTGGCTCAAGGACACACTCAAAGGGTATAATTTTGTTGAGATGTTGCACGACATGCAACACAACTGTAGGAGAAGGATAAGGATTGACGCTAATGCGAAAGGCAAAGCAACTACAACCGCTAGGATAGTTGTAATGCACCAGCAAATTATTTGAAATTTGAATTTTTGAAAAGCAAAAGCGTCGAAGTCTGCATGACATTCACATTGTTGACTCATTGATAAAAACAAACAGTTGGGCACTCACCCTGGTTCTTGGTGGCGGCTTTATGTACGTCTTCCTTTTGATCCTCACAAACTTCGCGGTGGAGCAGTATTGGTGGCTCCTAGCGAGCTTCATGATGGCCTTTCAGCTCATCATGCTGGTCTTGCAGCCGTGGATCATGAAGCTATTCCTGGAGTTCATCCCCATTGAAGGCGGGTTGGCGTTTGTCACAAGAGGGAAGGCGGACAAGTTCATGAAGAATAGGTGTTTGATAATTAATGCTTTTTTTGACATTTATCGTTGCTGGCCAGGAGGAAGAACAAGCTGTTCTCACGCTGAGTTGTTCTTCATCGAATTTCCGTTGTCGCTACTGCTGATCCAGATTGTTGAGATTGCTAGTACTTGAGCAGGACCCATCCAGCATTGCATTGCAATAGATACCAACAGGAACAAATGAAATTTAGCAAGCAGCCTGGTACTGATCCTGAGTTTGTCTTTGTCGAGAAATCGATGCACACCATATTTACGAAAAGGTATTTTTACCCCTCTGCTTCCGGTGAGGAGAACGTTTTTGAAACCAGAGACTCTCAATACAAGGGCCAGGCGAAGGGGAGTTGTCTGCAGCTCCGGCAAATCGACAGCAAGTGGGTCATTTGCGAGAAGGATAACAACGAAACCGTCCACGCAACCGCTGCCTCAAGTAGTAGCTCCATGCCCCAGGACGTGTCCAGTTGGGACTACAAATGCACGGAGAAAAAGGACGACAAAGCGGCATCCGATAACGCCACGGATTCACTATTGGCAGAAAAATCCTCCGAAGGCGAAGAATCATCCGCGACAAAACGAGCGGCCAATAACGACGAGGAGGAGTCAAAGCCGTTGTGGGTGAAAAAAATCGACATGGGCGACTTGAGATCACGACTCGAGTCCATGGCAAACGAACACAAATTCAAATTCCAAGCCGTGTACAGTTGTGATTCTTGTGTTGTTTACTCTTTGTATTATAGTATTTTGGCAGCCTGGTGTCCACAAAAGTTTTTCGCGGCGGAAGAATGTTCTTAAGTAGGATAGAAGCGCAAGCGCACGAGCACGACGATGGTTTCCATGATCGCATTCGAGACTACTTACGTCAACATCAAAAACGCAATCATGCACAGCTACATCATCGACGGCAGTACCCGGTCGGAACACTCGAATGCGTTTTTCATGGGTTTCGGGTGGTTCCGGAAGATCTGCCTGTACGATACGCTGTTGAAAAACCTCTCCGTCGACAGCGTCTGTGGCATCATGGGGCACGAGATGGGGCACTGCGTCATGCTGCACATTCCGAAGAACGTGGTTTTTGCGGCCGTCCAGTCCTTTTTCATGCTCTACTGCATCGCACAGTTCTTGTACAACAAAACCCTGCACGCGGCCTTCTTCGTGGACGTTTCCGATCCGGCCAACATCACGCCCTGGATTGGCTTGATCATTGTGCAGAACTTACTCACCCCACTCTTTTTCTTCCTCGGTCTCTTGTCCAACTACCGAACAAGAAAATACGAGTACGAAGCGGACCAGTTTGCCGTGGAAAGTTTCGAGAAAAACTACGCCCAGGACCTCATCACGGGACTGAAAGGTATTTGCTTACTACTGGCGAAGATACACCAGCGTAGATGTGAGCATACAGCATTCGTGATCGTAATCTGTCGCCTCTGACTTCTAAAAACATTTCGTGGGGGCGGTGGAAGACAAATTTCTATCGGCACACGCTGTTGCATGCATGCACAACTGGTGCAGCTTCAATGAAATATGGAGCTCCTGGTCTGCTCCCCTCCGCCTTTGCTTTATTTTGCGATAGAATTTTTGCTGTCGAAATGAAAAATTCCTAGGTCTTCTTATGGAAAACAAGTCGCATTTGAACCCTCATTGGCTCTATGTGATGCTGAATCACTCCCATCCGACATTGACGCAACGAGTCCGGTGGATTCAGTCCCTGTCAACGAAACGCGAGGGAAAGGACATTATCCGCCTGGACGCGTGAGGATGAAACACCGCGGTAGCAGCGCCTGCGTAATTTCTTTTCGATGTAGTACGTAACAACCAGCTACAGTGGTCCTCGTGGTAAGGCAGCGGCCAAGGAGCTGGACGTGCTGGTGGGGAGAGTGGACGTCCCGGTAGTTATTTGATTCGAAATTGCCAAGCAAGCGGAGCCCGCACCGAGACATGAATTTGGCCCCTGCTGAGTAGTACCCTTTCGTAAGAAGTACTTATCCCAGCTCCGAACTACTACAAGCACAAGCTCGCCTAAATCTCCTTGTTAGTCGTGCTGCCCAGCAGCTCCCCTGCTATGCAATCTACGCACGAGTGAGAGTATTGACAGCGCCAACGAGCACTGCAGTACGCGTGCTCCATCGAACACCGATGGCTGTTCGCGTGCGTCATAGAGACACAACAACGTGGTTTGATAGGCGGACTACAATCGTCATAATAGATTGTACTTCTAACAGAAACTCCTGACATGAGGCAGTTCTCGTGGTTGCCTTTGGCTGCATGCTTGTTCAGGGTTAAGATCTTCGCACTAAAAATGCACTTTCAAATAGTCACTCTCGGTAAAAGACGAAAAAACATTACACATAGCTTCATTTGTATTTCCGCCCTGAGTGGATCATGCGATCAAAAAAATTACGGTAGTGCTACGTTCGGTTTCACGAAATCAACTCATGCATGCCTAGTGCAAGAAATCTTCAAAGGATCATGACTAAGTAGCCAGAAGAAGTATGTCGCAGATTCGTGGCAAGTACTCGGTCGCAGTAGAAGTCGGTGATTGATCTTCTCGGTCGTTCAAGGGTGCATACTTATAAGATCAGTAGGTTTTGCTGCGCACGAAATGACAAGTAAATCCGTCGACGAGGATCCTATGGATTTGCATGTTGTAGTTGAAATTTATTCGGTTTCTCGGTCAATACTTGATGTAGGAGCTCCTCGGAGGGCTGTTCCTTCTACTCAGTGGAAATAGAACTAGAAGCGAAAATCGCACGAAGACATAAATATATCCAACGGAGCCTCTCCTCCAAACAATTTACAGGGAAACCAACAATCTAAAACTGATATATAAAGCGTATTTGCTTTTGCTTTGACACCAATCCGACTACAACCTCCACTTCGCAAAGAAACATTTATATATCCTGGAAGAACAAAGTAGAACTCTTCTGCTTTTTCCGCCTCAAAGTCATTCAGTCGAAGTACTAACTACAACAAGTACCTGTACCTCTTTATTTGTCGCTTGATTTCCATTTTCTTATCCTTTTCTAACCCCAAGAAGCCCAACACTTCTCTTGAAAATGTCCGCCGCCTTCAAGCACAGCAACATTGACGACGAAAAGGCTACTCTGCTCGAGGAGGGCCAGCTGAGCAACACGGTCTACGACCAGGAGCACCACCATATTGACGGGCACGACAATATCACAAGAAAAAGTGTTTACGTTTACGGTTTTCCACCTTTTTTTGGAAAATTTTTTTTTTGTGGCTACTCAGCACTACCAATTTCGATTTTTTTTTTCTCGCAGCCGCGCAGCGATATCCTTCGCCCTTTCGGGGCTCTGAAGTAGTAAAATTGTCGGGACGCAGCTCGCGCGCAAGATGCGAAGACTATGAAGCGCCGCCGCAACATTGCGCCCCTTCAAACTTTGAAAGACCTGCCCAAGCCCTGTCCGGGCTCCAGGGCAATGATGGCCGTAAGCAGGTGACCCAGGGCCCCAGGCATTGGTGACGAGATCCGCCCCCGAAGGCGTCGTAACCATCGACACCGGAGAGGGACCTGCTTGGGTGAGGGGAAATGGATCATAGCGCGCTGTCTAGAGATGACGTTTACGGTTTTTTAGGGTAGTGGAGAAATCCGAGGAAAAAAGCATGAACTTGGCACCATTTCGAGGCCAAAAATTGCAAATCCCAGAAAAACCGTAAACACCTTACCTAGACAGCACGCTATGATCCATTTGCCTCCAATAAAACTGGGGCAAGCACGGAAGCACACTTTTTGGACAGGGAAATCGAGCATAGCGTGCTGGCTAGAGAGGGCGTTTACGGTTTTTGGGGTCAATTTCATACAAAACAGCAGGTTTTCGGAGGGATGGATCGATCATACCGTCGTGATTAGGTGACATGTTTGCGGTTTTTTGGGTGCCGGCAAATTTTGGGCTTTTTGGTGCCCAAAATTTGCCATTTTTGTACATCCTCAAAAATGCGACTTTTTCTCCAGTCATGGAGAACATTTGGCTAGAAGTTCCAAAAGGTCCGAGATGGAAGTTAAGAAGGCCGCACAGCGATAAAGTGGTGGCGATGCCATGCAGATGCCAGCTCTTAGACTCACAAGTCCGTGTCACAGCCACTCCTCGGGGCTGGACCGTCCTGACCCGGGTCCAAGAGCCGACGTTGAGGGACGGGCACAGCATCAGGTGGCTCCGGTGGGCGACATTCCGCGTCGCCATACCTTGTGCACTGGCTAGATCCAACCCAGTGAGCTACTGCAGAGTCCCGCAATAGCTAACAGAGTCAACGAGTCAGCTTGAATGTCTAAAAAATGCCCCCAATGCACAGCCAAAAAATTTTTAATCCAAAAAACGACAAACCGTAAACGTAAACGCTTTTTCTTTCGATAGACCAGGTCTACGACCAGGAACACCATCATGTTGACGGCCACGACAACGTCATTGTCACGGCCAAATCTTAACGCAGAGGCACCCGGCGCTAAATGTAATCGAAACGCAATTCAAATGAAATTCAAAAGTTCAGCAATTTCAGTTTTTTCGAGTAGGAGAGTCGTAGTGCTTCTAGGTTTGCAAGTATAATGAGTTGCATCAGTAGCCCTAGCCCTTACTAGATTCGCAAGCGATTTTCGTGCTCTTTGCGAGCATGCTTCTTTTCGAGTATTCCAGTCACACCGCCGAGCTTTCGCATTCCAGCTAGATCGCTTATTAGCGCCTCCGCAGCTTGTGTTTGACCATCGGCAACAAGGCCGGCTTTCCTTCTCTGATGGTCTTTTAGCTACGGTCTGCCCTTCCTCTTGCCTATCTAGTCCTGCGCGCGCCCCTTTATCGTAGTTCTTTACCCTCTCGGCATTTGTACAGGAGGATGAGCTGCGGCCTTTGCACATCTTGATACGGTAGCGATATTTGCACGCTGTTTCGCCACCGTGGGCGAGGAACAGGCGATCTTGCAGTGAACAACCCCGCAGGGGAAAGGCCTCTTCTTTCCTCATCTGATAGAGATATGCAATATCTGGTCGGCTGTATATCGGCTTCTGACATAGCGATTCTTTTATTGCCTCCTCCGTTTCTGTCGGGAATGCAGCTCCTCTGTTCTTGTCCTCCAAACGGAATCCAGGCATACGACACAAACGCCCCGACCGGTTTTCGATCGTTTCGGCTAAGTATTTTTTTTTTCGGCAGTGTGCCGCGCCATTACGCAGGGGACGGGGTATGTCGCTTGATGGGGCCGGGCCATGCTTTATGGTGGGCCCCGCTGTGTCCGTTCGTGGTGGCGCGCGCGCACCTTTTCTGGTTTTCCTGCTCTCTTGCCCTGCTTGCCCATCCCGCCTGGGCAGCTGCACGTCGGTGTGTGGAGGGCGATGTGCCCGACGAAGCTCTGCCGGGCGGAGTTCGTATACTTCTTTTCATTCATTTCGATTTGGTCTGGAACATCAATGCACCAATCAATGCCAGATTGCCTCCGAAAGTTCAAAACTTCAAACTTTTGAAATTCGTTCGAATTGCGTGCAGATATGAATTAGCGCACGCGTCCTTTGGAGTTAACGGTCTACGACCAGGAGCACCATCATGTTGACGGCCACGACAACGTCATCGTCACGGCCAAATCCGCAGCTCCTACCTCGGGCGAGGTGAGTGTGGTGACGCGCCGGGAGCGGCGGGAGAGGCACAAGAAGTGGTTCTCTGACAACAGTGCCATTGTGCTGCTGTACACCATGATGCAACTTTCGTCCTTCGAGTTTCTCGTGGGGGGGTTTCTCACCTTCTTCGGGGTCCAGTTCGCGAACGAAAAAGCGCATTTCAGCTTTTTCAACAACATCCATTCCGGCTACGACATCCCAGCGGGTCTGCTCATTCCCGTCGGGTTTATCTCCTTGCTGCTGCTCCCAGCCAAGTACTACCTCATGGTCTACAAGTTCGGGGCCACTTTTTGCTCCTTCCTTACCCTGCTGATCGCCTACGGTCTGCAGCTCGTGTTTCTCGCCGTTTTGCACCCGCTGTGGCTGCTGTCCCCGTTGTTTTTCATCGTCGCCCAGTGCCCCAGCCAGGACGTCGCGTTCTCGTTTTTGCTGACAATCATCGTCCTGACGCGGTACTGGATGCTGTTCCTGACGATCTACTCCATGTGCAAGGTCACGGGAAACCACGTCCACTACGGCAAGAGCCTGTGGCGCATCGTGCGCAGCGACGGCAAAAAGGTGGCGTCCGCGATGGAAGGCAAGAAGGAGGAAGTAGAGACGGAACAGATTGTGGAGTACTAATTCGGACGCATTGAGCATGTTGAGGACAACTAAGGGGACCACTACGACGATAAAGATTTAATTGTACACTTTCATCTTTCTAATTCTACTGACACTGATACTATTCTATTGACATCACAGCGAAGTTCTTCACAATTGAGTTTGACAGTTTGAGATTGACACGTCAAAATGGAAGCAGCTTGATGCCACCAGTTGGTTTCTTTACGGCAACAAAACCAAGCGAATCGCAAGACCTCTATGGCGAATCGCAGGATAGCCTCTAACGAGCCTGAAACGATGATTATCATTCTCGCTACAGTATGCTACTAGGTCGGTAAACTACGCGAGATGATTTTTTAGATATCCCCTTCGGAAGATTTTTTTTAACAGAAGTGACATCTGACACAACTAAGATCTTTCGGAATAAACGAAGTCTTTAGTTCGAAGCTACACGACATGTCAGTTCATAGTTTTTTTCGGGACCACGAGCCAGTGGAGAAGAAAAAATCCTATGATCGAAGGCTACTCCCACTGACTTGTTGGTGCAGTCGACAAAATTCATGAAAGTCAAGAAAAGGAATACTGTTGCCCTACAACTACCACCTTGGTACACCGGCAACATCAACAACAAAACGAGAACCGAAGGAACTCCAGACGGAAACAAGGCTGCTCGTTTTTATAACCGTTTTTCTTCTTTATCAACAAACACAAAGTCGACAACAAATGAACTTGATGAAGCCTTACTCTACTTCGATTTTTCACCAGATGGCAACATACAAGTTCAGTTCCGTGGCGTTTGAGCGCGGCTGAGCATCTTGGATAGGATATTATTTTAAGTACACAGCACATTGGTAAAAATGATCCCCCGGATCATTGTGATTTCTGTTGTTTAGCTGTCGCACGCGCCGCATGGTGATGTTGTTGAAAAAACCGCTCTATTACCTTGAAAATTGAAAGCAACGCCCCTTTTCGTACCGGCTTTGATGGACATCGGTCGAAGGCGCTTTCGTCTAGTTGAAAGCGCCTCCGATACTGAGCTCTGTCACGACCGGTGCGAAAATTTTAGACTGGGATAGCAAGACAAAGATCAAACTGTAAGGAGCTCGCCAGGACGAGTTGGCCTTCGGAGGAGCGGCTACTCAGGCGACAATAATTCGCGATTTCAAAAGTGTTCAACAGTAGACACTGCGCACAGGCTTCTGTTTTGGCTCCGTTCCGACGTGCTGCTTGCCCATTTGTTACCCTAGCATGGTGATGGGGTCAATACACTCAAAGCTCACAAAAAATTGTAACACGAGTCGAAGTCCACGTCCAGGACCTGGACGTGAAGCGAAAGCATATGCTTCATTTGAAAAAGAAACCTTTTGCAATGCCATTTGACGTGCAAGATAAACCTTTCGGATCTTCTTCTTCATCAGGAAGCGCTCGCATACTCGCATAGCGACAGATCTTTTTCCAGTCTAGGTTTTTCCAGCACGAGGCCCCCACAGTAGAGGAAAGGTGGCATTTTCAGTATGAATAGGTTGGCACTTGATGAAAAGAACCGTAGTTCACGTTGTGGTAGCTGGCCTTACAGCTCATTTGACGGAAACTACAGAAGATGATCCAAGAAACACGGCAGAGTAGAGCAGCCACGTCGTTTGTAGCCACGAAAGGAAGATCGCGTCGCCATGGTACTTAGAAGTCATCAATAGTCAGTTTCGAACAAAACATGCCAGTCAAAGTGAGTAGAAGTAGTCGTGACGAAATTATTTGAAAAAATTATAAAAATCACTAGAACAAGTAATAAGCTACGAGCACGCAAGTTGAAGTTGAACTGCCGATGAGGTTCTTTAGTACTGGGTAGACGTCGAACTGATTAGAAAACACCACCAACTTCTCCAGAAGTGCGGAGGTCTTGCAGCTCCCGATAAGTTGTACTTATGTAACTATAGCAACACTGTTAGCTAGTACTTCGTTCTATCCATCCGGGACCGGGAGGTCGTCCTCGTCGCCCCCATGACGAAAGTCCCGGATTCGCAAGCGGGGTGCAAAGTTGCCGTCCGACTGTTGCCCCCGGAGCTGGACTCCGAGAGTTTCAAAACGTCCCTAGCCCCGGAGTTCGAGAAGAAAATCAAGTTCTACCGCTTCCAAAACGGGGCCAAGGGGGACAAAACGAAAAAGCACGCTACCGTGTTTGCGCAATTTGACACGAAGGAGAGCGCTCGGAAGTTCATACGTACAGAAACTTCTTGATTTTTGTCCACGACACTACACCCGGAGCACAATTCACGACTACCGTAGCAAAAAGAAGGGGTGAAAAGATTATAGAATTAATCATAGACACTACGATGAATGTTGACAAAAGCAACTTCTATTTCTGTATTTGTATTTTATTGGCTCTGTATGTATCAATAAAACAGGTTCGTATAACGGGCACCTTTTCCAAGTCGAAGAAGGTGGGCAGAAGTATGAAAGGAGCCCTGACCAAGAGCATCTGTTTTCAGTGAAGAAGTTTCAGTTGCGCACTTCGCAGAAGAACGGGGAACTTATAGTTGCCTCCACCACAGGTTGTACACACAAAGATATAAACACCAACTGCTTGCGCAGGTCCAGCTGCTGCTGCGTCTCTCTGCATGAAGAAATAAAGATGTAAAAGGGCGCTGATATTCTCCATCATAATTCACGAAAAACAAGATACAATTATTTTCTCCAATCCATACCACGTACGCTGCCGTCGCCACGATGGCACCAAACCAGCGGCCGCACAACTACCGAGTGCCCCAAATGGAGGAGTGTGCCTTGCAGGAACTGGAAAAAGGCGGCCCACCTGAAAGTACGTCGAAGCCCAGCAGCAAGGGCGGCACGTCCTCCGGGGGTGGCAGCAGCGGGTCAACAGCTCAACAAACCGACGGCACCTCGAAACCGCCGAAAGTGGGCTGCGAGCAGAGCGGCGTGGACCTGTATCGCAAATTGGCCTACCTGAAGTCGCGCTACGCCTATGCGAAGTACGCGGGGCTAAAAGACGAAATAGACCCAGAGGGTTTGCACGCGGAGATGGAGCAGACCGCAGAAAAACTTGCGACGATAGAAAAGCAGCATGGCACACAGGGTAGTACAACTGGTGGCGCCGGAATTTCTTCTTCTCGGAAGGGCAAGGGCAAGAATCGGGGCAAGCTGCGCGATCAAAACAAGGGAGAACAGCAGGACAGTCCACGAAATATTAGAGACGACACTGCAAATGTTGACAATGACGGCGCGGCTTCCCAGGAAGTCTACCAACTAGACGGGTTCTTCCAGAAATATGACCCATCCGTGGACGAAAAGCGCATCTTCGAGTCCACACTAGTCGGGAAGTACTTCCGGCTCTGTCAAAAAGCCATCCAGGCTCAGATTGAAGAGTCGCAGAACAGCGCGAATGCGCTCCCTCCAGGTAAGCTGCCCCCGCCCCCGCCTGGGTTGAAAACGAAAAAACTGATCGACACGGAAAGGACCGTGGATGTGGAAGAGAAAAACACGCCGCTGCTGGTATCCTGAGTAAAAATATCCCCACACCAGAGTCAAGATGGGAAACCCGCTAGACAAATCAGCCACCTCTGGTTGTTTCGCATGACAAGTTGTGTCCTCGTAGTGTAATCCTGTTTAGCTAGTTCCGAAGCATGACAGATCTCGCATATCATGCTGATTCTAGCATCACAAATTCGCTCACAGGACTACAAAACGGCTCTCATGGGGCTCCGCATGAGAAACTTTTTTGGCATGCAGATTTGCATGAGAACTCTGGGGAGGGGACATTTTTACTCAGGATAGCTGGCGCAAGTGAAGATCGACAGGAGTCGGTCGCGGAGGGAGAGGGACCGGCAAAGGGGAAACGCGACGCGGGGGGGCAAGAAGATCAATCCTTTGGGCGAGATTCTGGAGGATGAGGAATTTGACGACGATGGGAACAACAGCGATGACGCGTTCTATGTGAACAGTGGCGCGGCCGCGGACCGGAAGGGCATGCAGGACGACGCAGATCTGTTTTCGTCGCGCAGGGACACGGGCCTCGCCACCGGCAGTAAGTCTGCTTCCGGGAACAAGAAGGAAAAGTCGCGGAATAGAAGAGGGAACAGGAAATCAGGTAAAACTACTTGAGATTAATAGACGAAAATGGTAATCGAGGAACAGACTATGACTAGGGTCAGGAAAACAGATCAATGAAGGGAACAAGTACTATCGAACCAAATGAAGTACTGTTGTGTTTCACGTTTACAATCACATTTTTTTTCTTCCTGCAAAAACACAACATCTTGATCCTCCAACAACCCCCACGATCATGGACCCAGGCGACCAGGAGCTCGTTCGTATCACCTGCAACGGTTGCAAGAAGCGCAAGCGTTGCGTGCAGGACAAGCAGACCGGCAAGTTTTACTGTCGCCGGTGCCGCACGCCCTCCACGACCGGAGGTGGAGGTGGAGCGACCGGAGCAGGCGCGACTGGCCAGAATATGAAAGCCGAAGCGAGCGCCGCCTCCTCTGCCAAGAAATCCCGCGGCGAGCGGTCGTCCACGGAACGGCGGGAACAGAGACGCGCCGAGCGGGCAGCCGCGAGGGCGGCTGGAAGTAGGGGTGGCCAGGGAGGTGCTGATGTGGACAGTTACAAGGACGAGCAGAAGAAGGGCTCTTCCTCCTTCGATCCACCATCCCGGTCTACCGGCGGCGGAGCCGGAGGATCGTCTTCAAGCACTGGCTATGTATTGCAAAAGCAGATCGTCCAAGTAGCAGTTGCATTTAGAAGTACATCAAATTAATACAGATTTGCTCAGCATGATGTTCTTGACAACTTCCATTTGTCATGGTGGATTGCCTCAGAAACCAGTAGTTTTGTCATTATGCATAAATCGCAACCACTACTAGTACGATGCGACCTTTGCACAGGATACCGGCGGAGGCGGAAATGGACCAGGGAGCACGGACGCGGTACAAGATCTACTATTGATCTGTTTTTCTTTGTCATGCAGGGATTCGCATAATGATAGATAAAGATAATCACAAACTTTGTCTATGCATAAACGAGATTTTATCCCACCAACGAAATAACAGTCCGACCGCCGACTCCGGGACCAGCTGCGAGATAGCAAACCGGCCCCGATCGTGCACATGCCCGGCGGAGCTTCACCACCGGCAGCTGCAAGCAGCAAGCCATTGAAATCTTCCCGTGTAGGAGCTGTTGACCACGACGAGTCGTATCCAGACAATTCAGGAACTACAACTCGCGGCGCTGCTACTGCAGATAAAAACTCGTCGAACACGTGGACCAAAGCTGCAAGCACTAGTACAACTTCCGCGAAACAAGAAAAGAGCGGAACTAGTACAAGCGGTGGCAATTCATCCACCTCGGAGCAGAAGTGTTCGGGCTGTGGGTCCTACAAGAAGAAAGTAGAAAAGGGGTACTGCATATCCAGGAAAAAACACCCATCCCCATCCATTTTTTGCATGGCAAATAGTGGACTTTATGCATGTTTTGCATCACAAATTGGATGGGGATGGGTGTTTTTTCCTGGATACTGCAACGACTGCTGGGACAAATGGAGCAGCTGGAAAAAGGATAAGAGGAAGCGCTAAATTGGTATGGAAATAATCACTATCACGCCACGAACAAGCGACGCAGCACTTTTCAAGACACTGTATTGCCAGGAATGCGACGAAACCGTTGTAACCTGATTATACCAGCGAAGGAGCGATGAACATCACCAACAAGCGAAATTTTGGCACTCAGCGAACGATGTGAATGAATCACATCGAAGATCCTGGCTCACCTTCACTGTAGATACATCTATCTTCAGATGATGATGTGCCATCGCGCTCGAAGCCTCGCTCGACGTCATCCACGCGAAACGAGGTCCTCCTGCATTGCTTAGTAAGCTTCAAGATAGCGCGTGAAACCTCACACTTAATTGGCCGCCAGATTATGGCAAAGAAAGTAGCCTCAGCCTTCGTGTGTTCTTGTCTCGATATTGGCGCATTGATATGGGTATTGGAATTCGATTCCAAACCAGAAGTGGAACGAGTGCTGGAACACAGCACTCACATCATTCGGTGAACACCAGTCGGATTGCTGTCTTCGTGCAAGCACGTTTTTTTTTTTTCGAGTGGAACAAAGAGAGAAATGTAGGATGTTGATGTGCAAAGGAAGTTCTATCATGGCCTCACAGCTTCAAGACCACTAATCGGAAATCTTTGAAAGAGTACAAGACTTTTGCTTTAATAGTCCACGACCGACGTGCATGTGTCGGGTATGGCTTGTTACAACTTCGTGTGAAGAAGAAGCTAGCTATTATTTGATGTAAACAATATTTTCTTCTAATAAGACGGACCAAAAATGGTAGACGTCCACGGCACATCCTCGCCCTCGCTCGCGGTCCCAGAAGAGGAGAAACGGATTCCCGACATCACGATAGCCACGATTGGAAATGTAGACTCGGGAAAGTCGACGTTGGTCGGGGTTCTTACGAAGTCAATCTTGGACGATGGCAGAGGTATTTTTATGCAGTTTTTCTTGCAAAACAAAAACATAAACAAGGAAAACAATAAAGGGGCGACTTGCTTAGTTACTGTGAAGTACAAGCACGCCACTACCCATGTTGAAGAACACAAGGAAATACTTCTGTAAAAACGACCATCTCCGTCAAGATCATTTATATGGAGACGGTCTATTTCTCCCTGTCAGCATCTTTCTTTTGCACTTTGATTTTGCAAAAACTGGTCTACAACTGCAGGCCTGGCGCGTTCCAAAGTGTTCAATTTCGGACACGAGCAGGAAAATGGGCGCACGAGCAGCATCGCCCACGAGATCATGGGATTTCACACGTTGCTGGAAAAGGAGCAACTGCCGGCGGGAGGACCAGGACAAGCACAACAACCTCGTTCGTCAAACACAACAAAAAAGGAGTCTTCTTCAAGTGTGCAGCAGATGATGAAAACTACAGGAAACAACTCCTCTTCAAGTACTACATCCCCGGGCGGAGACGAGGATCAGAGCACTGCCGCCTCGTCCTCTCGGAGTAATCAGCCGGAAAGCTGTGCAGGTGGAGGTGGAAGTTCTTCTAGCAGTTCAGCAGGGCCTACAACTGGTAACAGTAGCACAGGGACGACCTCCGCTACATCTTCCTCGTCATCAGCCGGCGCGTCAAATAAGCCGGACCACCAGGATGATTTTCAGTCCTGCGGCGAAGACGAAAATAGTAACGAAAACAATGAAAAACTCAAGGATCATCCGGGATCGTCGAAAAAACTGTCTCCTGCAAATAATATGAACAATGGCAAAGCCTTTTCGCCGGCAGCAAGATCAGACAAAGACAGCGGAGGGGGGACCACGACAACAGCAAAGTCGGGAAGTTCATCTTCTGCGCCGTCGGCCGCCACGACGCCGCCTACGACCACGAACGCGGCAAATAAGAGCCCCCCAGCGAGTTCTGTGTCCACCGCAACCGCGTCGACTGCCGCCGCCTCTAACTCCCCCAATTCGACGGCCAAGAAGCTGTTCCAGGTGGTCACTGTCGACTCGGAGCACCACGGAAAGAGGGGTGAGAAACAGCAGGACCATCAGCATAACCACGACGAGAATTATTCTGCCGCGAATAATTATGTCGCCACGACCGAGCGAAAGAGCCACGTCGTGCCCCGCGGGTCGGCGTCGCACCCAATCAAAACTGGGGCGCAGAAAAACGCGCTGTGGCAGAAGATTCAGGAGCAGAGCGACCGGCTAATTCAGTTTGTGGACCTGTGCGGGCACGAGAAGTACCTGAAAACCACAATATTTGGATTGGTCGGGCTGTGTCCCGACTACGCTATCGTCGTGGTCAACGCAAACGCGGGGTTGCAGAGGATGACCCGCGAGCACATTGGTATATTTTATTGACTGGGAGTTGCTCTTCATCATCTATTGGACATGTTCAGTATACCTCAAATTAAATTTTTGCCTATTACGGCTCCTGGTCGACGTGGAAGAAAAATTATCCAATGACACAATCAGAAACCAAACCATCAATCATGTTCGTGCACTGACTTGAAACACAAGCCAAAGCATAAGCATCTTCTTGACGACAAGAGCCCAGCACTTGAAATACAAATATTTCTCAACGCCAGGCATCGCCATTGCCCTTCGTATTCCCATCATCATTGTGGTGACGAAAAAGGACATGACGCCCGGGAACGTCTACGACGCCAACATGCTAAACATCTGCAAAGTGCTATCAAAAGAAAAAATCCCCCCTCCCCATATCGAAAACGAAACTTGTGATGCTGTATGTGAGTACACAAGTCGACTTGTAATGCTAGAAGGCCAGGAGCCGCAGTTGTGGCCTCGTTTGCAGGCAATTTGTCATGCTGCTTCCCACTTCCAGTTGCCTGCTTTCATGCTGAAGATGCAAGGCTTTCCCACGCCTGCCAGGAGTACAGTCCGCATCTTTTCCCTTCTAGCATGACAAAGCTGATTTGTGGCCACAAATCTGCATCACAGATCTCCGGTTTGATATGGGGAGGGGGGATTTTTCTTCTTGATAAGTGCTCAAATCCAACGCGGTTCGGAAACTGCCCGTGCTGATCAAGCACGAAACGGACGTGGAGCACGCGGCCAGCAGCATTCTCAGCGAGCGGATTGTGCCCGTCTTTTCGGTCAGTTCGGTCACCGGCGACGGGCTGGATTTCCTCCGGTCCTTCCTGTACAATCTGCAGCCCCGTGCGAAGGAATTGCTCTGCAAAAGCCCGTATCCCACGCAAAAGTATCGCGCTCCTAGTTAATCTCTTATTGCAATTATGCGCGACAATTTGAATTACTTAGATACAAACAAACTTGAAAATTTGTAAAAAGATGAAATTTCTACCAGTACGTACCAGTCCCAGTGCGATACTTTGTTTTGCAATGGATAGCTTGGAAGACAAGCAGGTGGAGTTTCACATCGAATCAATCTTCCTAGTCGCCGGCGTCGGGGTCGTGGTGGCCGGATTCATGCGATCGGGTATAATATTTTGGGATTTTCCTTCCTTTTAATTTTTCCTCCTCTGGATTCCGTTTCCGATGCATCTTGGCTCCTGCAGGTTGTTTCTGTTTGTGCAATAAAGTTCAGCTTGCGGATAATTTAAGACACAACTCGTAGACGATCCACTGATAATAAGTCTAAGAACAAACCAACCGATCTGTCGGCACAAATAAATCCAACGGCAGGCACGGTGACAGTCGGATCGCACCTGTACCTTGGCCCGGATTCGCTGGGGAAGTACAAGCACCTGATTGTTCGCGGTATCCACATCCGGCGCGTGCCGAAATCCAAAGCGTTGTCGGGGGACCACTGCTCGTTTTCCCTCCGTGCCATCGACGCGAAAGAGAAGTTTAAGAAGTCGCATTTTCGAATATGGAAGTGAACAATGTGGTCTCAAGACGACTGGTCTTCGTTTTGTTCTTTGCCACCCAAAATCCTAGCAGGTGGAGTGAGGCAAAAGTATGTTCTTAATGACAGATGACATGCTGCCCGCATACGCAATTTTTCGCCCTGTCAAGTGAGTACTTCCCCGACATTGTATGTTGACACAGGATTACAAAAGGAAAACTGAGACCACAACGTTGCTGGCGTTCCATACCACAAGGGCATGGTCCTCCTGAGCCAAATTAACACGGAGCCGGTGGCGTTTCGCGAGTTTGAAGCGGAAATCGTCATCCTGCACCACAGCACCACGATAAGGCAAAGGTAGACTCAAGTAGATATACATGGTGGATGACGAGTATTGAAGTAGTTCAGTCTAACTCTAACTCTATCTTTCGCAATGCACAACCTCGACGAAAGTGCACAACTACGACAGTGCTATCTATCTTCGCGGTGGTGCGCCAACATCTTTAGCAATGCGCTGTCTTCGTGATGTTGCGCCATGCGCAACCACGACAGTGCGCGATTCTTTACGTGCTAGTTGATGGGTGCTAGTCTGGTGCACGAAAAGGCGGCGGAATACAAACGAAACTCTGTCAGGTACCAAGCCGTAATCCATTGCGGCGTGATCCGGCAATCGGCCGAGGTGCTGGGCATGAGCAGCGAGCTACTGCGTACCGGCGACAAAGCCACCGTGCGGTTTCGGTTTCTGTATCACGTGGAGTTCATGCGCGTGGGTTGGACCCTGCTCTTCCGTGAGGGCCGCACGAAGGGGATAGGAAGGGTCACGAAGGTTCTGATTGGCGGCAACAACACGGTGTCTGGGCCCACAGCTCCGCGCTCGCCCACGACGCACGGCAGTGCGTCTTCTGCGGGTGCCAGTACTGTTGCAGTCGGGAGCAACTTGCCGCCGCCCGCGGGAGGTACTAGCAGTAGTACCACTGCCGGCGCAGTCGGTGGAGGAAGCGAGCCTGCAAGCTCCTCTACACGAGTTGACAATCCTGCGTCGACTTCCACTTCCTCGGACGCAGGAGCTGCAAGTGCGAGTGCACCCACTAGTGCGACCGGGAGTAGCACTTTCGCAGAGCGAAAAAGCAACCGAACGTCAGCGGCAGCACAGCAGGCTATCACAGCATGACCTTCGTTTTTTTCGTCAGTATGTTCGCTACGAAATCAATATGTTTGTGCATGCACTAATATGGACACGGTGTCTGTTGTGTCTACTTTAGCTGCTGCTGCAGCGCCGAAGCTCTGCAGAAAATAGAAAACTTGAAAATGACTTGTAGGCAGCTGTGGAATATGTTTATGTAGAAGAACTCAGACCGCTGAAAAAGAATGCAAATGGAAATTTAAAAGGTCTCAAATCGTGGAGAGAACCGAAAAAACGAAAGAAAATTTCGCCTCCATACCCAAGAAGAAAGCAGGCAGCAAAGCGACAACACGGAACACAGTCGGTGGTGGCGGAGCGGCAGGAGAGAGCACCCACTCTTCGCCTAACGAAGCAAAAGCTCCCGAAAATGGATGATGTTCGGACATGAATGAAAATTGAAGTTTTTGAAGAAAGTGGAAGTGCCGCAAAAGAATATATAACAATAATCAAAGCTGCAAATGAAAATCAAATGAAAAACGAAGGGTCTGAGCCCATGGCCAAGGATGAACAAACCCTGCAAATACAACTGCCTGCCTATGTGAAAATTACAATCATCACGTGGGCAAGCAGGAGCGCAGTTTTCATCCATTCACTGACTGTGCGTGCGCTCGTTTCCCGGTCAAGCAATTGTGTTCATTCTCGCTCCTATTGCCGTTCGGAAATCTAAAAAAATGAACACATAACTTTACTGCAGTTGCCGTTCTTTTCTGCAGTTGCGCATGTGCCTCTGCTGAAAAACTTGCATTCGTTTCCTGGCCCCCGTGGGCAGAATGCGGCGGAACTGTCGGAAGTGGGGCGATTTACTTTTTGCCATTTGCGCAAACACTTTGGGAAGATGCGCAGCGCTTTTCGAGCCGGGCGACCGGGGGTCAGCCACGAAAATGGTTGTCGCACGCAGCACGCGCTTTGGCTTTTTACTTCGGAAGGGCGCGAGCGTCTTCTCGTGTTCTGCCTGCGCTCGGAGCCGGGAAAAGCCTTTTGCCTACCGCGCGCACCTATTTCGGCTCCATCGTTGGTAGTGGTGATGGTGTGCGTGTGGTGTTTTGTCGTTTAAGAGCGGGAAAAAAAGTCGGCGTGTTGCGCCCGCACAGGCGCCGTTGTTTTGGTACTTGCCTGCGATGTCCTTGTCGCGTTCGGCAATCGAGGGCCGCGGCGGGCCGAAAAAAAAATGTTGCGCGCTGCGCGCCCGCAGACGCCCTGATCTGCTTCGGTAGCTGCGGGCCGGAGCGAAAAACTTTTTTCGCGCGCTGCGCGCGCAGGCTCCATGACCTAGTGTTGGCGCCACGTTCATAGTCTTTTTTTCGCGTCCAGCAGTCGGGGCCTGGCCGAGCAAATTAGTTCGCGCGCTGCGCGCGCAGGCGCCCTGACCTGGTACGGGCGCGATAGAGTTTTTTTTTCACGTCCACCAATCGGGACTGGCCGAAAAATGCAATTTTTAGCGTGCGCCCTGCGCGCGCAGGCGCCCGGACCTGTTGAGGGCGCGACATTTAGTTTTTTTTTCGCGTCCAGCGATCGGGGGCTGGCCGAAAAAAATTTGTCGCTTGCTGCGCGCGCAGGTGCCCTGACCTCGTGAGGGCGCGACGGAATTTGCTTCACGCATCCACCAATCGGGGGCTGGCCGAGAAAATTTTTAGCGACCTGCGCGCGCAGGCGGTCTGGCCCGGTTTGGGCGCAACATTTACAATTTTTTTTGGCGCCCAGCAATCGGGGGCTGGTCGAAAAAAAAACTATCGCGCGCTGCGCGCACAGGCGCCCTGGCCTGGTGACTCCGCCAATTTTTTTGTCGCGTCGTCCCAGCAATCAGGGCCTGGCAGAGAAAAGATTTTAGCGCCCTGCGCGCGCAGGCGCCCTGACCTGGTGAGGGCGCGACATTCGTGTGTTTTTTTTGCGCGTCCAGCAGTCGAGGGCTGGCCCAAAAAAATTCTTCGCGCGCTGCGCGCGCCGTCGCCCTGATCTGGTGAGGGCGCGATGGGTTTTTTTTACGTGCCCACCAATCGGGGCTGGCCGAAAAAAAATTCACCACCCTGCGCGCGCGCGTGCCCTGACCTGATCGGGGCGCGACGTTCATAGTTTTGTTCTGTGTCCAGCAGTCGGTGGCTGGCCGAAAAAAAATTATTCGCGCGCTCGTTGCGCGCGCAGGCGCCCTGACCTGGTGGGGGTGCGACAGATTTTTTTTTACGCGCCCGCTCGTCGGGGTCTTGCCGCCGGGAAAATTTATTCGCGCGCCGCGCGCGCAGGCCCCCGAACCTGGTGGGGGCGCGACGCAATTTTTTTTGCTTCCAGGTGTCGCGGGTTGGCCGAGGAAAAAGCGATCGCGCGTTGCGTGCGCGCAGGCGCCTTGGCCTTGGAGCGGGAAAAAATTTTCTGCGTCGCGCCCGGATGTCGGAGGCCTGGAGGCACCTGGCGCCGAACGTAGGCGCCTGCGTGCGCAGGCTGCTGCGCGCTGCGCGCGGGCGCACCTCAGACCGCGCGCGGCCGCAGATGATCCGCTTGTCGACAAGTGTGGGGACGACGACAAGCACTTCAGCAACTGTCACAGCAAGTGGCCCGCTTGTTTTTGTGCGAGTTGCCGCAGGCTCGCCCAAGTTAGTAGAAGGGGCGAAGAGAGTAGGTCTGTGCCTGCTGGCCGTTTTGTTCTGAGAGGAGGGTCGTTGCGTCAGTAGCTCGGGCCCCTATCTCGCCCGCGTTGGTTTTTGCGTTTCGCATGGGGAATAGATTCTGGGAACCCGCGGAATCTATGGGGCACACAGAAAAGGGCGGGAAGGAGACTAGGGAAGGGGGTAGCGACGCAGGTTGGGGGATCGGGAAGCGACGAGGTTGCGGGGATGTGGGCGTCGGGAATGAGGAGGCTGGCAGGCCTGATCATGAACTACAAGAAGATCTTCAACTGCGTGCAGGAGAGCCGAGGAGCTCCTCCCATCTCCAGGGTTCTCCAGGACCGGATCATTGAGGGGCCCTCCCTTTTCCAGGTAGGGATCCCGCCTTTTTCAAGGAGGGCTCCGCTCGCCCCCGTTTCGAGAGGGAAGAAGCCCAAGATGGAGCATCTCGGCTTCCTCAAGGGGGGGCGGCTATGGTGGGGCCATCGTTGGCCTACCTGCGGGTGGGATTCATTGTTGCACGCCTTCTTCGAAGGGGCACTCCACTGCAGCCGGTCCTTCGGCAAGAGGCGACTGCAGGCGGCCTTGCGTCAAGACGTGACTGCAGGGGGGCACATGGCAGGCCCGCCTGCGGCTTCGCAGAAGGCGAGGGCGGCGGGTCTGTATTGCAGAGCTGGCAGCTTCCACTGCCAAACAGATGTCCTCGACTGCAGAAAAGATGGCACTCACTGCAAAAAAGATGGCCTCCACTGCAAAAAAGATTGCCTCCACTGCAAAAAAGATTGGCCTCCACTGCAAAAAAGATTGGCTCCACTGCAAAAAAGATGCGAGAGGGGCACTATGGGGGCGTGGTGGGCAGGCCGTTAGCCGTTACTCTTTGTTAAATCCGTTAACCGTTACTCTTTCTTCGATCCGTTTTCCGTTACTCTTTGAAAACATCACTTTCCTGCAGTCCGTTCCATCTTTTCTGCAGTCAAACAACACTTTGCTGCAGTCGCTGCCTTCAGCATCATCTTTTTTGCAGTGCAACTGCAAAAAAGTTTAGTGTTCGAGCTTTTAGGACACGCCGTTCGGGCGCAGGGCTTGCCGGCCTACCCGTGGCGGACCCCGGGGCCCGCCCCCGGAGTCCTTTCAAATGAAAGCGGGCGGGCCGTCGTGGTTCGGTTTCCATCTCGCGAAGGGGAATTCTTCGCCCAATTCTTCGGGGAATTTTTCGCGCAATTCTCGAAAAGCGGAAAAAAATCAGGGGGAATTTTGCGGGAATTCGTAGGATTGGCCACGCAGTAAAATTGCTAATTTTGGGGGGAATTCGGTGGGGGAATTTTTTGGGAATTCGGGCCCCCGGACCTGTTTCATTGTATTCGTGTGCGATTTTGGCACCCCCCCGCCGGGGGTTGGCAATTCGCAAAAAATTGCACATCGAATTAAAGACGCAATTAGAGAAATTTTTTTTGGTAATTTCCCCGGTCCGGGGCGGAATTGCTCACCAAATTGAACAAAAATTGTACTCGGAATTGGCTAAAAATTGAACACAAATTGAAACAAAAATTGCCCGAGTTGGCTGAGGTGTATGATGAACGGAGCGCGCCACCTTGAAAGGGGGGCCTTGGTGTGGGCCCATGTTTGGCGGCCTCGGTGTGGCTTCCCCTTCGTTCCTTTGGCGCGCCGCCGCGGGTTTTTGTGTAGGGTATGCAGCCGGGGCCTGGGCGCCGTTCCGGCGCCTCCACATACAGAGCCTCGCGCGGCCTGCCGATTTTCAAAATTGCGCAAGTTTTGCGCCCAATTTAGCGCCTTAGGTTGTGCGGCCCCGTTCGCCTGAGGAACGAACAGCGCAGCGCTTTCGATTACAAAACCCGGAAGACCAAACGGGATAGGCGGCTAATGTTGAAGCATCATCCCGACCAGGTGAAGAGCAAGAAGCTGACGGCAAAAGACGAATTTGCGGCGCTTGTCAACTGGACGGAATTTGAACAAGTGCGGAAGGAGGGCAAAGAGTTTGAGTGTTTTCGCTTCACCGTGGCTAAGTGTGCCGGGACGAGTTTGAAAAAGATAAACTGCCTGCAAACGTTCTTCCAGGTGGAATTAGTCGGGGGGAAAAACAGGCTCAGGCTTCTGGACAAAGCAGAGACGCAGGTATACAGGGGGACGCACGTCTACCGCGCCGGGCACTATGATCGCAACCTCGGGGAAGATGGTGGCGCCGGCGGCAGCATGGCCAAACGGCCGAAGTTTGCGGCGCTAACAAACAACATGTCCGCAGAGGAAGTAAAGGAGCAGGTAGAGCTTTCCATCCAAGAGGAGAGCCAAAACTTCTGGAAATGCCGGAAAGTAGTGGAGCGTGCTGAAGTTGAGGGAGCCATGTGCCAGAACCTCGAGGATCGGGATGATGTTGCTGCCCTCTGTGGTATTGCTTTACTAGCTCTAGCTCTACCGCTAGCTGCTGGCAGTGCTATAGTAGCTGCTGGAGGTTTAGGCTTTGGCTTTGGTTTACTTTTTGAAGATGGGTATGAGCAGACGAAGACTACGAGAGCGAGACGATGCAGCGTGCGAGCAGTTTTTGATTTTTTGTAGACAGCGCCTGCAGAGAAGAGGACGATCGAACTCATCTCACATGCGAAGAGCTTGCTGCGCTTGCTCTTGATCGTCGGCGCTGGGTAGTGAATAGAACAGCCGTGCTGTTGTTGCTCTTCATTCTCATACTCATCTTCGTGTGAAAGTGAGTGCGTCTGTTGTTTTTTTGATGCTCATAGCTCGCTCTCGTTTCCGATTCCGTGCTTCTACGTGTTGCAATCGTAAAAAATGGAACAATGAAAACAGACTCCGACACTTCCGCCAGTCAACGCGTCGCGGTTCCCGTCTACGCCCCGTCCGGAAAGTCGATCATCACCTACGAGATGAGAGCCCCGCCTTCGCCTAAGGCGTCCGCGTCTAGTAGTCCTGCTCCCGGGATGCAGCAGCAAGGCGTGGCGTGCGCACCCGGGACGACAAACAAAGAAATTGCGGCGGCTGCGTTGAACAACCTGCCGGAGCAGGAGCGGACCCGTCCGGTCCTAGTCGTGAGGCTAGGACCGGACGCGACGCCCGACAGATCGGGCAAAAGTTTCGCGATAGAAGTGGTTCTCGTCAGGATGCAGAACTGCGAGACCGAGGAACTATTGCTGAGACAATGTGTTCCGCTCGCTTGTTCCCATGATGGTGGTCATATGAGTGCTCTCTCGGACCTGTGCGACCGCCTGGGGGACACGGTCCCACTCCCAGGGGACCGCGTCGCCGACTGGCCAGGGGACCCAGTTGCTGCGTATGCAGTTGCCCAAGACGCCGGCTCCGACATCGTAACAGCTATGCGCATCTTCGCCGAAGGCAGCGCCGCCACCAACATAGAGAGGGCGGAGCAGCAGCAGAACGGGACACCAAAACAGCAATGGCTCATAGAGACTTTTCATCTGCCGCTGTTATGCACGCGCCACCAGGCCAGCTTGCTCGAAGGCGAGCTTGTGCAAATAGTTACAGCCTACATGCCGGATTTCTTCCTCGGCCTGAGTGCGGTCGTGCGGTCGGTGAATTTGTACAAGGGCAAAACTATTAAAACAAGCGACCCGAAGTATTTCAACCTACGCGCTTACGCGGAGCACCGGTGGCAGACGCTGTGCGTCACCCTGGGCGACCTGATCAAGTACGAGAAGGAAGCGCGAGCAGTAGTAGAAAATACATCGGCGCAGAACAAACAGGAAGAGCAGAAGAAAACCCTCGCTAACGCGAGGAAGGCGCTCGGGAGCCGGGAGCTCATGCATGTCGTTAAGAGTCTCGAGAATGCCATGGAGGCAGTGGAGCACGTGCGCAACGCGATCAAGCGCGACCAGGAGCTGGTCTACACGTCGGCCAAGCACACCGAAGTGAAGCGGTACACGCCGCCGACTCGGACACAGCTGGGCAACATGTTGATGAAGCGCCTGCTCATTCGCGAGGGGGATACTTTGGGGCTCTGCCTGAAGCTGGAGATCTATCATCGTCTCCCCGATAGGTTGAAACAAGTGCACAGCTATCCCCACCAGTTCCTGCCCTGGACAAGCGGCGACAAGCAATTGGTGAAGGAGTCGGCGAAGCGGTTTCTGAGCATCCACCTCAACAACAAAGCTAACTTCCTGCGGTTTTTGCAAAAGAGATACAGCAACGAACTCACGAAGGGAGCGGAGGCGGGGCATTTGAGCAAGCGGCTGCGACAGCTGCTTGTCCCGGTGAACCGCCAAACAGTACCTAGCAATCAATACTGCGAAGCCTTGCAGTCCGCGCACCAACAAGAGAAGGCCTTGGCCCCCGCCATAAAACAAGCCAGGAACGGAATCAGGGTGCAGCGGGCCCGAACGAACCAGAAGTCGTGGGCCAAGTGGCAAGAACGCAAAGAGCAATGGAAGAACCTGCATGACCGGCGCCGCAAAGTCGTGAAGGAAAGAAGCACACCAGTAAAAAGGTTTGCGCGGGAGGTGGACCCGCTCAATAAGGTCGCGCGCGATGAGGTTGGGCGCAGGGGTCGCATACACCCGAGTCTGGACACCTTGCTTACCATCCGCAATGCAAAAAGTACGACGCCACGGCTATCGGCGAAGAACAAAAAAGGGCTGGCGGCCCGTTCGGGAAGAGCGGAGCACTGGTCGTTGCGCCGGAGATCGCAAAAGACGAGCTGCTGGACGTGCCGCTGATCCATGACCACAAAAACGGGCGCGGTTGCTCTTTGAGCATGTCCTTGCTCGATGTGGTGCGCAAGCTCGAAACAAAGCCTGCTCCTGCACCCGCTCCCGCGCCGGTCATGAAAAAGAAACCAAAAGCCGCGGCGAAGAAGAAGGCGATGTGGTGGGTTAAGACGCCGGCTGACGATAGTAGTGATAGCGACGAGAAGATGTGCTCGAGAAGAAGAAGCGATCGAAAGAAGAGAAGAAACAGCAGAAACAGCTCGCCAAGGCGTTCGGGTGGTGGTTGTGTTTTAGTAAGAACGGGCGGAAGGGGAGGATGATTCGACTACAGGGGGGAGACGACGTTGACCAGCGGGCGTTTGCGTTCTCCTTCCATCCTGACATGGAGGTCATCACCTTCAGCAAGTGGATAGAGATGTCGCAGGAGCGCGAAGACCTGCGGCAGAAGTTCAAGTGCGAGGTGCTGCAAGGCGCCTCTCCGCTCATCTATCCTTCCAGTTACTACGGAGGAAGCAGGTAATGATCCGCGATTCGGAAGTCAACTGTTCGTCCCCGAAGGACACACGTACAAACTTCAGCGGGCCGCGTATCTGCAGCATTCGGAAGTTTGTTCCAGGCGGGAAGTAAAGGAGGTGTCGCGGGTCGGGTTGATCGATGAACGGAAGCAGCAGGGTGACAGCATGGAGTTCGTCGCGCGTGATGGGCGGATCGAATATGTTGCCCGCGATGAAAGGGCGGCAAAGTGGAAGGACACCGTTGACATTTCTCGCGCGGTGCCCGAGTGCGGTCTGTGCAAGGACCTGAACAGCGCTTACCTCATCTACAGGCCCGAGCAGAGGACGTGGCTCTGCGCGGTCATGGCGAAGGGATCCGCCGAAGCACAGCAGACAGAGTGGAAGCGTTTTGGTGCTTCCACCGGCGGTGGTGTGTATGATCAAACAAAGATCATGCAGGCGCGGAAGCGGCTGTTGCGCAGGATCTTTCTGCTCAAGGAGTGGGGTGATGTTCCGGAAACAACGGACGCTATGGAGACGCTTTCGTGCGGTGAGTTGGAGCCGTACATCCGCGCGACCAAGGACATGCCGGCTCCGCAGGCTGCTACTTACGACGATGGCAACGACATCGATTAAGCATAAGCAGGATTATCATCAGCGTCATACTTCAACTACCAACGTTCACGAAAAAACCACGGATAGGAAGCAGCCCCAGCTCCGCCTACATGTCTTTCCACTTCTTCGCCATCCCCTCGCGGTTTGCAACTGCCGGCTAGTCGTGTCCGGGGCGACGTATTTGCGCCATGCCAGCACTGGACTCTCGAGCTTTTGACTTACCGCGTCGACCGTTGCTTATCTCCACACTAGGAACACGTGACTGCGCGTCGGATTGCGTGGATTAGTGATCAGGCTTACTCCGTGTTTTTCTATGCTAATACTTGCAGACGCACTGCGACTTCGCCTGCAGCTGTGCCCAGACATACACGCTACTTTGATGCGCTCTCTGCGGTCGAGGTATCTCGCTTCCGTTACTTTTTTCAAAAGTAACGATCTGCATATCTATCGCGAGCATCAGCATTGAGTAAGCACAGCATAGATCGAGCGTTGCAGTCACGCGTCGAGATTTTGCTTGCATACTGAGCAGCGGAGATGGCGGCGGTGATGTGGGAGGAAGCCGTAACTGCCAAGATGGCACGTTCTTCGCCGTGGGTTCCGAGAGCTATATTTTCAGTCTTCTCTTTTTGTTTGTTCTTGATCTTGTTTACAACATTTCCTTCCCAATCTCAAAACAAATACTTTATGGCAAGCACGTACGCGCTCACTTGACACAGAGAAGGTCTTCAATAATTCATAGTAGTACTGCTTTCGTATCAATCGGCGTCGCACTTGATTGCGCCGCGCAAGCCAGGAAATATGTGCACGGATGTGCAAAAGCGTAGTGATCCCTCCGCAGTTTCGCACGCAAAAAAAGAAAAATAACAGCAAGTGCGTAGGCTACTGCGCTCCTTCGTCATCGCGCAAGAGCGCAATACAGCACCGGTAGGCAGCACTCTGCAACAACATAGCGCCGCGGATTATAGCAAAATATGTATGATGCAAGTGTATACCTCATTGAGAAATCGGCTCTATTGGCAGGCAGAGAGAGCCTTTTTACCTGGCAAAAGTGTCGGCGTTCTGCACAATCACAATGCAAACGATCCAGGAGAGAGAGCCCGAAACGGTCGGGGAAATTGAGAAAATTGCTGACATTCCGAGAAAAAGTGATGGCGTTCGTGAGCCTCCAAAGTTGACGCTCTGCAGAATCTTCAGAAAGCACGTGTTTTGAGGTCAAAAAATCCAAAATCTTCAAGATTTTGAGCTCAAATCCTGAAGATTTTGGATTTTTCAGTGAAAGCGAGGCCGTTTTCTGAAGAATCTTCAGAGCGGCGACTTTCGACACTCACGGAAGTCATCAACTTTTCACAGATTTCGACGAAAAAAATGATCCCGCTCCCGGGAAATATGCTCGCACAGAAAGAAAAGCGAACGCGTTTCCCCTTAGAAGTTGTCCCCTGATCATTAGAAGTTGCCCCCTGATCAACGTCGCGCGCCTCCTTGTCTGGGCCTTCAGAAGTACATACAAAATCACAAAACTCCTCTGCACAAGATCAAAAAACGCTGCTTCTTGCCTTCGGTTTTACCTTCGTGATGTGCTTCTCGCACCATTTTCCAATGAAAAAGCAGCAGCGTGAGGCGCGAGAGTTGTAGTTATTGTGCTCTGCGTACGCACAAAATGGAGCAAGCGCGGCCGCGTTTCGACACCACGCCGAGCACGCTCGCCACCGATGAGGAGTGCGAGGAGTTCATCCGCTTGGTCGCCGACGGCACGATCAAAAGCCACAAAGAAGTGCGCGACTTTGTGCGGATCCGGTTGCTAGACCGCTCCCGCGCGCAGCTGCTGGCGATCGGGCGTCGCTTGTTGCAATCAGTGAAGAACCATGAAGGAAGCGAGGGACTTTTTTTTTAAAAAGTCTGTCTATGCCACCACAATTCCGCATCATCTGACTTCGCATGAAGCACATCGCTCTTCATCCATCTTCAAGCTACTACCTCCAACACAGATACAAGCATCGCGCTCGCATGTGTTCCCACGTGGGCGGTATCGTCGATGCCTTCGCCGAGGCGCGGTTCGTGGCGCGTGAGCCCATTGGTGCCATCGCGAATCCGGAGACCGACACGTTCGAAGTGATTGATGGAGGGCATCGCGCGGAAGCGCTGAAACAAGGCGCGAGTCGTCATGGTCTCGACCCGGAAACCGTCGGACTGACGTACATTGTGTTTGCATACTCTTCATCTTCATGCTCATCTTCGTGCTCGTGTTCACATAGGAACTTGCGCCCGAGGACGAAGCTGAGCTGCAAAGAACGGCCGTGGTCATCTTCTCCCGTGTATTCTCTCTGCGATTTCAGCTTCGCTCCAAGTTGTCACGCACGAACTTCGCGGAGCGTAGCGCGCTGATGTTTCTCCTTTTCGAGTCGAAACATGTAAAATCAAGAAACCTAAAGCAGGTTGATGATTTTTCACCCCAAGCTGTTAAAATTCCCGGCGATCATCGAAGTGTCCACGGCCGTGTGTAACGAAGGACAAACCGGGTTAGCGATGTGCTTTCATCAGAAAGCGCGCTCGTTCCGGAAGGTATTTCTATTGTCGCTTTTAGTTTCATGGAGGTGCAATCTGTGTCGTATGCAAGCTGAACATCGGGAGCACTTTTAAAGCTTCATCCTGCTTGCAGCCTGTTTCTGATAATAGTTTGGCCTGTTGATGTAGCGCGTCAGCGTCTCAATACTTTGGTGACCAGTTATCTGCTTGATAGTACTAGGCGCGACGCCTGAGCGATACAAATGCCCCGCAGTGCTGCGCCTCGGTGTATGCGAAGTTATTAGATTCGCCGGTCATGATTCGGCGTCTTTAGGTCGAAGCGTCTTCCTAGCGATTCGAGTTTTTGCCTCCATAGCTTCGTAGCCAAAATTGAGCACCCTGCTACTTGCCGGCGCGAGCCCACTCAGTTTTTCTATTTGCTCCTTGAGAAAGGCCTTCGCGTCTTTCTCGGGCTCGATGCGCACCCATTTTAAGCGTCCTCTACCGCCCGGAGTGTCGGCAAGTTTCGAGTTGCCAATTGGGATTTTGTCTAGGTGGATGTCTCGCGCCTCGAGATACCGAACATCCATGCCGCGACGGCCTGTGAAGGTCTGTATCGTCCACGCAAGGCGATATAGTTCCCCGGCCCGTTTTTTGCGGCCACTGGTCGCCTCCAAGTGTTCCGCGAAGCGGTTACAGTCCTGCTTGCTTAGAGAACCACTCCGCTCCTCTCCGTCGATGTCTTGTTCTTGGTCCCGCACTGCCACTTCCGCTTTCCGCTTTTTCGTGATAGCGCGCATGGCCTTCTTCCTAGCCTTGCCCTTCTTCGTACTAGATTTGGGATGGCGGGCCAGTTCGTTGCGTCTCGGGTCGATCGTGATTTGTTAGCATGCCGCGCTGCCTTGCGGGAAGCAAGCTTCTTTTTCATCGCATTGGCCTTTCGCTTTGCCATCTTGTTAGTTTCTGTGATCGAAAATTCAAAGCGAGTTCCTGTGTAGCACTGCCTCGCTTGAAATGCGCCTCGTGTAGCGTAGCGCTGTATCTCCCTCCGTGGTTGCGAAATCAAAAACAAAGCACCGCATGAGTAAGAGTAAGCAGAGTGCGCCGATTTTCAAGTTCATAGCAAGCATGTCTACATGGCACGAAGTAGAAGTAACACAAAGCACCAACATAAGCCCATCGCTTCGGCGTCAGCTTTTTTGTTCTTTTTGTCGCTGGGAGTTGCAGTGTTTGAAAGAAGGGCCAGTGGGAGACTCGCATCGATGCAACTAAAGCTCATCACTCTCAGATCCGTTTCTAACTCGAGTTCTAATTCCTTACGTCTTACACTTACGGTTGCACTTACGCTATTTTTTTTCCTACATGTGCATGAGCATGGTCATGATATTACTAGCGGCGCTGTCAATACCAACTACAATTTCAATTGCAGACTCATGCTGAAAAAGTAAAAGATCAACTCACTCGCATGCTGAAAAAGAAAAACTAAAGCAGAGCCGTCGTCTCGCGGACCCACCCCGAGCAGATGCTATGGAACCAGCGCGAGTGCTTCCTGTCGGCTGTGTGGATTCTCTTTCCGGGTTCCAAGCGTCCGCTGCTGGGCCGCCTGCCCAAGGGGTGTGGTGACCTGTTGACGTACGAGGTGCTGATGGACCTGATGCGGCTCATCAAGTACAACAGCGACGCCACTCTGTCGGCCCGGTCCGAGTGCAACAGGATCCGCATCTCCCTGACTTGCCAGCGCGTCCGCAACTCGCTGTTGAACCACACCCCCGACGTACCGGCTTCGCAAGGAGCCACTGGCGCCACGCTCGACGCCATGAGGTCCCACAGCAACGTGTGCACCGCCAAGGACCCCCAGAGCATCGGATTGCGGCTGCACCCCGTGAACGTCGTCGAGTGGGGGCACAGTGCCCAACAGGCTGCGGAGAAGAAGTCCTGCGAAGGTTACGTTTTCAAATTAAAGACGGTGATCAAGAACTGCCTGGACATGGAGACGGGCGCGTGGCTGCACTCCAGCTTCACACACCCTCCAGGAGCGGGGAGCTGCGCTTTCCGTCGCTAACAGCCTGAAGGTTGGTGACGTGTGTCGTCTGCACATGGACACTGACACCGCGTTGGGAGCCGGGTTCGCTGGGCGGCAGATCGAGATCAAGAAGGGCCACGCGATCAGCGTCGACTTGGCCGAGGTGAAGGGACGCAAAAACACCGCGCAGAAGGAGCATCAGGATAAGGCTGACGCCGCGCAGAAGCGGCACAAAAAGACGAAGGGCGCGGAGTACGACTCTCCCGCGGAGTTCCAGAAGGCCATGGACGACTTGGACAAGGACTGGAAGCGGCAGAGCGAGACTCTCGAGCGTCAGATGAACACTGCCAAGGCGCGCAAGTTTGTCAAGGGTATGGTCACCGCGACTGGGAAAGAGCTGGAAAGCGTATCGCTTTTTGTTTTTGATTTACAATTAGAATCGATAGCGCAAATACTGATAGTTTTGCTTTAGTGTTGATTTTGTTTCAGTTACGTCTACAGTGAGTTGCACACGTGGTGACTAGTTCTAGAGTTAAGGTTATGCTTATGCTGTTATAGTTTTAGTTTATGGCAAAGGTAATGGCGTCGGTCGTTCGCTTTTCGTTTTTAATTGCAATACAGTCTACAACTCCTGATACACAGTATCAGACTCCGCTCGACGCGCTGACCATCGACGACGTGCCTCTTTTATCGCGTGACTGATCGACCCGGCCAGCGTGTGCGAAGACTGGGAAGCTCCGAGCGACATGCCCAAGCGCTTGGGCGTCTTTGGCGTCCGCACCCCGATCCTGATGCTCGGTTGCAATGGACTCCCGTATTTGGCGCGTATGACGTGCTCCAACTTGGACATGGCCTGGAAGTTCAGCGGCAATTTCGACAACCAGATCGAATCCATCATCTTCCGCCCGCGCCAGATCGTACAACTTTTCCCACTTTCGGCATTGTGTTGCTATTCGGGCTACTTTTAGTACTAATAACGCAGCAGCATCGTCTTCGTCTTCAGCTTCAACTTCGTCTACAACTACAGCAGCATCTACATCATCATAGACGAGCTGCAGTTCTTGTTTTTGCTGCTATTGCTACACAGAGAGCTTTGAGCTTCAGCATCAACATGGCGGGAAATTTTTAAGCTTTAACATTGAGAAGCAGCGCACAGCTGCGCTTCAGTGTTGGCTTCGAGTTGATCCTTGACGCAGCCGCTGCTAGTTGCAGTTGCTCTTGTTTTTTTAGTCGTTGCGAGCCTACAACGAACCAGCTGCGTCTTGATCTTCCTCTTCCTCTTCGACCATTTCATTATAAAGACTCTCAACCAACTCCAACTCTGACAACAGACCACCAGCAGCGACTTGGTCATCAACTTACTTCAAAGCTCCGGCGCCGCGCTACAGGGTCGCGGTGATTCAGACCGGCACCGAGAAGCTGTCCAAGGAGAAGAAAAAAGAAGCCGACAAAGCCGCGAACGCGCTGAACCGCCTGACCAGGAAGACCGCTGACGAAGCCGACAAGGCTGCTTCTAAGGCTTCGAAGAAGCGCCCCAAGTCTTCGGCGTCCGGAACTGGTGATGAGGGCTCGAGTTTGGAGAAGGAGCAGCAGGACGTGGCGAACAAGGCGCGCGCCGACTTGTTCTTCCGTCCGGTCGTGTTGGACGCGGACGTGGAGGAACAGGAGAAAAAGTAAGGAAAATGGGGGAAAGCGCAGTCGCGCTGGTACCGAGGAGCTTGCCTTCTGCAAGGAGGATTCTCCGTCTGGTAAGCGCAGCCGCGGACAGTCGTTTGAGGAGGCCGAGGAGCTGCTGAAACATGTCGCCGACCGCGTGTGGCAGACCCTGAAGGCCAGCATCGACTTGACCCCGGACGAGCTGAAGGCCATCTGTAAAAAGGAGGCCGAGGTCAAGGGCGCGCGTGCCAAGAACAGCGCGTACTGGGGCGAGCAGATCGCCCTGGCCATGTCTGCGTACACCATGATGGACGAGGAGAACATGGAGCGCATGAACGACTCCGACCTCGAGGGCGGGCAGTTGTTCCTGCGTACCGGCATGCCCGCGATGAAGTCCGCGCACGAGGAGTTGATGCGCCAGGCCCAGGGATCCTCCAGCTCTAGCTCGAGTTCGAGTTCTTCGTCCTCCACCAACAACAACAACAAACCGGAGGCGTTGTTGCCGACGGAGTCGGAGGCGGAACAGGAAAAGTCGAATTCTGATGATGACGAAAAAGAGAAGTCATCTGAGAAGAAGAAAGAATAGAGTCTATGTTTGTAGAACTAAAAGCACAGCTACTCTTTTGAGTGTCACACTCGCAGCGGGTCGGTGTTTTCGCTACTACTTGTTTGCTACCTTATTCGTTACATACTTATTGTGCCGGTAATGTGAATGCAAGCACGTGGCGCAGCTCGACTCGTGTTGTGGCTTTATGCTTTTCGCTCGTCAGAGCAGAACCCCTAACGCAGCCACATACTCGGTTGCATTTCGTTGTATTTGTATGCATCGAAAGCCATCTCTTGTCTGGCGCTGCTTCATAGCGATGCTTCTGCTGTAGCTTTGGAGCTGTTGTCAGTCGTCAAAACAATTTGTCACGACAGCTATGCTTCATGGGAAGGAAAAAATCCCACTTCTATGCTAAGAAAGGAGGAGGCATCGGCTTGATCTTCGTTTCGCTCTACCATGGTTGTACTACTTCGCTTGTATGTTAGAAGTGCATTACTATGATTTCCAAGAACTTCGCGTTTGTTGTCCGAGCCTCCCCTTTCGCAAATACTGCGTCTTCTTTTTAACCTTCTCCGCTGGAGAAGGTATAGCAATATGCTACGCGACACGCTGATAATTAAAAAAGCAGCGCAAGCACCAGCGTGACCACCTCGTCTCCATGGTGTGCGCATCGCTTTTTATAAGCCTCTTTTTCCGTCCCTTGTTAGGGGCTAGCTTCTAGCTCAACTCGAGTCGTTTGCTACTATTTTTGATAGCAGTACGACTACCACTATTCGGCGGATCCACCCAGCACTAGATAAGTTTGTTGCTGCGCTTGCAGGTTCATTTTTATCCTAGTGCTTTGAGCTTGTATATGAAAGCTTTGATCGGATTAGAAATTAACTACCTATTGTAGCAGCATCGCTCTTCTTTGTCGAGACAGCTGGAAGACTGCGCTGAATAATCGGAACTCTGCGAGAGTGTCGGATCGGTCTAGCGAGCTCTTCAAGCTGTTGAGATGCATCAATCTTTCTGGCACTACCATGATAATGAAATGCAAGCGATCGCGACCGTAATCTTTTGCATTCGTAGTAGTTCTCGAGCGCGCCGCGCATGCTATGCAATTCTAAGAGACCTCGAGCATTATTGCGAAGGTTTGTGCCTTTCGTGCGCGTCCTGCTCACGCCTGTGCTGCGCGACGCAAAAAACAAACGCTTTATCAAGAAGGCGAAGCTTTCGATGAGACAACGAATGAACGTGAGTTCATCAACTTGTAGCGAAAGCTGACACATACGAGCACAGTTGCTCCACCTTCGACGCCACCGGGTATCGCGCGCACCCCCAAGCAAGTCGCGACTTTCTCGAAACGGCGAAAGCTTGTGGCTTCGCTTTAAACCACAAGTGTTCGCAAAGGTCACATAGAAAAGATCGGCGCGTGATCGGTGCTGCAAATGTGTGCTCGATGGCAAATAAAAGCCTTCGGTTGTTGATCAAGGCGTAGTCTTTATTTTCTCGGTGAATGCAAAATGTCGGCGAACTGCAAACGCAATGCAAAAGTTCTGCACACGTGAAAAAAAGAATGATCGTGCTACACAAACGAATACGCTTTCGATCGCAACTTCGGTATTTTGGTGAGCAAAGTCACATCCTTCAGTTTTGAAGTCTCAAAATAAATTGGATTTTTAAATACTCGTTTTTGACATTTTGTCCAGTCATATTGTGCGGTGAGTGGACGAGGAAAACGTACGCCTCGATTCCCGAAGCAGTGAGATTCGATATGAGGGACAATCTAGCAGAGGAGTTGCTTTTGTTCGCCGCCTCCGAGAACGTTTTCAGCCTTGCCCACGCGCCACCCGCGCTTCTTCGCGATCGTGAATTGATGCAAAAAATCGTTGCGATCCAGCAAGAAAACCCATTGTTCGCCCGAGTCGGGGAAAGGGAGGAACCCCTTTGTTTCGTTGACCGGGAACTCCGCGACGACCCTACATTCCTGCGCGCCATCTTTGAAGACGACGACCGCTGGAAGCAGTTATTGGCCCAAAAGAGGGAGCTCAGCTTTTTCAAGTGCATCAGCGAGGACTTACTGCGCAGGGACCGCCGTCTCGTCAGGGACTACGTCGCTCGCTTGCGCGCGGTCGCGAACGTACCAGCAGACGCGCTGATCGAGTACGACCGTAGTGCCGAGTCAGCTCTCGGTGGCAGTACCAGCCCAGATGATCGCAGACGGATCTCCTCTGCGGCGAAAGAGATCGGAGACAAGTACATTTTGCGGCCTGCACCAAGAAGAACGTCTGGCGCGTGATGGTGGTGCGCTGGTCACAGATCAATGAGGACTTCGACATGGATATGATAAAGCTATGGCGCGGCTCTTCCATCGACGGACCGAAAGCGCGTAAAAAATCAAGCCTCGTAAAGTGTATGATTTTCTGTAGAAAAAAATTTGACGAAAAAACACGGCAACTGCTTCGAGAGCATGTTGCCATTACTTCCGCTGATTGTCATTGCTCACGACCCTCTCCGGAAGGTAGACAACTAATCGGCCAAGACCTAACAATCATTTTGAAAATCACGAATCCCGAACGAAACGGAAACGCTTTGTGTAACGTGTAAGATTAGACAATGCAAGAGAGTACGCAAACGCACTTTGTTGCGTCTTCCGTCGGGTTTTTGACAGGCAACGTCACTGCTGTACGTAGCACATGAAGGAAGAGGAAAAGAAAGGCATTTTTTCACTCACATAGAACAGCAGCCGCGAGGAGTTCCATCATTCAAGAACTATCGCATCAACATCTTGAAGAAACAACAACATTGCGTGACGCCAAAGTGTAAGATGAAAGCTCCATGCGATGTTTTGAATTCGCAATAAACTTGGAACATGGCGGGCATGGATTTTGCTCTGTCCGATGGACGGTACTGCAGCTGCTGTACTACTTTTTTCTCGCGGTGGTCGACTGCGACCCAATCATGGAATTCCGATGTTCGCTAAAAGAAATGAAATGCGCACTATTGTCCGTATTGCACTTGTCTTGCTAATATTTCATGCACATAATACTCTACATTCTCGAGATGTTGATGCCGATCAAATATTCCATGACTGAGAGAATATCGAATTCGATTTTCATTTTTGTCTTTCTTGCTTCTCTCTCTCCATGCCTGGGCACGGCGTCATTGTTCGATATTTATTGCATATCATAAATCTAATCAAATCCTAATCCATAGATGTCATGAAATTAAATTTCGAAATCAATCTGAAGATGAGAATTGATTCATTTTTTTTTTTTTGTTGTGATCGGGTTCGGTATCTCAGGAAGATTCAATGGAAATTGTCAATTTTATAACAAGATTTATTCAATTTCAATTCTATCTTGATATCTGGAATCTTAATTCGAATTATCTCTGTTGAATTTATTCTTTGAGAGAAAATTATGAAATGAGGATGGAAATAGAGATAGATAATCATGGATTGGATCCTAGATTAATTTGAATCATATGCAGATATAACCGGAAAGAAAAAAAAAAAATAAATTCATTCATTCTCGACGTCTAATGGTTTTGAAAAATATAGAAAATCTGATAAAGGAATCATAAGAAATTTATTCAAGAAAATTGATATTCTAGAAGAAATATTTTTTTTCGGCTTCCATATATCCAATTCATAAAATTATGAAATCGAAGACATCAGAAATTTTCGAAGAAAAAAAAAAAATTTCTTTGATTTACAGAATGAAAATCATTTTCAAATGAAATTTTTTATGAATATAACTCCTATTGCTGAGCTGCGCGAGTTCAAACTTTGCGACGAGGAGGAAAATCGTCCACGCCGAAATTTTTTTGCCCGTTTTCAAACTTTCAAAAGCTGTCGCGATTTGCGAAATCGGCCAACGGCACACGGCGAACGGCCGACGGCGAATCGCCCAAGTCCCCTGGCAAACGGCGAATCGCCCAACGGCGAATCGCCCAAGTCCCATGGCCAGCGGCGAAGCGCCCAAATCCCATCGCAAACGGCGAACCGCCCAACGGCGAATCGCCCAAGCAAGTCCCATCGCAAACGGCGAATCGCCCCAGTCACGTCGCAAATCGAAATATTTTGCAAGCAAAAACATTTCGCAACTCGAAATATTTTGCAACTCCAAACATTTTGCAACTCGAAATATTTTGCAACTCCAAACATTTTGCAACTTCAAATATTTACTTGCGGCGCAAAATATTTCGCAAGTCCAAATATTTTGCAACGCAAAATATTTTGCGACCCAAAATATTTCGCGACCCAAAATATTTCGCGACCCAAAATATTTCGCCAACGGCCGACGGCCAACGAACGGCCAACGGCGAATCGCCCAAGTCCCATGGCAAACGGCGAATCGCCCAATGGCGAATCGCCCAAGTCCCATGGCAAACGGTGAATCGCCCAAGTCCCATCGCAAGCGGCGAATCGCCCGACGACGACTCGCCCGAGTCCCATCGCAGACGGCGAATCGCCCAAGTCCCTTCGCAACCCGAAATATTTTGCAACTCCAAATATTTTGCGACTCGAAACATTTTGCAACTCCGAACATTTTGCAACTTCAAATATTTTGCGGCTCAAAATATTTCGCAAGTCCAAATATTTTGCAACTCAAAATATTTCGCAAGTCCAAAAAAATTTTGCGACCCAAAATATTTCGCGACCCAAAATATTTTGCGGCCCAAAATATTTCGCGAGCGAAGATTTTTCGCGACGCCCAATATTTTGCAATCCCCGAAAAATATTTGCAGGCGAAAATATTTCGCAACAATCTGCCGAGACCCTGCCTCCCCGGTTTTGCAGCATAGGGAAAGCGGGAAGCACGGGGAAAGCGGGAAGCACGGGGAAAGCGGGAAGCACGGGGAAAGCGGGAAGCACGGGGAAAGCGGGAAGCACGGGGAAAACGGGAAGCAAGGGGAAAACGGGAAACACGGGGAAAACGGGAAGCACGGGGAAGCGGGAAGCACGGGGAAAGCGGGAAGCACGGGGAAGGCGGGAAGCACGGGGAAGGCGGGAAGCACGGGGAAAGCGGGAAGCACGGGGAAAGCGGGAAGCACGGGGAAAGCGGGAAGCACGGGGAAAGCGGGAAGCACGCCAAGCACGGGGAAGGCGGGGAGCACGGGGAACGCGGGAAGCACGGGGAAAGCGGGAAGCACGGGGAAAGCGGGAAGCACGGGGAAAGCGGGAAGCACGGGGAAAACGGGAAGCAAGGGGAAAACGGGAAACACGGGGAAAGCGGGAAGCACGGGGAAAGCGGGCAACACGGGGAAAGCGGGAAGCACGGGGAAAGCGGGAAACACGGGAGGCACGGGGAAAGCGGGAAGGGCGGGGAAAGCGGGTAGGACGGGGGAAGCGGGAAACACGGGGAAAGCGGGAGGCACGGGGAAAATTTAAGCGGGAAGCACGGGGAAAGCGGGAGGCACGGGGAAAGCCAGCGGGAAGCACGGGGGAGGCGGGAAGCACGGGGGAAACTGGAAGCACGAGCGGAGGGCGCACAGACGGCGGGGGGTACGCACGGCGAACGCCGCCGGCGGCCAAGCACCAGGCGAGCAGCTGCCCACCACCCTCCCCCGGCGCCCTCCCTCTGTTCGCGCAGGAAAAGCCGCGCCCCAGCGCCAGGCTTGCAGGCGAGCGGCTGCCCACCACTCTCCCCCGGCGCCCTCCCTCTGTTCACGAGGAGGCCGGCAGAGGGCGCCACCATCCGCCGTCTCTGTCTTGGAGGGTGCGCGCGAGGGAAACAGGCGGGGGCGGGACAGATTGCATGCCAGCTAACGCGGCGGGCGCCGTTGTTGCCCGGGGGTGCTGGGGGAGGGTGGTGGGCCCCTGCGCCTGGAGGGCAATGAATGCCCCGCCCCGGCGCCCGTCCCCCATCCACGCGCGCGACAGGGGCCCCAGCGCGCCCCTGCTCTGCAAGGCTGCGCGCGGGAGCAGGGCGGGGGGTGGCACCCACCAAGGCGCGCAGGGGCGGGGCACACATCCAGGCGGCAAGAACGGGCAACGCCACAGACGCGCGGGCGGGGCGTCACGCGCCAGCGCCTCGCATGGCGCGGACTGTAGTTCCCCTGCTTCCTTGCTCCGTCCACTGCCGCCCGCCCGCTGCCGCGCTTTGCGTTGCTGCTGGGGCCTAAGGCTTGCCGCCACGCAAGCGCGCGCCCAGTGCGGGCGGAGTCCTCGCGCTCGCACAACGACGGGAACTACGGGCGCCATGGCGCTCCGCCTTCGTTCTTCCAGCAAGAAGCGGCGCAGATGCCTGGCCCCGCCCTGCATCAAAAATTTTTTCCCTTGCCCACCCTCTGGCGTTTTTCTTTCCCCCCTGTCGACTCGTTCACCCTCCCACTGCGCGACATAAGCTGCGGCCTTGTAAATCTTGAAAGAATCCTCCATACCGATTCCCATCGATCATGACATATATTTAGATTTCTTTTTTTCTATTTGAATTAACATCATTCCAACGAAATAATGACGAAATGATATGGGGTATTCCATGATGAATTAGATTTCGGAAATTCGGAGAATTTTTTTTTTGAATTTGGAATTATTTTCCGATATTCTTGAGAAGAGATCGAGAAATCAGAAAAAGATTTTCGGGAAATCATGTTGACTAAAAAGATTAAAAATGATATCCGATTCCGATGGAGGGATATCAACACATCTAATTGCAAAAAATGATATTTGAATGATCATATGATTTTCGTTCTGATTCATTTTTAAATATAATGGAATCAGAATTCTTCTTCATCTCGTCCTCTTTCTTTCATTTCCTTTCATCTCATCCTCTGTGAATGTTTGACCATCTAAGATGAGCACAATGCTCACAGCCATACGCGTATCCATATGTTCCGGATGAAGGAGTTTGTTATTCATCTCGTCATAAGTTACCTTGTTTATTTTTTTTGTTCAGCTTTCTCGTTTTCTTTCGTCGAGTGCAAATATGCCAGCACACGATGTAGATGAGCATGGTGTGACCTCCTGCCGATACTCACGCTAGCAATGCAGCGAGTGATCCTGAATAAGGCCAACGGTGTAGGACACGCATTCGCGGCATGCAGCATGGCTTATTGTTTAAGCTTAGCTACACTGCGGGGACAATAAAACTGCAGATGCATGCAGGTCGGTCTCGATGTTGACATGACCAAGAGAGATGACATATTTGCACTCGCATAGATTTTCCCTCTCCTCCGGTTGTTGCAGCTGTTGTTTCCGTTCTTCCTTTCCAAACCGAATCGCTTCCGGAGTCGGCGGACGGCCGTAAAAGAGCACGAATTCGTACCAGAAAGATTCCAGGTCCAGGATGTCGTTGTGTGACGCGGCAGGAGCGGCGTAGAAACTTGGACTAGTATAATTTTGAGTACTAGTGCCACTATTTATTTTACCGCTACCTTTACTACTTTTCGCGGTGGTCGTCCCTGCCGTAGTAGAAGTTCCTGTCTCGTCCGGAAGATCATGTCGATACCCGGCTCCTCCATTCATCGTCCCACCCAAAAGATGTTCCGCAAATTTTCGGTGCACTTCCCGGCCGTGCTCGATGGGACAGATTTCGTCCTGCGCGCCGTGAATCATGTGGATTTTTGTTCTTCCACCCTCACCCAACTGCGCAGTTCTTTTCTTTTTTTCTTCCTGATCCTGAAAACGCTCCAACTTCGCAAACAGCTCCTCCACCGCTTTCACGTTGTCCCACCGCTGCTCCGGCGGCACCGCAAAGTCCAGCACGAATTTTGGGACAGACTCGAGCTGTGGGAGCAATCTCTGTGCCATGTCCCGCACACTCGTGAACGGGGCCGAGAGGATCAGTGTGTCGAACTGACGGGAGGTCTTCGTCTTTCTCTTCTTCGCTGCTTCATCATTATCTTCGCCGGCCGCCGCAGTGGCTTGTTTTGCCAAATAATCCAGCAACGCCGCGCACCCGATGCTGTGCCCCAAGCCGTTGAACTGCAACTGCGCGACCGGTTCTGGGTCGCGCTCTTCCACGAGCTGCTCGAACCGGTTCAGGATTTCCACTATGCATGGCAAAAAGTTGTACTACCGTACTAGTACTAGTTGCATCACAATGTTTTTTTCACAAGGAGAAATCGAAATGGAATTTGTCATGCTAACTCAGATCTACCATTACGTTACCAAGCCGATTTGTCGTGCATGACTGCGTTCTTTAGAAGTACGAGTACGATATACTTTTCTTCGCTGCGAGCGGATATCCACCGTGGACTGGTAAATGTTGTCCCGGTTCGGTTTGTATCCTGTGCAAAAGTATCGCATTCGTATAAATGCAAGTCTTGCATTTACAAATCTTTGTCTTCAGGCAAATCTGCATTACAAGCTGTCTGAGAAGTTACAAGCTGTCTGAGAACTGAGAAAGCACTTGCGCGAGAAAAAGAAGGCTGTACTGAACGAACAGGACGAGTTGTGAACGGGCCAAAGAGACAATTGAGTCAAGCCCAGACAGGAAGAAGAAAGAAAGAAAGAAAGAAATCTGCATTACAAATTTTATTTCTCATGCTGAGGAAAGTTGTAATGCATTTATACGAATACGATACTTTAACTTTTGCAGTGCATAGTTTGTGCAGCGCCTCCGGATCGATTTCTTTTTCCTTCTCCGGTTCTACGTAGGTGCTGCCGTACCCCGGGTAGTCGGCAAAAATGAAGGCCGGCTTCTGGCGCGGCGTCGCCAGGTCCGGGAGGAGATCGGAGTAGTCCTTTTTCGCCCGTTCATCCGACGTTCGGCTCGTCCACTGAATCGCCGAAGAAAGCCACTCGAGCGCCACCATGCCGTTTCCGCCATACACCAACCAAACCTGTCGGATTGGCACTCCCGTAGTGCTACTTGGGGGCCGCGAGGATGACACTGACGGGGAAGGAGCGGCGGCAGCAGAAGTAGTTTCTGATGCGGTTTGATGTTCATCTTCCGGAGCGTCCTTCACGGGAGGTCTGAAGTCGCGCTGGAAAAAATCAGTCGGGGCAAAGAGGAAAAATTTGCGGTGAGTGATTCTCTGTGCGCTGGGGTATGCATATTTTCCAAAAGTAGTTGTACCTCGTCAGCATGCGAAGCCGAAAGAGCTGAATCTGCGCAAGATCAAAATGATAAGTACTAGTACTGTGTCAACAATAAAATGCAAAGCGTCGCGCAGTGTTGTTGCGTTAAAAAAAAAAAGAATGCGCATCTACTGCGAAATCGTGTCGGGAAGGGAGCAAGGATCGGCGGTACAACAAAGGTGAGGGGAATGGCATGTCGATGCATGTTGAGACGCATGCAATACTAGGAATGTACTTCTGCGATAATCGGACAAATTGGTACCCTGATACCGATACCCGCCCGGCAGCTTACAGTACGCATCCGATGAATGGCACAACAACTTTTGCAGAGGGTATATTACCGCCCCCGGATTGGGATTGCGCTGCTATTGGCACGGAGATTTCTTCCAACTTGTAGTCGTTCCAGGTGACGTTGAGTAAGGGGGCGTAGCTGTTTTTTCCGTACGGCCTTGGGTAGTACATCAAGGACTCGATCAGTCGGCGCGGAATGTAGCGCAACACGAAGTACGAGGAGGCGGCCAGGGCGGCCACCGTGAAGGCGGTGGTCTTGCGGCCTGGAAGCCGGCTAGTGAAAGAACTACTCATGGTGAAGAAGCTGGAGGTGGAGCCGGGCTCGGGGGGCATGATCGTGAAAGTAAAACTTCTGGTAGAAGTGGACGAGTCACCGGTAGTTGCAAATGTTTTATTTTCTGCTGTTCTTTGAGGTTCGCTCAGTCTAGCACGACTACATGATCATGACTTGACAAATGTCGTAGTTTGACTCGGCAACCTCGTCGCGCTATTCGACCCATAATGTGAAGAAGAATATCATGTTGGATGTTTTGTCTCTTTCTCGCCAAGGTCTCTGGTGTCTGCGTTACATCTAGTTCATCTGGGTCTACTACAAGTTGCATCATCTTCATCACATTTGGCAAAAGAAACACGAAAAAAAGAATTTCTGCGGCCACTGCCAGCGCCACGGCCGATTCAATATCGCGGAAAAACGTAGCGAGTGTGTCTATTATCTCTGTTGTGGCGATTCATCTTTATTCATGATACAGTGCCATTGCTTCATCAATCTTCCTCGTATCAACAAGCTCGAGCTAGACTCACCGCGACCATATCGGCAATACTAGCAGCAGAGTCAGTGCGTATGACATAAAATGAAAGTGCATTCGTGTCCTCGACAGGCTCTCCCCAATCATAACAACAAAATTCCATTTTGACTTTGGTGCTGAAACGTATATTCACAAAATTTATTTGATCAGAGTCAGACCCGAATACTTCGCAAATCATTGAAACACGGAAACATTTTTCTAAACTCAAAATTGCTTGTGCGTTTTTCTCGTCGTAAAAACATGAATATCTTACACATCACGTAGCACCATCTGTGTGGTTTGTAGCGTATTTGTACTTACTTTCATTACTTGCACTTGCTTATTGTTAGAGAAGGGCACGCTGTGGGACCTAAAAAACAACGGCTTCCGCTCCTGTAGCCTCAAAAACCAGCGCGGCCGCCGGAGAGTACTCCCGTCGTGTTGATTGGCCTCGTAAATGTCACGCGATTTGCCTCTTGTGGCGACGCAGTCCGCCCGTGATTGTGCTTGCTTTGGCGAAACGTTTCAAAACAACACAGAAAACGACCCAAGTGGCAGAGTCCCGTGCTGTTTGCCGCCGGATTGGGAGGCGCGGCAAACCGGCGCACTCCTGCTGTTTGGACCGCCTGGAGCGAGCGACCTTCCCCCGGTGGTACGGCCTCGATTTGACCAGAGGACTTCACAGAGGACCCGTCAGAGGGCCCGAAGATCCTCTGTCGGGTCCTCTGGCACAATTTGGAACGCTTCGGACGGCCTTTCCCCGATGGTACGGCCTCGATTTGACCAGAGGACTTTACAGAGGACCCGTCGGAGGACCCGAAGATCCTCTGTCGGGTCCTCTGGCCCAATTTGCTTGGACCGCCTCGGGCGGCCTTTCCCCGATGGCACGGCCTCGATTTGACGTGACCAGAGGATTTTACAGAGGACCCGTCAGAGGGCCCGAAGATCCTCGGTCGGGTGCTCTGGCCCAATTTGGACCGCCTGGAGCGACCTTCCCCCGGTGGTACGGCCTCGATTTGGCCAGAGGATTTTACAGCGGACCCGTCAGAGGACCCGAAGATCCTCTGTCGGGTCCTCTGGCACAATTTGGACCGCCTCGGGCGGCCTTTCCCCGATGGTACGGCCTCGATTTGACCAGAGGATTTTACAGAGGACCCACCAGAGGACCCGAAGATCCTCTGGCGGGTCCTCTGGCCCAATTTGGACCGCCTGGGGCGACCTTCCCCCGGTGGTATGGCCTCGATTTGACCATGGGATTTTACAGCGGACTCGTCAGAGGACCCGGAGATCCTCTGTCGGGTCCTCTGGCCCAATTTGGGCCGCTTCGGAAGGGCCTCCCCCGGTGGCATGGTCCGTCCCGATTTGGCCAGAGGCCAGAGGGCTGTGCACATGGACCGTCGAAGGGCTCCGCAGCCCTCTGATGCGGCACCACGGACATTGCGGCAAACCGGCGCACATTTTGAAACGCACTCGGGTGCAGGCGCGCGGCCTTCGGCGTGTCTGCAAGCGCGCTGCGTCAGTCTGTCTTAACTACACGGCCCGCGTTGTCCTCTCTTGGTTATCAAGACCCCACGCGGTTGCAGGCCGCCACATTTGCCGCGCTTTGGTTGTCAAAACGCCGTTTAGACAACCACACAAACCACACAAGTTGGCAACTTGTAAGAACCAAGCCGAAGCAAGAAATGTGCGCCGGTTTGCCGGTGCCCGTGCTCACCGCCAACGCGGCAAGGGCAGGGACCCCTAGCTAAGGCCGGAGCCTCTGGCGCAAGGGCGCACCCGCCCCGGGCAGCCCGGGTGCCCGTCGGGGAGGGAGTGCAGCCCCGCAGGGCCGGCGCAGTCCGAGGGGCTAGCACGAATATCGGATCCCCCCTGGCAAGGGGAGATCCCCGGAGGCTGGAGCGAAAGCACCGGGGCGAGGGCGGATCCCCCGAACTGAGGAGGACCCACCCAAAGAAAGTTCGTAGGCTTGACCCCCCCGGGCAAAAGGTGCGATCCAGGGCGCGCGGATCCCTCCGCGGGAGGCGGACCGGCCCGCCGGGGCGAGGGCGGATCCCCCGAAGACCAGCCGGGTCCACCGAGGTGATCCCCGAGAACGGGCGGGCCCTCGGGGAGCGGGCGGATCCTCGGGGCGCGGGCGGATCCCCTGGGCGAAGGCGGATCCCCGAGTAACGGGCGGATCCTCGGGGCGCGGGCGGATCCCCGGGGAACGGGCGGATCCTCGGGAAGCGGGCGGGTCCCCGAGTAACGGGCGGATCCCCTGGGCCAAGGCGGCTCCCCTGCGGGAAGGCGGATCTCCGGGAAGCGGGCGGATCCCCGAGGAGCGGGCGGCCCCCCTGCGGGAAGGCGGATCCCCGGGAAGCGGGCGGATCCCCGAGGAGCGGGCGGATCCTCGGGGCGCGGGCGGATCCCCGAGTAACGGGCGGATCCCCGAGGAGCGGGCGGCTCCCCTGCGGGAAGGCGGATCCCCGGGGAGCGGGCGGATCCCCGAGGAGCGGGGAGACCCTCGGGCCGAGGGCGGATCCCCGAGTAACGGGCGGATCCCCGAGTAACGGGCGGATCCCCTGGGCGAAGGCGGATCCCCGGGGCCAAGGCGGATCCCCGGGAAGCGGGCGGACCCCCTGCGCGAAGCCGGATCCCCGGGGAATGGGCGCCCGCGCTCCTGGGCGAAGGCGGATCCCCGAGTAACGGGCGGATCCCCTGCGCGAAGGCGGATCCCCGGGGAATGGGCGGGCTCCTGGGCGAAGGCGGATCCCCGAGTAACGGGCGGATCCCCGGGGCGAAGGCGGATCCCCGGGAAGCGGGCGGATCCCCTGGGCGAAGGCGGATCCCCGGGGAACGGGCGGATCCCCGGGAAGAGGGCGGATCCCCGGGGAAGTTGGCGGACCCCCGGGGGCGAGGGCGGATCCCCGGGGGCGAGGGCGGATCCCCCGGGGAGCGGGCGGATCCCCGCGGGCGAGGGCGGATCCCCCGGAGAACGGGCAATCTGTTTCACGGGCGATATACGTGCTTCACGGTATTTAATTTCCCGAAAAATAACAAGCGGCCTTCGTAGTTCCGTCGTGTTTCGCGTTTTAGGTCTCAGAGCGTACCGGTCTCTATTGTTAGTAGAAGTAGCACTGAACAGGCTTTCCTAGCTGCATCTTCTGTTCCTAGGTTCATCTCCTCTCACGAGGACCGGATGCCGTGGTCGACAGTCGTAGTTCTTCTTCTTTTAGTGTTAGGTCTCATTCGCTTCATCCGACTGCAGATCAATCGTTCTCTCCTCCTGAGAGTGCTGCAATATCAACACGGACTGTGAGTGCGAGGACGTCGTATTGTAGTTCGGTACTACCGTAGCTTCGTGATTGTGCCTGTCCGCATCTTCCAGATCAACCGTAACCTTGCTGGACGGACTTTTTGTGGTGTGATTTTTATTGTTCACACCAGGTCCCCGTCCTCCACGTCGCTCCGTGCTACCTTTGCTAGACGAGGTGACTTTGCTTGTCGAGGGAGGTGGCAAGTTTCTAGGCGAGCACGGGGAGGCAAGGACAACTGCTTGTTTTTCAGCTTGCGCAGAGCAGTAGGTGTTTACTCCGCTCTTAGTGGTAGTGATGCCAGGACCTGCTCCAGAGACGACAGTCGTAGTTTCGGGGTTGTTCTTCATCATACCAATACTGGATCGCACCCCGATCCCGCCAATCGTCGCACGTGGAGTGCTCAACAGCGAGCTGACTCCAGGAGCTACTTGTCTTGTTGCATCACGCAAATGTTGATGAACAACTGCGGGATGATGTTGGAGTTGGGCAAAGCCAGCACTAGAGGAAGCACTACTAGCCGCCCCCGCCACGGGAGATGGAATATTTTTGACAACACCGCCGCAGGAACTCAAGTCCGCCTGCTTCAAGCGGGCGGAATTTGTGTAGTTCAACCTGGGGGTGAAAACGCCGTTGCATTTCTCCGTGATCCGCAGCTTGGGCATTTCGATCTTGTGCAACTGCTGGTCGTTGCTCGTTGTTCCTAAAGTCAGCATGTGCGCCACGGAAGAATTCGGGCTCCAGTATCCGGTAGCCCGGGTCCATTGTGTGTCGGCGGGAATGACGAGAGCAGTAGTGCCTTCTTCTTGATGTTGAAAGTGCTTCTGACCACTTCGCTTACTTTGCGGCTGCTCCTGGAACTGGTGCGCTCTAGTACCTGACGGCGAAGATGAGCCTGTTCCTCCTGCTGGGCTCGCCATGTTACTTGTAGTGCCGCCCACCACGTTTCGCGGCGGGGAAACTATCCTCCGTGCGGCGAGTTTTTCGAATTTGTTCGCAGAGGAAGCGAAGTTGCCCACGCGCATCTGCTCCTCCGCGAGCCGGGGGGAAGCTTGGACCGCGTGCACTTCCGTCACCAGGATTTCGTGTAGTTCATCGTGCTCCTGGTCATCTAAGTTGTAGCACGACTCAGAGGCGCTGTAGTTGTTTTCCGCATCAAGTGTAGCCTCATGCTGCCTACTGACTCTTGTCACGCCAGACTTTATGAGCAAAGGCTGGGTGCGTCGAGGGGTGTAGTTTCTGTTTTTCTCCGCCACGACGGCCACTGGTTCTGTAGAAGAGGTAGTTCCTGCACAATCATCGTTACAGCCAGCAGCGAGCGCAGAAGTAGAGAAGCTACAGGAATTAGAACACGCGACGTCGTCGTTTGCTCTGCCTACTAACTGGGGATCACGCACTCGCACCTCACCGGAAGTAGATGAAAACTCTTGCTGTGGAGGATCTTCGTCGTGTACCGCTATGGACGCACACTCATTTATTCCGGTACCATCGCGATTACGATAGCTATCGGGAAATAATCACGATAGCTAGCGGAAACGAGTGCGCTGCCGCCGTAGGTTGTGCCGTTTAGAGCCCGACGGTGCACCTCAAACGCCGCAAAAAGGGCTCTGCGAACGTGCAGGCGCCGGCGCGGTTCACGCCCGATCGCGGCCTCACTACTTTCCGACCGCTGTTGCCAGGTGGGATTTACACTGTGGCGCCCCATTTGGAAATAAGGCTCTACGCCCCCGGCAAAGAGGGCGGAAGAGAACATATAAACGACGGCCACCAGAGCAATTCACATGGCAAGACAAGCTCACGCATATCTATGTCCGCATACCAAACGCAAACGGAGCATGCAGCCGCGCTCCATAGCGCGGCCGGGCGCCTTGTCAATACCGACTCGCCGAGCGCGTGCAAAAACAGGGCAGCTGGCTGCCGGCTTCGCGTCGGGCCACGGCTCCCTAATACGACTATACTGTCTGACAAGGTTAGACGGTCGGCACTGCACCGGGCTAGGTCCCCTCCGCAGCGAAATGCGCATGCAATGCGCCGCTGCCGAGCTCCGGCGGCCCGGCCCAACGCACACGTTGTGCGTCGATTCTTGGAGAGGAGGGCCTGGGTCAGGCCACAGTCGCTAGACCCACCCCCACGCCAGGCAACAAATAAAAGCAAAAGGACGAAAATTGGCCCGAGCAGTCCCCGCGCGCCCGAGGTTGCTGGCCTTCCATTCACCCCTGCCTACCAAGAAACGCGTGGTGGTCTCGGTGGCCGTGAGCCCTACGGGCTCTGCGCCAACCATGATTCAAAAATAAGATGAACTGGGCAGGCACGCACGTTGTCGCACAGCGGCAGTGCGCGTCTCGCTCGCAGGGCCAAGCAAGGTGCGGCCCAACCTCCCACACAGAGCTATCGCCCACCTGGGAAAAACCTCTGGAACGAGGGCCGGCCAAGAAAAAAAAGGCTGCGCAGACGAACGCCAACCAGGCCGAGATTCTCGATTCTAGCGGCGAAACAGCTCGGGCGAAGGTGTTTCGACGTCGAAACACCTCCGCGCGACCTGTTTCGACAAAACGCCAGCGATTAAATCGGCGAAACACCTTGGCGCGACCTGTTTCGCCGATTGAATCGGGACGCTGGGCCCGCCGGGCCTGGTGCGCGGTGACGGCGCCCGCGCAACAGAAGCAGAACAGAAAAAGAGGGAACATCCAGCGGAATAGGGCCGCAGTTGTTCATAGCCTAACTCTTGCTGCGGATCTTCGTCGTGTACCGCGAAACATGAAGAACTCGACGTAGTTGCATGTCTTGTGTGGTCGTCACGCGTTTTCATCTTGGACGGCGCATTGTTTATTCTCGCTTGCTTCCCTGCGGTAGAGGCGATTCTCGCGGCGGTCCTGACACCTTTGTTTCCCGCCCCCGCTGCAGCAGCTCCCCGTGGCGACTGCCGTGCAAGAGATGCGGCGTTGTCGCGCGACAACGAAGAAGAAGTGGGGATCAGCCTACTGCTTCTCGAACTCTTTGGCTGGTGCCGAGCAGGTGCGACTACATTCGAACTGGAGGTTGAAGATTGCGCAGCAGCTGCTCCGTCAATGGAGCTTGTTCCAGTTTTTTTTCTGTTACTGCGCGATGCCGTCGCGGTTCTTGCCCCACTCGGAGGTCTTGTAACACGTCCAGTTGTACCATTTCCATTAGATGCGTGATTCGCGGTACTAGCTGATGTTGCCGCGTTACTACAACCAGTTGGACCACCTGCTGCGTGCAGGTTCGTCATTTTTTTGTTCTTCTGCAGCACTTGCCGGAAGACTTTTTCCGGATTGGCGTTCGTCTCGAGGTCGGGGTGATATAAGTCGTCGGAAGTTCTTGGTCCTATGGGCGAAACAGGATCGGTTGCTCGCTTTTCTTCTTGTGCAATGGTGGATTTTCTTTCGCGGATGCTGTCATGATCTACTTCCGCTAACCCCCTTTTCTCACTCCGTGCGGGCGAAGAGAGATGAACCATTGCCAGCGATGGAGAAGGGCTGCGACTACTCTGTGCTTGCTCGTCTCTTTTGGTTCTTTGGCTTATTTTTCCGGCACCACTCCTCCGAGCAAACCCCGCCGCCTCGTCGGCCGCAAAGTCTAGATTTTTGATGATAAACGACTCCAACTTCCGCGTGTTTTTGTACCGCTTCCGCTCCGAGTTCGTGTGAAAGTTGCTGTCCGGGGACATGGCAGCCGGGGACGCGGAGAGAAGTAGATCGATCTCACCTGATGGGTTGTTAGAAAACTCAGCGTCATGATGTTGGTCCATGGTTGGACTGTCCGCGTCGATGTGTCCCATGAGGAGCTGTTGTTGGCGCTTCATCTTCGCCTGCTGTTGCGCTTTGAGATTTTTACACTCACCGGAAGTTGTAGGTGAGGCTGCGTCACCGTCACCCGCTGAAATAGCTCTTGATATTTTTTCGGTTCTACTTCCGACTCCTCCTGGCGACGCCGAGCGTGACCTTGACCTGCCCCCGCTTCTTGTCAAGTCGGAGTTTGACACTTGACGCCCGCGGAGCCCGTTCCCCTTCAAGGTCTTCAAACTGGAGTTTTTGTTCCTTGATGCTGAAGAAGTTGCCAACACGTCGTCTTCCTCTCCTTGTCGTGCTCCACCGCCGTCGTTCGTAGTTTTTGGACTACTACTAGACACAGTTGCGATTCGAACACTGGTTGTGGACGATCTTTGAGCACCATCTAAACCACCACCATTTTTCACGGCGACGCTGCCACCTCCCGCCGGTCCCCGCGGGCTCAACCGCACCCCGACCACGTTCCGCGACTGCTGCCGCGGACTCAAGCTGGTTGAGGAGCGGTACACGACATGACTACTGCGGCTCGTCGTGGTAGTTCGGGGACTACTTATCAACATCGACACGGGTTTGATTCTCGCAGGCGCAAACTGCGGCGTGCTCAGCGGCACCCGGGGAGAGTTGATTGGTTTGGATTTGTCGTAGGGGTTGTGGGGATTGTACCCCATTGTCATGCCGGGCTTCATGGGCAACGGAATTTGTCGTGCGGAAATACACTCCCGCGCCAGGTCCTTCAGCTGGCCGGAATGCTTGATTTTTTCCAAATTCGCACTCAGAGTGGTGGGCACCAGATTGACGTCGGGCGTGTCCAATTCCGTTTTGTTCGTGTACTGCAAGGGCTCTTTGCGGAGGATTCTGTTGATTTTTGCGTGAGTCATTTGGTTTTTTGTGCTGACTACGCTCATTCACGTCTTTAGTGATCTTGACAGACTGCGGCACTGAGCCGGCTGGGCCAGCATTGGTGAGAGGTTCATCTAGTACCTGGTAGAATGATGTATGACCTCACTTCATATGATTATCATCATCATCATCATCTTCATCATGCAGCATGAACTTACTTGCGTTCATAAGAGAACTGTAACGACGAGTACAACATGTGAAGTGATTTTTCTATTGACTTTTAAGTACTTTGGTTCCTGGTGTACGTCCACCCCTTCCGTCCGCGTCGCGTAGTGTTCTTTCCAAAGCTGGAACTCCGGCAGCTCGTTTTTCTTCGGTAAAATTTTCATCACCGTCTCCTCCGTGACCAGATCCTTGTCGAAAATGGTCAATTTCTTCGGCGGAATCTTGCTCGCGATCAAACTTTTGTTATTCCCATTGGTGGTGCTTGACGATGTCGATGCCTTGTTGCCAGTCCTTGTTGTGCTGAAAGGCAAATGCTTCGCGGCTTCCAGCGTGGGTAAATCCTCGGAAACAACCGGGACTTCGCCTGTCAAATTGGGATAATAAACTCGTGAATTCTCGTCCTAGACAGACATTTTCGCTGCACCTCTCATGCAGAACATAAAGAGAGAAGGAAAACGCTCCAGAGATAGAGATCGTAGTGATCCAGGTCAACGATGCATGCGTTTGCTTGTCTGTGGGTCCTAGCACGCGTTTTGTCCCGCCTACTTCTTCCATTCGAGAAGGATCATCTGTTAGCACATCCTATTGTATTGTTTGAAGAAGACAAAACCATCCGAAAACTGTAGTGCATAAGTAGATACGCAGTCGCTCCACCAGCTCTAGATTTTCGTCTTTCAGTCTTCTCGCCTCTTCTTCCAGATCCAGCTCCTGCTGCTTTTTCCAGGCGTCGGATCCAACCGGGACCACGTCCTGGCTGAGCATCAGCCGTAACTGCCGGGCCTTGTCCTCCAAGGCTCTCCTGCTCTCCTTTGCCTCCACGCTCTCCAGCTTTTCTGCGATGTGCCGCTCCTGTTCCAGCAGTTCCGTCTTCTCTTGGCTGATTTTCAAGAGCTTGTTTTGCTCGTTCTGTTCCTTCTGGAAAATTCGCTCTTGGATTTGCTTCTTCTTGCCTTCCAATTTCTCGTTCTGCTCCCTTTCCGTTTTGAGCAGCAGCTCAATCTGCCGCAGCTCCTCGTTCAGTTTCTTCCTTGCCAGCTGCTCCACGTGCTGGGAATAGTTGTTTTCCAGCGATCTCTTCGCCCGCGCATAGTAGTCCTTCTTCAAAGAATGGTGCGCACTGGCCGCCGTGGTGGATCCTGCTCCTGTAGTTGAGAAAGAAGAAGAACTAAGCGCACCACGACCTCTCGCTGATGCCGCTGTACCTGTTTTAGGGCTCTTGCTCGTGGCCGCAGGGGATTTTTTCGTAGAAGTAGATTTGCTACAGCCCGAAGCGCCCCGTCGTTGCTCCACTTCGTAGTTCTTTTCACAGCTAGACTTGGAAGTAGAGGCAGCACCTGCGCTCAACCGCCGGGGAGGCGGCGAATAGTCGTGGTGGCGGGTCGTGGTCGCGATACTGCTCACAGCAGAGGTTTTAGAAGAGGAAAAGCTCACTGCCCCCGGGTCGTGCCTCCTCGTGCTGCCTACGGGAGATTTCATGACCTTCCCCGCGGGCGAGGACGAGCCGGGACGACGGGGACCTGATGTTCGCCTGGAAACGGGGACCTGATGTTCGTCTGCTGTTGCTGCGCCGGTACTGGTGGACGAGGAGTTCTTTCCCGCTGTTGTTCTTGCCACAGCCAGACTGTTCATCTGGCGTAGACTACTAGAGCCACGCCCTTCCACTGGCGAACTAGCGGTGACAGTGGAGGACTTCGACGAAGAGAGCAGGCTGACGCGCGACTCAGGTTGGAATAACGAACCGGACGAAGAAACCAGTGTCGGTCGGATGACAGTTGCCGCTTGTTTTCCTGTAGTGGAACTGCTTTTCATATTTATTCCACCGAAAAGACCTCCGCCTCCTCGGGGGGAAGCGAGTGACGACCTTGTGACAACACTTCTATAGGGTGCTGCACCTCCACCACCGCCGCCGACGAGTATTGGTCTGTAGGAAGATGACGAGAAAGAGGAACTCGCAGCCGTCGAACCCCCGGGAGCTGCCGTGCTGATATGCGGCTGCCACGTCGATTTATTGTGGTTCGTCGAGGGGTTCGTTGAAATTTTCACCGGAGAGTCGTCTAGTAGTTTTTTCGGGCTAGTAGAAGATGAGCCGCCGCTGCTTTTCATCCGGGTAAGATTCCTTGCCGTAGTTGTTGCCACAACTACGGAAGGTCCTCCGCGGGGGTGGTAATCAAGAGACCGCTGATGCTCTGGCTCCAGGTGTCGTTCTTGGTCTATCGCGTGCTCATGATTTGCTGCTGGGTCCTCGTAATCTTTCATGTTGACATTTGCCCGAGAACTTTTCTTCGCCATATTGTCTTTCGCTCTCTTTGTTCCTCGTTTTGGCGGAGGTGAACCGAAGATCAACGGATCGCGGCATTTAGGACCTGGTGGTGTCGGTGAAGTAAAAATTGCAGGGTTCGAAAATTTATTCAAAAAGGAGTTCGTTGGTCCTCGTGCAGCTAACAATTGGTGATGTGCATGCTCGTCGCTGCTCATCCGGACATCACAGAGAACAATTTTTTTTTTCAAATATGGACTAACTACCTGTAACCTCTGGCCGGTCTTTCCATGCGTGGCAGGGCATCTTTCCTTGACCACCCGAAGATGATTTGGGCGACATGCTGCGCCGCCGGGTAACACGGTTCTGCATCATGCTGTTGCTGGTTCTAGTTCCACTTGAGAAGTTGCTCATCTCTATCATGTGTTGAGTGTGACGCCCGCCTTGCGCGTCATTTGCTCTTGTTTTTCTTTTTGTTCAAATTGCGAAATACTGTCTGTGTCAATGATCAAATCTGTATCTGTTGCTCGTCACCGTATGATGACCGCAATCCTGTTCTTCTCTCAGAATGATGAATACGCAACCATAATAGATTATGGCAAGAACTTCATCCCGGGGCATGATGTTCCGCCTAAAAAAAAAACGCGGCCAAGCAGGAATCTTGTTGCCCACATTACTGAAGAAAAGGAAAACCAGACCAAACTCAACGTCTCAACATCACCAGTCGTGGATCCTCACTCAAAAACTACGTACTGCATAGAACAACTAGAAGTAGAAACACAAAGACAAACACATAAAGAATAGACTGACCACGACGACGAGGACGATGTAGCACGATGGTGTGGCAAAAAAGTAAAAAACTTTTGTGGTATGATCATTGATACGACATAATGATCTGGGGGCGGACAGAACATCACGAAGAAGTACTTCGAAGGACATGGCTGCTTTTGACCGTCGACGCGATCAGTACTATCGCTTTGATATCCACGTACAGTACGAATTTCGTTACCAGATCAACAGTCGTCCGCTAGTACCTACAGCAGGTGCGTCTCGTGATCTGCCTTCGATATTACCATGTTCAGAATCGCTCGCGTAGGTGGAGCGGCGGAGTTGTGCTAATCGCTACTTTGCTATTCGAAATAAACCAACGGCGTTGATGAGTGTTTTTTTTTCTTTGACTTTGTTTGCTTGTCGGAGTTGCAACTGCGGTTTCCGGCGGGTGAAAGCAGTGCTCTCTTCTTTGAAAATGTTTGTTTTGATACAAGGCTGCAAAGAATCTACCCTTCGTCTCTAAAGCTAAACCCGAGCTTAAATACATTGACGAAAAAATATGAAAGTATTCAGTAGATGGCGGTTGCTGGAAAGTTTGAAAAAAGAACCAAACTCGACACGTCTTCTTTATTATCTTTGATATACGTAACAAGAATGCACCTACAGCACCTGGCCAGCAGGAGCAGGAGCACCACTAGCGAAGCACCACTAGCGAAGCCATCCACGACCGTAATCTATCACAGCTCCTCATCGCGCGTCCTAGCTGCCTCATCCTTCTCCAGTGCAGCTCTTCTTGGCTTTTTATGGTTTTGATCTTGTGCGACAGAGTTGTTCTTTGTGGATTTTGTGGACGACTGCAGGGCAGGAGCTGCACTCTGTTCGACATCTTTCGTCGTGACTTCGTCGAGCTTCTTGCTTGCTGCTTCCCAAAACGCGTCCCACTGCGGCTTCAGGACGTTTTGTACCAGGTGATCGAACTGCTCGATTACCGCACTAAACCCCTTCTGCGTTTTCGTCATGACAGTATCAGCCCACAGCCGGCACTGGTCTCCCAGAAACTCGTAGGAGCTCCCCGCCGCGTTGAGCAGGTCACTTTCCAAACTCCGGTACGTTTCTCGTGTGCTGTAAATCAAGTCCTTGCAGTATCAAAAGGAAACATCCCCCCTGCTCCCCATATCGAAAACGAAATTTGTGATCGTGTATTTGAGTACACAAGTCGACTTGTGTTGCTAGAAGGCGAAGAGACGCAGCAGCGGCATTAATTGCAGGCGATCTGTCATGCTGTTCCCCACTTCCAGCTACCTCCTGTCATGTTGAAGATGCAAGGCTTTCCTGCGCCACCCAGCACTCCAGTCCGTTTCTTTTGCCTTCTAGCATGACAAGCTGATTTGTGGCCACAAATCTGCATCACAGATTTCTGTTTTGATATGGGGAGGGGGGATTTTTCTTTTTGATATGCAGTCGAGATTGTAGTCCTCAACTTTCTTGCAGTTGATCTCCAGCCACGTCTCCGGCTCCGAGGTTTTAAATTTGTTCGCGTCAAAGTGCTTGGCGTACTCAAACGGGACCTGCACAGAGATAAACTCGCTGGTAATGTCGCCCTCGAGCGCCGTGCTGATTTCGGAGGACTCCAGCACCGGCTTCGTGACTATCTGCACGATGAGGACAAACCGCAGCAGCGCGCACACGGACAGGAAGAGCAGCGCAGTGGTGATCACGAGGCAGGCAGAAAGCCATTTGGTGACAGAGCACGCCTTTTTCTTCTTTCGTGGAGGTTGTACTATAGCGGGAGTTGTTATTGGTCTTTCCTGATTTGATGTAGAAGAGGCGGTCGATGCAGACTTCTTCGTACTGCTTGTCTGACAACGCGTCGTGTCGTTCTCCCCGCTGCCGTCTGCTTGCTCTGCTATCTGTGGCAGCGGGGTTTTGTACGACCCGTGCGAGTCCTTGGAACTGCAACTTCTGCGCGTCTGAAATCAATGTGAGAGGAATCGTGTGTTTAAAACTTAACTATCTTCTCTTTTTTACTATGCGATCTTGATGTGGCGGACAATGTAAATTTTGCTTCTACTTTATTTCATCGTGGTATTTATTGGCCGCAAGCTGCGAGAGTTGTCTTTTGCATTGCAGCAAGAAGGACATGACCGCGCGAGGAGAGAGAGCTTCAAATGCGATTTTGTTTTTGAAAGCACTCTCTGAAGATTAAAAACAGCAAATCTACCGCCCCTTCCGGCAGTGGCGTCTGGAAGTCGATTCTACTTCCCGAAGGAAGTAGGCTTCTGAAGCCGCCTCCCTCCTCAGACGTCCTTCTGCTCGTCGTGCCGCCGGGGGTTTCGTACCTGGCACTTCTTGCCGTCACGGGGTCGTCCAGCGTTTTATTTCTTGTTCTGACGGATTGAGGTTGCACCGGCGTTCTTGTCAATAGATTCTCCTCCTCTTCTTGCTGGGCAGTACAACTAGAAATAACGGGCTGCGGCTCGCCTTTGCTGGCGGCCTTGGTTCTACTGAAGTTGAACAAGGAGGAGAACATAGAAGATGAGCTGCTTGTCACGGCCGGTTCAACGGAAGATGCAGATGATGAAGTCGCGGCACTACTTGCAGCAATAGAGGATGCGTCTTTGCGGCCAGGACGCTCTTGATTTTTTTGTGCTCCATAGACAAAATCCGTCCCTCCTCCGGAGATGATACCATCGTCTAGTTCTTCATCGTTTTCCTCGTCCCGTTCCCTCAGCTTTTCTGCTCCGGGGCTGGTTGCAGACGTAGTAGTGCTGTGCAGCGGTCCATTGTTGTAGGTTTTTGGCATGATCAAACCAGATGAAATCGTTCCTCCGATGTTGTTCATCTCTTTTTCGAAAATTTTCCTGGCCCGTTCGACCGAGCCTTCTCGTATCACGTCGACGCCTCGCGCCTTTAGCTGGCTCTGCCGCCCCCGCTCCGTGTTGTTCTGACCCGCATCGTTGCTGCGCTCGCGCATCCGCCCGGGGCCACAGCCCGCCTCCATCTCGCTGTCTTCGCTCTCGCGCGCCACCCGACGCCCGACCACCGCTGGCTGGAACAAACCTGATGAAAGAATGAAAGCCTGGGGGAATGCCGATGCGACACGTTTTTTCGTACGTCAACATTCGCGTCTCGTGCAGCTAGTTGTAGTTGTTTCTTCTATATGATGCAAAGAAAAGCTGCGCTGTGCTACAAATACATCAACATTCGAACTACTCTACAACTATTTTTGCTACTATATTATACTAGCGTTTCTACCTTCTGTGGGCGAAAACGCAGTTCCTGCTGCTGCGGTGCTTGCTCTTGCTGACTCGGGCGGCAGCTGGTCATCCTGCGGCACCATTACCGAACTGTTTAACCCAGCACTGGCCCCCGCTGTTGTCGTGGTGGTCGAGCCTACTATCCCGAAACTCCTCTCGCTGCTGACCGCGCGCCCTCCGCGACTGCTGTTGATCCGATCTAACGAGCTTTCTCGTTCTCTGGATCGCTGCCGAATGCGGGCAAGGGAATTGTTCAGCGGCTCCTTCTGCGCTTCCAGGCGGCGGAGGCGCTCCTCAGACCGTTCCCGCAGGGCCTGGATGCTCGAAGAAACGCGGCTTGAGACCATGGAGTGGTCTTTGGGGTCGTTCACGGAGTTATCTTCAGCATTATGAGAGTGGATAAACACGGCCACCCGCCCGTTCCTCGTCGTTGTCATCGACCTTGTTTGAAGAAGGCTAAAAGGATAAGTACATAGTGAGTCACAGGTAACGATAAACTATGTACTTCTACCTCCCTGGCATAGAAAAATGAATCTTCGACGCGAGACCTAGTCAAGTTCTGCGGTGCTGGTTCGTTGTGGCTACTCTTGCAACTTGCCATGCAATGTGCTGCTAGAAGGACAAGATTGGGCTGCAATTATCGGTATATTGCAAGAAATCAAGCACAGACGGAAGGGCGGGGCCGCTGTGCCATCCCATAATTTTCCTTGTTGCTTCCCCCGGCGGGGGGATACACAGTGGAGAGTGAAGCGCCTGTTGCGGCCGGATAGTAAGTTTTTCTCTCCAACGAGGAGCTGGTAGCGGACTTCCCTATGTTGTTTTCGTCGGAAAAGCGACGCTGGAGCGATGTTGTCGTCTGCTGTGTGCGGGCCTAGATATTGATTTTGAAGTTTGATGTTCTTCATTTCTCTATTAGTATCTTATGCCATGGTCAAAGTGATATGTCGATGCTCGCTAAGCTCCAAATAGCAGGCGATCTCGAGCCAACAGTGAGAAGGGCTCCAATGTGAGTGCGACTCGTGTTCGTCAACGCCTTAACATGATCCTGAAAGTGAAATAATTACGAAGAATTTACCAGAGCTTTATTCGCGAAGATATTGCTCCTGCTGGTCGGCGCGAGAATTGTGGATCGGTTTTGCGCGAACTCGCCCGGCTGAAGTAGTTTACTAGTGCCACTCCCTGTTCTGTCGTTCGAATTGGAGCGGTTTCTCGCCTGCTCTACACTGAGCTTTCGTTCCGTGCTCGTTCCCCGCCGGCGCACTTGCTCGACGCTCGGCTTGCGGTGCTCCAGACTCGGCCTCCTTTCCAGACTGGGTCTGCGTACCTCCAGTCCCGGGCTGGGCTGGCGATTTAGACCAAAAGCAGATCTAGTTCCACCGAGGGTTGTGGATGAAGTCGTGTTGTCTACTGCAGCAACTCTTCCAGCGTTGTTTCTCGTACTGTTGCTGCGATTGTTGCTTCGGTTGTTGTTCAGGTCGACAGTTTGCTGACCCAGCCTGTTCTTGCTGCCCAACATTCGCTGATGAAACACAGTGGATGTTGAGCTTGTGCTAGATGAAGCGGCGCCCGCTGTTGTCTGTTTGTTTGTCCCAACAGCGTTGTTAGAGGACAAGCTGCGGTTTCTTGGCGAAGGAATGCGGGTCGCTGCTGCTCCCGTAGAAGACGGATGGTGCAGCTGGCCACTTCCACTGCCAAGATTCCTCGTGCTTGAGGTGCCGGTATTTGATGCAAGTGGCTTGTTTATTGCACCGAACGATGTAGCTTTGCTGCGAGACGATTTTGCCGAGGTGTTGCCGCCGGAGCAGACCTGTCAATGTTGTTCTGTCTGTAATATTCATTGTTCTCGTGCGGTTGTAATCACAACATGACACCAGGAGCAACTGCAACGGTATTTCTATTTGCAATGCTGCAAGGCGGGATCCAAAAATATTAATTCTAATATTACATTCGACTCCAAGGACGCTCGCGGCTCCGGGGCGCCCTTGTTCGCTGCGCCGCTTGACGAGGACGTCCCGGCCGACGAAGAACTTTTCGCGCCACGACTTTCGGCCGCACCACCGGTAGTAGTTGCCAGACTGACCTCTGCGGCCGGCAAATTTCCGTAGAATTTCGCCACCTCGGAGACGTGTCGCACCCCGCTCGGGAGAAGGTGCAGCAGAAACCGCTCCACGTGTGTCCGGCGGTGCTTTGCCATGGGGGGTAGGGCCCAGGTGGAGTAGTTGGACGTCTTGGCGAGCTCCAGATGCGTCAACAGGTCGTCCTCGTGTTTCACGTATGCATTGCAAAGATTACATGTGGTCTGATGGGAGGTCTGGAGAGTACATGCAAAGCACTGAAGATCGTGCGTCCTCTAAAACAACAGACAGCAATTTGTTTTCGCTACAAGCCTATGCCCTTTTCTGGCCAAACTGATGCGGAAGCCGAAGCCGTATTTTACAGGCGGGACGTCATGCCCTGTGAAGGCGAAGCCCGCACAAAACCTGTGATGCAAAGCCCAGTAAGTCTAAGTGCTTATTGTTCTTCCACACCTCGCTCGTGGGGTCAACAAAATGAAAATCTGCATGTTGGCAATAAGCTTCTGCAGTGTAGAAGTAGATAGAAGTAGCGCCGGTTCCAGTTCTTCCAGCAGACCGTCAGACATACAACTTGCATGTGATATCACGCCTTTGATGCTGTCGATGATCCGCTCAAACCGCGTCTGCCACTGTTCGTCAACGAAACGTTTTCGGTTGAAGTTGTAGACCGCAATGTACATCGGCGAGGTAGAAGACCCTGAGACCGACGAGCTTCTAGCATGCGGCCGCTCCGCGGACGACGGTTCGGCGGACACGCCACGAAACAACGACAGGACTGCTTGGAAGAACCAAAACGTGAGCCGGAAGTGAACCTCGTGCGTGTTCTGCTCATCGAAGATACTGTAGTAGCGCGGATGATCGCCAGAATTGTCACTGTCGTGGAACAAGTCCCGATGACGAGCACCCTCAGCATCAACCTTTGGGATCTCTTTCTCGAACCGGAAGACGAAGAGTCCGTGTTCTTTCAGTTTTGACAGGCCCAGCGAGAATTGCTTCATGAGGAGTTGCCACTGGAGCAGTGAGTCCACCGGGGTGTGCACGATGGACTGCTTGGAAGTCGACTTCGACGGCAGTTTGGAAGCGGCGCCGCGACCAGAAAAAAAGGACTTGGAAAGATAGTTGGCGCCAAGTATACCACTACTTCCCGGAGAATCATCGGAGTCAAAAGCTCCTGAGATAAAATTGGTTTTCTTGCATCTTCGGAATTTTGTGAAGTAAGATTATACTGATTTTGCGCCGCGAATGCAAACGATAGTCTGCTGCTCAGGGTCGGTTTTTCTTTTTTTTGTGAAAAGAGCTGTCATCTTCTCATACATTTATTACCCCAACTCAACTACAACTTGAACTTCTACTACGCTCCCGAATGATGAAAAAATAGATACCTATGCTGTGCCTCCGCCCAAATCCGCCGTCCTGCGCAGCGTCTGCCACGACGAGGTCTACATCACTGCACTCGATCTTGTCTGCGGTCAACTCACAAAGGTCTTTGTACTGGTAAGTGAAACTAAAATCCGGATTGCTGTGTGGAGTTTTTGGTTGTTTTTGTTTATTTTTGGTCCGCATGGGCCTGCATATCCATATGTTGCATGCACATGCTCGCGGCGATGTTCCTATTTACTTTTTCATGCAAAATGAAAAACAATAATCCCATTGCTGCAGCAGCAAGAGCAACATACAAGCGCATACCACACTGCTACCAGTAGTAACAACCTTGCGTGAAGCTGCTCCTGGAGCTACCTCTTCTTGCCAGTGTTGCTGCTACTCATCTTCCTATTATAGTTCCAAGAATATTACCTCGCAGGTCTCGGCAGCTGCAATTTTTTGCCCCCAGCTTCGACCCCGAGGGTGATTGCGTGGCCTTTCGCGATTTTTTGCCCGGTCGTTCCCCGCCTGTAGTTGGCGAGAAAATCGGTGAAGCCGCCCGGGGCCGCGGCAAGGTCGAGAAAGGACAGGTCTTGGCTTCTGTTCTCCTTCGTCTTGAGATTTTCAAAATCCGAGTCACGGAATTGCTGGAAAATCTTGGCGAGCAGCTCGTGCCCGAAGCGCTTTTCCTCGTAGGACGTGGCAGTTGACGACATTTTCTTTCTGTGCAGACGCAAAGAAATCTGAAATTCTAAGGTAGTTCAAGGTGTAGCAGTAGTTATTTTGTACACGGGAGTAGATTCTTGTGCTCTGCGTCTGCCTTGTCTACTCATCGCAATTACTCTTTCTCGATGTTGGTACCTACTTCTAGACCACATGAGATCTCTTTCTCGTCGGTTGTCTTTGTTCGGAATGCAAATGGCCACCACGACAAGAATAGTAAAACTAAAAGCTGCGACGAACAACGAGAAACACAAACTACAACTAGAGTTGTAGCAAGAAACCAATATTAGGAGCAATTAGGAGGTAAATAGACATGATTTCCACGAACATGCAGAATGGAAATGGTCAGGACGAGCACGAGGAAGATGCAGCTGTCGAGCTTCTTGATGCAAAATGCTGCTCCAAATTATACCTCACTTGTAGTACAATCGAGCGAAAAGTAGAACTACGAGTCGATGCCACTGGTGCAGCACATCAGTCGCCAGCACACGACGAAAACTCGGTGTATACTAACTTGTTCTGAACATCACACCAAAACCGTCCATAACAGGAGCGATCAAAAATAGGTTACCCGCGATCGAACTGTAAGGAACAGCGGTCGAACAAAGTTAACTTTTGTGCAATGTACCATCGAGCCCTACAGATGAACAAGGGAAGTTTGCAGCCATTGCGCGCACGCAGGATTTGGATGGTAGTGCAGCAAGTTTCTGGTGCGCTAGTAGAGGTAACGTGCTAGCAACCGTGCAATCGAATCCAACCAAGCCTTTTCAAACGTCTTCCTTCCCTCGGAAAAAGTAGAGCCAAAGTTCTTCCTTCGTCGGGACGGTCGTCAGTTTGGAGAATTGATAAAAGTTCCGCTCCAAAATCTCGGAAACGATGGGCGACGCTGTTCGCGGTGGCACGACGCGCGAAGAAGAAGAAGATGGCCCGTTGCTATTGAATGCGTTTGCTTCTGTGCTATTCGCGGTACTACTTGCAATGTTATTTTTAGCGGTTTTCATCGACGCCAAGCTCTCCTTCCACCGGGATTCGACGTACCACTGTCGACTCCTGCACCGCGCGAAGATGTAGGTCAGCGCCGGGTAGGTCTGCTGACTGTCCGTGAATAACAGCCGCAACTCCGGAATGGCGAGCGGGTGAAAGAGATTTTTCCCGTCTGAAGTCGTACTTTCTTTTTTTTGTTTCGCGTTTCCGGAAAATGTTGAGGAAGAAGAAAGTGTGGAACTACTGGGAACTTGATTACATACTTCGTGGCTGTATTGCAGGCAGAAAACTTTGCTGTAGCGGTCGAGGAAAAAATGGGACAGGTCTTGGTAGTCGTTTTTTGCTCGTCCCAGGGATGAAAATTTAGACTTCTTAAGATCTTCCTGTGCTGCAACAAGCGGCACCAGAGGCGGAGATGATGAAGTGAGTCCGCAGTTTTCATCATCATCTCGACGTCCCACTGCTGCAAAAGGTGCAGGTGCGAGAGAATCGAAGTTCTGGTGCCGGAGGTCGTGCTGTCCTCCACGGGGAAGTAGAGAGGTTTCGTCCTGCTCGGCAGCAACGACATCTCCTGCACTGCTGGTGGAAGTACGAATGTTCCTCGACGCGTGTAACGAATTTTGGTCGCCGGAGGTTCTTTCGCTTATCGCCAGTTTTGCGGCAAAGTCGTCTTCCACCTCTGTCAGATGAACAGCAGCTGTTGCACCGTTTTGGTCGTGAGCCTCTAGTACCCCTATGGGTAGTTGCAGCTCCGAAGCTCCTCCACTGGTAGAACAAGAACTTCCACCGTTTGTGTTTGATGCCGGCGTGCTGTTCATCTCTGTCTTTTTCGCGATGAACTCGATCACCTCACTTCCCCACGCCAAGTTCTCCAGATATGCGCGCTGGCACATCCAGAAATTTTCCTCCCGCACCCGCAGCGCTTTTTTCTGGAATCCGTTGCTCAACCCCTGCACCGACTGAATTACGCCCTTGATCCGAACCCCCTTCGGCTGGTTCTCGATCAACTTTCGCAGGACCAAATCCTCTTCCAGAAACAACTCGAACAAGGTGGAGGGCAGTTCCAACAGGTCCGGACTCAGCGCCAGGCCCCAGTTGCTCAGCTGCTGGTGCTGTGGATTGTAAAAGTGTCTGGGTCTGGAAGGATATGAACTTGTGATGCGCATTCCACTACACAGACAAATCTCTCATGCATAAGCATAGGCAGCAAAAGATGTCCACTTCCTGTCACCAAAGTGGCAGTCAGTGGGGGATTTGTCATGCGGATAAAGCAATGCGGAAGCTGCTCGACATCTGTGATGCTAGGGCTTCCAGGACAGACATCCTGTGTCATGCAAAAACAGCATGACTCTTCTAGACCCAGACATTTTTGCATTTGATAGGTGCGGCGTGTGCAGGAAGTGCATCGCGTGCCCGAGCTCGTGCACGACCGCACGCAGGTTGGTCAGCAAGATCGCCCGACAGTCCTTGGACACCAGATCGCCACTCAGGTTCATCTATACAATGCACAAGAGTACTGCACTCGTACTAGTAGTAATTGCAAAAACGTTCTTCGTCCTTACCTTTTCCAGCATTTGTTATGCAGTAGCGATGCATGCGAATGCTTTTCATACTACTAGTTTACAATACTTTGCAATCATGGATATCATCATGCGCACGAATTTCGGCTGGACGAACTGCGCGCACGCGTTCTGCAAAGCGTTTTTTGACGTCGCGGAAAGGGAATTTTGCTTGAAGTTAAACTCGATGGTGCCGAGGAAGTTGGGATTGCTGTGTTTCGGCGTCAGATCATCAACTTGGAGTTGAAGCCTGCTAGTAGTACTCGCCCCGTTCGTGGTGGTCCTGAAAACGTGGTACGCGAGCGGCTTAGAGCGGAGGGCGTAGAACTTCGGCGGGCTGGTGCTGTCAGCGGTGGTTTTCGCCGTAGTGGGCTGGTGTATGTGATCACGATGGTGGTCTTCTTCCTCTTTTTTGATCGGGCCTGCTCTGTTGGCCGCCGCACCTGCAGAGGCTGAGGGAGTGGTCCTTGAAGACGAAGTTCCTGCTGCAGCCACGTGGTTCAGCAAGTCCTCCTTCACAATTTTCACTTGGAGAATGCTCCCGAGGATGGACATCAACAATTCAAAGTCCTTGTCTACCAGGATCGCCTGCGGCCCACAAGACGCGGTCTGCACGCGATCGATCGTTCGCGTCAGGTACGGCATACAGTGCCGCAAAATCGCCGGCAGGTCGGAAACGACGTGATACGCGTTTCGTGCTTTATTTTCCTCTGCAGCAGCTGCAGCTGGTCCTGCCGCTCTAGTACCTCCGCCGACCTTGTTTGCTTGCAAATTGACGGTGTTTGGAGGAGGAGGACCTGAGGCCCTCCTGCCGGACCAGTTTTGCGTTCCGCCCCAAGAACCCGAAGCCGCCCCCGCATGATCCAGCTGCATCACCTCTCGCAGGGCCTGTGCTTTCTCGTTGCCCGCTTTGTTCTTGAACACTTCCTCCGAAAACCAGTGCGAAAACGACTGCATCAAGGGAAATATGGCACTCTGTTTCTTATCGGACATTTTGTCGTCCAAGACTCCGACTCTCTCATGCACACAGAGCATGGAATTCTGCACGTCCGCGACCGAGTTGAAGCCGGCTTGATTCGCAACCTTGTTCGCCTCGAGGAGCAGATTTTCCCACAGGTCGGTCAAATTTCTTGTAGTCTTCGTTGCTTTGCTTCTACTGTTTGCCGGTAAAAAGGTCATTTCATTTTGTGCGTGCTCGACTTCTACTTTCGCTTTTTCTTCATATTCCATGAAGGCCTTGTGGTATTCAATTGCGATTCTCTTCCTTGTGGTCGGATTTGTGCAGTATTGCAACACGATCTGGTTGACGATGCGATCCGACAGCTTGATCGGGACAACGTCGTCGTCGGGCGTATGGAAAAGAACTCGGTGCAGGAAGGAGGCTTTCTCCCAGTCACCTTCAAACCCGGAGTTCCTTACATAGATACAACTGCGACGGCGGCTAACATGCATATAACTTTTGCGAATGATCGCATAGATATGCGTATATTAAACTTGTGACGCTCGTTTCCTTCGCGTTCGCGCGCCACACCTTCACAGCCTAACAGTTCAGCTGCAAATTTTGGCAAAAATACGATAAAAACATACGAAGTTCGAGCTTCAGTTATTTGCACCTTTTAGGACGTCGGGTTCGGACTTCTGTTGAACAAGTTGTAGCACCTTCATTGCAATACTTTTCTATTCCCATAGCCGCCACAATGGAACTTCCGACTGTACCACAGCAACGCATCCATGCACTTCTTCACCACGACCCCCGGCAGCTGCTGCCTGCTCCTCGCCACCCGGTGTATGCATTGCAAAGCAAGTATCTTCGTACAACTCGTTGTAGAAATCGCACTATAGCTTTTTCTTCTTCGTTTTTTCTCTATCATGTCTTAATTTGCCTAGTAGAACAAGAATGAACTGCAACAAACTGTAGAAGCAAACCTGTCACGCAAGAAGCCACTAATTTCTATGTGCGAGTACGATACTTTTGCACAGGATACGGTACCTTTCCCAGCAGAAATTTCCGAGAAACCCGAAACACTTCAATTTCAACTCCAGCAGGCGATCTTCGTCCCTGTTGAGCCCCTGCAGATCGCGCTTTAAAATTTTCACCGGCTTTTTCTTCCAGTTGGCGGCGTCGATGCGTTGCAAAGCGTTCAGCAATTCGCTCCGCGCCTGCAGGATTTCGTCGGTAAACTGGATCCGCATGGCCTGCGCCGACCGCTCGCACATGCTGTGCTCAATGTCGCTTGCCGGACTGTGCAGGTCGAGTTCGGGCACGGGGCTGAAAGCAAAGTCTTGGAGGTTGGTGGAAGATGGGGGTTTTGTCCCCGCTGAGGAAAACGCAGAACCACCACGATGTTGGTCGTTCAGCAAGTCCGCCAGCACGTCGTCGACGTCACTTGATGCTGTTCTCTGTTGCCGGACGGTTCTACTATTTGCAGGCCCTGCGTTTCTGCTCCCAGAACTTCTTTCGTGGACCCCTCCTCCTGCCGTACTGCTCGAGGCAGTGGCCTCCTCCGCCGCATCTTTTGCTTCGCCTCCGCGACCACTTGTATCAGCGTCACTGTACACCTGCCACAGATTCTGCAACTTTGCGAACGCCTGCGCCGCGTCGGGGTGCGAATTTCTGTCGGGATGCACTTGCTGCAGCAGCTGCAGAAAGTCCTTGCGGTCAAGAGTGACACTTTTGCGTCGTGTAGCAGCAGCTCGGTTTCCACTGCTCGTCGTGTCTGATGCTGTTTCTCGTTCTCGTCCCTTTTGTGGCAAGCTGCTGAAAAGTTGGTCGATTCGCTTCGTCCGGGGGTGCAGAATCCTTCTCACCAAAGCGGCTTGCTGAACTTGGTTCTGTAGGTCTTGAGAAGGCGTAGTCGTTGCACCCCCGCCTACAGTGCTGTGCGAAGTACCATCTCCACCTTCGCGCGCGGCGTTATGCTCATCGCTTTCTCGTGGCGTCTGGAAACGTGTTGTTCCTTTAGCAGAAGAACCACGCATCGTCTCTCTATGAAGATCTTCTCCGTGTCGCCCCCCGTCGGAGTGGTTGTGCGTGCTGCCATCTCCTGTACGGGAAGTTCGCACTCTGAGACGACGAGCAGCCGCATTCGGGACGGCTTCTTTTGTTTGCCGTGCAGCGCGCGATGCGCTTGCAGTTTCGGCGTGCGCTGTTTTGATGTCGTGTATCGAGGCTACTTTCCCGGTTCTACAGAAAGAGGATTCCAAAATTTCAAAATCCGAATCCTGGCTGGGTTTCGAAATTGTCCTGCCACCTTGAGGGCCACGCGGCGCCGTCCCAAAACTTTTGTCGCAGTTGCCGCGGTGTATATCAGTGTCGGTGGTCTGCAACTTGCTGGCATTAAAATTATGATTATCCTTGGTGTGATGTACCTTTCGCTGTAATTCCGGCGACAGTCGAGCAAAATGTCTTGCCTGAGCAAAGATGAGACAAGTCGCCCGGTTTAGCTCGCGGCACCGAAGAAGATTCGCCGCGGGTTGGAAGACTCCTGACTCGGGCCGGCCGGCTGCCGGAATTCCCCCTAAGCCTCGTCGGCGGCTTCGGATCAACATGTTGCTCATGGCAGCAAAACAAAACTGGCACCTTGGCTACTTACCTCGGGCAGATTTTGCGTGGCGTGGGAGGAAGCTGATTGAGCAGGAGCGTGTGGCGCCCGCGGTGCTACTGCGCAGGAGCGTGCTACAGGGTCTGCAGTTGTTCCTCACCCGCTTGCACTTCCTTGCTACCTTCATCAGCTACTGCGGCACCTCCACAGGTCGCTGCAATTAACCTGGATCGTCCTTCTTCCAGCCGCGCAATCTCATCTTCCTGTTTTTTCCTTTGCTGCTCCAGCATTTCTTTCCGCTTGGCGTCGCTCTCCTCCACCTGCAGTTCCTTTTCGTGCACGATTCGCGCCAAGTCGGAGTGTACCAGCGGGGAAAAATTCTCGCCGAGGAAATCTACCAGCACTTCCGCGGCGAAGACAAAGTTGTCGAAAATGTTGTAGAACACGTTACTTCTGGTTTTGGTTTTGTTCCGCGGGCTGCCGGAACTTACTTGTGTACTGGCCATTTTCGGGGTCCCCTCGACGAGGACTACGTTCTCTTGAGTAGAAGTTCTCACACCAGGCGGAATATGTTGTGACGGCTCATCGAATCGGCATTGTGGTGGAGAAGAAGGGTTCCGCGTGCTCTCGTTGACATTCGTCTTCGCGCAAGTAGTAAACGTCTTCGTATATAACCGTGTCGAGTCCTAATAGCAAAAACTTCGTACAGAAAAACATACCTCAACAAGATGCGGTGGGGAGACTGATTCAAAGTTGGACGCTCGCGCTCATCGCTCATCCAGGCAAACAAATAAAACTCTTGATCATGCAACAAGATGGCGCAGAGTTGGAGACCACTCCTCCGGCTTCATACATTTACATGCGACAGAATGACTGCACTCGGTGAGAACTAACTACAACCAGAGCTTGGCTATAAGTGGACCACGCTTCCGAGAAGTCTGCACAAAGAATGTAGAAACCAAACAAACACGATAATCGGACAGAGGAAATAAACCGAAGCAGATGCGACAGGAGTGAGTACTTGGTGGAACAAAATAGCGCAGCTGCCTCTGCCGGGTGGAGGTGCCACAAGAAAGCGCAGCCACTGCCGGCAAGGCGACGAGAGGATAGTAGCAAGCCCACAGCCACTTGCTATCTTCTAAAGAGCCTGAGCATCTTTTAAAGATGTTGGTGTGTGTCGTCCTAGTGCGCAAGCGCAATGCGATGAAATGGATTCCATATATGTGTCATCTTCAAAAATGTCAATCACTGCCGCTACTGGACGCACCTCCGTCCTCGTCGCTCGATTCGTCGCTGCTGCTCCTAGCTTCCAAGTCGGCTTTTTTCTTCGCTTTTTTTCGTTCCTTGCGTTCTTTTTTCATTAATTTTTTCTCCTCCTTTTTTAGCTTTTTCATTTCTTTCTTGTCCTTTTTTCTTTGCTTCTTCAACACCTCCTTCTTGGATTTCTTTTCCTTTTTGTGCTTCTTCACCGCTTTCGGCGATTTTGACCTGGAATTTGAGGAGGAGTCGGAGTCACTGTCTCCCTCCCGATGATGCTTTTTCGACGTCTCATCTCCTCGTCTTGGTCTTGTTCTCCCCTCACGTTCATCCTCATCTTCCAGGCTATCGCGCTTTCTTTTCAGCACTTCGTTCGCCGAGTTGGTGTGCTGCACAATTCGGTGTGCGACCGCGGCGTTTTCGGATCGCGGCGGCCGGTAGGACTCGATGATGGGGTGATTTTGGTTCAGCGCCTGCTGTTGGTGGTATTGGTGGTCTTTGTCCAAAACACCCTTTCCGTACGGCTGCACCGTGACAAAATTGTCCATGTAGTAGGCCGCAGAGCCATTGGTTTGTTCCTTGCCGCCTTTCTTGCCCGCGCCCAAGGCAATGCTGTTTGGGTTGTTCTTGTCCTTTCCTTTAGAGTTGCCTTTGCCGTCTCCTTTCGAAGACGAAGACTTACCGCCTACGACTCCGCCGGCGTTGGACAAACGCACGTTCAATTTTCGGCCCTCCAAATTGAAGCCGTTCAGCGCCAGAACGGCTTTGTCCGCCAGTTCCTTGTTTTTCATCACCACAAACGCAAAACCGCGGGTGGCCTTTGGGTTGTTCTCGATGTCCAAGATTTCTTCGGCCGTCCTGCCGTCATTTATCTCTGTGTTTCCGCCTTTTTTGCCGCCGGAATTCTTGCTGTTATTTTCTTGCGGCACGCGGATTTCGACCACGGCGTTCTCTCGAAAGGGCACGTTGTGCTGCAGTTCCAGCTCGGATTTGAACGTCTGTAGGAGCTGAGACCTCGAAACCGCAAAGTCCAGTCCGCCGACGAAAAGTTGGACTTGCGTGTCTTTTATCGCCTGGTCCGACAAGTGTTGCGCGGTGCCAAACTCGTCTTTGGCCTCGTGGAGAAGCTCCCGCTGTTTGTCTTCCAGAAACCTTCTGGTGCCCTTATGGTCGAACTTTACCTTGAATACTCGGGTCGATCTATCCTGTGTAAAAACCGCACTCACACCCCAGTTCTTTTTTGTCATACAAGCACATAATGCATGGCCAGGATGTAAGTAAGTAGTTACTCATGCGCAGCTCTTTCAGGAGAATTTTGATTTTCTCGTGGTTTTTGGAACTCGTCATCGTCATGCTATCACAAGAATCATAAGGTGATCGATTTGTGACACGGGTGCACTTTCTCTAACTACTAGCTAAACGTAACCGCGACCATGCGACAGCGCGTCCAAGTTTGTCATGCGCAACGGCAAAAACTTGTTGACTTGTGTAGCAGTCCCAAGCTCGACTAGTACGAGGCGTGCGCGTTTTTTCACTGGATAGGATTCCCCGATCTGCACCTCGTCGTTCTCCTTCAACGGGACGAAAAATTCGCCGGGCCCGAGCTTCTGTTTGTTCACCTTGCATCCGGCTTTGCTGAACAGGTCCGTGAGGCCGAACCCTGCCTTTGTGTACGCGAAAACCGCATGCCGGCGCGAGGTACCTGACAAGGAAGGACGATATTATGGCCTATCGATATCCGTGGCCGTGCATGCGGCGTGTTCTATAATTTTTGCGCAGTTTAAATGAATCTGCGGCTTGTTTGATATTGTCTGAAAAAACGTTTCGTAGGTACGAATGGAAGTTTGTTCGTTTTTTTTTTTTCGCGGGAGCTTCCAATAAAAAAACGCCAACAAAAATGAATAAGCGTCGCACTTGGATGCTGCGGCAGGATTTGGCACGCGTCTGGCTGCCTGCCGACGAAAGTCATAAGCCGCTCGCAGGGATCCAAGAAGTAGTCACTCACCACCTCGTTTTCCTTGACCTCTTGCAAATTTACCCGTACCACGGTACTGTACAGCTTTCTGTCGTCGACATCGACCAGGTCTAAGCACCGGAAAAGCCACTCGTCCAAAGCCACCGCCCCGTCCGCGCTCTTGTTGTAGCTCTGCCTGATGTCCGCCAGAATTCTGCCCATCTGATTCTGGCCCTTGCCGTCCACCGTTCCCCAGTAAATGTCGTAAAAGGTGTTCTCGTACTGGAGCAACCGCTCCCCCGTTTCGAGCAGCGACTTCTGCAGGTCCTTGCTCCGGTGAAACTTGTCCCGCTGGACTTTGTCGCAGATCAGTAACCGCTTGCTGACCCAGGTCTGCTGGCGCTGCTTCAGGATTTCGTTCTGCCGGATCTTGTCGAGTATCAAGCGAAAATATGTCTGGGTCTGTAAAATTGTCATGCTAGTCTGGCATGTTGGCTCTGCACTCTGTATTGCGTGGCCACCAAAGGGTAAGGGTCCTCTTGCCTGTCATGCAAAAGCGCAGTTTCTCATGCGAAATACGCATCGCAGAAGCACGAAAAAACTTGTCATGCTTGGCGGCCAATTACAGAGCACTTAATTGTTCAGGGAGCAGTTGCATCACAAGTTTCCAGACCCAGACATATGATTTGCGATGGATATCGAGACTGCTGTCGTTCGTGATCCCTCGGTCCTGCATCAGCTCGTTGTACTCCTTCCGCATCTCTGCCACCGAGTCCGGGAAATCCTCCTCGTATACCTATGATTTTGAAAAACGAAAACGCACGACCCAGCAGGAGCGTGGTTCCAGAAAAGTTGCTTGTCAATGTCATGCAAATCTGCATGAAACATCGAACTAATACTATGCTGTTTCATTGAAACAGAAACACAAGATGCCCTCCAGACGCAGGACGAGTGCTGGTCGGATGCAACAGCACTTCCTGTGTAGTTCGGAAACTGTTCATCATCATCTTCAACACAGCAGCAGGCCAAGGAAGTGGATGCGTTGACTACATGCAGCCAGCGTCCCCGTATTCACTATTAAGCAAGATGTTGACCACTATGCGACTGAGGATTCAGGGTTTGGGTCAACATGCGCAAGAACTCACAAATGTCACATCGCTCTGTTTCGCTATAAAAATGGCTCCTGCTGCTATACGTTTTTCTGTATACGCAGGATATTTCGGGGTTGCGGGTCACTCCGAACCGGCCGCAGAGACTCTTATCGCAGGTGAAGCACTCCAGCTCTGTATCCTGAGTAAAAACGTACCCACGCCAGAGTTGTAATGCAGATTTGCAAAGACAGGAAGACTTGTAATGCGCATCCCCATGAGATGAGCCATTTCCAATCGTGTTTTGGAATTTGTGATGCTGTGAACAGGATGAGCAGATGAATCTGTGATGCGGCTGCACTTGCTAACCGGCACTACACTGCATAGCGCAACTTGTCATGCGTGACTCACAAAACTCCTAGGTTTGTGTTGCAAAATCCTCATCCTGACTCTGGTGTGGGTACGTTTTTACTCAGGATACTCTGCCTGGAGCATGGCGGCCGTTGCGGACGGGTAGTCGCGTCGGACAAGATCGAGGTCCGACATGTAGGACACCACTGACGGGAAGTCCGGATCCAGGAAGCCGTATATCCCCTTGAAGTAGTCGATTTTCGTGAACTTGTGGTCCTTGGTGATCACGTTTTGCGCCAGAGCGGCCTGTTGCTTTTCCTGCTGGAGCTTTTTTTGGTCGGCAGCGGACATGTTCAGCTTCTTTCGGAGTTCCTGTGCGCGCGCGTTTTTCTCCTTCATGGTATCGTGCATGTGGGATGAGGACTTAGCGGTCTCCCGCTTGGTAGACATAAAGGCTGACATTTTTTCAGCGCCGTGGTGTAGGTCTAGTGTTAGTGGCTGATTATTTTATACTTCGTTCATCTTCATCTACTACTTATTTTCACAGGGCCTAAATAAAACTAAGGGCGCTGCCAACGCCCGGGTGGTCTGGTCTCGCACAAAAGCCGCATAATCTTTATCTTGAAGTGTACCACACTTTAAGTTAGTAGATAATTACGGTTTTTAGAAAAACTCCGTATTGCTTCTGTCGCCTTTGTCGCTGGATTTTTGATGAAGAGGTAACAGTAGTAGCTTTCTCCAAAGAACCTAATGGCGGCACATCGAGGTCGTGGTCGTCCACCCCCGGCACCTTCAAATGATAAAGGGTTGGAATTGTTTTCCCGTACGTAGCAGGACATCAAAGATCGTAAGTCAGAAAAAGGCTATTCATCTTCATCCTCCTGGTGTAGTACGATCGTGCATATTTTTTGTCCAGAACTGGAACCAAGAACTGAAGGAACGTCATCGCTCGCTGAAGATCTGAAATAGGACCGTTGCCACTTCTTGTTCTCACCACGTCCGTGATGTCACAAGGTGCGAAATCCAGCGGCTTCAAGCGGAACAATGTCAGCGCTGCTCTCTATCTTTCCTTTCTACTTGTGCCTCGACCATCCCGTAGCTGGTGCACGAAAATGGATTATATTTTCTTGGAACTTTTGCGGGCTCGCAGTTAGCGGCGCGGCGGTCGTGGCCGTGACGCAGGTGGCAGCGAAGGGAATTCAAATTCGACTACCAGTTTAAACATATTGAATGATGATCCTACATTTATCGTGTGAAAAATTTGTGTGGGCAATGAGTATTATTGCGGTCTGCTTCTGCTGCTGTCGCAACTAACAGAAACTGTAACGTGATGAAAAAAGTAGAATCATCAGATTTCTAGGAAGCACTTCAGATTCAGTGGAAATCTAAGTGATAACTTGATGAGTATGTTTCACCATTTTCAAATCTGCTTCTGGTGTGCTGCGCAGTTCCAGCTGCACTTCTTTTCGTCTTGCGTTTACTTCTTCACAAGCACACCAAGGGGGGCGCTTTTTTCGTTGTTGTCCTTTGTTTCACCCCCACCCGAGGACGACGCCTCTTTTTCGTCCTTTTTTTCGGACGTCCAAGGAATCAAGTTGCTCAAATTCTTGGAATCACGTTGGTGACTGGAATCAAGTTACATGGAATCAAGTTGGATCCTGGAATCAAGTTGACTGGAATCAAGTTGATTCCTGGAATCCCGTTGCGCGGAATGAAGTCGGAATGGAGTCGAGTCATTGCCAGAACAACATCTGCGTGAGAACTTTAGGGAGAAGGCTCGACACTTCCAAAGTCTGTCAACGAACTTCCCATGGGGCCCATTGCCGCAGACGACAGACACAACTGAACCGCAAGCCGCGAACCCCCCGCCAAGAACCTCCATACGAGAAAGCGCCACGCCCCCCCGGCGGGAACCGGGTCCGGGTCCCCCGACAGGGAGAAGGTCCGGGTCCCCCGACAGGAAACGTTGTTCCGGGCCTCCCGCACAGGAAAATTGTAGGCCTCTCTGAGCCGCGGAAAGTTTCGGGCCGAGAGGCCAGCTAAGGTGCATCCGGGACCCTTGCATGAGAAACGGCAGGCCCCCCGAGGCGTGGGAAAGTTCAAGGCGAAGGCGAAACAGAGCCCAGGGCGCAGTATTTCTCTCTCTTGCCAGGAGCTCGACAACCCCAGGGCCGCCCCCCCGGCGTGCCAGTCCCTGCCTCCCGAAGGTGAAGAAAACTCTGGAGCCCCTGCCTCCCCGGCGCAAAGGCTGTAGACGTGCCCAACCCCTGTCTGCGGCAAAGTTGCGCGCTCCGAAACCGAATCCAAAACGCCTCGGCGAGCCCGGGCGCAGAAAAATTCTGAAGAGCCCGCGCCGCGCAGGAGGTGTAGGTGAGCTCGCGCCAGTCGGCACGCGATGGCGAAAGCTCCGCGCCAGCCAGGAAATAAAAACAACTGCGACTTCCCCGAAAGGGAAGCAACGGACCTTCCGCAGGAAAAGATCCGCCAGAGCTTCCGAGACCGAGAAGTACAGGGCTGCCGAAGGTAAATAAGCTTCGGAGCCTCCGAAGGTCAAAGCTCCGGTGCTTCCGAAGGTAAAAACTCCGGATCTCCCGAAGGCGAAGGTGCCGAAGTGGAATCCTCGAGACACCTGCGCAGGAAGGCGAAGTGGAAGTGGAATCGCGAGAGATATGGTTCGTGATCTTCCGAGAGTGAGAAGGCGGAACGAGCATGGAACTCCGAGAGGGACGGACCTTCCGAGGGAAGGCGAAATGCAAAGGGAATCCCCCGAGACATACACCTTCCGAAGGAAGGACGCACAATGAAATGGAATCCCGGGAACGTCCGTCTAACGTTATTCGCCACGCGTCTATTGACCAGATACAGAAAACAAAGCCAGCAACCTGTGATAAACGTGGCCGCGTTTGAAACAAACAGAGCGAAGAACTTTAGGCACGAGGGTATGGCAGTCACAAAGCCTAGAAAGAGCGCCAGACTCTTCCAAGGTGAGGCAATACGAGGAGGAGGGCTGACGAGGATGAAGCTGTAATGGTTTATTTGATTCCATTCAACTTGATTCCAGGAAGTAACTTGATTCCATGTAACGGGATTCCAGGTTCAACTTGATTCCAATTAACTTGATTCCAGGTTTAACTTGATTCCAAGTAACTTGATTCCATGATCTTAACTTGATTCCTTGTTTTACCCTTTTTTTCGCCCCCACCCGAGGACGACGCCCCCTCTTTTTCGTCCTTCTTTTTTCCCGCCTCATTTTTCTCCTTGTTCTCGAGGCTTTTCTGCAGGGGTATCCCGTCATCCCAAGTCCATTTCAAAGGCTTACCACGGAACTATGGAGACAGATTGGAAAAGGAAGCCACAATTTTTCGCACTATCGATGCATAATTCATTTATTTCTTGGCCGTCTCTGATATGCAGTTCTTCATCGACGTCTTCGTCTTCCGCAGCCTCCAAGTATCATGGTGATTGCTTTGCAAAGGGCCTCCAGGGCTATCACTTGGACGCATAGAAAAATCAACACAAAAATCTGTAGAAATGTACTGGACGAGATAGGATTGCAAAATGCCGTTCTTGAAGTGCGAGGCCAGTAGCTTTTCTATGCAAGCACCTCCATATTTTCCCACACAAATCGTATCGCTTGTCCATGCAGTCCCATATCATGCAGAAAATCGCAGCTAAGAGAGCATTTTTGTTCGCACGACGCACCACGACGTGGCGATCTTATTCATTCTCATCCTCAACATGAAATTCTAGAGTTCATTTATTTGAGAAGAAAAATTAATGCCGCGTCGCTCTGTTACCTGCGCTTTTCTTCAGCATATGAAACATGATATTCTGGGCCCCCGTATTCAGTCAAAAAGCTAAAAGTGACTTCTTGATGTCAACATGCGCAGTGTTCGTGGCCATTGTAGTTTTTCAGCATACTAAGTAAGTAGGAATACTAAATAATCACCAGAACAAAGCTCATAAGGCCCGACTTCATGCCACTTCTCACTTGGTTGAGTATGACAAAAAGCCGCATGCTGACAAGAAGTGTAAATCGCTTTTTTTTCCGTACCCGTTACTGCACTTTGTCGCCGCCGTCACTTGATCATGCTGCCCACCGGGAATCTCGCAGGTTACCTTACAGAGAATTCGAGTTGCTGTTGTTTTTGCATCAGTCAGTAGGTAGTGTGATGGTTCGCATGCACAATTGTATCAAAGCGCGAGCCCCTGATCTCGTACCTCCTCCGTCTCGTCCTTGCCCAGGTGTAGGCATTGCTACATATCCAAGAAAAAAAAATGCCTCAGTCTCAAACCTTTCTTGTAGATGCATGAAAATCCTATTCGCTACGCGGAGCGAGCAAAACCTCTATACATAGAAAATGTTGCGTCAAACGCACTGGAAAACAGAACAAATATGAACTAATATAATGCCCTTCCTGCATTTCATTTAGCATGACGAAAAATAAGTGTCTCAAGGTGAAGCAGAAAAAATGCCCGCAGTGCAAGTCGTAGAGACTGCAGGTTTTTTCTCATGATACTGTATCTGGCGCGGGCAATCATGGCCCTGAGGTTCCACGACGAAGCTCGGCTATGCATTGCAAACATGTCTGGATCTCTCATGCATGCCCGACGGACTACTACTTACACCGCTTCAAAAACATGTCATCCAACGTGCGAAAGACACAAAGATCTGTGATGCGCACCATGGAGTAGAGGTGTGGCGTTCTTTTTTGTTGTACTCACGCCGGTGTCCTTCTTGGATGTACGCATAGACTCCTGTCATAATGCCGTGAACAAGGGACGACCAGGACCACTTACTTCTCTGCCATCTTACAAAAAACAGCACGACCATCTTATTTTTCCGACCCAGATCGAAATTTGCTGAATGCATACCAACACGTAGAAGCCGACACATAACACCAGGGTGAAAAAACACATCTCGCTGTAGGAGATCGGGGGGAGTTATCGCAGGAAAAAACTGCAGCTCCGTTGTGAACTTGCATTGCAGAGGACGAGCACGCAGCGAACTGTGTTGCTCCAATGCAAGCAAAGCCGTTCGTAACAGTATTTTTCGGCCCGTATCTATAGCATTTCAATTTCGTCTCAGAGATAAAATGCTATACGGGAAAATTCCGCGTGCTGACAGGGATTCTCTGTCACGCGAAATCAGTATCTGTATCAGGCAGACGCAGATGCTGCAGAGAAATAAAACATTTTTGTTTTAATACAGCGTCGAAGCAGAAGAAGTTTTTCCATACGATAGAATGGGGTCCGTGGATCCGTGTTTCAGCAGCCGCATTTTCTCCCCGTGTGCTGCAAGCTATCCCAGAGAAAAAAGCTAGCATGGCATGTGGTTTATACTGCGAAAGGGAAAAGAACTGCATGATGCGTCGTGGACGGCGGACCCATACTAGCCATAGCGTTGTTTTGTGTTCAGGCTAGAATGCAAGACGACATGCTTTACTTTTGTTCTGTCTCTTGTTTACTTTTGTTCTGTCTCTTGTTACGCTAGCATAGTAAATGCTAGCGTCTCATCTTCTGTGTGATACGAGCCGCGACTTGCCCTTGCTACCCCTGGAGGAGGCATTGCTGCCGCCGCTCTCGCTGCCTGCTTCCCCTGGACTCCCGCCGCCGCCGCCCACCCTTGCCTGTTGTGCGTCGCGGGGCATTTCTTGATCAGGTGGATTCAGGGTCGGAAGAAGAGGTTCTTCTTCAGCAAGAAACGACCGGCTGCGCAACAAGGATGTTGGTCTTACAAAGACAGCAGCGTCTTTATGTCCTATGGTGGAGGAAGTTCAACATCTTCATTTCCAATGGCACGAAGAGAGCAGGACCAGCTAAGCTACAGGATCAGAATCTACATTTCATTTCAACCTTTTGCTCATGCACAACGGCACCATCATAGTCATTCGCAAGTATGGTCGCTCAACGTGTATTGCTACGCTCACGACTCTCGTTTGTGTCAAGATCAGGAAGCAAGAAATGAGTACACAGTCGTACAAGTAGCTTCTCTGTTTGATTCCTTCTCGTTAACAGGACTAAAAAGCGCACATTCGCATTCGGTGCGCACGCTGATCATGATTGAACAACGTCAACGTGAGCACCACCAACATACAAAGGTCCTTTTCGCCAAGAACCCCCAGCGACCCCACTACCCCGTGCTTCCGTGAGCAGCCAAGAACTTGCACAGAAGCAATTCTTCCTCGATATCGCAGTTTGAAATGAAGATCGAAGCGCACGGAGGTCTGGCTGTCTAGCGTTCTCAAAACTTGCCGTGCAATCCACAGCAAGCTGCCACTGTTCTCCTCGAGCTTTCCTAAGATCAAAGACAACTCCGCCTCGAGAGGCAGGAAGTACTTCGTTTTCGATTTTCTGGTGTCATTATCATTTCTTCTTGTAGGTCGTGCAAATGATGGTGAAAGTGAATAAACCGAATTTGCATTTGTCAGACTCAAAGCAGGTGGACCAGTTCTACTAGTACCAGTCGGAGGAGCATCTTGATCTTCGTGGTCTCCGCGTCGCGTCGGATCCTCGGTTGAAGACGCGCTGCTGGTGCTGTTGTAAAAATCTTCACGGAGGTCCGCACTAGGATTCTCTACGTTTTTCTTTGTGCTGGCCGTCAAGTCGTGTTCTTGTTTTTGTTTTGCAGCTTCAGCTTCTGCTTCGTCTGGTGCCAAGAATATCTCCGTTTCTGTCCACCATTGGGAGAAGGGGAGAAGCCGACGTCCTCCCCCGCTTGGAGAAGATGTAGTATCACGACTAGAAGGGCCGCTGCTAGCTTTAGTACTGCTTGGTTCAGCTGCACCAGTCGTGCTTGTGGTAGTAGATTTTTCCGGTGCATTTTTAACCACGGCATGATCTCCCGCTCGCAGCTCGTCTGGGCGTCCGTCATTGTCGTCCACATACCGGAGTTTCCGCCACCGCAGCCCGCTCATGTAGTCCAGGGCGTTCTCGCCCACCGGTCCACTCCCCGACTCGGCAAAACACTCCGGGCCCTGCTCGATGCGCGAAACGCGGTGCCCGTTGTCGCTGAAAATGCGGCGCTGCGTGCGCCGGGTGCCGTAGGACTTGTCCGTCCCTCGGATCTGCGGGTTGCAGATCAACCGGTAGTAGCTGCTCTGCTCGACGAATTTCACGTATTCGTAGCCCTTCTGCACCCCATATATCGTGTGCAAATGTGCCTAGGGGGTAGGATATTTGCTTCGAAGCTCGAAGCTTTTAGCACAAAAGTCGAAAACTTGCGACGCAAAAAACGCGAGCTTGCGTGAAGGACCGAGCAGATTGAAATTTTTGCAAAAGGTCGGCAATTGTCGACCTTTTTCAAAAATTGCAATCTGCTCGGTCCTTCACGCAAATTCACATTTTTCTTTTACAGTTAAATCATTTCTTCTACGCCAGAAGCTGGTGTAGAAGCTGGCGAAGAAGTTGGTGTAGAAGTTGGTGTAGAAGCTGGCGAGTATATTTCTCAGCTTTTCCTACCCCCTAGGCACATTTGCACAGGATACCATATGGTAGGGGACAACTCCCCCCTGACTTGTTCGTACATCATGAAGAGCAACAGAATGAATGATCCATGAAACAACAAGCAATACAAATGCTAGTTGTGAACTGAGCAGCATAGCAATTCCTCGCGCTAGTCGTTGTGCTTCTTACTATTCTTGCTTTTTTAGTACTTCCTTTGGGCATGTTGCACCGAATTTTCTCATGCCGGCGCAAGCAGAGCCAAAACGCAACGAACAAGTCAAAGTGAAGCAATGCAAGTCAAGTGGAATTGCTGATTTGCATAACAAGAAATTTAGGACCACGACGAGGGCGAGTTGTGAAAAAATCTCATACCGCGAACGCAATCGCACGAATCGCGGTCTGCCGCGTAAACACCTCGATGCTGATGTAGTTTGGACGAAGCAACAGCGGGGTGGACTGCAGAATTTGCTGGAAGCAGGTGAGGTCCAGCCCTTCTAAATCGATTTTCACGGCGGTTTTGGTGGTTTCGGTTTGAGCTTGAGCTTGCTCTGACACTGCACGCATTTCTCTATCATGTTGGCCTCCTGGTGGTATCTTCTGGCTGAGGCTTGTTCTGGTCACGTCAGCGACCGCTTGCTTGTTTCGATTTTGTCCACCTCGTGGTCCTTCTTGTCGAACTACACGGCTCTGCTCGTGTGTGGAAGTGGTCGACCGAGATGACATTATGCCGTCTTTTGTTGAGACAAATTTTTTATTGCGGCTTCTTTTCCGCACGATGCTTTCGTGGTACACTTCGCGGCAGGTTCTCGTGCGGTTGCCCGGGAGCGTAACCGCCCCGGTTGCGATTATTTCTTCTTGTTGGCCGGCACTACTAGCGAGATCCCCGTCATGTTCTCGTGGGTTTGAAGAAATTTGAGGCTGCAGAGACGCCACTTCAGCTCCGTCGTCCGCGTCTGCCGCCAGCACGTGCGACATCCAGTCCTCGTGGTGACTCGTTCGCGCTCGGAAGGTTTCGTTGTAGCTGGGGATGATGTGGAGCATGCGGGTCTCCAGCCGGCTTGGAAAGTACTTCCACTTCATGAAACGGCGCTGCAGGGTCTCCATCGGCTTGCGCCCGGCCTCCACCGCGATGACGAAGGAATTTGGAAAGGTCAGCGCGTGGCCCGCGTCCAAGCCGCCGGCCGCGCCGAGGTCCAAAAAGACGGTGCGTACTGTATTGCGGTTGATGTAGTAGTTCTCCCTCGTCGCAGGAGCTGGAGCAGACGTAGAAGAGCGCAATGTTCCTGCAGGCGTCGAGGACGCTGGTGGAACAGCTCCGCCGTGACTGCCCACTTCTACCCCCGCACTGTCAACAGCAGCAGGCGTATGATCTTCCTCGGACAGAATCCTTCGCAGCACTGGGCTGACACTGACGAGCAGCCAGTAGACATGCGCCCGGGTGATGCGGGTCAGGGCGTACAGTTCGGCCTCGGCCAAATCACACAGCGCCAGCATGTCCAGCAGCTCCCACGCCGTCCGGTAAAAACGAAGAAGGTGCACGTCAAAGGGATTTGCGGCGATCTTTTGCTCGTCGGCTGTGGAGGTTCCTCGTCCTCGTTCTTCATCAAGTAGACCGATTTGTTTGTCATTCACATCTGGGTCTGCTAGAGCATCCACATCCTTGCGGTTTTCCCGGTTTTTGTTTTGTTGAAGTAGTTCATTACCAGCAGGAGCAAACAAAATGTTGCCCCAGTCGCTGTGCCCGAGAACGTGCGCGACGTCATTTGTAAAAACGGGGGCACTGCTTTCTTGTCCTGTTGGTGATGCGGTTTGTTCTGTTGCGTCCGGCCTCGTCTCGCGAAACAGAATGGTGTCCGGATACTCGTGGTAGATTTCGATTTGCGCAGCGCCGCGCCCGCCACCGTCAACATCTTCATGCGCAGGGGCGCGCTGCAGAGCTTTTTTTGTCGCTCGTCCTGGCTCCGTCGCGGCTCTTGTCGGTGGTCCTCTGTTTCTGTTCGCATACCACTGGTATTTCTGCTTCATCCGTCGCATCAAGTTTCTATCGTCGGCCAAAGCGGCTTCCTTCCGCTTTGTCACGATCCCGCTTACAGCGTGCTTGTACACGGTAGCCTCCTCTTTCTGACTTATGCATTGCAAAAGTATCGTAATCTAATCGTACGAGTACAATGGCATCACAAATGTTATTCAAGACGAAAGGAAAGTCTGTCATGCTAGATCAGGTAGAAAGTCAGGTTCCTTGCCACGGATGACTGCAATTCTTCATACGAGCAGTACGATACTGTTGCAAAGGATATGACTCAACGAGCGCCAACTTTCTCCCAAATCCCCGCTCTGTAAAAGCCACATGAGGTAGTAGTAGAGACGGACAATGGAAAGGAGAACGCAGTCGTGGAGCGGTTGTTGCAGTAGTTCATGTTGATCTAGCGCCTCCTCCGCGTCCTCGGAAGTATTTTTCTGCTTCGTACCATAATTCTCGCGAAGATGCTCCGCAAGCCCTGGCTGGTCGAAATCCCGCTGGGATGGCTGGAAAGAAACCTCGTTCCCCCGGTTGCCGGAAAACGCTTTCAGCTCCGGAAAACTCACCGACGCGAGCGGGCAATTCCGGAAGGTTTGGCGAATCTTGCTCATGGGGGCATACGTTGTCGCACTACCACTAGTACTGTCGGTTTTTTTAATTGTCGAGGTCGTGGGTGGCGACACTGTGCTTGCTGAACTTGAAAATGTCTTGGAAGTAGATGATGGCCCTGCGTGAAGATGAGCAGCAGCACTAGGTGATCCACCACCACCAGCAAGAACCAGCGGCACTTCCGCAGCGTGCATCAGATTGTAGAAACTGCAGCAGTATTCGAACGTCTGCGGGGGCGCGCTCCAGCAGTTTCCCGTGCCGACGGAATCAGAAATCGCGAAGCAGCAAAACCGCTCGAAGTACTGGCCAAGGAGGCCAAATTGGTTCTCCGGAAAGCAAGTGCCGACTTCGAACTTTGACATGGCACCTGGTGTAGTCCCGGCGGCCTGCACTTGGACAGGGAGCATCAGAAGCAGAGGCACAAAAATACTCGGAAGACGGAGAGCCTGCAGCTGCAAACAGACGACAAATAGTCGCAACATCTTGTTCGACAATCGAGAGGAGATGACTGGGAGCAATCGAAAAAAACGAAGCGCTGTCATTTCGTTACGCGCAACAAGCGATGCATGCTTCATGGGCTGCACATGATCCTTTTTTGTTCCAAATTGCTTCTTTTTCATACCACATAATCGTGGCCGCGGTCGCGGAAGATTCTATTGACAACCGATGTATCCTTTACCGATCTTTTGACTGACGTAGTTCCAAATAAGCATAACCGAAATGATTGGCCAACTCTCCCTTTCGTGTAAGCAAAGGGGTCCGTCATGAGGAGCCGCGCTCATTCCATCAACACAGACACAGGGTGTATCATTATTGTCCTTGCCAAGAGTTGCGCATGCCACATAGGAGCGAAGGTCTGGATTTCTCTGGCGATCTCCTTTATTTTGGAAACAGAACAGCACCAAGACCAACACAGGGATAGGGAAACAATGCTCAACATGTACATGCGTTTCGCGCAATTTTTTTTACCCGAAGACATGAACAAAAAAATTATAGTATTAGTATTCCAATCACCAACGTGAACATGCATCAACCAAACAAATAATCATAGTGTACACTTTTGACAATGACATAACGGAAACTACAGAAGAGAAGAGAAGGCCCCGTCCTGGGGGCGTTGCTTCAAATGCAGCAAGTTGTTCCTTCTCTTGTCTACAAATCCAAAAACAAGTGGAAGTGAGTTTATGTTTAACTACTTAATCTTGTCCTTGTGCAATAAAAAGGAATGTGTCAGCTGCAGGGGCAGGGCAGGGCGAGTGTATTCCTCGCAAGTATAACAAGCCTGGCTGTGTTCTTCACCTCCTATCGAAGAAACCGATTCTTTACCAACATCCTGGTAACAGCAACGCAACAGATTCATTCGGAAATCCCAAAAAGTTACATGTTGCAAATAATTCGCAATAAGTACGGAGAACTGGAACTTCTTGATGGTGATCACGAAAAAGAGCTGCGAAAAGTATAGTTTACTTTTGGAATACGAATAATTGTAAAGTAAAAACTTTTTCCTCGTCGCTACATCACAAGAGATCAGTGTTCTATCCAAGAAAAAAACATTGTTAGTGTAGGATTCTCAAAAATCACCGAATTTTTTTTTGGTCGAAACAAAGAAAGTTTTCAGCTCGCTGCGGTCCGCCACCTTCGAACCTGTTATGATTTTGTATGATGATTCTTAACTTGTCTAAATAGCTATAGGTTGCTTCGGTTCATTAAAACTAGTTAAGGAGGCAGGTCTCTTCGGTGGCGACGACGCGGGACGCGGACAAGCAGTGGTTCATGGGTGACCAGCCCTCTGGCCCCACCTGGTGGGGCCAGAAGCGTACATAGCGGTAGGTGTTGAAGCGAGCCGTCAGATTCCAGTGCAGTATGCAGTGTCCTGCCTCCTTAACTAGCTAATACATGAGAAAACCGAAGCAGCCTATAGCTAGACTTTTCATCAGCATTCCAAAGCAGCAAATCTAAAGTAATCCGGACTTACCTTTTTCAAAAAAAAAATCGACCTTCAGACCAAAAAAAAATTCGGTGATTTTTGAAAATCCTACACTAACAATGTTTTTTTCTTGGATATGTTCTAGTCATCGTCTACTATTTTTCTATTTCTTGTTCAACTACACAACATGAAATGACGTACCTTATGTGCGAACCGGTGCACACGACGTAGTGCACGAGCAATAGCGACAACTGTTACTGTTTAATGAATCGGCCCGTTAAACCCGTAATTTAAATTTGGGTTGTGGCCTTGATTCCTCTGGTTTCGGTAAAACTTTTCTCTGTCTCCCTCGGTCGACGTCTCTCGTATACGTTTCCGGCGAAGGCAATCCCAGGTTCTTTCGTCGCTGCTTTTCCTCCTCGTGATTTCTCCTGTTTATCTCTTTCCACTTCCGCGCCTCTTCGCGGAGCCGTGCTTCTAGTTCCTTTTGCTTTTCTTCCTCATGTTTTTCTCGCAAACGCTTGTTGTCAGCAGTCTGTGTTCGCGGCGAGGACTGCGGAGTCTGGAACTGGACGTCGCACTCATCAGTATGATCAGAATCTTGATGGTTTCCCGCGTCGTAGTTTCCCGGTTCACTAAGATCATCCTGTTGTTCTTGTTCATGTTTGTTCCGTTTCTCACGGTGACCGCCGCGACTTTCGTTACTGTCCGTGTTGCTGCTCTTCTTGTCCCTAGCCCTAGGATGTGACTGTTCCTTCTTGTCCTTCCGACGCCCTGCCCCCTCATGTTGTCCGTTTGCATGTTCTCGTCCGGCGTGGTGCTTCCTTCGGTTTCGCCTTCCACCATTGTTCGTGTTCCTCGTCCCCTCGCGTGCTGCACCGCTCGTCGATCCTAACCGAGCTTCCATCTATGCAGAGGAGCCAATTCATTGTCTCTTGAGTTACCTCCTTTCGGCTACTAGTACTGTGTACTGAAAAAAAAATACCTCTGCGTGCGGGTCGTTTGTTTCCGGCGAGGCCACATTTTTACGATCAATTTCATACATACCTTGTTGCTCACAGAAAACTGCAGTTGTTGCATAGTGGCTAATCCTTTTCTTTGATTAGCGTCACATTGACAGCATCTGCATTGCACTTTATTTACAAGCAGTTTTCATTGATTTCTTGTCGCTGTCGGACTTGTTTAGCGCATGACTACATCAGTAGTTTCAACGTCGCAGTTGTATAAAGACATGATTCTGCCCCCCGAAGAACTGTGTGATAACACGCAGAACGAAGATCCGAGAAGTAGAAGGTACGGGCGAAAAATCCGAACTGCTCCTCTACTTCTAATTCTTCCAGACGCATCAGCCGCAGCCCGTCCCCGCCGCTCCGCGCACTGGCCGAGGACAAGCCCCAGCATGCGCGGCTAGCTGCACTGCGAAAAGGAAGACTGCGTGAAGAATGACTGTCTATCTCGATTCCACTCCACTTGTGCAGTCCCGCTTCTTCTGTGAGATGCAGCAGAGTTTTTCCGTGTCTTTAGCCAACTTCTTGTTCAAAATCAAAATGATCATGATTTTTCTGTTGTGCTTTTGATGTTTAGCTGCTGGTTAAATCATGACTAGAAAATGATCCTGCCTTAGACTCTTGTCATCCTCCTCGTTCGGAGCCTCTAGTCAGTATTCAAGAGACTAGCTAGTAACAAGTAGCTGCAGAAAAAAAGGTAATGCTATTTCCCACATCCTGTGCAATTAGAAGAAAAACTGCCCTTTAGAGTTTGAATCAATTACTTAGACCCGCAACGACGTCGTGGATAAAACTAAGACCAGTACGACTACGACAGTAATCGTGAGAGGACCCACTATCAACCTGGTCAGCATTCAAGACGATGTATCCGGCGAGACGAAAGATATTGTGGCTAGAAGCTCAACAACGATTTTTTGCGACGACATCATTATCTTCAGACAGTTGCGCCTTATGCAACGTTCACGACTACGACTACCACAAGAAATTAACATCTCCATAAACGACACATCGATATTTAGTGTCAGGAAGTCAAAGTGCAGCTGCAGCGCACAAGGTCGAGCAAACGATGCAGAAATTTTTACTCTACTGTAGTCATCTCTGCTACTTATGCAAAAACGGCGAAGGAAAGGAGATCCACATCGGGAGCGCATCATGAATTCGTGGAGGTGCACCACACCTCGGTCGTGCTTCAGGAGCATATAGATACTTTATGATCCTTCTTTTCCAACTCTTTACCTTGTCATATCACGGAATCGATGCAGTTGATTCAATATGAATGCAGTCGATGTTGCATCCAGCGAGTTTCTAGACTGATACCGTGATACTTGATCTTGATGATAGACTGATAGTGATAGATAGTGATACTTTAAGCAAAACCTTTTACAGATGTCAGTAGGAAAACGCACTCTTTTTTCTGTTTCTGTTTCTCTTCCTTTTATGTAAGTACCTTTCTTGTGAGGACGCTCTCACTTGCTTCTCGAGAACCAGCGGCGAACGAATCCAGCCAGCTGCGCTCCCCGAGAAGTGCGGCTGGCCGGAGTTTGTTCATCTACTTCTTGGCCACGTTGACCTGCCGCGGGGGTGGCATCAAGAGTGCTACTTCTATTCGACACAGAACCTGAAGATTCTCTATAAGCTCGATCATGTTCGTGTTGATGCGCGCCCTCTACTAAATCCCGCGAAGGCGCACGTCTGCTGCCAGCACGAAAGAAATTTCGTTCTTCTTGCTGCCCACTCTCCATCTGGTGGTGGTCTGTTCTCGGCGTGGTACTAGTATTTGTCGTCCCCTTTGATGTTGATTGGTCTTCTCTACCGAGAAACAGCCTCCGTCCCCCGTGCCGCCAGAGAAAGTCACCAACAACTACGGCGCGGTCGATCGCCTTGTCGGCCACCGACCAGCGGTTTTCTCGTTTTCAATGTCCAGGGGGAAAAGACCGCAATCGATAGCACAGCAGGACACAAGTTTTTGTACTAGAAAAACGTGTTAGCCTTAAGAGGTCGAGGGAAAAAGTGTTGAGCTACAGCTACACACGAAAACGAATACAAGCTGTCGCTGCGCATAATTTCTGATAGCTTGACAATTCATTCGTTTTTGTAAGTCATACAAACAGATGGTAAACTTGGTGAGCGAGTGCTACGACCGAATCCCATATTACCACCATACCCGGTTTTCGTAGTCCAAGCGCTGCGCGACTACCTCCATTTCTCGGTCCAACCGAGCGAAATGCGATTTCATCAAGCTAATGGCGTTTTTCAGGGATTTCTTCCACTTGGAAAAATCATTGGACGAGTGGCTGGCGAGAAAGTCCGATCGAAATTGATGCACTAGTTTCTTCCCCGCCCGGGCAAACAGATTGGATTTGTTCTGGATCGGTGGCCTCCGGCGCGGAAGCCAGGTGGGATTGTGTCTGCGGATCGCGTCGATCATACTGTTGGGGAAATAATTGCGGGCCAGGCTCTTCGCGTTCAGATTCACACAGGAGTAGCAGAAGAGGTCCCAACAAAAGGCGCAACACACCGCAATCGCCATCGACAGGAAGATTGACACAAAAAAAACCTGCCGAAACTGGTGTCGGCGCTTCTCCTGCTTCTGCACGTTCTGCTCCTGGATGCGAAGCAGGACGTTTCGCCGGATCATAGCTGCGGTCCTACTGATGTTCTTGTCGTGCGTCGTTAAGCTGTGTTCTTGTTTTTCTCGGGTGGCGGTGGGATTTCCGTGAAGAGGACCCTGGTTGATGTTGTCGTGGTCCACGCTACCTTTATTCGTCGGGTCACGGCTACTTCCTTGCAGAAACGAAAAATGTTGACGCGAAGTGGACGGATCATCAGCCCCTGCACTTCTACCAGCGGTTGATGCGCCTGTCTTGGCAACTACCGACTCGCTTGCTGCTTTACGAAAAAAACCATCCGACTGATGACCCCTTTCTGCTCCAGGTGGGACGCCGGAACCGGATTGTGATGTCGCCTGGTTGCAATTTTCCTTGATGTAGTTGCTCGAAGATGCAACTACATTTACTTCTCGATTGCCAGCACCGGTTGCCTCTGCCAACACCGCCTGCCTTTCTCGTTTAGCTGCCGTACTACGGCTCCCACTGCTGAGATTGAGGGCAATATTGCTGCTGCGGCCACCATCACCAATCGCAAGTACAGTATTTCTATTTTTTTTGCGTGTCAGTAGTGGTGCGTCTTCATTTTCATCTACTTCTCCACCGTCGACTGCGAGCTGCGCTCCTGCTCCAGAGGATGAACCACTTCCACTACGGTTGCGGCTTCTACGCGATCGTCTTGATTTAAAAGTTTTTCTACTTTCTTCAACATTCTTCCCGATCCCGCCTCCGTGGCGACAGGTCGTGTACTTCTTTCTCGCGTCACTGGCTCCACCATCGGGGGCGGACAATGCTCTTTTCTTCTGCGCGTGGTCGCCCTCTTGAGATGATCCTCCAACTCGACAGTTATTTTTTATCCCCGCAGCCGCTTTTTTCGGAGTGAACACCAGTCTCCGGTTATTGGGCAGCGGGGCACGCGAGCGCAGCAGCGTGAAAGTAGGTGTAGGTATGACGGTTCCGCCGTCGTTTTTTTCGTCATCTTGTTCTGACGAGGAATCGTCGGACTCGGAAACATATCAAATGCAAATGTGTCTGGGTCTGGAAGGATGCAACCTGTGATGCTAACTCTGGTCTCTACATAAAATCTGTATTGCGTCGTGCATGGTAAATGAGGTCCAGTTTTTGCTACTTACGCGGAGAGGGCATTTCCCATGCGATATGGGCATCAGGAAGCCGTTGCAGAATCTGTCGTGATGCTACAGCATGCATCACAGTCGTCATGGGTCATGCAAACTCTGCATGACAAACTCCGTGTTGACTAGGGCCCTGTGTTCCGGCTACTCCGGATCGCAATCGACGGAGGGCGGGACCTGCACCGGCGACAGGCGCTATCCAACCAACCAACAATAAAACTCCAGCATTCTTCCAGACCCAGACGTAGACGTATTTGCACTGGATAAAACGAAACAGCCCTGTTCGCCCTTCGCGTCGTTTCCGTCCGCGATTGGAATCATCGGGAAAATTTGAAAATTTGAATGTGCATTTCACTTTTTCGATAACTACGTTCTTTCCAAGAATCGGGTCCCGATTCAGCATTCAGTTCTTGCCTTCGACTACATCAAATGAGAATACTGTTTTTCTACGTAAGAAGTATCTATGATGCTTCCTCGACAACCACAGACTGTTCGTTTTCCCCGATTGGATACTCTGTTCGGGACTAGTCGTGCTGGTAAAAAAATTAAAGCCGGAGCTGGACGAAGATCTTGAAAACGTCGGAGAGCAGGCCGATCTACTAGTGACCCAAGCGGAAGCTGCTTCGGCTTCCTCAGGAGCCCCGCCCCCGCCGTCGTGTACTTCCAAATCGTTAATTTCCGGAAAATCCGGGCAAGCTTGAAAATGCGGCGTCTCCCGCCCTCCGTCATCAGCGGCCTCCGCCGTAATGCGCAGGGTGTTTCTCGGAGAAAGCCGATCGCAAATGACGAGTGGCTGCTGATGTAGCGCTTTTTGCGGTTTTGGTTTAGGCTCAATTTTACTTTTCACCATCCCCGGCTGTGCAGCTAAATTAGATGTTGAATCATGTTGATTCTTGTTCCTCTGGTCGTGTTGCGGTGCTGACGCCGCTGAAACTTTTGACGCACCAGCTGATCCTTTACTGGATACGCCGGCGGCGCCCCCAGCTGCATCCTCAAGACCGTCCCGGGCGGCTAGTTTTGTTCCCTCGGCAGGAGATGATTTTTCGTTTATTTTTCTGTCCTCCAGAGGATCTTCTGTTTCTGCTTCACGACTGGGCTCCTCAGCGGCGGTGGTGGATTTTACTGCCGCTGAGGATGGCGGAGCCGCTGTGGAAGCTGTGGTGGATGAAGGTGGTTGGTTCGCCACCACTGCCACCATCTTCATTTCGTTGTCCTTCAGAGGTGGATTAGCTTCACGACTGGGCCGAGCGGCGGGAACGTCATCCAGGGCAAATGACCAGCCATGTGGGTCCACTAGTGCGGGTGCGGCCGAGTCGTGCATTGTGTAGAAGTTCTTTTGGCTTCCAGTCTGTCTCCGTGGGGATGTTGCAGCTTCGCCGCTACTGCTTTTTGGAATTAGGATTAGTCGCTCCGTGAGCCCGGAAAAAGCGTCTACGGTGGAGGTGCGGGTGGAGGTGTTGGTTTTGTCAACTTGGGGTTCGTGTGCTTCGTCGTGTTCTTTTTCGCGGTCAGTGGGGTGCTTTGATATCGTTGTCGGATCACAATAAACAGATGACTGCTCTAGTAGTGTTGGTGCTCTCAGGCTTTAACATCTTAGAATTCGAAATCTTCGTCCTCTCGCGAATTCCATTTTTGACAGGATCGCTCAATTATAGGCGAGACTTGAAGGTCACGACCACCGCCACGGAAAGAAAAAAAAAGAAAAAAAGGGCGATCATTCAAAACAAAACAAACATACTTACAGTTACAAATTAACAAAAAAAAACGAAAAACGAAGCTTTGAACGAGGAAAGAGTGCAGATATTGTACTTGTGAAGATCTAGACCTGTACCTGACTGTTTGAGTACAAGAAGTACTGACAACGATTTACTATTTGTTCTACCCGGGATCATTATCGAGGATCTTTTCGGGACGAGCGCGCATCTGATCGGGTCGCAGTGCAACATGAGCAAGAGCACCATCCATGTACTAAAACCGAAAATAGAGGAAAAAATGATCGTAAACAAGATGGAGGACTACACCAACATGCCGACTAAATGCTCCATCATCATCTATCATGGTCGAGCTCGGGTCGGCGAAAGAAATTACAACCAGTGAACACATACTTACAGGAACCGTCTTCTACTGAATATCTCCCTCGTCTCCGCGAGTGTATCACAAATCCTGTGGTGCACTTTTAGTCTACTACGTCGAAAGTTAGTGTTCCAAGCCGACACGATCAGCACGACGAGAAGACCACGTGACCACCAGGCAAGATGATGGACAAAACTAAGTATGTATCAAATCTGGATCTCGTTCAAATTTCCCCAGTCCTTTCCGACACGACACTTGACTTCCAAGGGGATGGGGTAGATGTCCAAGCCCGGGCGCGTCATCGCCTCCACAATTTTCGGCAGCAGAGTCGGCAACGCGTCCTCGTCGATCGAGAAAAGCAGCTCGTCGTGGATTTGCAGCAAGAGGTGGCACGGACCATGCTGAGGTTGACCAGGCCTACTACTTCTAAGGTGGTTGTTCCACAATATCCTCCTGTGTGAGGACTCATCATGTCGATGATCTGCTGTAGTTCCTGCTCCACCTTCGTCTTGAAAAGCACAAAACTCGCTACTCACAATCCCTTCCTGATACAAGTTCAGCATCGCCTGCATCATGAGATCGGCAGCGGACGCTTGGCACAGCGTGTTCACCGCCTGCCGTTGCACCTTTCCGACCAGCTGGTTGCGCTCCTGTTTCTGCTTGAAGGACAGGTAGGGACTGGTTGTACCAACCGCCGGATTCACAACAATTTCTCGCTGTGGCTGCTGGTTGGTTGCGTTTTGCTCGCCGTGGGGAAAACCTTGGAACCGAGAGCCCGTCGTTGCTGTTCCCAACCCGCCGAATTCTCGCTTCACCTTCTCCAACGTTTTCGTGAAAAAGCGCTTTCGCCCGTACAGAGTGGTGACCGACTCCGTGTCCAGCACGGCCTCTTTGACGTCCGTAATGAACTTCTTCACGTTTGGGAAATGCTGAAAAAAGGACTCGATCAACCGTTTGGCCTCCGGAAGGTCGATTTGCAAGTCTTGCGAGATCTTCCGCGCGCCCATGCCGTAAATCATCCCGTACACGATCTTCTTGCACCCGGATCTTTCTTCCGGACCGATTTCTGCGATGGGCTTCTGCAGCCAGTCCGCGGCGATGGCGCGAAACAAGTCGATCTTTTGTGGCGTCGCTGGTGGCAAGGGAGGGGAAGAACTCGCGGGTCCTTGTCCGACAAACTGTGACGCGGAAAATGAAGCAGCTCCTGAAGGTGCGGGGAGAACGTCTTGCTGCGAAATACAAGCGAAAGCGCCCTTTCTAGCATGGTCATTCTGAACATTTGCATTTGTCCCATGATCTACTACTTCCCAAATAGTTCTCTTTTGCGACTGCGAGAGCGAGAGTTTATTACTTTGTGACTGGGACGAGATTTTCGAGTTTACCAGAAAGTGTTGCTGCAACTTCGGGTCTCGGGAGTAGAACGCCAAAAGCCGCACTTCCAACTGGCAGTAGTCGATGGACACTAGAAGCTTCTTCTGCGCCGGAAAAAACCGGAAGCACTCCCGCAAGTTCACGGTGAGCTTGTTTTTCCTTTCCACGTCGTCGTCTGCGGCCTCATTCGCTCCAGTCTTGTAGCAAAAGACCGGTGCCTGCGACCGCCAGACTTGGTCGGATGGGTAAGAAAGATAGTGCCGACGAGTTGTGCCGTTGTGGTTCCTTTTGCTCATATTGTGGCTGCTCTTCTGTCCTTGACCTTGATGCGCATCACCACCTGCCGTGCCAGTCTTGGCTCCACCTTGTCCTGCTGCACCTTGCTGTTGAAGTTGCAGAAAGCTAATATCCGCTTTCGCGACGTCGCAATTTTCTGGGGACGCCGGTGAGTACTCGTCTAGCGTGTTTCCCCGAAAGTTGCCGAGTTGTACCATGACCCGTTTCAAGGATTTGACGTAGTCTCGTATGCACTGCAAAAATGTCTGGGTCTGGAAACTTGTGATGCAAGTCACTCAATAACAAATGCACTGTAAAAATGCGCCGCCAAGCATGACAAGTCTTTTCGTGCTTCTGTGCTTCGTATCCCGCATGAGAAACTGTGTTTTTGCATGACATGCGAGAGAGGCTCGCCACGCAATACAGATTTAAGGGCCGTGCCAGATCAGCATGACAAATCTTGCATTCTTCCAGACCCAGACATTTTTGCAATTCATATCTCGGTTCGCGTAGCAATTCCAGCCCCGTTCGAGCCAGTACCGACAAACCGCTTTTTTGCTGTCGTTCACGGTCAAATCTGTTCTTCTGGTGACTGGTGCTGGATGAAGCCCACTCCCTGGTCCTGGTGCGCCTGGCGGAGGACCCTGGAGCAGCCCGGTGTTGTAGTTCAGGTTTTCGGGAAGAACAGCGTTGGCATTTGTCCTCATCTGGAAAGACGAGTCCAGCAGCTGCCCGGGGAAATCAAACTCATCTTCCTCCTCCTGGTCGTTCTCCTCTACCACCTCTATTGCGTACCCGTTTCTGTAGCGGCAATTCGGCGGGAGCGCCTGCGCCACCCCGACCAGCACCGGGACGGGCTGGAGGAGTTTTTTGATCTTTTCCTCGAAGAAACTCGGCCGCGAGACGTCGGCAATCTCGAAGGGATTGTCCACGCAAAGAAGTTGCGGTCCGCCATTGGTGACGACTATTCGCCCGGTGGAAGTGAAACTAAACTGCGTTTTCACAAGGGAAAATTCATCGGCGGTTGGAGCAGGTCCTGCATGAGGACGAGGCTGCTGATCCACTATATCTTCACGCTCTTGACCATTTGCAAGCACATCATGTTGCACGACGAGGGCGGGCGCAGCACCAGAGGAAAGCGCTTGCTGATCTTGTAGTTGTCCTTGTGCGGGAGGTTGTACAGCTGCGGGCGCGATAGGCAGAGTTAGATTCATCTGAACGTGATCATTCGCGCGGCCGACGCCCTCTTCCACCTCGTTCGTCCTTGTCTGCGCCATTTTTGGCACTACACGTGGACGTGCAAAGAAGTCATCCATGCCAGCTTTCACACAGCACCTCCGTAGCTTCTCGAACTTCATCATAACATGGGCCAAGTGCCGGTACTCGCTGATGTGATCAATCAATTCAAACTGGGGCTGGTCCGGCCGTATCAACTTGTTCGGCGCAGTATAATTGGTTGACTCTTCTTTCGCCGCATTTGTCACACCACCCGCGCCGCTGCCGTTCTCAGCCCCATTGACGTCAGAGTCGCAAGCATCCTCGCTATCGGCGTCGGAGCCACCGTGGTCTTCATAATCGGAGTCGTCGTCTTCGTCCGAGGTTGACGCGGAAGATTCTAGCTGCCGCTGGTTCAAAATACCTTGTGCAGCAGCTCCACCTCGGCCGCGCAATGATGCTACGGCTCCTGCTTTTGTTGTGCCTTCATCGTGTGGTTCCTTTTGCAGCACCTCATCCTTTGCTTGTACTAGTTCAACATCCACGTCCATTTTGTTCATCGTGTCGACGGCTCGTCGTGTTCCATCTTTGCCTGCCACGGCCGCCGAGGAGTTCAACACCTTATCCGGCGGTACTATTTCGTCATCTTTCGCCCGCAACGCCTTCAGCCTCTGCTCCTCTTCCAGCAAGACTGCGCTCATCACTTCCCGGGAGCTCCGGTAGGAAATTTTCCCGTTCTTTTTCCGAAACACAACCTTGCTCCGCTTGATCACGCTCTGCGCGGGGAGTTTCACCTGCAAATCTTCGAACAGCGCGCGGCCGCAGTCCTCGGAGGAAGCGAGGTTAACTCTTCGGCCCACCAGCTCCTTTGCGCGCTCCTGGATCGCCGCGGTTTTGTAGACGATTTGAAAATAAGTGTTCCATTTCGGGTCGAAGGGCATACCGGTTTTTTCCAAAATAGCGAGCGTCGTGTGAAACGGCATCATCTGGTTCTCGAACGCGTGCACCAGGTTGTGCTCGGCCAGTGCCGGGTACAGGTGGTGGAACAGAAGGGTGAAGGAATGCACAGCCGTGGTGAGCGTTTCGAGAAGGGTCAGGGGTAAGCGATGGTAGTCTGGGATGGTAAAATTCGGGTGATCATCTTCACGTAGTTTAACACTCCTCCCTTTGCAGCTGCTCTCCGCGCCGTCAGAGAATCTTGCAGCTCCGCTTCTCAATAATCGCCGTTCGAAATTCTCCACATCCCATGCCGCTTTTTTTCGGAGGTTATCTAGCTTCGGCTGTTCGTGCTGATCAGCCGTTCCTGTATTACTGTGCGGATGGGCACGCTGTTCGACATCGGCAGGTTCGTGCAGTTTTTGTGTACTTGGCCGTATTTTCAGCTTCTCGAGCCCGTATTGTAGAGACAGTTCGTGCTGGTTTTTCACCGGCGGATCTTCCGGATCAAGCATGTAGTGCGCGATTCTGGGTTCGAGAAAGGCGATTTGGTTGACGACTTCGGCTGCAAACCCACAGTCGCGCTGGAGAAAGGTGGAAAACGCCTTCGCGTTCTCGCAGACTAAAACCTTTTTCGCACCAGCTGAAGTTGGAGGACTTTTAGCTGGGCCGCTGGGTGCTGAGTTCTTTGACACAGACGCTTCTGCTTGCTGCAACAAAGTTTGTTCGCAAAACCACTCCCGCATGGAGAGATCGTTTCGCAAGTCACATAGAAACCACTGCCCGGGGAAAAACACGACGACTTCAGTGCTGACGCTGCTTGAATTTGTAGTTGTGTTTGCCATGTTGTCGACCATGTTCATCCCAACTGGGGTTTTTCCCTCCCCCGCCAACTTGGCTTTTGCCTTTTTACCCGTAGGTCTACTCCCACTCACCAGACCTCCACTGATCGTCTTCTGCACACGCTCCATCGACAGAACGGGGGGTAGACGAGGAGCACCTTTCGCTTCGCGGTGCGCAGGAACCGAGCCGGGAATGTTTTTCAGCGCAAAATTAGATGCACTGTTCGCAGCGCTGAAGGCGCCACCTTGAAAGCGTGGCTCTTCGTCCTCCCGGTACAGCAGTGTGCTGTGCAAGTAGTTTCTGTCAAACTCTTCCTCGACGATAAGCTCCGGAGCAGCCACGACTGCGCCGGTCGTGGTCGACGCAGCGAGGGCGAGCGCAGCAAAGTTATACCCAAAATTGCAAGACGTAGATGATTTGGTCCTCACGTCCTCACTTTTTCCAGCGGTTATTTGTACTATTGCGCTGCCGCTCATGCTCTCGACGATCCTTGCACATCTTCCATCCGTTGGATCGTAATGAGAAACGATTGCGTCTGGGTTACAGCTGTTGCTCGTCGCGTTCAAAAGATCCTCGTTCATCCGCACGCCTTGTTTCGGAAAAAAGTGGTACTGCGTGTTCATGAAGCTATTCAGCAAATCCGTGGGAGAGTCCGGCTGCGAAAGAAAGTTCGGAACTACTCCTCCTGCTGCCGCTGCGACGAGCAGATTTTGCTGTCCGACTAGAAGAGGAGCTGTTCCTTTTGCTGAACCTGCACCTCCAGCTGCGTTGTTGAAATTCCCACTCAACGGATTGTTGCTCACCGAAGAAGATGAAACCAAACCGGCTCCTCGGGCTTGTTGTCGTTGACTCTGCTCGTCGACATGCTGCAACGATTTTTCCATTTTCGCCTGCATCTCTAGCATCTTCCAATTCTGAAACGTCGGACTGGATTTCACTTTTGCCACGTTGTCCGCATTGTCGTGTAATTTCTGCAGCACCTCTTCCAACGTTTTGGGCGACGCGCCCAGCGCTTCGAAGTCCTCCTGCGAGAGCGACTGCTTCCCGATGCGCTTCAAACCCTTTGCGAGGTTGAGAACCTGCCTCGCGTCCGGCGGGGAGGAAGCACCGGCGGGGATCATGCCCATGTCGATGTTGCTGCTGTTGGGTACCACTATACCAGCAGGGATTTGATGTTGTAGGTGTTGTGGCGGGTGGAGGGGATGCTGCTGCTGCGGCTGGGGATTCTCGGTTGTATGAACATGATGAAGCGGCTGCAGGAGGGGTGCGGATGGAAGTAGAATACCAGGATTACGATTCGGATCGTGCTCCTGGAAAAACTGTTGAGGCTGTTCTTGTTGGGGATCGGAGTCGCGGAGGTGAGGTGGGGGATTTTCCATATTGTTAATCAACTTGGATGAGCTAGCATTGTTGGCCACGATGTAGGGCCGTTGTGGGTCTACCGCTGCGATGATCCGGTCGCCGCGAGCAGCTGCAGTTTCGTTGTCGGAAACGACTCGACGCTTTTTCAGATCGGGGCCAAGTGGTTCGCTTCGGCCTTCATCCTGTTTCTCGTTTTCACTCCCGCTTATCAACATCTGCTGCTCCTGATACAAGCTCCGCTGCTGCGGAGCAGGCACCTTTTGAAGTGGCACTTGCATTGCGCCGACTGGGAGAAAAAGCGGCTGCTGTCGCTGCTGAAAGTTGCCGCTTAACACTTGCCCCCCGTCGTGTCGTATCGGCATCCTCCCTGGCTGGTGCCCTGAAGAAGAAGATGATGAGCCCCCCGCCCCTTGTTGCGGCGGCACCACGTTAGGAACTCCAGGTGGAGCGCCTACAGGGGCACCGTACGGCCCAGTTGCTGTTGCGTAATTTCTTGAATGAAAATGAAGACCGCCAGCCCCACCGGCTCCGCTAGGTTGCGGTTGAAACGGAATAAAAGCCGCTCCTTTTGACGGACCAGCGGCTCCCTTCTGCACAGCAGGACCTGCTCTTAATGAATTCAAGTACTCCGCACCGCTCTTCCCTTTGTTCCCCTTGTGGAGGTTCATAGAAACCCCGCCTTTCTTTTCACCTTTCTTACCCATGATGTGCCCACTTTTCATTATCGTCCCACCTCCTCCCTGCTTCCCTTCCTTGAACCAGTTTTCTTTGAATATCCTGCGACTGACAATCTTCGCCTTCTCTTCCCTCGTTTCCTTTTTCCGCTGCTCCTTTTGCAATTTTGCAGCTTCCTTGGCCAGCACCTGCAGCTCCTTACAATCTCGCACGGAAAAGTGGATCGCCGTCGTGTGGCTCGAAGAGGACAACAGATTCTGGCTGTGGTCCAACGCCCGACGAAGCGCTTTCAGCAGCAAATTCGGGTTGTCTAACCTGCAAATCTGTTGCGGCGCATTGAAGCCGTCGTCCCAGAGCGCCTTGGCCAGCTTGTGCGACAACACCTTATACTGCGATTCCAGATGCTCGTCGGAGCAGATCGCGCGCTTTCTTACCGTAGTTGACGTTGTGCTTGCTCCTGTATTTCTATTTACCGTCATCCCTCCTTGCTGTTGCTGTTGTTGACCGGGCTCATTATTCTTTTCGGAAACAACCTCATTCGGTCCGAACAGCCAGAACATGCAGCTCAACTTGGAAAAGTCGATCTCCAGCAAACTCCGCAAATTCGGCGGGGAGTCCGTGCCGAAATGCAGCCTGCTCCGGAACTCGTCGATGACGGCCGCCAAATGCGGCCAGTTCAGCTCCTCGCAAAATTCCTTCAGTTGCGTGCAGAAAAGCTTGGTTTGGTACACCAAATTCTCCATTTGCACGACGGTCAATTTTCGGAAAACTTTCGCATATGGATTGCAAAAGTGTCTGGGTCTGGAAGAATGCCAGACCTGTCATGCAGGTTTTTTTTTTTTTTTTTTCATTGGGCCCCGCTGTTCTTCGCATATAAATTCATCACTAAGCTAGGAGGCCAGTGGACGTTGCCTAACATGTGAAGCAGTTCTACGAATTCACCTGCCTGCCTCAGCAGGTCGATCAGGGCCGACACCTTTCACACAGTTAAGCAGAGCGCGTGTACACCATCTTTTTTTTTGATTTTTGATTTTCTTACTATCGACGCCCGGCCTTGCAGGGCTCTCGCCCTGTTGTCTCTCGGGCTGTATGCTGCTTGTAAATTGGCGCTTAAGTTCTTTGTGTACTTGGCTGCCCTGGTCCTGCTTTTTAATTTTTTCCATCTATCACCCTGCGTCCTTGCCGTTTGTATACAAGTATACTTTTGGCAGTCAGTACAAACAAATGCAGAGGGTGATAGGCGGGGCTGGATACACAAAATGCATAGATAGCAGGCACAAGGCAGCTTTTCCTGAACTTATGCGCGATCATCGTGGGCATAGCGGATACTTTACTTTGAAGGATTTGAGGCTTTTTGAAGGTGAATTCTACAAACTTTTTTACTTTATATCTTATATATACTGGAAATGTAGTTATCGACTTTCTTGTTGATCAGCGCGTGTTATCAGCATGACACATGCAAACATCTTCAGAATGTTGCCAATTTTAGCGGTGCTTTTTAGCATGACAAATATTTTGTGTGTGTTTTTCTTTTTCTTTTTCAAGTTTTTCACCCAAAAAGCCTCTTTTTGTCTCCAAAGTAATTTTCTCGTGCTGTTTCTCCACACATTTGCGATCATTTACCGTCGCCTTACCTTTAAGCAGAGCCTGTTCTGCACGGTGCAGAGCCAGGGAGGAAAACGAAACCTGCCACGTGGCAGTAGAAGACCATCGCTCTGACCCATCTTGAGCTGCCGGAAAGTTTCTACGTGAAGTCGTGCTTGAAGCAGAAGAAAGCAAATACTTATCAATATTAGCCAATCTATAAAGTATCAGTGTTGCATGGTAGAATGTGATGCTAAGATGTTTGCATGGTAGAATGTGACGCAGTACAGAAGTAGCTTATCTTGTCGAGAACCAAAAATATATAGATGCCTCTACTCTATCAAGTTAAGCCATGGCCAGGGGAAAAATGAGCCGAATGGAGCAACGCAAAACCGGAAACCGAGAACCGGAAGCCGAGAATTGAAAACCGAGAGCCGAGAATTGAAAACCGAGAACCGAGAACTGAAAACCCGAAGCCGAGAATTGAAAACCGAGAACCGAGAACCGAGAATTGAAAACCGAGAACCGAGAATTGAAAACCGAGAACTGAAAACCCGAAACGGAGAATTGAAAACCGAGAACCGAGAGCCGAGAATTGAAAACCGAGAACCGAGAATTGAAAACCGAGAACTGAAAACCCGAAGCCGAGAATTGAAAACCGAGAACCGAGAGCCGAGAATTGAAAACCGAGAACCGAGAATTGAAAACCGAGAACCGAGAATTGAAAACGAAAACCGAGAGCCGAGAATTGAAAACCGGAAGCCGAGAATTGGAAACCGAGAATTGAAAACCGAGAGTCTCGGTTTCTCTTTTCTCGGTTTCTCTTTTGTCGGTGTCTCTTTCCGGTTTTCTCTTTTCTCGGTTTTTCTTTTCTCGATTTCTCTTTCCTCGGTTTCTTTTTTCCCGGTTCTCTGTTCCCGGCTTTTTCTCCGACCGAGAGCCGGAGGCCGAGAGCC